TAGAGATGAGTTTCTACTGAGTTGCTGGGATTACAGGCGTGCACCACCATGCCTGACTAATTTTTGTATTTTTAGTAGAGATGGGGTTTTGCCATGTTGGCCAGGCTGGCCAGTCTCAAACTCCTGACCTCAGGTGATCTGAATGCCCTGGCCTCCCAAAGTTCTGGGATTACAGGTGTGAGCCACCACGCCTGTTTTTTTTTTTTTTTTTTTTTTTCTGAGGAGGAGTCTTACTCTGTAATCCAGGTTAGAGTGCAGTGGCACAATCTTGGCTCACTGTGGCCTCGAATTTCTGGGTTTAAGCAATCTTCCTACCTCAACCTCCCTAGTAGCTGGGACTATAGATGCATGCCACCATGCCTGGCTAACTTTTAATTTTTCTAGAAAGGGGGTTTCTCTGTGTTGCCGAAGTTGGTCTTGAACTCCTGGCCTCAAGTGATCCTCCTGCATCAGCCTCCTAAAGTGCTTGGATTATAGGCATGTACCACTGTGCTTGGCCATTCGGTTTTGTTGAGTGACACCAATCCACATGTGGTCTCCGTGGCATATGGTGTAATTGTGGGGACTTCTGTAAAACAATTGGCCCCTATGTTAAGCAGCTTCCTTTTTGGGGCATGTCAGACTGGCACTTGAAGCTTGAGTCTCCTCCATAATGTATCCATGAAACTTAGTTGGCTTTCAGTTCCTTCTCCTCTCTAACAAAAATAAACCTGTCAGTACACAGATTAAACAGGAAGCCAACATAAAAAAGCCTTCAAGAGCTCTTGGCCTGAGGCCCTGGTGGAACATTCCCAGAAGGAGCTGCCTGGTAAGGAGGAGACCTGCTTAGGATAGTGCCAGGACCTCTGGCCTCATCAGTCTTGTGCCTGCCGAAGTGGGTTTCTGCAGGTAGGATGGAGGAGATAGGTGGACCCTGACATCTGTGTAGACTCCATGTGTGTGTGTTTTCTCTGGACTGTTGAGACCCTCTTGAGTTTTTCTGCTGAGAGTGGTCTTGTTGGTTCCTGCTTGCTTGCTTGCTTTCTGCACTTGACCTCCAGGATCTGGACTATTGAAGACCTCTTGGGTTTTTCTACTGAGAGTGGTCTTGCTAGTTCCTGCTTCTTTCTTTCTTTCTTTTTTGTTTTTTGAGATAGAGTCTTGCTCTGTTGCCAGGAGCCAGGCTGGAGTGCAGTGGTGCTATCTTGGCTCACTGCAACCTCCACCTCCCGGGTTCAAGCAGTTCTCCTCCCTCAGCCTCCTGAGTAGCTGGGACTACAGGCGCGTGCCACCACGCCAGCTAATTTTTGTATTTAGTGGAGATGGGATTGCACTGTATTGGCTAGGATGGTCTCAATCTCTTGACCTCGTGATCTACCTGCCTCGGCCTCCCAAAGTGTTGGGATTACAGGTGTGAGCCACCGTGCCTGGCGCTTCTTTCTCTCTTTCTTTTCTTTCTTTCTCTTTCTTTCTCTTTCTTTCTGTACTTGACGTCCAGGATTAAGCGATTGTCCCACCTCAGCCTCCCAAGTAGCTGGGACTACAGGTACGGGCCTCCATGCCTGGCTAATTTTTTTTTTTTTAATTTTTTGTAGAGACAGGGTCTTGCTATGTTGCCCAGGCTGGTCCAGAGCTCCTGGCCTTAAGCAATTTTCCTATCCTAGACTCCAGAGTGCTAGGATTATACGTGTGAGCCATTGCACCCGGCCCAGTCCCTGCTGCGTATGTTCGTTCACACTGCTGGGAATACCCTCCTCTCTGCACTCCATGTTTGAGTCCTGCCAGCTTTTTGAGGCCTATTGGAGGTAGAATGCTGCAGAACCTCCCAGTAGCCCAGGCATCACCAGCTCCCCTTTTTGATGCCTTGAAGCACATGCACTATTTGGACATTGATTTAATTTTAGCATCTTTTCTTGAGTTCTTAGATGATATCAGGTATGCAAGTCTGTGAGCCCACCAAGGTTGTGGGAGGCAGAGACTGCCAGGTCCATTTGTGCCGTCCATGGTATGCCACACGCGCTCACATGCTGGCTTTTTTTTTTGGAGAAGAAACTTTCTCTGTTGCTCAGGCTGGAGTGCAGTGGTGTGTTCTTGGCTCACTGCAACCTCTGCCTCCTGGGTTCAAGCGATTCTCCTGCCTCAGCCTTCTGAGTGGCTAGGATTACAGGCACCCACTGCCATACCTGGCTAATTTTTTTGTATTTTTAGTAGAGTCGGGGTTTCACTATATTGTTCAGGCTGGTTTTGAACTCCTGACCTCAAGTGATCTGCCCTCCTCGGCCTGCCAAAGTGCTAGATAGGTATGAGCCACTGTGCCTGGCTCCGGCTCTCACCTTCTATGAAGGCTGTGTGACCTGGAGCAGTACAGATGGCACTTGGTTTTTGGATGGTCTGAGAGATGGCAGAGGTGCCATGAGGCAGAGGAGACATTGATCTTATGCTGCTGTTGCCCATTTCGCCCACCACAAACCGTGTTTCATTAGTGAATATTAGACTCCAGGCCCCCTTGGGGCCTCAGGTTGGTGGGTTGCTGTGTACCTTTCCCATTTTCTCATGGTTTCTGCTGCACTGAAGGGTCCTTCCCTCTCCTCCCTCTAGCTCTGCAGGAGGGTGGCCCAGGATGTGGGAAACCCAGGCAGCAGCGAGCCCTGCTTTACACATCTAGGCCTTTTGTTTGCAAGCTGATGCCCGGGAGTGTCATCACCCCCTCTAGAGACAGTGGGGGAAAACAGCTGTTTCCCACCTCTGCCCTTGGTGGCCACGGCCAGTCCCAGACTTCCGGGATCCACAGAGCCAGCACCTTCTGCTGTTGACTGAGGTTTTCTTGGCAGTGAATTGGGCATGACCAGTGGGCTTTCTGGGAAGTGCAGCTGTGGGCCATCTGGTGTCTGTGAAGGGACATTTACGAACCCAGGGAAGATTCAGGGCTTTATCATGAAGCAAGCAAGTGAAATCATCTTCCTGGAATTTGTGGCCATTCAGACCTTGGGATGTTTGAACGTCCTCTCCCCCGAGTCCCTCTTGAGGTCACATACTGAAGCGGATTTTCCTGCTGCTGTTTGCAGGACCAGGATTCATAGTAGGTCAAGTTTGTGTGGGGTTCTCGGCATGCAGTCCCTCTGTCTCTATCCCCTGTAGGTTTTTTAGTCATTGAGCAGCAGAAAGGTAGCTCTGGGCAGAAACGCATCTCCTCCAGCCTCAGCCTTAGCCTCAGTGGAGTGTGGCGTCTGCCAGAGCTGCAGCTTTGTGTGGTCAGGCCAACACTGGCCAGAGATGGTGTGTGACCCCACCAAAGAGGATGTGTCTGATGTTGAAGGGGCATGGCTCATCATCACTTTTTTTTTTTTTTCTTGAGACAGAGTTTCATTCTTGTCGTCCAGGCTGGAGTGCAATGGCACTCTCAGCTCACTGTAACCTCTGCCTCACAGGTTCAAGCAATTCTCCTGCCTCAGCCTCCTGAGTAGCTGGGATAACAGGCGCCTGCCAACATACGCGACTAATTTTTTTGTATTTTTATTTTTAGTAGAGATGGGGTTTCACTATGTTGGCCAGGCTGATCTTTGAACTCCTGACTGCAGGTAATCTACCTGCCTCAGCCTCCCAAAGTGCTGGGGTTACAGGCGTGGGCCTCCATGCCCAGCCAGGGCTCATCACTCTTGAGAGGAGCTCCTTTTCTCCAGCCTCTTCCTGCTCCAGCTTTTCTTTCCAAGTCTGATTTTGATTGATTGAGACAGGGTCTTGCTGTGTCACCCAGGGTGGAATGCAAAGGCATGATCATAGCTGGAAGAACAGCCTTGGGCTCAGGCAATCTTCCCGCCTTAGCCTGCTGAGTAGCTGGGACTAAAGGGGTGTGCCACCACGTCCAGCTAATTAAAAATTTTTTTTTTTTCTGAGACCAAGTCTTGCTTTGTCACCCAGACTGGAGTGTAGTGGCTTGATCTCTGCTCACTGCAACATCTGCCTCCCAGGTTTAAGCGATTCTCCTGCCACAGCCTCCCAAGTAGCTGGGATTACAGGCGTCTGCCTCACACACCCAGCTAGTTTTTGTATTTTTAGTAAAGACAGTTTTACCATGTTGGCCAGGCTGGTCTTGAACTCGTGACTTCAGGTGATCTACCTACCTCGGCCCCCAAAGTGCTGGGATTATAGGTGTGAGCCACTGCGCCTGGCTGGAAATTGGATTTTTAAAGAGAAAGGTTTCTTTTTCTGGGTGCTTCCTTGAATAGAAAACTTGTTTATCTCCTGATTCATAAAGCGGCGCGTCTGGGCTGTAATCATCAGACTCCTGCGAGGCTTACTCTTGTACCAGGTTCTTTTAGTGGTGGGCTGTAGGCAGATTTTTTTTTTTTCCCTTGAAATGGAGTTTTGCTCTTGTTGCCCAGGCTGGAGTGCAATGGCATGATCTCAGCTCATTCACCACAACCTCCGCCTCCCTGGTTCAAGTGATTCTCCTGCCTCAGTCTCCTGAGTAGCTGAGATTACAGGCATGTGCCATCATGCCCAGCTAATTTTGTATTTTTAGTAGAGACAGGGTTTTCCTTGTTGGCCAAGCTGGTCTGGAACGCCGGACCTCAGGCGATTTGCCCACCTTGTCTTCCCAAAGTGCTGGGATTATAGGCGTGAGCTACTGTGCCCGGCCTGTAGGCAAATTTTTTTGAGGTAGAGTCATTAGAAGGTTGCCATGTGGTGGCAAACCATGTAGGAGCTTTTGTGAGTTTACTTGTGGAAGTTCTAAATTAGTTCTTGAGTTTGGAATCACAGTGTGGGTTTATCTGTAGGTATTGACACTTCTTAAGTTGCTTAATTAGTAGGCTCTTTAAGGAATAAGAGGAACAGGTGCTGAAGGAAAAATCCTTTAGCAGTGCTTGAGTTGGGCCCACATTATAAAATGTTCTAGAAAATCTGACATTCATAAAACAAAAACGCACTCATCTCCCAGCCCCTCTTCACCCCACAGTAACCGAGGGGGGCTTCTGCAGAAGTATTTGAGATATAACCCTGTTGCATATTTCTTTAACTAGGTCACCATGGCTGTTACTGGCTCCCTTGCTGTCCCCAGCTGTTCCCCAGGTCACTTCCCCACCGTGCTGCCTGTGTCCAGAAGGTGTGCACCGGTTCCAGTGGATCAGAAACCTGGTTCCAGAATTTGGAGTCTCCAGTTCTCATGTTAGGGTGCTTTCTTCCCCGGCAGAGTTTTTTGAGCTCATGAAGGTAAGTTGTGTCTAAAGAAAACAAGTTCGAGTTAGAGCTTTTGGGGGATCAGGTTGGTGAGTCCCGAGTGCTTTCTAGTCTAGGAGCTGCTGCTAGCTGCTCAGCTTATTCCTTCTGGGTTTTGCCTCTCAGGTTTCAGCTCATGGATGGTTGAGCTAAGCCACAGTCAGAAACTTACCTGTGGGGCCAGTGTCTCAGGTGGAGAAGCTCTGAGGAGGCAACAGTGAGAACAAGGACCTAGACTTATTTATTTTGTTATTTTATTTTTATTTTTTTGAGATGGAATCTCCCTTTGTCACCCAGGCTGAAGTACAGTGGCGTAATCTCAGTTCACTGCAACCTCTGCTTCTGGTGTTCAAGCAGTTCCCCTGCCTCAACCTCCCCAAGTAGCTGGGACTATAGGAGTACACCGCCATGCCCAGCTAATTTTTTTTGTATTTTTAGTAGAGATGAGGTTTCACCATGTTTGCCAGGCTGGTCTCAAACTCTTGACCTCGGGTGATCTGCCCACTTTGGCCTCCCAAAGTGCTGAGATTGCAGGTGTGAGCCACTGCGCCTGGCCTATTTGGTTATTTTTGAGATGAGGTCTCACTGTGTTAACCAGATGGGTCTTGAACCACTGGGCTCAAGTGATCCTCCCGCCTTGGCCTCCCAAAGTACTGGCCATCCCATGTGGCCATGGGCCTAGACTTTGATTTTTTTTTTTTTTTTTGAGGCAGAGTTTCGCTCTTGTTACCCAGGCTGGAGTGCAATGGCGCGATCTCAGCTCACCACAACCTCTGCCTCCTGGGTTCAGGCAGTTCTCCTGCCTCAGCCTCCTGAGTAGCTGGGATTACAGGCGCGCGCCACCATGCCCAGCTAATTTTTTGTATTTTTAGTAGAGACGGGGTTTCACCATGTTGACCAGGATGGTCTTGATCTCTTGACCTTGTGATCCACCCACCCTGGCCTCCCAAAGTGCTGGCATTATAGGTATGAGCCACCGTACCCGGCCTGATTCTTTTTTTGTTTGAAAAGGAGTCTCACTCTGTCACCCAGGTTGGAGTGTAAGGGCATTGTCTCGGCTCACTGCAGCCTCTGCCTCCGGTGTTTAAGTGATTCTCCCGATTCAGCCTCCTAAGTGGGACTCCAGGTGCATGCCACCATACCCAGCTAATTTTTGTATTTTTGATAGAGATGGGGTTTCACTGTGTTGCCCAGGCTGGTGTCGAACTCCTGACCTCGTGATCTGCCCGCTTCGACCTCCCAAAGTGCTGGGATTACATGCGTGAGCCACTGCACCACGCCTAGACTTTGATTCTTGTGAGCACACTGATTCCTTTTGTTCCGTGGTGAAGTTGTGGACCCTGAGAAGGGAGGTTAGTCAGGACCTGTGGGCTGCATGCGTATGGGTTTCACCATATTGGTCAGGCTGTTCTCAAACTCCTGACCTCAGGTGATCCGCCCACCTCAGCCTCCCAGAGTGCTGGGATTACAGGCGTGAACCACCGCTCAGGTGAGGGCACCCTTATCTAGTCTGTGCGTGATGGACTCCTGACCCTGGAATCATCTCCAAACATGGTAATGTCATCTTGGTAGATGTAATTGATAGGAAGTAAAATCCTGTGGGTGGGGATTTGATATGCATGAAGAGGCCTTTCAAGATAACTGGGGAATTTAGGCATGCTGGGTCTAAGCCTTGTTGTCTTGGTTCTTTAGGAACTCTGTCTTAAGTGTGTGCCTTTCCTTTCCTGGTACTGATGAAAGTTTTGTATTTGGGGTTCAGCTTTCAACACGTTACTCAGGTTTACATGCCACATCTAGTTATTCTGGTTAAACTGCTAATTGGAATGAAGTAATTCAACACTAACGAATTTTTAACAGCATGAACTCCCTGAGTCTGTATCAGCGATGATATTAGAATGAATGTCTGGCCGGGTTCGCTGGCTCACGCCTGTCATCCTAGCACTGTGGGAGGCCGAGGCAGGTGGATCACCTGAGGTCAGGAGTTCAAGACCAGCTGGCAAATATGGTGAAACCCTGTCTCTACCAAAAATACAAAAGGGTGGTACACACCTGTAATCCTGCCTACTTGGACACTGAGGCAGGAGAATCACTTGAACCCAGTTGAACCCAGGAGGCAGAGGTTGCAGTGAGCTGAGATTGCACCACTGCACTCCAGACTGGGTGACAGAGCGAGACTTAAAAAAAAAAACAAAAAACCTGAACGAACGTCTGATGGCTGGGCAAGCAGGCAGAATGCTGGGAGACAATAGGAAATGTAGGTAGAGACTTACCTTTGTGCAGAAAATGAACTCTCAGTCATTTGAATGGTTGCCCATTTCTCTCCTTTTGCCCTCTCATTCTGTTGAACCACACTTAGCTTCATTTCTGGCTGGCTCATTCCAGAACGCGTTCTGTGTGTGCGTGAGCGCACACAGGTGTGTCCTTTTGTTCTCCCCTCTCATCCGCCTTCCTTTACTGCTTGTCTGTCCTGGGCATCCTTGTTTGTGCTGAATGATGATGCAGCTGTTGGCTCTTTGCTCCTACTTGGTTCTCTCCTTGGCTTGGAGAAACAGGTTTTTCACAGGCAATTCTTCTCTGTCCTCATCAACTCTGGGAGGTTGGCTGACGGTCTACATGTGGTGATTCCCTGGCCAGAAGGTCGTCCCTGCCTGAGGAGGGTGGGCCTGCAGAGAGTGGGAAGGGAGTGGAGGGGCTTGCCCCAGCAGGCTGAGAAGACACGAGGGGCTTCTTTTCCTGCCATCTGGGCTGAACTGTGGGCAGATTGTCCTGGCTTGTGTCACACTGAGTAGCATCTTGTTTCTTTCCAGGGTATACAGCAAGAAGAGAAGACAGTGCTGGTTTCTGCCTGGTCCTCATGCCTTCGTTACAAGCTGTAGGGCCTGGTGTCCTGTAGTAAACAGTCAGATATGCTTCCGTTGCCTGAACTAAATTGTCTTATGCCTTTTTAATTTTTCCCTTTCTTTATAATCATCAACCCCACAAACATCTATTTTAATTGGTAACAAGGCAAAGGAAATAGCAACCTTGGAAAGTTGCTTTGTTTTTTCCTTGTCCGGAAGCCTTTCGTAGTGATCATTCATGTTTCTGTCTACTCAAGTTGCCTGTCTTCCTGTGTTGAGGATGTGGGGTGGGCTGTGATGTTCCTAATGAAAGGGAAGCAGGTAGATGTGAAGCTGCCTCCTTCTCACCTGAGTCTCCTCTGTATCTTTTGGGGTTTGACCTTTGGTACACTGCCATTCTTTGCATCCCTACTTCTTCCTCTGGAATGGGGCTGCTAGGGAGAGGACCTGGCTGTTAAGACTGATTTGGGATGCCATCTTTGGACATTGGTCCGTTCTGCTCACGTGTCTGTATACCTGTCTGTCTATGTTTCAAAAGTGATTCATGCTCAGTATGGACGTTGGAAACTGTGCAGATGGGTAGAAAGTGAAGAGGACAGGTTTGTGTCCATACTCCCCTTCCTTTGAGTTCTGCTCTTTGGGGGACAGGTTGCTACATACTCTTCATGCTTCTGCAGACACGTGTGCCTGCCTACATGCTGTGTGTAGGAGTGAGGGGTAATAGTGGGGAGATTAGGTCATTTGCTTTTGTCTCAGCAATCCATTGTGGATGTTTGTGGCCAGTATGCACAGATTGCCTTCATTCTTTGTTTTGAGACAGAATGTTGCTCTGTTGCCCAGGCTGGAGTGCAATCATGCAGTCTTGGCTCACTGCAACCTCTACCTCCTGGGTTCAAGTGATTCGTCTGCTTTAGCCTCCTTAGCAGTTGGGATTATAGGCATGCACCACCACATCCAGCTAATTTTTTGTATTTTTAGTAGAGAAGAGGTTTCTCCATGTTGGTTAGGCTGGTCTTGAACTCTGGACCTCAGGTGATCCGCCTGCCTTGGCCTCCCAAAGTGCTGGGATTAGAGTCATGAGCCACTGTACCCAGCCAAATCTTTATGTTTTTAGTAGAACAGGGTTTCGCCATGTTGGCCAGGCTGGTCTCAAACTCCTGGCCTCAAGTGATCTACCTGGCTTGGCCTCCCAAAGTGCTGGGATTACAGGCGTGAGTCCCTACACCTAGCCTGCTTTCATTCTTCTTAACGGCTGTGCTACATTTTATTTATTTTTTATTTTTTTATTTTTTTGAGATGGAGTTTCACTCTTGTTACCCAGGCTGGAGTGCGATCTCGGCTCACCGCAACCTCCGCCTCCTGGGTTCAGGCAATTCTCCTGTCTCAGCCTCCTGAGTAGCTGGGATTACAGGCACACACCACCATGCCCAGCTAATTTTTTGTATTTTTAGTAGAGACGGGGTTTCACCATGTTGACCTGGATGGTCTCGATCTCTTGACCTCATGATCCACCTGCCTCAGCCTCCCAAAGTGCTGGGATTACAGGCTTGAGCCACCGCGTCCGGCATGCGCTGCATTTTCTAGTTGTCCTAGACTGTGCTTTACTTTGCAGGCTATTTTCACTTAGGATTGTGGTTACCATACACATTTTCAGCTTGCTTTAAATAATAATCGGTGAAGACATAGGATAGTTCAGCATGGAGTGCGATTTGCCTCCTAGGTCAAAGGGTTCTATTTTCTTAGTGAACCATGAAAATGATGCGGGTGAATTTTGAATTTTTCTCCTCTTTCAGGGGCAGATAAGAGCGGCCAAGAGGCGAGTCGTGATGGCATCCCTCTACCTGGGGACAGGTCCTTTGGAACAGGAGCTGGTAAGGTTTTGGGGGGAGATGGTCCTGGCAGCAGTAGTGAATGGGCCCTAGCATGCCACAGCGTTTTGCGCCATGGAGTTGGTGTGGAGCGGCCCTTCCTTGGTCTCCATGGCAGAGCCAGCTCTTCTTTTCGTTGCCCCAGATATGGGCATGTCAGGAGGGCCTGGTGAGGAGAGTGTGGGGAGGCCTGGTCTGGGCCTTCTGGCCTCGCTGGCAGGCAGCTCTGTCTTGGTCACCTGTGTCCAGGGCTCGGTCGGCTTCATGCTCTGCAGGCTAGAGTGGCCTGTGAGCTAAGAAACAGTGGTTTTTACATTTTCAAATAATTGGGGAAGAAAAAAATACTTTGTCACTTATGAAAAATTTAAATGTCTGTATTGGTCAATAACATTTTATTGGAACACAGCCACACTCATTCATTTGTGTATTATCTGTGGCCACTGTCATGCTGCAGTGGCAGAACCCATCTGGTCCATAAAGCTCCAATAATTTACTCTCTGGCTGTTTACAGAAAAGGCTTTTTGACCCCATACTAGACTAATGGGCCTGAGTGCAAGTTAGGCTGGCTGGCCAGCTGGCTCTGCCAAGGGCTGGTGTCAGGTGCCAGGGCTGCAGGCAGCCTTGTTCCCCTCGGACTTGCCGTTGTGCCACACTTGTCGCTTACAGTGAGATAGGTGGGTGGGAAGGAGCCAGCGGTCACCAGGTTTGTGTGAGGTGTTGGGGCTAGCGCAGGTTCTGGTGCATGGCGGGACCCGCGGTTCAGCTGAAGTGAGTCTGTGAATGAGATCACTTCTTTCTGTTAGTCTCCTGGGACTGCTTTCTGCTCGGTATAGTGAAATGGATGGGCCTCTTGCCCAGAGTTAGTGCTGTTTCTTGGTCTGTCCTTGTTCAGAGTCACAGGTGGGAGCTTTAGGGATTAGAGCGTGGAGAGGGAGGGCAGTGGATTCACATGAGCAGTCCTCCCCTCTCTGCCTCTCCTAGGAAGTAGGCCTCCCTCTGTTTTTAGGATATACCCTCCATTCCAAGCCCGGGAGCCTGTCTGTTCTCATGAGAGAAGAATATAATGCCCACACTGTGGAGAGTGGCCAGTGGGCAGGTTGTGTCTTGGATTCATTTATTCGGCAAATATTTACTAAGTGCTCGTTATGAGGAGGGCGCTGTTTGTTGTGTCTGTGTGAGGATTGTCTGTGTTGAAATGTACGTAGAACCTGGTGTCATAGTGTTTCCAGGGTGGCAAGGGCCGGCTATCAGGCAGCATGCCTCTGCTTGTAGGTCCCCCTTCCCTTCCTAGAGGCCTGGGCTGATCGAGCCCCTGGGTGGCTGCTTCTGATGATCATGAAGGGGCTCTCAGAGAGCTTTTGTGGTGTTGGTGTCTGAGTGCCGATGGCACAAACCTGTTTTTCGAGAAGATGATGAGGGCCCTAGGTGATGGGGCTATTGGTTTCTTTTTAAATACACCTCTGGCCCCAAACCTTATACAAACCTGGTGACCACTGGCTCCTTCCCACCCACCTATCTCACTGTAAGTGACAAGTGTGGCACAATGGCAAGTCCGAGGGGAACAAGGCTGGCTATAGCCCTGGCACCTGACACCAGCCCTTGGCAGAGCTGGCCAGACAGCCCAACTTTTTTTTTTTTTGAGATGGAGTTTCACTCTTGTTACCCAGGCTGGAGTGCAATGGTGCGATCTTGGCTCACTGCAACCTCCGCTTCCTGGGTTCAGGCCTCCTGAGCCTCCTGAGTAGCTGGGATTATAGGCACATGCCACCATGCCCAGCTAATTTTTTGTATTTTTAGTAGAGACAGGGTTTCACCATGTTGACCAGGATGGTCTCGATCTCTTGACCTCGTGATCCACTTGCCTTGGCCTCCCAAAGTGCTGGGATTACAGGCGTGAGCCACCGCACCCAGCCTAGCCCAACTTTTGTCTTAATCTTTGGGTCTTAATCTTTTCTTCGTTTGTGTTCTTTCCTGGCAGGTGGACTGCCTGGAAAGTACTCTAGAAAAGTCACTCCAAGCAAAGTTTCCTTCAGATCTCAAGGTCTCCATTCTCTTAGACTTCACACGGGGCTCACGAGGTAGGTGGCACGCACGTCTGGCTCCCTCATGCTTCCTGTGTCAGATACTCAGTTCCTGTCACCCCCTTATCCTAAGGCAGAGACAGGGCTATTTGAAGATCATCCTAGCCAGCCCAGGACTGCCTGATGGTGCGAGTTAGGATTTTTTCTGCAGCAAGTGATTGAAAGCCCAACTAAAAACAGCTAAGGCAGGAGCTGAGTGCAGTGGCTCGCCCTATAGTCCCCTGCTCGGGAGGCTGAGGTGGGCGGATTGCTTGAGTCAAGGAGTTTGAGTCCGGCCTGGGCAATGTAGCCAGACTTTGTCTCTTGAAAAACTGCAACAGGCAGAGAGACTTTGGTTGTGAACTCCTGTGACTGATCCACCTTGGGCAGCTTGTGAGGTTTGACTGTGTCACCAGGATCCATCCCCTAGCTGTTTCCTTTGGGCTGGCTTCCTCCTCAGGCTCTGTGTGGTGGCCGCTGGTGGCTCAGGCTTACCTCCCCAGGATACCTTGTCCTTTGGAAGAGTCTGATTCCCTGAGAGTCAGGTCAAAGCCCCTGAGTGGCCTGACATGGGTGCGTGCCCAGTGGGGAGCTTAGAGTGTGCTGAGCAGCCCAGCCCAGGCCTGTGTGCTCCCCCATGGAGCTGGGGGTGAGGGGTGAGGTGGGTAGGGTCATCTTTCCCCAGAGCAGAAATGCTGCAACTGGATGGAGTAGTGCCCCAGGAGGAGGTTGGGTGCAGTTACCAGGAGGTGGGTGAGTGGGTCCTGGATGGCAAAAACAGCAGGTGTCTGCCACGCCCAGCACTCCAGGCCTGATACATGGCCAGCATGCAGGACAGAGGGCTGGGGGACCCCTGGCTAGGAGTAGCCCCAGTTGGTGTGACTGATTCAGGTGGATGGCACAGGCGAAGGCGAGGCACATGGAGGTGGTAGGGGCAGGACACCTTCCTGCTGTAAGTCAGCTGCTGCTTTCTCTGTGTCCGTGTGTTCAGGCCGGAAGAACTCCCGCACGATGCTGCTCCCACTCCTGCAGAGGTTCCCAGAGCAGGTCCGAGTCTCCCTCTTTCACACGCCGCACCTCCGCGGCCTGCTCCGGCTCCTCATCCCTGAGCGCTTCAATGAGACCATCGGCCTCCAGCACATTAAGGTGTACCTCTTTGACAACAGCGTCATCTTGAGCGGGTGAGTGCTTCTCACCCTTGGCACTTTTGCCTTCGTGCCCTGCAGGCTGGAGGGCAGTGGAATAGGAGCAGTGGGAAACTCGTTCCCCTTGACCTTGGAGAACCTGCTTGTAGGTCTGGCTGTTGTGCACCCGTAGCACCTCCCGTGGCACTGTCTCTGCCACTGAGGCCAGAAGTCCCAAGGGCTGGCTGGAAGCCACCATTAATTGGGCACTTAGCGTGTGCTGGCCACTCAGATACGCTGTCTGTTCTTGCCTCACAGTGACCCTCTGTAGTATTTTCCTCAGTGTGTACATGTGGAAACAGATGAAAGAGGTTGAGGCAGTTGTCAGGTAGAGAGAGCCAGAACAGTAAACAAGAGCAGACCTGGAAGTCCAGGTCCTTGGGTTGATAAACATGGGCCCTTTCCCGGGCTCTCTCCTTGGCAGTAGGGCCAGGATTGGGTTGCTGGTGCCAAGAGAAAGCCCTTGATGGCATCTTTGCCCTGGTACTGTACCAGTGGCGGCTGTCACTTAATGGGACAAAGAAAACAAACATGGGTGCTGATAAATAGCCCTGCGTGGGCTGGGCACGGTGGCTCATGCCTGTAATCCCAGCACTTTGGTAGGCTGAGGCAGAGGGATCACCTGAGTTTGAGACCAGCCCGGCCAACATGGCGAAACCCTATCTCTACTTAAAATACAAAAATTAGCCAGGTGTGGTGGTGCACCCCTGTCATCCCAGTTGTTCGGGAGGCTGAGGCAGGAGGATCACTTGAACCTGGGAGGTGGAGGCTGCAGGTAGCCAAGATCATGCCACTGCACTGCAGCCTGGGCGACAGAATGAGACACTGTCTCAAAAAAAAAAAAAAAAAAAGGAAAAATGCCTTGCATGATTAGTTGACTTTCTGCATCTCCTCTTCTCAGCTAGATTGTCAGCTCCTTGAGAGGAGGGCCTGTGGGTCACATTGCTGTGTCACCTGTCACCTTGGATTGGCTCTGGCTTTTACTCCTACACATGTTCCTTGCTGAGTAGCTATTTGTTAATTGCATCCTGACCTGAGTTTGTCTTGTCGCCCCCTCGCCCCCCTTAGTTCACCTGAGACCTGGGTCACCAGGACACGCTGCTGCATACTCTTGCCTGAGTCCTTCTCACCTGTGTCTTCCCTCCCTGTAGTGCAAACCTGAGTGACTCCTACTTCACCAACCGCCAGGACCGCTACGTGTTCTTGCAGGACTGTGCGGAGATTGCCGACTTCTTCACTGAGCTGGTGGATGCAGTGGGGGATGTGTCCCTGCAGCTGCAGGGGGACGACACGGTGCAGGTGCTGGATGGGATGGTGCATCCTTACAAAGGTAGGGGCTGCCACTGACACCCTGCCTGGCTGTGGGTGGGGTGGGGTGAGGGTCCAGGAGAGCACACTTCAGGGTGGCCTTGCCACGGGCATAGGAGACTTGGGTGGCGGGGCTTCATTCTGCTTTTGTCCTTGAAGCCAGACAGATGTGAGTCACTGACCATCAGTCATGCTCTGTGGGTGAGAGCTAGCCTGGGAAGGTGGGAGCGTGGGCTTGGGCCTGTGTGCCTGGGCGAGTGACCCAGGAGCCCGCCCTGCATCACAGGAAGCAACCTGGCCAGCAGCTGCCGTCTAGGGTCCATTCCCCCAAGCCTACCACATGGGCCTGTGGCTCCCAGCTCCCTTCTGGTCTGTGGCCCCCTGTCTGGAAAGTGAAGTGGAAGAGCTCAGCTCTGCCCACTGGAACCAGGCAGGTCCTGGCTTGAGCATTCTGGGGCATTTGCATTCCTGTGATTCCTGTGGCTATGGCTCCCCCGTGGCCTTTAGAGGGCCACTGCTGGATTTGCTGCAGTGTGCTGAACTTGGGCCGGAGGGCTTGAACTTGGACCTTGTTAGGAGAAGAGCTCCCCCATCCTGTGGACCTCGAACAGAAGCATTTCAGTGGGCCGTCGGACAGAAGCCCTGTGCTCATGTCCCGGAGCGCTGGGCCTCTGGGCCTGGCTGTGATGTGTGATGCTCTGCCTGCAGCCATGCTTGGTTATACCATTGTATTTTGAATTTCATCTGTAAAGAGCTTGTGGAGCTCTGTTTCTCTTGCTGAGTGCCTACCTAGCATCCTCAGCTTTGCCTTTTGGCCCCGAAAGCCTAAAATGTTTACCATCTGACCCTTGAAGAAAATGTGTGTGGATGCCTGGTTTAATGTAACAGGCCAGGCATGGATATGAGAGAAAATGGGCCATGCTAGGCCAGGATGAGAGCCAGGAGGCTTGGACAGGAGTGGGGAGACTCTAGTGCAGCTGTGCTTTAAAGAGTGAGAGTCCACGGAGAGGTCCAGGGCGTGCTCAGGCCCCCGGTGCGCCTTCCTCCCTCAGCCCTGTCCAGCATGTGGCAGTGTGACTCCTTTTTGCCCTGCATGGTGCTGGCATCAACAGGAAAGTCTCCTGCACTGGCCGATCCTTCCCTTTGTTCTGTAGCTCAGTCCTGAGAGGCACTGAGTATCTGTCCCTGCTCTCAGCTCAGACCGTCCGAACCGGCAAGGATGACTCAGGGCAGCCCTCCTTCCCTGTTTCACTATCCTTTATCAGAGAATCAGCCTTCCACAGTTGATATTCTCCATTTCTGTGTCATTTTCATTATATATATATAATTTTTTTTTTTTTTTTTTTTTTGAGATGGAGTTTCTGCTTTTGTCACCCAGGCTGAAGTGTGGTGGCATGATCTTGGCTCACTGAACCTCTGCCTCCCAGGTTCAGTTCTCCAGCCTCAACCTCTGGAGTAGCTGGGGTTACAGGCACTCGCCACCACGCCCAGCTAGTGTTTTTAATCTTGGTACAGACAGGCTTTCACCATGTTGGCTAGGCTGGTGTCCTGGCCTCAGGTGATCTGCCCGCCTCAGCCTCCTGAAGTTGTGGGATTGCAGGCGTGAGCCACCACGCCCAGCCTGATCTTATTTCTGTTTTTTTCTTCCCTGTGCTGTATTTGTGGTTTTATTCTGTTTCTTTCCCCTGACTTCTTGTGTTGGATGCTTAACTCGTTAATTTTCAGCTGTGTCTTGTCTGTTCCTAGCATCTTTCCCTTCAGTGTGTCTGCATGGCCACCTGTCACCAGTGTTTTGTCCGAATACAGAGGGCACCCTATGTAGCACCTGAACCTTCCGGTTCTTCCTGTCTGTCAGGCACTGTCACTGCTGTGGGACGCTTTCCCTGACAGTGCGTATCCAGGGCTTTCCCTGTGACCCCGTCTGTGGCATACGCATGCTCCTTTTTTGGTTATTCGTGTGTATCTTAATTTGAATGAGCTTCCTTATTGAAGTAGAACATGCACAGCGAACGCCAGGCCCAAGTGCACAGCCATGAACCTGTTCCTAGTGGATCCGCTTTCCGGAGGCCCCCCTCTGTCCCCACCCCTGGAATTACCCCCAAGGTAACCACTCTCCTGATTTCTCTCCCTGTAAATTTGTCTTGCCTGGTTTTGAGCTTGTTTGTAATTGGGATATGTCAACATGCCTTTCACTTCTGCCTGAGTGTGGGCTACTGTGGACAAGGCCCTCGTCTTGGGCAAACTCTCCGCAGAGGAGCCTTGCCCTGGGCTTGGGGGGTCTTGGGCTCACTCACTATGTGTTCAGGGAACATCCAGTTGTAGCGTCTGCATCTGCCTGTCACATGCCCTCCCTGTTCCTGAGCTGGGCAGAGTCCAGACCCTCCATTTCTCTTCCCTTCATTCCTCTTTCTGGCGTCTTCCTCTAGGTGACCGGGCGGAGTACTGTAAGGCAGCTAATAAGAGGGTCATGGATGTGATCAACTCAGCCAGGACCCGCCAGCAGATGCTGCACGCCCAGACCTTCCATGGCAACTCCCTTTTGACCCAGGAAGATGCAGTGGCTGCTGGGGACCGCAGACCAGCCCCTGACACCTGGATTTATCCACTGATTCAGATGAAGCCCTTCGAGATTCAAATCGATGAGATTGTCACTGAGACCCTGTTGACTGAGGCCGAGTGCGGTGCAAAGGTCTACCTCACCACTGGCTACTTCAACCTGACCCAGGCCTACATGGACCTGGTCTTGGGCACTCGGGCTGAGTACCAGATCCTGCTGGCCTCACCAGAGGTGAATGGCTTCTTCGGGGCCAAGGGGGTGGCCGGCGCCATCCCAGCCGCCTATGTACACATCGAGCGGCAGTTCTACAGCGAAGTGTGCAGCCTGGGACAGCAGGAGCGGGTCCAGCTGCAGGAGTACTGGCGGAGGGGCTGGACATTCCATGCCAAAGGTGCGCAGCAGCTGGCTGGAGGACGGCCCAGCCTGGGACAGCCACAGCATGGGTGGGGGGTGGGGGGGCACTGGCACCTGCCTGTTAGAGTGCTGCCCTTCTCCCTTCTCACCCTCCCAGCAGCCCTTGTAGACATATCATAGCTGTCCCACGACTTGGGGAAATAAGAGCATTCATCTCCCTAAGTGATTTGTTTTTTGGTGATGGTCTTGTTCTGTTTCCTAGGCTGGAGTGCAGTAGCATGATCTTGGTTCACTGCAACCTCCGCTTCCTGGTTCAAGCAGTCCTCCCATCTTAGTCTCCTGAGTAGCTGGGACTATATAGGCCTGTGCCATCATGCCTGGCTAATTTTTGTATTTTTGTAGAGACAGGGTTTTACCATGTTGCCCACTGGTTTCGAACTCCTGAGCTCAAGTGGTCTGCCCACTTTGCCTTTCAAAAGGTGAATTTCAGCTGCGTAAAATCTTTTTCTTATGCATCACTTACATGGTCACATCATTTGGTGGCTGTTGTAAAGATGTGGTGACGTAACCTCTCCTAAGAGAGGGAGAGGAACATGCCTTAGTCTTTTCTTTCTTTCTTTTTTTTTTTTTTTTTTTGGAGACAGAGTTTCACTCTTGTTGCCCAGGCTGGATGCAATGGTGCTATCTTGGCTCACCACAACCTATGCCTCCTGGGTTCAAGCGATTCTCCTGCCTCAGCCTCCCGAGTAGTTGGGATTACAGGCATGCACCACCACACCTGGCTAATTTTGTATTTTTAGTAGAGAAAGGGTTTCTCCATGTTGGTCACACTGGTCTTGAACTCCCTACCTCAGGTGATCCGCCTGCCTTGGTCTCCCAAAGTGCTGTGATAACAGGCATGAGCCATTGCACCCAGCCCTTAGCCTGGTCTTGACTGTCAGAGTTCCTTCATGTTGGCAACGTTTTCTTTTTTCTTTTTTGAGACAGAGTCTTGCTTTGTTGCCCAGACTGGAGTGCAGTGGCGTGATCTTGGCTCATTGTAACCTCTGCCTCCCAGGTTCAAGTGATTCTTGTGCCTCAGCCTCCCGAGTAGCTGGGACTACAGGCATGCACCATCATGCCTGGCTAATTTTTGTATTTTTAGTAGAGATGGGGTTTCACCATGTTGGCCAGGCTGGTCTTAATGCCTGACTTCGTGATCTGCCGGTCTTGGCCTCCCTCCCAAAGTGCTGGGATTATAGACGTGAGCCACTGCACCTGGCTGGCAACGCCTTTCTCAGGGAGAAAGAGGATTCATTAGGGATCATTTGTTTGGCATCAGCAGCCCATTTTTCCTGTATTTCCCTTAGTATTGTTACTGTTTTTTTTTTTTTTCTTAAATGCCAATTACTGCCTTTTCCCCTCGTAGCTGAGGAAATGGGGGCTCTGCACAGTCTTGCTGGTAGTGGGTGGTAGGAAGAGGGTCACAGTCTGTGTTGCTTTTTTTTTTTTTTTGAGACAGTGTTTTGCTCTTGCTGCCCAGGCTGGAGTGCAATGGAGCGATCTTGGCTCACTCCAACCTCCGCCTCCTGGGTTGACGCGATTGTCCTGCCTCAGCCTCCCAAGTAGCTGGGATTACAGGCATGTGTTGCCACACCCAGCTAAATATTGTATTTTTAGTAGAGATGGGGTTTCACCATGTTGGCGAGGATGGTATCGAAATCCTGATCTCAGGTGATCCACCCTCCTCGGCCTCCCAAAGTGCTGGGATTACAGGCGTGAGCCACCGTGCTCGGCCTGTGTTGCATGTTTATCCATCTCAGGTGTCCAGCAGAGCAGCCAAAATGGGGCAGAAACCCAGGGGCAGCTCTCCGAGACATGGGTAAAACATGCTGGAAACCTTGTGCTTAGCGATGGGCTTACCCCATGGCCTCTTGATGCTGTGAGGGTACCCGTCTCTAGCAGTGGGACCATAACTCCTTTCTGACTCGGGGGGACCATTCTTTTCTAGAGAATGGTAAATGGTGCCTGGAGGGCCCCTGTGTCCTGTGCATAGCCTGTGGCTTTTCTGGCTTCTCTTTGGGCAGTCCAGAGGCCTGTTTTCCTCCTCCTCTTGTGGTGCTCCTAGTGGCTTTTGACTAGAGGTCATCTTCCAGTGCTCAGGTGGTTGGTTTTTGTTCCTTTTTTTGGGGACGGAGTCTCCCATGTTGCCTAGGCTGGAGTGCAGTGGCACAATCTCAGCTCACAGCAACCTTCCATCTCCCGGGTTCAAGTGATTCCCCTGCCTCAGTCTCTTGAGTAACTGGGATTACAGGTGCCTGCCACCACGCCTGGCTAATTTTTGTATTTTTAGTAGAAATGGGGTTTTACCATGTTGGTCAGGCTGGTCTTGAACTCCTGACCTTGTGATCCGCCCACCTTGGCCTCCCAAAGTGCTGGGATTACAGGTGTGAGCCACTGTGCCCGGCCTAAAGCAGTGTTTTTCAACTGGGGTGTGCATTGTAAGAAATCCTGAAGCCCGGGTTCCCTTAGACCTTCATCCGGCTCTTTTGGGATTTAACCAACATTGTGTTTTAAAACCCTCCCTAGGAGATTTTGATACCTAGCCTTAAGACCCACTGTCCCAGCTTGGACTGGGAAGCTTCTGGCCTGACCAGGGCATCCCACATGCTGCTTTGAGTCCCACAGGCCTGCCTAGGCAGGCAGAATTGTTTGTCGTGGAAAGTGACTGCCCCAGTGTCCTGCAGGGCCCAGCCTGGCATGTGTTGTGGCTGAACCAGCCTGGTGGACAGTGTCTCAGGGCAGGCGGCCCCAGCCCCTGGCGGATGTAGAAAGTGTTTCTGGATTGGCGTTACTGCTGGGAATAACAACAGTATCCAATGGGGCAGCTTTGACCTCTGGGGAGGCCACAGATCCACACTGTCGTGTGCTGGAGAGGTGCAGAGGCATGGCTGGGTGTCGCTTTCCTCAACTGCACTGTGCTGGAACCATGAGGAGGCCCCTTAACTCAGTCTGGAAGGTGGGAGGCTCCTGGCCTGTGGCTTCTGACTTTGCCACGGGTTATTTCCCTGAAAGCGGCTCTGATAAACATGAGCTGACTCCCCAGTTACCATTGAAACACCCAACCTGCTTTTCTGGTGCGCCTCGCCTTTTCCTGGACTGGTGTGCTCCTGCCGCTCCCTCTCTCCTGCCCTGGTGCAGGTGGTGGGGAGGTGCCCTGCATCCAGGAATGCTGGTAGAGTGGGGAACTGGGGATGATCTTACAGCTGGGTCCCAGGGCATGTGCCTGTGTGGGGGATGGGATGTGGGGGAGAGTTGCCAGAGGTGGGTTGGGGGTGGATGGTGCGTGGAGGGGGGTGGATGGTGTGTGGAGGGGGCTGCTGCTGAGCAGAGGGGCTTCACCTGGAGGTCAGAGGTCACTTGATGCTGAAGTGAGAGGCGAGGGTCCTTCCCTCCTAAGTGGGATCTGAAGTCAGCACCTCTTCAGGCCCGTCTTTTGATGGTCACTTCCCTCAGGGCAGCCTGTGTCAGGTGAGAGATGAGTGGGCAGCCACAGGGTGCTCGTGGATTTGGATGGCTGGCCCAGTGGACCATTTCCTGGCTTGCTGGGTATAGGCTGTATACCTGTTTGGGTGTGTCTGTGTTTGGGCCCCAGAAAATTCCTGCCGGTGGCTATGCACTGCTACCTCCTCTCCCTTACCCAGGCTCCTGTAGGACAAGCCTGGGCTGATCTCAGCTCCTACTCCCAGAAGCCCTTGGGCAAAGGAGGGTAAGCCGGGACTCTGTGGATTCCAGATCCTCGCCCCTCAGACCACACTCTGCTGTCAGTGCAGCACTCTGGAACCCAGGCGACAAGAGGCTTCGAGGAGCAATGGTGTTGAACTTGCTGGTGGCTGCATGAGTGTGCTGATGTGAGGAAGAGCTGTGTAGGGGGACAGGCACTTTCTCATGTAGCTGCCAGTGGATTTCAATGCAGTCTGGTGACAGAAAATTCAGAGGGCTGGGGTTTATTCTTTAGTGTTTTCTGTGTTATCAAGTATTGGCAGGACTGTCTGGCAGTTGCTTAGATGACTTGTTGGGAAGAGTCTTGTGTGATAACCATTTGCCGATGCAGGATGCGTTTTGTTCAGCAGCCTGATACACCTCTTGCATACTGTGCTAATTTCTTAACATATTTTATCTGTCAATCAATCAATCATGTATCTCTATCACGTTTTACTAAATTGAGCAGTTTTAGAGGAACCCTCAGCTATTTAAAGGTATGCACTAGAGACTTCTTTTGCAATGTGGTTTATCTATTTAGTTCTCACTTGGATTTTTGTAAATCATACCTGTTTAGAATACTCAGGAGAAACCATGCAAGTGGGATTTGGCATAGGGGATACTAGACTTGAAATCTAGAAGGCTGGTTCTGAGCCCACATTTACCCGTGGCCACAGCTGAGGGGCCTGACCTAACCTCCTTCCTGTGCAGTGGAGGATGGCTCTGGATTGTCAGGAGGACATGGGGAACAGGGCTCACATTGGACTTTCTGTAAAACAACCATATGGGTCCTAGGCCAGGTGAGGTGCCCTGGTGGGGTGCATGGAGGTTGAAGTCACACTGGGGGCTGAGGGCCACTGCGCACCCGTGAGCAAATGACTGGCAGAAGGGGGCAAGGGGGTCTTGGATCCCTTGGCGCTCTGTCTCTGGCCTTGGTCCCTAGTTTTGTTGCTCTTCTCTCTGATTTGGCTGTGAAGGAAGGTGCTGCTGCCAGGGGTCTTCACCTGCATCGCCTTGGCTTCAGGAGTTGGGGCTGGGTGGGCATCTGGGTTGGATCTCAGGCAGGTGGCAGCTCCTCTGATTCATGGTTGTCAGTTTCCTGTTGCCTGGCTCTCGCTCCTTGCCCAGTAGGTGTGGTGGGACAAGGTTCTGGGAGCTGGGGTAGAATTTGGACTGACGGGAAATGTGCTGCCGCAGACACATCTGGATGGGTGCTGAGCTTTCCTTTCCAAACCCAGTGCTGGCCGGGGGTGGGGTACAGGCAGGAGCAGCCCGGCCTTGTCAGCCATTGAAAGCGTGGTATCTACCAGGTGCCAGTGAGCTCACTTCGAGGTCTTGAGAGGGAGCCTCAGGGGAGCCCGAGTAAGTATGAAATATGGCAGGCCAGTTCTCATCCTCTACTTCATGGAAAGGTGACGGACAGAGTGGGTGGTGCCCACCCCATCATCAGTTTCAGGCAGAGCCAGGCTGTGTCCATCTGCTGGGACATGGGCTCTGCCCTCCGGTGTGCATTTCATGTGGAAGATCAGAAGATCAGTTTTAATATGTTGACTTCACTTCTGGATGCAGTAGTCTAGCATTAACAACACAATGTAGGTGGCTAGGGCGGAGCAGGGTGTTGGATTAAGAGATTTCTGGCTCATGCTGACAGGGAAACCTGTTAATGATTATGAGAATGTCACTATTTTTATTGCTTTCCCGATAGGCCAATTGGCATTCTGCCCAAAGGTGAACGGTTGGTGAGAGCCGGGCAGCCCCACCCTGTTTGCCTAGGCCACACGTGGGGCGGCTCTCCCTGGGAACCCAGTGGGTGTGGTGGAGGTGCTGTGCCTGTGTTAATTGCTCATTTCAGGCTGAGCACATGCCAGCCTGCGGGCACTTAGAGTTTCTCAGAGCTGTACTAGCGTCAGAGCAGGCGAATTCTTCTCCTGTAAGGATAAGACTGTGATGTTTTCTGTCCCCTCCATGTTTTTATTGGAGTCTGAGAACCCTGTAAGATTTATTGCAGAATACTGTTGGGGGGCGCTTGAGGGAGGAGTACATAAGTTGAATTTTTCTAGGAGAGATCCTCTTAAAATGTGTATGCACTCCTGCCTTAGAACTGCAAAGGCCAGGTGTGGTGGCTCACGCCTGTAATCCCAGCACTTTGGGAGGCCAAGGTGGGCAGATCACCTGAGGCTAGGAGTTTGGGACCAGCCTGGCCAACATGATGAAACCCTCTCTCTACTAAAAATACAAAAATTGGGCCGGGTGCGGTGGCTCACACCTGTAATCCCAGCACTTTGGGAGGCCGAGGCGGGTGGATCATGAGGTCAAGAGATCGAGACCATCCTGGTCAACATGGTGAAACCCCGTCTCTACTAAAAACACAAAAAAATTAGCTGGACATGGAATCCCAGCTACTCAGGAGGCTGAGGCAGGAGAATTGCCTGAACCCAGGAGGCGGAGGTTGCGGTGAGCCGAGATTGTGCCATTGCACTCCAGCCGGGGTAACAAGAGCGAAACTCCATCTCAAACAGAACAAAAATTTGCCAGGTGTGGTGTTGTATGTCTGTAATCCCAGCTACTCTGGTGGCTGCAGCATGAGAATTGGGGAAGTGGAGGTTGCAGTGAGCTGAGATCACGCCACTGCACTCCAACCTGGGCGAGACTCCATCTCAAAACAAAACAAAATCGACCAGGCACAGTGGTGGCTCATGTCTATAATCCCAGCACTTTGGCAGGCCAAGGCAAGTGGATCACCAGGTCAGGAGTTCGAGACCACCCTGGTCAACACATTGAATATACAAAAATTAGCTGGGCCTGGTGGTGGGAGCAGGAGAATCACTTGAACCCAGGAGGCGGAGGTTACAGTGAGCCAAGATCACACTGCACACATCGCACTCCAGCTTGGGCAACAAGAACAAACCAAAAAATCAAACTGTCTCAAACAAACAAAAAAAACAAAACTTCAGAGCTTTTTTACACGTAATTGAACCTTCTTTTTTTGGGAGAGCCATTATTGGTCTCATTTTGTTTGTTTTTTTCAAACAGATACTTAATAAGCACCGACTGTGTCCCAGGCATCATTCAGGACATGGAGAATGGGTCACTGGGTGCCAGATAGACTAACTCCCTCCCTCCTGAGGCTTATAGCTTGATGGAAAACAGCTAATAAGCAGATGTATCTCTACAAATATCTGTCAGGGAATGAGTTATGAAGACCAGAGCAGGAGAAGGCTCTAGGCTGCTGTGGGTCTGTTATGGGGGCTCAGGGAAGCCTCTCTGAGAAGGAGATGGTCAAGCAGTAGGTCTGAGTGAAGAGGGAGTGCCTGTGCCACTGTCTGGGGCCGGAGTATCCTGGCAGAGGGGACAGAAATGTGAAGCCCCTTGGACTACACGAGGCTTGCAGAATTGCAGGGGTGCTGGGAGTGGTGGGGAATGAGATTGAAGGGTGGGCAGGACCTGTTGGAAGGGGTCTGAAGCCATCATTGTGAGTCCTGGGGGAGCGCTGCTGTGGACGCCAGGAGTGCTGAGGCCTGGATCAGCCTTTCTCGGGGCAGTGTGACTGCAGAAGAGGGGACCCAGAGCTGTGAGGCAGCAGAAGTGAACTCCAGTCTATGTCCTCCTCTGGTGCTGTGGACACTTGCTTTCTGGTGAGGGTTTGTGGAGGCAACCTAGGGCTGCCACCTTTCTATCTGTCCCACGAACTGCCAGCAGTCAATCCAGTCCCGAAAGTGCTGTGTCCGCAGGGCTGCCTCCCCCCTCTCCAGGCTGTGATTCTGCTGCAAGTCTCCCTTCATCTGATGTTTCCTGGAATGGCAAGGATATCAGGCCCAAAGGTCAGCCCCTGGGATGAAGAGTTGGGCGTGAAATGAATTTCCCGACAGAGTCCCAGCCCTGATAGTCTTAGCCCTGTGTATACACAGCCTGACATCCTGCCTGGTGCTGCAGGTCTGACTGGAGCTCCAGACCGCTCAGGCTCAGAGCAAGGGAGACGAAACAACCTAAAAGGGCTTTTTTTTTTTTGAGTCAGGGCTTCTCTCTCTGTTGCCCAGGCTGGAGTGCAGTAGGGGTAATCTTAGCTCACTGCAGCCTTGACCTCTAAAGGGCTTTTAGATTTCCCCTCCCTAGTTGGAAACTTCCCAGTTGTCCTCAGGGCACAGACCAATGGCTAAAACTCCTGACTTAGGAGCTGAAATCTAGAAAAATCATGGTTCCCAGCTGCCTTGGCCTGTGGGGCATGCTGGGGTGTGGGCATCTCATAGCAGCACCAAGTGGCATCTCTAGACCTGGCAGGTGCTTTGCTCATGCTATCTCCTTAGGGCTCCCCAGAGGGCATCAGGCTGGCCTGTGGTCACTGTTTTCTTTTTGATGGAGAAAGACTGCAGTGCAAATAAGCCTGGAGGGGAGGTTGGTGGGCAATCTCAGGTAGGTTGAAAATGTGAGCCACCTCTTTAATCCTCAGCATTCATCTGCTGAAGCACTTATTCTTTCTCTATGTGAAGCATAGATAGATGTAGAGACTGTCTGCAAACGCATACACAGTCTATCTTGGGGCTCAGGAATGAGCAGTAGATGGGGGGCAGTTGTGCATGTGACAAAGTTGTGCACTAGAGGTGGCCTGCCTTCTCCTGGGTGCTGGCCCCATCACCAAGCCAGTGCTCAGGTGGATCTGGCAAATAAAGCTAAGCCCCACCAGACTCTGGTCTAGGGGCTGCGGGGGACACCGAGTCATGGTGGCATGATGTAGGGCAGCCCGACCCTTGTCACCCATGTGACGTCATGTCACTGTCTTCTCAGTGGTCTCAGAGCCAGCTGGACAAGTCACACTGAACAGACCCAGTGTTTTAAGGGGCTGACCTTGTCATCAGAAAAGTTGGAATGAGCGATGGCAGGTGGGAGGAAGCTCCTGTCTCTGGTCTGAGGCTGGCGGATGCCTGCCCTGTGCCTTGTCTCTCCAGCTCCATGCTCTGGGGCAGAGGGGGTGGGAGGGGCTGTGTGTATGAGGGGCCACTAGTGCTGTGCTCTTTGGATCCCCCTGGGCAGTGCGAGCCATCTGGATGAGAGCTGCCAGGGGAAGGGGCAGCCTGCTCACACCTGTGCTCCTGTCACTCGCCTGCACAGCCAGTGGCCCAGCGGGGCGTTACCATTTATGGCGCGATGTGCACAGGCCAGCAAGTGGCTTTGATGTGGCCCTTGGAGGGGTGGAGACGAGCCCATTACAGGAACAGGCACAGGGCCTCGTCACCTCTTACCCAAGATATTCTTGGAAATGCTCTTGCTCTGAGTGAAGATTAGGAAACCGTTGTCTATTTTAGGAGCCTGGTGTCTGTTACATACTGTGCTGACTCGCCCATGACGATCGTGTGGGTCCCTTGAAAGGGGTGTGTCAGTGGGGGAGAACTCGACACCCCATGGGGAGGGGGAACTTGGAGATGCTGGGATTACTGCAGGGCACCCGAGAGAAGCCAATGGCCACCTGCTTACCCTTACTCACACCTGCTCATACCACTTACCCTTAAACCTGCTCATGCCACTTACAATTGCTCACATCTTCTCACATTTGCTCACACCTGCTCACACATACCCATTCACGCCCATTTATACTTGCTCATACCAACTCACCTTTGCTCACACCTGCTCACCCTTCCCTCACACCCACTCACCCTCACTCATTACCTTCTCACCCCTGCTCACACCTGCTCACACTGACATCAGGCTGGAGCATCTGGGAGAAGCATTCTCAGAGCCAGTGAAGGGCAGCACGGAGGGAAGTCTTGAGCTCAGGCCGAGCCTGTGGGAGGAAGGGTGTCTCAGGCAGCACATGTCCTTGGGAGGTTAGGTCTTGGGAACTGCCTTTTTAGAAGTAGTTCTGATCGGGGCTGGGCTGTGGGAGTCAGCCCTGGACCCTCGGGAAGGTGTGGAACAGGGCGCAGAATGGTGCCTGTCATCATCTCAGGCAACACATCAGTATCCTGAGGATACCTGTGACCTTGTCATAGAAATGTCCCCGTAGTGTGTGTCCCCTTGCCACACAGTGACACCCAGTGCCCTGCTTTTTCTCCAGCTCTAATACTGACTGGCTCATTTCCCAGCAAAAAAGGGGAACTTGTTCTCTGGATGTAACAGAAACTTCAGGGCCCTAAAATTTAGTTTTCTCCTCCACTGCCTTGTCTAGCCTGGAAGTCCCTGGGCCCCATGGGCAGTGACTGCGGAGGTCCCAGTCCTGGACCCCCTTTGTCCTCACAGGGATTTGGTACATCAGCAGCTTGAAATAGGGAGGCTGGGTTGGGGAGACTTGTGTGCCCCTCAGTCAGGGCATAGACAGCCTACCCAGGACCTGTGGTGAGGCAACCAGCCTTCAAGGCAGACCTGTTTTTTGCCACCCCACATGACAGCCCCACATCTGCTGGCTTGGGTCTCAGGGACTGCCCTTTGCCATCTGCCATGTTGCACGCTGAGAAGGAGGTGGGAGCCGACTCTTGCTCTCAGGAAGGGATGGCCAGCGCGGGCTCCAAGCTTAGCAGGCAGTGCTGGCAGGCCTGGGTGTGCAGAGGCAGTTCAGAGGGGGTTCGAGGCCCTGAGCTTTCTGGGGAAAGCCTGAGTGGGAGCTGGACAGGGTGTGTGAGAGCAGGCCTGCAGGTGGCGTCACCATGTTCCCTCTGGGAGAGCCTGCTTCTCGTCCTGCTTGGGACATGAGGCCACAGTGTGAATGGTGGAAGCAAAGACCAGCAGTCGAGTGGAGGCTGCGTCACATCCTGGGCTCTCTGCTTCCTGCAGTGCCGGGTGGGGGTGAAAGTGAGTCCTGCCTGATGTAGGCTGCCCACTGCTCTGCAGCAGCCCCTCGTGCCCAGGCAGCCGGGGTCAGCGCTTCTCTTAGATTGCAGCATGTGTGGAGAGGACCTCAGCAGGTGCTGTGCTCATTTCCTGTCTGCACGTTTCCTTTTCCCCCCGCAGGCCTCTGGCTGTACCTGGCAGGGAGCAGCCTGCCCTGTCTCACGCTGATTGGCTCTCCTAATTTTGGGTACAGGTCAGTTCACCGGGACCTGGAGGCCCAGATTGCGATCGTGACAGAGAACCAGGCACTGCAGCAGCAGCTTCACCAGGTTAGTCGGGGCAAGTGGGATTTCCTGGGGTGCTGAGGGTGTGGCTGGGGACCCAGGCTTGCCCTGAGAGCTGTCCTCTGAGACATCGAGTGAGACTCAGAGCAGAGAGAGAAAGACTCAGGGTCTCCGAGAGGGCAGTGATGGTGGCTGAGCCCGTGAAGATCATGCCTGTGACTTCCCAGATGCTTCGCATCCCACATCCTAGGGACTTTTTCTTTGTCTGCACTAGAGGAGACCATCATTTTCTCCCTTGGACCTTCCCCTTTTGAGAAAAAGGGTCATCTGTTAAAGGGTCAGCAGTAGGGCTGGGCATGGTGGCTCAGGCCTGTAATCCCAGCACTTTGGGAGGTCGCTTTGGGAGGTCGAGGCAGGTGGGATCACCTGAGGTCAGGAGTTCAAGACCAGTCTGGTGAAACCTCGTCTCTACTTAAAATACAAAAAGTTAGCTGAGCATGGTGCCCAGCTACTTGGGAGGCTGAGGCAGGAGAATCACTTGAACCTGGGGAGCGGAGGTTGCAGGGAGCCGAGATCGTACCACTGCACTCCAGCCTGGGCAACAAGAGTGAAACTCCATCTCAAAAAAAAAAAAAAATGTGGTTCGGCCCTCTTTTGATGATAGTAGTCTCTTTTCTCTTTGAGGAAGATAAAAGAAGGTTAGTAGGAGTTCGTGAGTGCTTCTGGAGGGAGCTCCACTTGATGACCTGCAGTGGTGTGGGTAGACTTAGAAATGGGAGCACGTTGTCCTTTTGACTGAGACCTTGATGGTGCCTTAGGTTCATGCATTTGTGACCTTTACAATAACGCTTTTCCATGAGAGCCCTGAGGCATAGGACTGTGACTTTGTGAAGCTTCTGTGCTCCAGGGTTGGAGAATAACTGTGGCAACATTGTTGGAGCCTTTGTGGATGGACAAGGAAATGGTCACTGCTGTGTCCCTGGGATCTGCCCTCCTGCAGTCTGGGAATTTTGTCAGTGACCGATTGGGGCCTTGGTGCCAGGAAAAGCTTCACCACCACGACAGGCGCAAGAGGAAGTGACAGCGGTCATACTCTGGGTGGGCCAGTGGGGTAATGGGTTTGTTCAGGTTTCTTCCTGCAGAGAGGCTTACAGCAAATGACTGAGGAAGCCCCCACAAGCTGAGAGATTCCAGTAATAGGGTGACAAGCTGGCCTTAGAGCCAGGCTGGTGGGAAAGACCTGAGCCTGCAGCTTTCAACAGCAGGCTTTCCTGGACTTCTGCCTCAATTGCAGAGAGCTGTTCGCAGAGACCCACTGGAGCTCTGTGCCAGGGCAGTAGAGTCCTTGGTGACTTCGGCCTGGGGCCAGGATGGGTTCTGCGTGGATCTGAGTTGACTGGGGAGCCCGTGCCTGGGGTCCTGGTACTGGCTGTCCTCCCCCACTGCCCTAGTAAGGGAGCTGAACCCACATCCTGGATCTTGAGAAAAGCTGGGGCCGGTTGTGGTTAGGAGCTGCTTTCTCAAATGACATATTTGGGATATTTTCTTTTTCTTCCCAAACCTGAATCCCAGGGGTTTTTGCTTGTGGGAGGGTGGTAGCTCTGCTGCTGTAACTCTTCCATTCTTTAGGGACAGACTATGAAACAGAAATATGTTTCCAGATAGTTCCACGTATATGCATATATACTGGGACTGCAGCTGCCCTCCAGTGTCATCCAGTGCCCGGTCCCTAGATGCCAAATCCTGCTGGGACTGCCCAGCGTCTAGCCTCCCCGCAGCCCAGAAAGTCCCTAAAGCCCCAGCCACCAGGGGCTCCCTGCTCTCTGAAGCTGTGTCTGCAGCTCTCCTTGGGAATTCAGGGAAGGGCCCTCCTATTCATGTCACATTGGGCACTGGGAATCGGGAGATATTTTTATCAGAATCTAAAGTCCCTCCCTCCACTTAGTGCATACAATAAACACTGAAGGCTTCCTGGTTTTGTTCAGGGAACACAGTTTACCACTTGTGACCCAAGAAAGACTCCCTCGAACAGCGTCGTAACCTCATCAGCTGACTTCCTTCTCCGTCCTTGTCGTGGAGTCTATGAGGAAACCTAAGTGTTTCTGGTAATTTAATTGCAGTCTTGGCTGGGTATTCATTTGAAGACATAAAGCTGGAACTGGGTCTGTGGAGACTTCTGCAAACCAGCCCCCTGAGACCAGAGCTGGCTCTTCCATCAGGCATGTCCAGCCAGGGATTGGGACCTCAGCAGCAGTTAGGAGGCCCTCATGTCTGTGATGCGTGGGGCTGCGGGGCTGCTCAGTTGAGAGTGTGGCCTGGACCTACAGTGGGGCTCACTGAGCATGGGACGGGGGCAGGGAGAAATGAAGTCAGGGCCCTGGCTTTCCCAGTTGTTGATGGGAAAAGCCGAGGCTACATTCTATAGGGTTCTGGAGTGTGGGGTATCCTCTTCCTGTTCCCCCTGGGGCAGAGGAGTTGCCAGGACTGTGTTGTCCCTCTCAGCCTCCAGAGCAGGGAGTGTCCCGCTCTGAGTGGCACAGGCCACCCCTGCTGCTGTCCTGCGGTTGGTCCATGGTCATCACCCGTGGTTCTCATGACAGTGTGGATGTAGGTATGGCCTGGACATTATAGAGGAGAGCACTGGAGACTGACGGTGGTGGAGACAGGGCTAGAGTTGCGGGTGCGACCTCGTGAGCATTGCCAGGTGCCCTGCTAGGAGAGAGCACTTGGAGGGTAGACTCTTCAGAGAGAAGCTTCTCTTCAAAGATCCCAAACACCATTTCTGACAAAGCATATATACATTTTTTTTTTTTTTTTTTTTTTTTATAGACAGTCTTGCTCTGCCGCCCAGGCTAGAGTGCAGTGGCGTGATCTTGGCTCACTGCAACCTCCGCCTCCTGGGTATAAGTGATTCTCCTGCCTCAGCCTCCCAAGTAGCTGGGATTACAGGCGCCCACCACCACACCTGGCTAATGTTCGTGTTTTTAGAAGAGGTGGGGTTTCACCATGTTGGCCAGGCTGGTCCTGAACTCCTGACTTCAAGTGATCCTCCTGCCTTGGCCTTCCAAAGTACTAGGATTATAGGCATGAGCCACTGTGCTTCACCACATATAAAATGTTTTTAAACCTGTTTTTAAATATGAGATTAACAAATGTTCACTGTAAAAATTAAGGAAAGTGGAAAGAAACTAACCCTTTCATTGAGGGAAAACCACTGACGCCATCGTGAGGATTCCCTGCCTGCCTCCTGTGGACAGAGTATGGAGAGGCAGAGCTTTAAGCAGCAGATGAGGATCCTGTGTGTACGTGTATTTCATGTCCAGCTTCCTCTGCTGATGCTGGGCACTTTCCCATACGATTAGGTGAACATTCTTCTCATGGTAAACGCTGGTTTGTCATAGGAATTGTTAGTAAGTTTGTGGCGAATGCTGGTTTGTCATGTGAGTTAGTAAGTTGGCTGCTGGACACTTAGGTGGTTTCCAGCTTTCCCCTGTTATAAATATTGTTGTGATAAATCTAAAAATCTTAGTCCACAGTCTCGGGGTAGACTCTGGCAAAGGGAGCTTTGTAAGGCTCTTGGTACCTGTTGCCAGACCTCATGCTAGAAGATGACTTGGTCCCCTTCCCTCAGCATGGAAAGGAGTGCCCGTGTACTGCACTCACCAGCAGGGGGTGACATCACAGAACAGCTTTGTGCCAGTCTGATAGAAGGAGAACTGTCTCATTGAAAACATACCTCATTATTTTCATTTGCACTACCTCATTTAGTGAAGTTGAGCGTTTAAAATATTTTTTCCCACCAGTTATATTTCTTCAACTCGAAATTGAAGAAATTTAGAGTCCTATACATGTCTTGGTCTTAAAAGCCTTTTTTTTGGAGACAAGGTCTCACTTTGTCACCCAGGCTGGAATGCAGTGGTACCATCACAGCTCACTGCAGCTTCGACCTCTCAGGCTGAAACCGTCTCCTGCCTCAGCCTTCCAAGCAGCTGGACTACAGGCATACACCACCATACCCTGCTAATTTAAAATTTTTTCATAGAGATGATGTCTTCCTAGGTTGCCCTGGTGGCCTCAAACTCCTGGGCTCAAGCGATCCTCCTGCCTCAGCCTACATAACTGTTGGGATAATAGGCTTGAGTCACTGTTTCCAGCCCTTAAAAGTCTTCAGGAACACACCTTCTTAGCTTTTCTAAGGAATGTTTCACAGTGGCGACTTGTCAGACCTGGCATTGCCTGCCACTAGCGCACTCTGAATCTCTGTGCAGGTAGACATGTGAAGTAAGGGTTCTCCAGGCTGGCCTGAGGGGCTGGGCTGGGGCGGGCCGGCCGTGTTTTGTGGTACTGGAGGGGACTCACTATTCCTGTATGTTCCTCTTCCTTAGGAGCAAGAGCAGCTCTACCTGAGGTCGGGTATGGTGTCATCTGCCACCTTTGAGCAGCCGAGTCGGCAGGTGAAGTTGTGGGTGAAGATGGTAACTCCACTGATCAAGAACTTCTTCTGAGGACAGACAGGTGTGGTCTCTAGCATCTCATCACGTTCTTCCCGGGTGTTCACACAGGTTGGGCAGATGGTTGTTCTGACTCAACCGGAGCTCCCAGAGGGCTCTTTCATCCCTCTCTGTTAAACACAGAGCAGCATCTTCAGGGGGTGGGGCAGCTGTCCTCAAAGTGTTTGAAACCCGATGCTTTATTAGGCAGACTGTTCAGCTTCCATCAGATACACACTTGACCAAGCCCCAGGTTGCCTGTGCTGGGGTCGGCAGTGGCATCCTGTAGTCCCCTCTGCTCTCCCTTCCCGGGGGGTCCTGAAGAGGCCCTGGGGCAAGGGCTCAGGGATGAGGGGGGCAGAAAGGCAGATTGAGCCCCTCCAGGCTGAGCACACTGGTGCAGGAGACGTAGATGTGGGATAGGGGAGCGCTGTTGCTCGTGAGAGCGGCTCTAGCTTGCTGCCCTGGCCAGCTGCAGCCCACAGGGTGGGGCGTCGGTGGAGCCAGACCCCGGGCTGCTGCCTTGACGCCTTACTGACGTCTCTGTGATGTGGTTACAGAGATGCGTCCTTCTAGTCTCTGGGGGTTGAGTAACAGGACCCGTTCTGCCCACCCAGGAGGGGCCTGCCGCTTCACCAGGGGCACCAGTGGGGTCCCACAGTCACCTGAGGAACCCTGGACTGTCTTGACGCCTGGAGGTCCAGGCAGGAGTTGGCTGCCATTAAAGGTGGGGCTCTGCCCAGTGGCCCTGTGTGTTCTGGATCCCTCTGGGCCTGATCAGGCTTCCGAGGCCCCTGCTCTCTGGGTCTGGATGTTGTGGGTGACTGGTGCTTTGGATGACTGGGCCTTTGGATGGTGGCTTGTGGGGAAGGGGGAGGAGCCAGATGAGCCAGGGCCCATGTGGCTGCACATGTGCTAGTGCTGGTGCCACGTGAGTGCAGCGTGGGCCCCCTGAGCGCCGGCCACCTAGGTTCTCCGCTAAATCTCATTCTTAAAAAATGTGTAGTTCATCTTGTAGCCTTTCCTAGTTATTTTAATTACTTTTAAAGAATGTGTACAAATAGAGTAAAACAGTACTAAAAGATGAAGAAACTGGCCGTTTCTTGCCCTCCCTTCCCCCAAGCAGCTACCCTTGGCTGGTTTATTCTGATGTGCACCTGTCCATGTTTCTAAATAATGTGCATATCGTGCTATCTTCCCCTAAAACACAGACTTAACCAAAACAGCACTGGTACCCTCCTGATACTGCTATACCCTCCTGATACTACTGCACCCTCCTGATACTACTGCACCCTCCTGATACTACTGCACCCTCCTGATACTACTGCACCCTCCTGATACTACTGCACCCTCCTGATACTACTGCACCCTCCTGACACCGCTGCACCCTCCTGACACCGCTGCACCCTCCTGATACTACTGCACCCTCCTGATACTACTGCACCCTCCTGACACCGCTGCACCCTCCTGACACCGCTGCACCCTCCTGATACTACTGCACCCTCCTGATACTACTGCACCCTCCTGACACCGCTGCACCCTCCTGACACCGCTGCACCCTCCTGACACCGCTGCACCCTCCTGACACCCCTGCACCCTCCTGACACCGCTGCACCCTCCTGACACCGCTGCACCCTCCTGTACCCCACTGCACCCTCCTGATACTGCTGCACCCTCCTGACACCGCTGCACCCTCCTGATACTACTGCACCCTCCTGACACCGCTGCACCCTCCTGACACCGCTGCACCCTCCTGACACCGCTGCACCCTCCTGATACTACTGCACCCTCCTGAAACCGCTGCACCCTCCTGATACTACTGCACCCTCCTGACACCGCTGCACCCTCCTGACACCGCTGCACCCTCCTGAAACCGCTGCACCCTCCTGATACTACTGCACCCTCCTGACACCGCTGCACCCTCCTGACACCGCTGCACCCTCCTGATACTACTGCACCCTCCTGATACTACTGCACCCTCCTGATACTACTGCACCCTCCTGATACTGCTGCACCCTCCTGATACTACTGCACCCTCCTGACACCGCTGCACCCTCCTGATACTACTGCACCCTCCTGACACCGCTGCACCCTCCTGACACCGCTGCACCCTCCTGACACCGCTGCACCCTCCTGATACTACTGCACCCTCCTGACACCGCTGCACCCTCCTGATACTGCTGCACCCTCCTGATACTACTGCACCCTCCTGATACTGCTGCACCCTCCTGATACTACTGCACCCTCCTGACACCGCTGCACCCTCCTGATACTACTGCACCCTCCTGACACCGCTGCACCCTCCTGACAACGCTGCACCCTCCTGATACTACTGCACCCTCCTGATACTACTGCACCCTCCTGAAACCACTGCACCCTCCTGATACTACTGCACCCTCCTGACACCGCTGCACCCTCCTGATACTACTGCACCCTCCTGATACTACTGCACCCTCCTGATACTACTGCACCCTCCTGATACTGCTGCACCCTCCTGATACTACTGCACCCTCCTGACACCGCTGCACCCTCCTGATACTACTGCACCCTCCTGATACTGCTGCACCCTCCTGATACTACTGCACCCTCCTGATACTGCTGCACCCTCCTGACAACGCTGCACCCTCCTGATACTACTGCACCCTCCTGACACCGCTGCACCCTCCTGACACCGCTGCACCCTCCTGATACTACTGCACCCTCCTGATACTACTGCACCCTCCTGATACTACTGCACCCTCCTGATACTACTGCACCCTCCTGACACCGCTGCACCCTCCTGACACCGCTGCACCCTCCTGACACCGCTGCACCCTCCTGACAACGCTGCACCCTCCTGATACTACTGCACCCTCCTGATACTACTGCACCCTCCTGAAACCACTGCACCCTCCTGATACTACTGCACCCTCCTGACACCGCTGCACCCTCCTGATACTACTGCACCCTCCTGATACTACTGCACCCTCCTGATACTACTGCACCCTCCTGATACTGCTGCACCCTCCTGATACTACTGCACCCTCCTGACACCGCTGCACCCTCCTGATACTACTGCACCCTCCTGATACTACTGCACCCTCCTGATACTACTGCACCCTCCTGATACTGCTGCACCCTCCTGACAACGCTGCACCCTCCTGTACCCCACTGCACCCTCCTGACACCGCTGCACCCTCCTGATACTGCTGCACCCTCCTGATACTGCTGCACCCTCCTGATACTACTGCACCCTCCTGATACTACTGCACCCTCCTGATACTACTGCACCCTCCTGACAACGCTGCACCCTCCTGATACCGCTGCACCCTCCTGACACCGCTGCACCCTCCTGACAACGCTGCACCCTCCTGATACTACTGCACCCTCCTGATACTGCTGCACCCTCCTGATACTGCTGCACCCTCCTGATACTGCTGCACCCTCCTGATACTACTGCACCCTCCTGATACTACTGCACCCTCCTGATACTACTGCACCCTCCTGATACTACTGCACCCTCCTGATACTGCTGCACCCTCCTGAAACCGCTGCACCCTCCTGACACCGCTGCACCCTCCTGACACCGCTGCACCCTCCTGACAACGCTGCACCCTCCTGATACTACTGCACCCTCCTGATACTACTGCACCCTCCTGATACTACTGCACCCTCCTGACACCGCTGCACCCTCCTGATACTACTGCACCCTCCTGATACTACTGCACCCTCCTGATACTACTGCACCCTCCTGATACTACTGCACCCTCCTGATACTACTGCACCCTCCTGACACCGCTGCACCCTCCTGATACTGCTGCACCCTCCTGATACTACTGCACCCTCCTGATACTACTGCACCCTCCTGACACCGCTGCACCCTCCTGACACCGCTGCACCCTCCTGATACCGCTGCACCCTCCTGATACTACTGCACCCTCCTGTACCCCACTGCACCCTCCTGTACCCCACTGCACCCTCCTGACACCGCTGCACCCTCCTGACACCGCTGCACCCTCCTGATACTACTGCACCCTCCTGATACTACTGCACCCTCCTGATACTACTGCACCCTCCTGAAACCGCTGCACCCTCCTGATACTGCTGCACCCTCCTGATACTGCTGCACCCTCCTGACACCGCTGCACCCTCCTGATACTACTGCACCCTCCTGATACTACTGCACCCTCCTGATACCGCTGCACCCTCCTGATACCGCTGCACCCTCCTGATACTACTGCACCCTCCTGATACTACTGCACCCTCCTGATACTACTGCACCCTCCTGATACTACTGCACCCTCCTGACACCGCTGCACCCTCCTGACACCGCTGCACCCTCCTGATACTGCTGCACCCTCCTGATACTGCTGCACCCTCCTGACACCGCTGCACCCTCCTGATACTACTGCACCCTCCTGATACTACTGCACCCTCCTGATACTACTGCACCCTCCTGATACCGCTGCACCCTCCTGTACCCCACTGCACCCTCCTGATACTACTGCACCCTCCTGATACCACTGCACCCTCCTGATACTACTGCACCCTCCTGATACTACTGCACCCTCCTGACACCGCTGCACCCTCCTGACACCGCTGCACCCTCCTGACAACGCTGCACCCTCCTGACAACGCTGCACCCTCCTGATACCGCTGCACCCTCCTGATACTACTGCACCCTCCTGTACCCCACTGCACCCTCCTGACACCGCTGCACCCTCCTGACACCGCTGCACCCTCCTGATACTACTGCACCCTCCTGATACTACTGCACCCTCCTGATACTACTGCACCCTCCTGAAACCGCTGCACCCTCCTGATACTGCTGCACCCTCCTGATACTGCTGCACCCTCCTGATACTACTGCACCCTCCTGATACCGCTGCACCCTCCTGTACCCCACTGCACCCTCCTGATACTACTGCACCCTCCTGATACCACTGCACCCTCCTGATACTACTGCACCCTCCTGATACTACTGCACCCTCCTGACACCGCTGCACCCTCCTGACACCGCTGCACCCTCCTGACACCGCTGCACCCTCCTGACACCGCTGCACCCTCCTGAAACCGCTGCACCCTCCTGACACCGCTGCACCCTCCTGATACTACTGCACCCTCCTGATACTACTGCACCCTCCTGACACCGCTGCACCCTCCTGATACTACTGCACCCTCCTGATACTACTGCACCCTCCTGACACCGCTGCACCCTCCTGACACCGCTGCACCCTCCTGATACTACTGCACCCTCCTGACACCGCTGCACCCTCCTGATACTACTGCACCCTCCTGATACTACTGCACCCTCCTGACACCGCTGCACCCTCCTGACACCGCTGCACCCTCCTGATACTACTGCACCCTCCTGACACCGCTGCACCCTCCTGATACTACTGCACCCTCCTGACACCGCTGCACCCTCCTGACACCGCTGCACCCTCCTGACACTACTGCACCCTCCTGATACTACTGCACCCTCCTGATACTACTGCACCCTCCTGACACCGCTGCACCCTCCTGATACTACTGCACCCTCCTGATACTACTGCACCCTCCTGACACCGCTGCACCCTCCTGACAACGCTGCACCCTCCTGACACTACTGCACCCTCCTGATACTACTGCACCCTCCTGATACTACTGCACCCTCCTGACACCGCTGCACCCTCCTGACAACGCTGCACCCTCCTGATACTACTGCACCCTCCTGACACCGCTGCACCCTCCTGATACTACTGCACCCTCCTGACACCGCTGCACCCTCCTGACACCGCTGCACCCTCCTGACACTACTGCACCCTCCTGATACTACTGCACCCTCCTGATACTACTGCACCCTCCTGACACCGCTGCACCCTCCTGATACTGCTGCACCCTCCTGACACCGCTGCACCCTCCTGACACCGCTGCACCCTCCTGACACTGCTGCACCCTCCTGATACTACTGCACCCTCCTGACACTACTGCACCCTCCTGATACTACTGCACCCTCCTGATACTACTGCACCCTCCTGATACTACTGCACCCTCCTGATACTACTGCACCCTCCTGACACCGCTGCACCCTCCTGACACCGCTGCACCCTCCTGACACCGCTGCACCCTCCTGATACTACTGCACCCTCCTGATACTACTGCACCCTCCTGACACCGCTGCACCCTCCTGATACTACTGCACCCTCCTGATACTACTGCACCCTCCTGACACCGCTGCACCCTCCTGACACCGCTGCACCCTCCTGACACCGCTGCACCCTCCTGATACTGCTGCACCCTCCTGACACTACTGCACCCTCCTGATACTACTGCACCCTCCTGATACTACTGCACCCTCCTGATACTACTGCACCCTCCTGATACTACTGCACCCTCCTGACACCGCTGCACCCTCCTGATACTGCTGCACCCTCCTGATACTACTGCACCCTCCTGATACTACTGCACCCTCCTGACACCGCTGCACCCTCCTGACACCGCTGCACCCTCCTGATACTGCTGCACCCTCCTGACACTACTGCACCCTCCTGATACTACTGCACCCTCCTGATACTACTGCACCCTCCTGATACTACTGCACCCTCCTGACACCGCTGCACCCTCCTGACACCGCTGCACCCTCCTGATACTACTGCACCCTCCTGACACCGCTGCACCCTCCTGACACCGCTGCACCCTCCTGATACTACTGCACCCTCCTGACACCGCTGCACCCTCCTGATACTACTGCACCCTCCTGATACTACTGCACCCTCCTGATACTACTGCACCCTCCTGATACTACTGCACCCTCCTGATACTACTGCACCCTCCTGACACCGCTGCACCCTCCTGACACCGCTGCACCCTCCTGATACTACTGCACCCTCCTGATACTGCTGCACCCTCCTGATACTACTGCACCCTCCTGATACTACTGCACCCTCCTGATACTACTGCACCCTCCTGATACTACTGCACCCTCCTGATACTACTGCACCCTCCTGATACTGCTGCACCCTCCTGACACCGCTGCACCCTCCTGATACTACTGCACCCTCCTGATACTACTGCACCCTCCTGATACTGCTGCACCCTCCTGACACCGCTGCACCCTCCTGATACTACTGCACCCTCCTGATACTACTGCACCCTCCTGATACTACTGCACCCTCCTGATACTACTGCACCCTCCTGATACTGCTGCACCCTCCTGAAACCGCTGCACCCTCCTGATACTACTGTACCCATAGTATCATCAAGTACCTAGATGGTGTTCACAGTTCCAGTTGCCTTAACATTTTAAATTTTTTCAATTATTTGACTTGAAGTCCAATTAAGGATTACATCTTGTGACTGTTTTCCCTAACAACTGATTTTTTCAAGAACGAACTTTATTATTATTTCAGACGGAGTTTCACTCTTGTTGCCCAGGCTGGAGTGCGATGGCATGATCTTGGCTCACCACAACCTCTGCCTCCCAGGTTCAAGTGATTCTCCTGCCTCAGCCTCCCAAGTAGCTGGGATTACAGGCATGTGCCACCATGCCTGCCTAATTTTGTATTTTTTTTTTTTTTTTAGTAGAGAAAGGGTTTCACCATGTTGGCCAGGCTGGTCTCAAACTCCCAACATCAGGTGATCCGCCCATCTCAGCCTCCCAAAGTACTGGGATTACAGGTGTGAGCCACCGTGCCCGGCCATGAACTTGATTTGTATTGGATCTACTTAAAACATTTTTGTGTCACCTAGTAGCATGGGATTTTGAATACACGTCAAGTGTATGTATAAAGGCAGCTCCTCACATCCCCCAGTGTCTCCAGCAGCCGCTTTCGCAACCTCACTGCCTAATCCTATCTTCAGGTGCTTGACCCTTGCATAGAGAGAAGCTTCCTGGGCTCCAGGGCATGGCAGCCTGTCCTTTCGGGGAGTGAGATTGGATTCAGTCCCTGCACTCTGCCTCTGGAAGCGGCTTCTGGCCTTTCCCTCCTGGGCTGGCAGCGGCCACTGTCACCCTTCATGGGGTCTGAAAGGCTGCTTGGGCTCAGTGCCGGGGGCACCTGGTCTCAGGCCAGGCAGACTGCAGTTGCAGTGGCTGCGGGTAAGTGGAGCGCAGCCTGGCCGCACTGCCCTGGGGCAGCTGCACAGCAGTGAATGCTGTTTGCGTTCAAACTAGTTATTAGGGTGTCCTGTGGGACAATTAGACAGAGGAGCCAAAGGAATGTGCAGGGGCACTGGGTTTCTGTTTGCAGAGAGGCTTTCTGTAAACAGAGTTTGCATTCCTACAGATTCTGTGGGACCAGAGTAAACATTGTGCCACAGCCGGGCTTAAGCAATCTGCAGTGCTGTTCCCGCAGCGCGCCGCTGCTCCCTCTGCCCCAGCTAATGACCTTTGAGGCTGTCCCAGGCAGGTTCTCCTGAGGAGCTCCCCAGACCAAGGCTCCCTCACTTTGCAAAGCAGCCGGAGCAGCAGAGAGAGCCTCAGGCGGCGGCTGCCACCGTCCTCACGGCATTCCAGGTGTGCGGGGTTTTCACGCTTCAGTCCCTGTGTTCCCTGTCCCTGGAGTGCAGCTTCAGCATGAATCATCTTTTGGAAAGTTTAGAGATAATTTTATCTACCCACAACATGTGCATGTGGAATAGATTACTTTTATTTCAGCATCTAAAGGCAAAATGGTAAAAGCTCACATTTTGTGGTTATTACCAGGGACTGAAGTGAGTTGCCCTGCGGCCCCTGGCAGCTTTATCTCCTCTGGTGACATGAAGGGCGGCAGTGACCCCTCTTGGCCAGCAGAGGTATTGGCCCAGCCAGGCCAGGGAGGCTGAAACTGCCTCCTTCCTTGCAGCCCCAAAGGGGATTCCTTGGATGCCAGGAAGGGAGGATTTGAGGGATGTTTTTCTTCTCTCTCTGATAGCCTGTTGGGTCCTAAGATGGTTGTGAACCATTACCCTCAGAATTTGGACTTTGTAGATGCTTTTTAACTCGTGATTTAGGTGAGTAAACTTGGAAAAATGTTTTTGCAAAATTTGAAAGTCAAGCTGAATTTAGAACAGTATTTGTAGGTGGTAGGTTTGCCTTTTCTTCCCCCCTTTTGAGACAGGGTCTTGCTGTCACCCAGGCTGGAGTACAGTGGTATGATCACGGCTCACTACATGTTTGACCTCGTGGGCTCAATCACCCCTCTGGCCTCAGCCTCTCGAGTAGCTGGGCTCCACCATGCCTGGCTAAGTCTTTGTATTTTTGGTAGAGACAGGCTTTTGTCATGTTGCCCAGGCTGGTCTTAAACTCCTGAGCTTGGGTGGTCCACCTGCCTAAGCCACCCAAAGTGCTGGGACTACAGGCATGAGTCACGGTACCTGGCTAATTTTTTATTTTTGTAGAGATGGAGTCTCACTGTGTTGCCCACGCTGGTCTCAAGTAATCCTGCAATGCTGGGATTAGAGGCTTGAACCACCGCACCCCGCCTGCTTTCCTTTGAAGCCTAAGAAATGTTGAAGACAGGGCATGGTGGCTCATGCCTGTAACCCCAGCACTTTGGGAAGCCTATGTGAGTGGATTACCTGAGGTCAGGAGTTTGAGACCAGCCTGGCCAACATGGTGAAACCCCATCTCTACTAAAAAGACAAAAATTAGCTGGGTATGGTGGTGGGCACTTGTAATCCCAGCTACTTGGAGGTTGAGACAGGAGAATCGCTTGAACCCAAGAGGCAGAGGTTGCAATGAGCCAAGATTGGGCCATTGAAGTCCGTCTCAAAAAAATTTTGAGGATTATGTCTGTGTCCCCTGGGATCCATCTTTTCTGGTGTTTGCAGCTGCCTCCTCTTGTCCCTCAGATGTCTAGTTAATCCTCTCCCTTGTGCCTGTACACAGCTGCCCTGGCCACCTTGCTGCAATCTCCTGCTTCAGCACAGCCACAGAGAGTCCTACAGGTCTCCAGCTTGCTGCTCTCAGTATCTGCTAAAATCATTCCAATTTCAGAACAGTGAGGGCCTCTCTGCCAGTACCACCCACAGCTGTGGAGTGAGGAGGGCACCGCTGTTTTCCTGAGCCCTCTCTCTGCACAGCTTGAGGGCAGTTGTTCAGGGTTGTTCTGTAGCTACTTACACCATGGAGAGAGAAGCTGCAGGACTTGTCCAAAGAACAAGGACCTTGCCTGCCTTATGCCAGGGTTGCAGTTCACTGTAGAGAGGCCTGGCTGGTCCAAGCCTGCAGTCCACGTGGGTGACTGCCATCTGCAGGTGAGGCAGGAAGAACTGATGGTGGGGCTGAGGGCAGTGGACAGAAGGAAAAAGAGCTGCCACAGAGGACTGGGAGACACCTGTGAGCACCCGGGATGCCGCACTTGTCTGGGGGAGGGAGGGGGATCCCTGAGTACCCTGTGGTTTCAAAAAGAGCAGGCGCTGGGCAGGGAAGTGATTCTGCTGTGCAGAAATAGCACCTGTAGGAACAGCTTGTTCTTCTAGATTCTTTGGGTAAGGGCTTGGGTATGTTTCCATAGTTGTAAAAGGTACTTAGTGTGTTCTTGAGAACAGGGAATAATGCCTGATGAGACTGTGTGGAGGCAGCAGCTCCGTTGGGGGAAATGCCCTGTCCCCTCATTGGCAGCTGGGTTTGCACATAGCATCAGGCTAGAGGGTATGACTGCCTAGCCCCAGCCCCACTGACAAGTCAGGATTTGGGGTTTGCTTGCCTCTGGCTGCTGGGAATTGGGGCCTTTCCCAGCTCTGCAGTGGCCATCAGGCACAGAATGGCGTCAGATGGGTATGGCTGAGTGGCTCCACTTTAATCTGCCCCACCTTTTCACCCTCTGTTTAGTGTAGACGCGCTTGGTTACAAAGCACCCTGATTATTTAAGAGAACAAAAAACCACCACCAGTTCCTGTAAAGAATAGTTGTAGGCAGGACCCAGGAGCGAGCTAAACCTGTAGGAGCAGCGCCACAGCTGCCAGGATCCACTTCGCCGCCTTCTCTTTGGTCTTCAGGTTAAAGGTCCAGACATAGGTGGGGCCGCGGATGCGTGTTTTGTACACGGGACACTCATAGATGTTCTTGGTCTCCATGCGGTCCACAGGAATGGCCTTGATGAAGATGACAGGCATGACCGGCGTCAGCTCCTTCAGCCGCGCTTCAGCGATGACTCCGGTCTGGGTGTCCCAGCGAGCCCCTGCGGGGACGGCATGGCTGAGGGTTGGGAGGTGACTGGGTCCTGTCTGGAACACTGCCAGTAAGTGAGGGAGGGTGAGTTCCCCGCCCTTTGCAGAGATGGGCTCCACCCCAAAAGGCATCAGGCCACATGCCATGGCTCTAAGCAGAGGCCCTCGGAGGTGATGGCGTGCATGTCATAACTACCCGTGTCTTGCTGTGCATGAACAGCTCAGCTAAAGCCCTTGGGTTCTACCTGTTTTAAAAGAGCCTCATCTGTGAGCCTAATATCAGTGGCAGGAAGTCGTAACTCCAGCTAAAAATTAAAGTTCCCTGCTCTTCATGTGTCCTGTCTGCCCTGTGTATACACAGCGTCATTATATATCTATGCATATAAACATGCTTTGCCTTTAACTGGACTCTGATTTCTACTCGCCCTATTTAATGATGTTTCTCTTTCCTGTCTGAAATTGCAAAATAAACATGGAGAGCAGCTGCTGCTGTGCTTATCTTTGGTGATGTGGGAAATGGGGTGCCTGAGCTGTTGTTGGCCCGGCCCTGATCCCCCACAGGTAAGGGGTGATGTCAGCTGTTGAGGGAGCCAGACGGGGCGAGCTGGGGGCACATTTCTAATGGGTGCCCCCGCCTCTTTTTCCTGGAACCCTGTGCCCCAGGAGCCACAGCAGCTTGGGGAGTGGGTGGGATTTGGACAGGAGCACCTGGCGTAGGGCCAGCCCACATGCCCTGGAGCCTCAGAGTGGCCACAAAATGCACTTCTGGCCTGGGCTCACTGCTCCATGGCCGGGAAAGGCTGAGTTTTTCAGCGGTTCTCATTAGGTCAAAGCTGCTCTCACAGTAAAGCAGAGGCCAGAGGCCAGGGGCCTGGGATGGGTGTTTTTGGTCTCCTGCAGACGGCCCCTGTACATTCTCTGAATCCTCTCACGCCTCTCTAGGATCAGCATGGCTCTGGCCTGCAGGCTGATGCCCCTGAGAGTGCCGCTCTCCCACTGTCCCCACAGCTCTTGAACAGCCTGTCTTTGCCAAGAGCTAGTTGTATTTCTTCTTGCCAGGTAACTGGTAGCTTCTGCAGACAGACCAGGGCCCTCCTTACCTTCCATGAAGAGTCCGTACACATAGGAGCCCTCTCGAGGGGGAGCGGTCATGTCTTCCCGGTTTTTCTTGGTCACTTCCACAGACAGACACATCTTGTCCAGGGGCCACTCATTCTTCCTGGCCATGGACTGCATGATGGCCGTGAGGAAGGACTGGGGGTTGAAGAAGCCAGCCAGCCACACAGTGGTGGGCAGGGCAAAGTCTGTTGTCCAAGCCTCGAGTTCCTGCAAGGACACACGAACCGCTGAGAGGAGAGGGCAGGGAATGACAGGGCCTCAGCCATTCTGAGCAGGGGTCATGCCAGAACCTTCCGCAGGCCGCTCAGCAAGCTGGGAGTGGTGGATGGAGGGTGGGCTGTGGAGCTTGGCCACCTGCCCTGATGCACTTTGGTTTTTTTTTTTTTTGAGATGGAGTCTCACTGTGTCACCCAGGCTGCAGTGCAGTGTGGTACAACCTCAGCCTCCCGGGTTCAAGTGATTCTCTTGTCTCAGCCCCCTGAGTAGCAGGGATTACAGGCACGCACCACCACGCCTAGCTTATTTTTTGTATTTTTAGCACAGATGGGGTTTTGCCATGTTGGCCAGGCTCGTCTTGAACTCCTGGCCTCAAGTGATTCCCTGCCTTGGCCTCCCAAAGTGCTGGGATTACAGGCATGAACCACCATGCCCAGCCACTGTCTGCTCCATTTTAAACGAGGGAATGGGAAGAGAAGGATCAGGAAGGGAATGGCTTCCCATTTGTGGATAACTTAGGAGCGCAAAGAGGCTCTTGCCTTCATTGTCTTGCTCCTTATAGAGGGCAGCTTACCCTTCGAGTGTCGCATGAGGAGCTGCTGATGGAAGCTGCTCTCACTGCAGGCTGGCTTATTTTCCTCCTTTGGGAGGAAAGGCTTCAGGGCGTGTGAGGAGCCTGGGCTAGGCCCTTCTGGCCCTGCTCTGACAGAGGCCGGGCCCCTTAGGGCCATGCTCCCTCAGAGTGTGCTGAGCCCTAGGCACTTGGCCCCTGAGTCTCAAGTCAGGAAGCCTCTCAGAGAAAGCGGCACTTACCCTGATGCGGAGCAGCAGATCTGCGTACCAGGCTGCCAGGCCCATCATAGAGGGGTAGGCCCGGGCCACCCACGTCTCAGGCACGGTGTCATAGAAGAGAGCCGTGGACAGGTCTTCCATGTCGGTCGTGATGGTCAGTTCTCCCTAGGAGACAGACGGTGTGGGGAGCCCTGGGCTGGGCCTTGTTTTGCCCACTCCTGGGGCCCTGGAGAGCATCAGCCTTAGTGCATGTCACGAGTTGTCAACAGCGTGGCTTGGTGCCGCGCCTTGGGAGACGCCCTGCCTCAGGACCTCTGGAGTGCTTCCTGCTAGGGAACAGTCTAGATGAGCTCCGGGGCTTGTTCTGGAACGGCCAGAGCTCTGGAGAGGGAGCAGTGACGTGCTGACCCAGTAGCCCATGCTTGGCTCAGGCTGCCAGAGGCCTGTGTTGCTGCTGGTTTTGCCACCAAGCCATGTCCCTGGGGCCTGACCAACCCATTTTACCTTCAGCCCTAGGTTCAGCTCCTTCAGTGAGCGGCGCATTTCGTTGGTCAGGATGTTCATTCTTTCACATTCTTGAAAGGCGACTACCACATAGGGGGTCTTTTCAGCTGCCTTTGCCATGATCTCAGCCATGTTGAAAGTCTCTGGAATCTTCTCCAGGATGTCCTCCAGCACAGCCTTCACCTGTAAGCCAGTTCACAGACAGCCCCCGTCACTGCAAGGAGCCTGCCCCACCGGCTGCAGGGTCAGGAAGCCCGCCCAGAATGTTCCCAGCCCTGAGTCCTGGAGAGGAGGGAAGAGACAAGTGGAGCCGCCAGAAGCACAGGGTCATGGGTGCAGTCACACATTTGACAAGGGAAGGGAGCCGTGGCCTTCTGATGTCATCAGCAAGGCCCTGCAGCTGTGGCCGTGGGCTCCTTAGGCCTGCAGACGTTCATTCCCGTGCACTGGGTTTAGCCAGCGGTTGAGGGATTACAACTTTGTCCTTCATGTGGGCTTTCTCTAGGGACCATGCCAGTCACACCTTCTCAAGGAGAGGCTCACAGAGGTCACCTGCACCATCCTCTCAGTTTCTAACTTCAGTCATTAGACTAAGAGAAGGTCCTGGACCTAACAGCAATAAGGGTCCACGTCAAGAATTCAGCCTGTTTACCGGGAAGCCTGGTACTTAGCAGCTAATACGTAATAGAGCTTTTCCATAATCTATTAAGAAGTGCAGGCCAGGCGCAGTGGCTCACACCTGTAATCCTAGCACTTTGGGAGGCCAAGGCGGGTTTGTCACCTGAGGTCAGGAGTTCAAGACCAGCCTGCCCAACATGGTGAAGCCCTGTCTCTACCAAAAAACAAAATTAGCTGGGTGTGGTGGTGGGCGCCTGTATTCCCACAGGAGGCTGAGGCAGGCGAATTGCTTGAACCCAGAAGGCACGGAGGTTGCAGTGAGCCGAGATCATATCGTTGCACTCCAGCCTGGGCGACAAAGCTAGACTCCATCTCAAAAAAATAAATTGCAGAGGTACCCAGGAGGTGGCACAGAGGTACCCAGAGAGGTTAGAATTTGTTCAGAGCCCTGGCATCCCTGAGCCATTCCAATCCTTCAAGCGGCAACAGGACCTGTGGTCACAGCCACCGAGCGGCTCTGAAGCCCCTGCCCTCGAGTCTGTCCAGCTGTCCTGGTGGGGAATGGCCGGTGCCCTCCCCGGTGCTCAGCTGGGGAAGCTGGAAGACTGCAGGGCGCAGGGCTGGGCCTCACCCACACCCCCCGAGGATCCCTCTGTCTGCCCATGCCCCCTCACCCGAAGTCTGCAGTTGCCGCACCTGGGGACCTGCTGAGCAGCCTATGGGCCACACCCTAGGGTTTCTGATGCCCAAGCCCCGAGCTGGGGCAGTGTGCCTCACCAGCAAGCTCCCTGGCGCTGCCGCCAGTCCCTGCGACCCCTCCCCGGTTCAAGATCCTCCCCTTCCTCTGGGTTGGGAGCGGGTTTTCAAGCTCCTGCCTTCTCCTCGCGGGACACCCCTGTGCCAGTCCCCGAGTCGGTCTCTTTGGGCTGCATTTCCAGGACGGTACGGAACAGCTTGTCCGAGGTGACCGTCAGAAAGCCAATCTCTGCGTTGGGGTGCAAGCCATACAGATAGGGACTCTCAGGGGGCAGGTTCTCATCGATGTATTCATGGTAACCCTGAAAAGAGGGCGGTTTGTAAGCAGAGGCAAAGCTGTGCAGGCCGAAACCCATGTCCTGTTCGTTAAGTGTTCCCTGCCAGAATGTTCCACCCACATCTTGCCCTCTGTACAGATCCCACTTGTTTCCCACCCTCGTTTGTGGGCTGCCCGCTACGCTCCCAGCGACATAAAGGAAAATCCATTCCCCCCTTCCCTGAGGCTGCATTTTTCTTTTCTTTAATAAAAAAATATATGTGGCTTGTATCAGCCTTGCGCTTCTTCCAGTGAGGCACGTTGCTCATGCTGTCCTATTTTGGTTGCGTGGTTCTTGCTCCAGGTGTGCGAGGCTCTCGCTGGAAGGTATGCGCCTTCGTGGCGTTGAGCTCCTGTTTAACTTGCCATCCTTACCTTGTAGTCCAGGTTGGGGGGGATTTGAAAGCCAGGGGCCAGCAGGACTTCTCCCTCCAGCATCTCTGTTCGGATGTACTCGGCCAGGTAGGTCCTGCACAGCCGGCGGTCCCAGTCGTCTGTGATGTGGCCACCATACATGATTTCACCAAAAAGGTATCGGAGATCATCCCAGGGCACCTGAGGAAGGATGATCGCAGTTAGGGCAAGGTGCCCCCCCCTTCCCGTGCCCCTCTGTCATGAGAGTCAGGCTCAGGCAGGGCGTGGGAACCCAGCCTTCAGTGCTGTGGCCTCCTAGATCTCCAGGTTGGCCACCTGCCTGTTCACCCTCAGGGCCACCAGGTCACCTTTCTTCCCCCTCCGGTGCCACCAGATGCTGGTGTCTGCTCAGCGGCCAGCCCCTTTGGCTCCTCTCACAAGGTTCCATGTAGCACCTTCCTCCACCTTGGATGGTGCTTCTACAGCTGGCGCTCTCTGCACCCTCCCGTGGCAGTGGTGGCAGGCGCTTCTGTGCCTCACTGTGCCTCTGAGGCCACAGGCCAGAATCGGAACTCGCCCCTCTGCCTCTCCCGCTGTTACCATCCGAGACTCTGCCCTTCACAGTCCACTTTCGACACAAGACGTTTGATTCTTGTGTTGACTCAAGGGTCGACTCCAGTGCCATCGAGCTTCTGGCCACAAAGTGACGTCTTCAGATGCATCTGGTGAGCATCCCTCCCACCTTGTGGAAGTAGAGTCCTTCCGGGTTCTCATCTTTCCAGCAGCTCCTATGTTTCCAAGGTCTTTGCAGTCACATAGAGGGTTTGAGCAAGTGACTTATCTGACCTAGGCCGCCTGCGCCTTAGGGAGCGAAGACCAAACTTGGCAGCGTGGCCCAGAGCACACGCCAGGTGACCACACTCCTTCCCCGCCCTGCTGCCGTTCCCACTGCCTTCAATGCTTCCTCGAGGCCTCACCTCACGCCTTCGCCCCAATGCTCTTCCTCCTACAAAACCTGGCTCACACTTGGCCCCGCCATGAAGCCAGGCCCTGGTTCCTCTTGCTTCCATGCGCCTGATGCGGATGGAGCCTCTTCCCCCGGGGCACAGCACAGTTCAGCAGGAGGATAGTGGAAGCCACGGACTGAGGCCACGTATGTCATTTTAAATTTTGTGGCAGCCACTTTAAGAGATCATTCCAACATGGATAAAAATGAGATAATTTCATTTTTGATACCCGTCGTGTGAAATGCTGCCGCTCATGATCGGCTTCCTCTGCTTCTTCACACCTGCGCTTTCCCTGAAGTTTGCTGCTCCTGGAGGGTGAGGCAGACGTTTTTATAACATCCCACTGTGCCCTGCCCAGAGCTGTCATCAAATACCAGCGACAGTTCACTGAATGAGAAGCGGTTGATTAATCAGTCATCTGATTTGGGCTCATGAATTTATATTCATATGTATATATTTTTATGTTGTTTTTGAGATGGAGTCTCACTTTGTGGCCCAGGCTGGAGTGCAGTGGGGCAATCTCTGCTTACTGACACCTCTGCCTCCTGGGTTCAAGCAATCCTCCCACCTCAGCCTCCCAAGTAGCTGGGACTATAGGCACTCACCACCATGCCAGACTAATTATTTATTTTTTGTACAGATAGGGTCTTGCTGTGTTGGCCAGGCTGGTCTTGAACTCCTAGACTCAAGCAATCCTCCTGCCTCAGCCTCCCACAGTGCTGGGATTACAGGCTTGAGCCACTGCAGTCAGCTTAGTCTCAGTCTCATGAATTTTTACTTTAACATTTTCCAAATTACCTTTTGTGACTTAAAACCTTCTCCGTCTGGTCGCCTCGAGTGTACATGGGCCGCTTTACCTGCATATGACTTACCAGCCTGGGAGGCAGCGTGTCTCCTGAGAGGCAGTGTGTCCTACTTCCCCTCCTGCCCCCACGTGCTCCTCAGGGGGGTTGCTTCCTGCAGGGGGTAGGGGTGGGAGGTATCTGCACTTCCTGCACCTGCTGAGGGAATCCCCCAGTCTCCTGTGGGAGCTGCAGAGCCCAGGCCCCTCCCTGGGAGCCCCTGCAAGTTGCCCTGTGTTTCAAAGCAACACTCCAGCAGACTTTCGTCTCCCAGTGGTGTGGGATTCCCTGATCTAGTTCCTCAGAGCCCAGAGGGCTGAGCAGACCATGGACACAGATGACATCATTCCCAGCGGTCACTCAGCATGTGGCAGGACCTGTGCCATGAAGGCAGAGTGTGGGAGCCAGTGGGGTCTGCGGAGGCGGAGGGCAGCCTTGAGGACAGGGAAGATCGGCCGGCACAGGCCACATCAGGACACTGTTCCTCAGGATACTGTAGCCACGGAAGCACATGGTACTCTCATGGCTTCTCAGCAGCTTAGAAGCTGTCCCAGTATGTGTAAGTGGGCACCGGCTAAGGAAATGTCTTAAGAAATCCTAACCTGGCCAGGCACGGTGGCTCATGCCTGAAGTCCCAGCGCCTCGGGAGGTGGAGGTGGGTGGATCACTGAACCCAGGAGTTTGAGACCAACCTAGGCAACATGGCAAAACCCTGTCTTTATAATAAAAAAAAAACCAAAAACTAACGGCGTGTGGAGGCCCCTGTAGCCCCAGCTACTTGGGAGGCGGACGGGGCCGGGGGGTCACCGGGGCCTGGGGGGTCACAGTTGCAGTGAGCTGTGATTGTGCCACTGCACTCCAGTCTGAGTAACAGTGAGGCCCTGTCTCAAAAAACAAATTCTAGCCAGACTCTTTCTCCCATACTAGCCTCTGCGTGGTCGGGCCATTCCTCTGCCGAGTCCCTGTCAGCATCATCTTGCGTGCATTAGGGGATGTTTTCACATCTGAGCCTCGTTTTGGGCAAAACGTCCCACTGGCACCTGCCCATCGGCCTGCAGACCGGGCCACCTTCCCCCAGTGGCATCTACACCATGCTGGCCATTGCTGGGGAGCACAGGAAGCCAATTCCTGACCCCATTCTGCCCCTGCTGCTCCAGGACTGGCGTGCCTCCCCAGGAACTAAGCCAACCTGGTTCCAGGCCCAGCCTTGGCCAGCAGCAATCCTGGGACGTTGTCATCCTCCAGTCCCAGTGAGGAGGCTCCACCACAGCCACCCTGGCAGGGTGGGTGTTCCACATTAGAGGTCACCTCCTGGAGGCCTTGTCAGGACACCACTGGGAGCATGCGTGCCACCTGTGCCAGGGCTTAGTGGCTCTCCCGCCCCTTCCCACCCTGATCGTGAGCTTTATTACAAGGACATGAATAAAGGAGGGGGTTCCTGAGACCTGGCACTTCCCGCCTTCCCTCACCAAACCCCCAGGCTCTGAGGCAGAGGCATAGTGCCTGTCCCCATGAGGAAGCAGGCTTAGTGACCCAGTGACTTGCTAGACGTTTCAGTCAGTGAGTAGCAGAGCAGGCTTCAAACGCCCCCCGCCGCTGGTGCCAGCACCATTTCTCACCAAGTCACAGAGGAGCAGGCATTCCACCACCCAGGCCCTGGGAGTGCGCCAACCTGGAGGCCCCATGCAGGCAGCCCCCCCACCAGTGCAGCGTGGCCTTCTTTCCATCCCCCTCCTGGCCTGTAGGAGTGCCCTTGCTGTCTCAGAGTTAGGGTCCATGTTGCTGTCAATTTGGGGGCCTGGAGTGTGGAGGACCAGGGCTTGTGGGGTGTGCACTGCCCTCTGCCTTGTGGGCGCTGGGCTCCTGTGCCTGTGCCAGGTTTGGCCTGAGTCAAAGCTTTGTAAGAACACGTGTGCTGGGCACTACCACTTTCTCCAGTTTATGGATGGGGTGGCCAAGCCTTAGAGACTGTAGATGGGGGGCCTTGTGTGAGGGTCTATGCACTGCTTACAACGGGCCCCCATCCAGCCAACAGCAGGTCTGGGATTCATACCCCACCGCCTGGTCCCAAACCCCGTGCCCTCCCTGCGGTGCACCCTGCTCTGCACCCCGAGCCTGCGCTCTGACTGCTGTGCCCTCCCACTAAGGCCATTTCCGGAGGACGTGCGGCTTTCTGCTCTGTCCTCTGTGGCAGTCTGCATGTGACTTTATGGATTATCATTTTCAATGGAAATGGACACAGTGCTCCCTTCTATCAAGGGAGGCTTTTTGCCCCTCCTACCCCAAACCTGGGTCCTCTGCAGACACTGACAGAGCCATGGTGAGGCCCACAGCCCAGGAAGCCCTGCTTCTCCTTCTCACCGAGTCCTAGATCACACCCTGGGGGTCAGGACTGAGGGGGAATCCCCATCCAGGTGCAAGATGGGCAGGTGGCATGGAGCGTGCTAACACACAGAAGAGCTGCCCGAAAGCTGGCACCTATCGCAGGCGGGGGGGAAAGGCCTGGACCACTATTATTCTGTCAGGTTAGGGAGATCACAGATTTGCTGCCTTTCAAGTTCTTTTTGGTTTGCAAAACTACTTGTTGTCTTTTAATGCTAAAAAAAGACCAACAAAAGGAAAGGAAGGGAGAGAAAGAGGGAGGGAAGGAGGGAGAGAGGGAAGGAGAAGAGAGGGAAGGAGAAGAGAGGGAAGGGGAGGGAGGGAGAGAAGGAGATGTGGTAGAGGGAAGGAGAAGTGAGGGAGGGGGAAGGAGAAGGGGAGGGAGGAAGGAAAGGGAGGGAAGGGGAAGGGAGAGAGGGAGGGAAGGAAGGAGAAAGAAGGGGAGGGACAGAGGGAACGAAGAGGGAGGGAGGAAAGAGAAGGAGGGAGGGAAGAAGAGGGAGGGAGGGAAGGAGAAGGGGAGGGACAGAGGGAGCGAAGAGGGAGGGAGGAAAGAGAGGGAGGGAGGGAGGAAAGAGAAGGAGGGAGGGAAGGGGAGGGAGGGAGGGAAGGAGAAGGGATATATTGAAGCACAGGGCACACTCAGCCCCTTACCTTGGGGTTGGCCTCCAGGTAGTTGTAGAGCACATTGATGGAGATGGTGAGGTCCCCGTTGTTGAAGGGGTACGACCGGTTCCAGCCCTGGGCACCGAACTTGCGCCTCTCTGCCACCACGGCGTGGAAGTAGCACAGGGCGAAGAGGATGCACTTGAACTCCATCTCCTTGGTGCACATCTCCAGGGTGTCCTGTGGGGCGCACGCACGAGGGTGTGAGGGTGTACACAGAAATGCCCCCAATGTGACCAGTGTCCAGCCCTTGCCAGATGCTTTGCTGCGGTCGGGGCAGCGGGAGGACGAAGCTGTGGGCTGGTTGGATCTCCATCAGGCCAGCTGCAGGGAAAGCTGGGCTGTCACGGCTGAGTATGTGCGGCTTTCTTGTTTCAGAAATGCAGTTTTCCCCCTTTTAAGTACTTATTACAAGTCAAATTATTGAAACTGCTTCCTGATAAGATCTTCCCAAATCCTGACATTTCAGGCTACTTTAATAAGAAATAATACTCCTTTGTAATTATCAACATTCTTCATCACTTACCCAAAGTATCCCAAACTCTAAAACCAACTGGTAAAGTTCCATCAGGATGGGGGATGGGATAGGGACTGGGGAGGGGATGGAGTTGCTTCTCAAACTCTCTCTTTTCATCTGGCTCGAGGGTAAGGCCAACTGAGCCCAAACTCTGCCTCCTAGGCCGCTGGACATGTGAGCTTTTACTCGTTCATTTGTGCGGCTTGGTGACCCCTGAACATACAGAGGCTTCTGGTAGCCACGCTGGGGAGGGACAGGTAAGTGCCAGGGGAAATGCCCAAGACCAGGGCCTTGTCCTAGGCATCAATGAAAGCCTGGCATGGGCCCCTCTGGCAACATGGACAGAAAGGGAAACAGCTGGGGTTCCGTCTATTCCTTCCTGGCTGCCTGGGATGGAGACAGTGGGCCCAGGAGATTGGCCTGGCCAGCCCCTTTCAGATCTCAGCTACCTGGGGAGGGCACTCGTGGTGAACACTTGGAGAGCCAGAGTGACGCCAGCCAATGTGAGACTCACCAGCCCCCAGGACAAGGGAAGGCTTGGTGGGTGTCACCACCTGTCCTCCAGAGTCCATCCGATCGGGCACTTTCAGCAGCCAGTCGGCACCCAGGACTGTGGCATCATGGACAGGCAGGCACCACCCAGCACCGATTCTTTTCGTGGGCTCATTTTCAGAGGCCTATAACCCCTTGGAGGCAGCTGGTCCCGGAACTTGTGAAGGGTCAGCTTGCCCACAGGTCTCAGCTGTCACTCCCCGGCCACCCACCTCCCCAGCCAGAGATGGGATGAGCTGCCACTCCCGTGTGCTGGCTGGCGGGGCTGTACACTCGCTGGGAGTGAAGGCCCAGTCCCTGCCAAGTGCCCCAATCCCTGTCTGTCACTGACTAACACTTTGCAAAATACAAAAAAACGAAACCCTAAAGGAAAAACCACCCTGTGCCTGGATTCACAGCAGCGCCGGGTCACTGCAAGGTTTGCCAGGCGGCTCTTGGGTTTCTGCGCTGATCTCATACAGACTGGCAGAAACCGGTCAGGACTGGCGCTGACCGCAGGGCTGCTGTGAGTTGTGTGGCCCCGTACACCATGTGTACCCACAACACATCACACTAGGGTCTTGCTTCCAGAACGCATCCTCGCACCCCTCAGCAGGTTGCAGGCCAAGGTGAGAGGTCCGTGGTATTGGTTGGTTGGTTAATGGAACGGGGACCCACTATAAACATTTGGTTTTCTGTTTTGGGTTTTCTGTTACTTTCACACTTCACACTAAGGGCGTGTCCTTCAAAAGCTGGTTGGGGCCGGGCGTGGTGGCTCACACCTGTAGTCCCAGCACTTTGGGAGGCCAAGGTGGGCAGATCACGAGGACAAGAGATCAAGACCAGCCTGGCCACCAAGGTGAAACCCCATCCCTACTAAAAATACAAAAATTAGCTGGGCGTGGTGGTGCTTGCCTGTAGTCCCAGCTACTTGGGAGGCGGAGGCAGGAGAATCGCTTGAACCCGGGAGACAGAGATTGCAGTGAGCTGAGATTACGCCACTATACTCCAGCCTGGGTAAAAGAGCGAGACTCCATCTCAACAAACAAATAAATAAATAATAAAAATAAAAATAAATAGTGCTATAGCACCTTAAATTACTTGCATTTTTTCATCTTTTAGGAATACGTTGATTTTGACTGTGAGGGGTGTGTGGACAGGGGAAGAAAACCGGAAGGAGGTATCTCCAGAGTTCAGAGTGGTCCTCATGGCCCCAAGGGATGGATGCCAGCCAGGCCGGGGCATGGGCCAGGGAGGCGGCCCGAACAGGTGCGGCCCTACCTGGGTGAACAGGTCCAGGGCCTTGTGCAAGTTGGCATGCATGCCTGTGGGGGGCTCATTGGTGATCTTGATGGAGTTCTCCAGGATGCCCTGGGGGATGATGTGGGTCTCGGGGCTGGGCGCAGGCTCTGCGCTGATGAACACTCGGTAGTCCTTGTGGCTGCCATTGCTGTAGCGCTCCAGCTTCTTGTCCAGTGTGCCCAGCCACCGGGCCACCAGGTGGATGTTCTGCAGCCGAGACCAAAGGCTGGTCACACACACGCTTTCCCCGGCCCCGGGCCCACAAGGACAGGCACCAGCTGTGTTCCCTGGCAAGGGCAGGGCTCTTCTCACCAGCACCCCACACTTGCCCGGTGCTGGCGCTGCCCCACCCCTCACCTGTCCACCCTAACCAGGTGCTAGGCTTGCCAGGATGTCTTCAGCAAAGTAACCGAGGCCCCAGAATCAATTTTTGTGTTTAATTAACTGGAAACCTCCAGCCTTAAGGTGAGTCCTTCGTATCCTCCCTGGCACAAGGCTGAGATTCTACAGCCCCCACCCCTCCTCTTGAAGCCGAGTTCCCACCTGGGCCAGGCTTAGCCCTGTGGATTGAGGTGGACACACACTGTAGGACTCATGGAAGCCAGGACTGGCCCAGAGGCACTCCAGGGCAAGAGGTAGTGAGTGAGGAGGGGTCTTGGGGGAGGGCTCCAGGCTGAGGAGACATGGTCAAGCTAGGGTTTAGCCAAATGTGCAGAGACCATCTCCTGGGCACTCTGGGCTTTGCTGCCTACTGCAAGGGAGGAGGAGCAGGGGAGGAGGAGGGAGGAGGGGGGAGGAGGGGAGAGAAGGGGGAGGGAAGGAGGGGAGAGTAGGGGGAGGGGAGGAAGGGAGAGAAAGGGGAGGGGAGGAGGGGGGAAGGGGGAGGGGAGGTGGGGGAGGAGAGGGGAGGAAGAGGGGAGGAAGAGGGGAGGAAGAGGGGAGGAAGAGGGGAGGAAGAGGGGAGGAAGAGGGGAGGAAGAGGGGGAGGAGGAGGAATGCTTTTGTCAGCCCAACATTTGTTATTTTTTTTTTTTGAGACGGAGTCTTGCTCTGTTGCTCAGGCTAGAGTGCAGTGGCGTGATCTTGGCTCAATGCAACCTCTGCCTCCTGGGTTCAAGCAATTTTCCTGCCTTGGCTCCTGAGTAGCTGGGATTACAGGCGTGCACCATCAGGCCCAGCTAAGTTTTGTATTTTTACTAGAGATGGGGTTTCGTCATGTTGGCCAGACTGGTCTCAAACTCCTGACCTCACGTAATCTGCCTGCCTTGGCCTCCCAAAATGCTGGGATTACAAGTGTGAGCCACTGCACCTGGCTGTTTGTGCTTTAAATAATCTCTCTTTGGGGTGTTCTGGTACGAAGAAGCCCAGCATCCCTCCCACCACTGAAGAGTCCACCCTCTCCTCTGGGCAGTCATGGCGCCCTATACCACACAGCTGACGCCGGCAGAGCCGACATGGGGGTCCCCCCTCCTTCAGTGGGTGGTAGGAGTTCCACCCATATTTCTGAATGTGAATTCCACAACCTGCTTCCTTCAGGGCCTTTTGGCCCATCCCACGACCGCCTCAGTGTGGGGAGCCCTTCCCTCACAGTGCTGGCCACCTCGTACCTGCAGAATGACCCAGTGTCCCTTCTCTGCAGCCACGTCCAGGGCATTCTCGGCCACCACCTCTTGTCCCTGCCCCAGGGACACATTATGGAGTTTTCCATTGTCTATGGTAAATCCTAGTTTTTTTCCTAAAGAAAAGAAAAACAGGAAAAACACCAGGTAATTAAAGGACACAGATTCAGGCTCTGTGATCTGTGTCACCCAGCCAGGAATTCCACATGCCTTCCTCATTTAGTTTTGGTGGTAAAATACGCACGATGTAAAATTTGCCATTTAAAAACCATCTGAGAGCATATAATGAAGTGACATTCAGTAGATTCACAATGTGGCGTAGTCATCTGTTAGTTTCTGGAGCACTGGCATGGCCCATACTCATCGGACACTCCCTCCCAGCCTGTCCTCCAGCGGCTCCTCCAGGCAGCCACTCATCTGCTTCTCCTTTGTGTCCCCATAAATTTACCCTTTCTGCATATTTCCTATTAAAGGAACCATACCACATGGCACCTTTGTGTCTGGCTTCTTTCACTGAGCATAGTGTTTCTGAGGTCCATCCATGTCATAGCACATATCAGTACTTCACTTCTTTGTGTGTGTGAGATGGAGTCTCATTCTGTCACCCAGGCTGAAGTGCAGTGGCGCAACCTTGGTTCACTGCAACCTCCACCTACCGGGTTCAAGCAATTTTCCTGCCTTGGCCACCTGAGTAGCTGGGATTACAGGTGCCCACCACACTCAGCTAATGTTTGTATTTTTAGTAGAGATGGAGTTTCACCATGTTGGCCAGACTGGTCTCGAACTCCTGACCTCAGGTAATACACCCGTCTTGGCCTCCCAAAGTGCTGGTATAATAGGCATGAGCCTATAATCTCAAGTGATCCTTCTGCCTCGGCCTCCAGAGTAGCTGGGACCACAGGTGTGCATCACTATGCCCAGCTAATTTATATATTTTTTGGAGAGATAAGGTCTCCCTAGGTTGACAAGGTTGATCTTGAACTCCTGGGCTCAGGTGATCCCCCTGTCTTAGCCTCCCGAGTTCTAGGACTACAGCTGTGAGCCACTGCACCTGGCCCATTTTTAACTCGGTCACCCCGGCTCCATCACAGCTCACTGCAGCCTCAACCTTCCCGGCTCAAGTGATCCTCCCAGCTCAGCCTCCTGAGTAGCTGGAACTACAGGCTTGCACCATCACGTCCAGCTACATTTTTTTGTATGTTTTGTAGAGATGGGGTTTTGCTACATTGCCAAAGCTGGTCTTGAGCTCCTGTGATCAAGTGATCTGCCCACCCAGGTCTCCCAAAGTCCTGGGATACTGGTGTGAGCTGCTGCACCTGGCAGCTCTTTTTCAATCAAGGGGTACTATTCCAGTGTATAGCTCCACCACACTCTGTTAATCCATTTATCCATTCCTCAGTGGACATGTGGGCTGTTTCTGCCTTTTGTCTGTTATGAATTGACATTTGCGTAGAGTACTTGCTTGGAGGCAAATTTAAATTTCAAATTCTTTCAGGTGTATACCCAGGAGTGGAACTGCTGGGTCATGTGCTAATTCTATATGTAACTTATTGAGAAACCACCAGACTGTTTTCCACAACAGCGGCCCCATTTTACATCCTCCCAGCAACCTATGAGCGTCCCAGTTCTCAGGGTCCTCACAACATGTGTTATTTTCCTGTTCTTGATCACTGCCATCCTATGGGTATGAAGCATCATCTCGGGCGTGAAGTGGCGTCTCAAGTGCAAGGCAGTGTCTCAGGTGTGAGGCAGCCTCTTGGGTGTGAAGCAGCGTCTTGGGTGTGAAGCGGCGTCTTAGGTGTGAAGTGCCGTTTTGGGTGTGAGGCAGTGTCTCGGGTGCGAAGCAGCATCCTGGGTGTGAAGTGGCGTCTTGGTTGTGAGGCGCTGTCTTGGGTGTGAAGCAGCATCTTAGTGTGAAGTGGCATCTCAGGTGTGTGAAGTGGTGTCTTGGGTGTGAAGCAGCATCTCGGGTGTGAAGCGGTGTCTCAGGTGTCAGGCAACATCTCAGGTGTGAAGCAGTGTGTCTCAGTGTGTGAAGTGGTGTCTTGAGTGTGAGGTGCTGTCTTGGGTGTGAAGCAGCATCTTGGGTGTGAATTGGTGTCTTGGGTATGAGGCGGCATCCCGGGTGTGAGGTGACTTAGGTGTGAAGCGGTCTCTTCACACCTAGGGTGTGAAGGGTTTGGTGTGCATTTCCCTGGTGCCTGGTGATACTGACAATGCTCCATCTTTAAGAACATCACTTGCCTGCTACACTTACCCAGGGCTTCCACGTCTTTCAAGGGGTCAACCCCTGGGGAGAGGATGAAGAAAATTGGCATGGAGGGACTGCTCTCCTCGTAGGACTTAGAAAACTCGACACTCCGGCCTTCCACAAACTTGCTGCCCATCTTTTCCTCCACGAAGTTCCTAGGGGCAGAGTGCATTGTGAGACCCGAGGCAGCAGAACCTGAGGCTCTAGGCCAGGGCAAGGGGCTTGGGGTGGGCCAGCAGGAGGGCCATTTTTTGTGGGCTTTCTTCAGTGGGACAAGCCTATGGCAGGAGAGCAGAGTCTTCACTGGGCTTTCGTTTCTGCAAGGCATGGGGGTGGGAGATACGTGTTTTCTGCCTTCGCCTTGTTTGTCCTGGGCACCCTTTCTTTCCCAAGGAGCCCCACACTGTGCTCCTTCTTGGAGCAGTCTGAGCAGGTGCAGTGAGAGGCCAGCCTTGGAAGGCACCCAGGGTCAACTGCGGAGGGCGGAGAAGGTAGTTAGTTCAGATTAGAGCAGCTTTGGTGACTGAAAAAGTCAAAGAAAAAAGCAACTTCGGATACAGACACCTTTCTATACAGTAGCTCCAAACTCTAACCTGACCCCAATAAGTCTGGGGTCAGTCTCGGCTAATCCTCCTGTGGAGAACCTGGTGATGCTCTGGTGATCCTTCCATCAGGTGTCAGCCTTTCTCCTGTGATCACAGGGGCTGAGCTCACTGGATGTGGAAAGAATGAATTACCGAGCTGAGTAAGATTGCTGGGTATGGTGCTCATGCCTGTAATACCAGTATTTTGGGAGGCCAAGGTGGGCAGATCACTTAAGGTCAGGAGTTCAAGACCAGCCTGGCCAACAAGGTGAAACCCTGTCTCTACTAAAAATATAAAAATTAGCCAGGTTTCGTAGCATAGGCCTGTAATCCCAGCTACTTGGGAGGCCAAGGCAGGAAAATCACTTGAACCTAGGAGGTGAAGGTTGCAGTGAGGTGAGATGGCTTCATTGCATGCCAGCCTGGGCAAGAGAACGGGATTTCATCTCAAAAAAAATAATAAGATTTTAGTGGCCAGCTGGTGTTTGAAAGGAAGACAAATGGCCGCATCCCAGGGAGTGAGAACTGATCATCCCCGGCCAGGTGAACGCCTGAGTGCTTTGATTCTAGGTCAACCTTCAGAAGGGTCTGCTGACACTCAGGCTCCCCAGCACACCTCGACTCCTCTGGTTCAACCAGGAATCATCAGCTAGTGCCTCTCCATGCCCTTGGGACTTCCTGGGAATACCTGGATCTGCTGTTCCTCTGCCTGCATGAGCCTTTGCTGGCTTCTGTACGGTGCCTGAACTGGGGCTGGCCTCAGGCAAGGGTGGGGAGGAGCTGCTCCTCCTGAAGGCCCCCACTTCTACTCAGGCCTCCAGACTGGACTTAGACTCTGTATGCTGCGATCCTCATCCAGGAAGGAACTTCCAGAACCTCCAAAGTCCTACCCCTGGGCAGGAGGGACTCTGGATCACCTCTGCTAGTTACTTGACCATCCATTTGGCTATGGATGAATGAATGACGCAGCCGCATGCATGCTGGGTTCCAGTCAGGCTTCATGCCTCCTCCGGCACCGTGGCTGTGACAAAGGAGCCCTGGAGCCGGACAGCTTGCAGCAGACCCCAGCAGCTTACAGCCAGCCATGGAGGGGGTGCCGACACCATGGAAATTGGCAGGTGCCATGCACCAGAGCTTGTGTTGTGCACTGGGGGTGGCCTGGCCTGCCCCCTGCACCCCCCAGTGCCCGTGACCTGTGACCTGTGAGTGTGGAAGTGCTCCCAGGACTGTCAATGCTTCAAACAGAGCCTGACATGAGATGCCCTTGGCCAGTGCTGGCTTTGTTACTAGCCCCACTTGTCTGAATCTCCTTGCTTTTAAACGACCTCCTCCCTATAAATAGGGCAGTAAATTTGCTTTGCTCCATGCCATGGAAATGTGAAATATGTCAAAGCTGAGGGATGATCTGAGCTCACGGATATTTGGGATGGTTCAGGCCACCGCAAAGCACCCAAATGCATCCACAGTGGGTGGCTGTTTCCTTCTTTTATGTGGCCGGAGTGCAGTCACACAGGCTAACTTAGGCGATTCTCAGAAGCTCTCAGGAGACGGGGAAGGTCACCTCATCTTCCAGACAAGGAATCGGATGCACGCTGGGTCCAAACCTGCTGCACCCTCCCACAGGAGAGAGTGTTCCTGCTGTGATGGTCAAGTGACCTTGACCTTGGCGTTTCCCAAACTCTGACCCCGCTTCCTCCAGTTCTGAGTGCAGGACGCGGCTGGCTTTCTCCCTGGACCTTGCTGCCCTCCTGCATCACAGTGATTCTGGCTTCATTCCACCCCCTCATCCCTACCACTCCCGGTCCCTGTCCCTGTCCCTGTCCTCTCCTGTTTGACAAAACAAAGCAAAACTAAACTCACTCCTGGGAGTCAGGCCTCTGCTTTGTCAGAGGGGAATTCTTTTTTTTCTGATTTATTTATTTTGAGGCAGGGTCTTGCTCTGTCACCCAGGCTGGAGTGCAGTGGTGCGATCATGGCTCACTGCAGCCTCTGCCTCCCGGACCCAAGTGATTCTCTCACCTCAGTCTCCTGAGTAGCTGGGACTACAGGCGCACACCACCACGCCTGGCTTGTTTTTAGATTTTTTTTTTGTAGAGACGGAGTCTCACTATGTTGCCCAGGCTGGTCTCAAACTCTGGGTTCAAGTAGTCCTCCCCAAAGTACTGGGATTATAGGCGTGAGCCATCGCACCTGGCTGCCAGAGGGGAATTCTGTGAGAGACATGAGTGTCTTTTGGGAAACCAGGCTGCTTTCAGGCTACTTGGAAAAATGAAAAGGGAAGAAGCCAGACAGGCCACAGGTGCTCCAAGGACAGACCTGAGGCTCGTTTCTGTGTCAAACTTCACCTCCTTCCTTCAACAGCATGAAAGGTTTCAGGTGTGGAGAAATCGTTGATGCAATTGGAACGATTCTCTTGCAAACTAGCCACATGAATATACTTTGATTACATTTTGCCACCGAGGGGCTCAAAGTCCTCGCATGCTGATTGTTTTACCACGTTTTCTCCCCCAAAACATCCTCAAAGGACCCCATTTGTACAGCCACAGTGCACGTTCACATCCACCATTCACATTTTACCTTCCTTGGCTGGGCACAGTGGCTCATGCCTGTAATCCCAGCACTTTGAGAGGCCGAGGCACGTGGATCGCCTGAGGTCAGGAGTTCGAGATCAGCCTGATCAACATAGAGAAACCCTGTCTCTATTAAACGTACAAAAATTTAGCTGGGCATGGTGGTGCATGCCTGTAATCCCAGCTTCTCAGGAGGCTGAGGCAGGAGAATCGCTTGAACCTGGGAGGCGAGGTTGAGGTGAGCCAAGATGGTGTCATTGTCCTCCAGCCTGGGCAACAAGAGTTGCCCTCCATTTAAAAAAAAAAATTATGCCATCTAGGAGGCTTAGTGGGGCGTCTTTTCTTCCTATCAGGTATCAGAGGGCACCCTCCTAAGTCAGGTTAGTGAGAGACAAGGGGCTCCTCTAATGATGTCTTAGCGTCTGAGACATGACTGGAGTTGCCAGCCCAGGGTGGAATCCTGCCTCTGTCCTGGAACAACTTTGTGTGACATGACTTAGCCCCTCTGAGCCCCGTTTTGTTCCTCTGTAAAATGGGGAGAAGAAAGAAGTTCGGGGATCAACTTGAGTCTGCACCGGGTCTAGCAGAGCAACGGGGCAGAGTTTCCATCAGGCCCGACCCTCAGGGGCCGTGGACACTCACTTGACGGCGTAGGTCATGCGGTCCGGCCTCATGCAGCGCACCATGCACAGCTTCTGCAGCGCCGTCTTGTTCTTCCACTCCTTGGGGAAGATCTCCTTCTCGGGGGCTTCCGACTCCACCAGCTTCTTCCAGCGGTTGGCAGATCCTTCGATGTCACTGTCCAGGTTTTTGAACTCATCCATCTCCGAGAGGGCCTAGGGGTGGAGGCAGTGGGCCCTGTGACTCTTCCCACTTACCCGGGTCCCTAGCGCCTTCCTTTACAGTTCATTCCAGGAGGAGAGCCCACTGCCCCCCGAGGACCGGGGCCCTGGGATAAGAAAGCCCAAGAGGCGTGCCACCAAAGCACCAGCTGTCCGTGCCCAGCTCAGGCAGCCCAGGACAGTTGCTGGGAGCCTCCTCGGTGGGGTCCAGTCTGGGGACATGAGGCATGGGGGCGCTAGGGGCTGCTGCTCTAGGGGTCTCTGGAAATGGGGCCATTCTAGTTCAGGTGACAACCTTCTTCAGGTCTTTTTGAACAGACCTTGAGATGCGGGGGTCCCTGATTATGTCCAGGAATCCAAAGAACGACCTTTTCACGGGCACTTCCCTACACTAGGAGGAGGGGAGGCTGGGGCAGGCAAGGAGTGGTAAGGGGAGGGGAAGGACATGTCCTGGGGCCGCTTCTGGCCGCCAGATGGTGTCACTCTGCTTGCTGTGTCCAGGCCTCAGGGACCTAACATGTCACATTCTCCATAGGAATGCAAAGCTATCTGTGAGTTGGCAGCCAGCCCGTCTTGATCTCTAACCCCATCTGTGAGGCCTCCTTGCTTTACTGAATTTTGTGGGCCACAGAGCCTGGTATTCCGGCCTTGTAGCACCAGCCGGAGAGGATCCACAGTGGGAAGGAAGCACACACCATGTGCAATGTCTGAAGACGAACCTTGATCCCACCCCAGCCTTGGTGCTGCAGGAAGTCCACCGGTGAGACCACCCCAGACTTAAAAGGGAACCGCAGAAGGAAATCCAGCTCCACCGGGTTCAGCTCCTTCTTCATGGACAAGACCTGGGGGAACACGGAGGTGGATACACTTAACACGGCCAGTTGGCAACCCTGGAGATGTGCATGGACCCAGAGATGAGTCCACACTCCCAGCCTGCAGGGGGAGCGCTGTCCTGCCTCTTTGAGTTGAGACAAACTTTTGTCTTTACCACGTCTCGCTTTTTAAGTTGTGGTCACGTACACATACCACAAAATTGACCATTTGCCCGGATGCGGTGGCTCACACCTGTAATCCCAGCACTTTGGGAGGCCAAGGGGGGTCAGGAGTTTGAGATCAGCTTGGCCAACATGGCGAACCCGTTTCTACTAAAAATGCAAAAAATTAGCCAGGTGTGGTGGCGCATGCCTGTAGTCCCAGCTACTGGAGATGCTGAGGCAGGAGAATCACTTAAACCCGGGAGGCAGAAGTTGCGGTGAGCCGAGATCATGCCACTTCACTCCAGCCTGGGCAACAGAGCCAGTCTATCTCAAAAGAAAAAAAACCAAAAAACCCTGACTCTTTGAATCATATTTTAGCGTACAGTTCAGTGGCATTTCACATGTTCACAACCACCGGCACCATCTACTTCCAGGGATTCTGTTACCCCCTTACCACCCCCAGCCTTAAGCAGTCACTCCCCATCTCCCCTCCACTACCCCATCTCCCCTCAACTACCCCGGCCCCCCCCACTACCCCGTCCCCCCTCCACTACCCCATCTCCCCCCACTGCCCCATCCCCCCTCCACTGCCCCGTCTCCCCTCCACTGCCCCATCCCCCTCCACTACCCCATCTCCCCTCCACTACCCTGTCCCCCCCCGACTAGCCCGTCTCCCCTCCACTGCCCCGTCTCCCTCCACTGCCCCATCTCCCTCCACTGCCCCATCTCCCCTCCACTGCCCCGTCTCCCCTCCACTACCCCATCCCCCCACCACTACCCCATCTCCCCTCCACTACCCCGTCTCCCCCCACTGTCCCATGCCCCCTCCACTGCGCCATCCCCCCTCCACTGCCCTGTCACCCCTCCACTACCCCATCCCCCCTCCACTACCCCATCCCCTCTCCACTACCCCATCTCCCCTCGCCTCTGAGAGCCGCTCATCTGCCATCTGTCTAGGGATGCACCAGTTCTGGATGCTTCCTACAAATTGAAGCACACTATGTGCCCTGTTTGCATCCAGCATCTTCCACTTAGTGTGGTGCTTCTGAGGTTCATCCGCATGGCAGATGTGTCAGGACGCCCTTCCTCTGTGAGGCTGAGTAGTATCCTGTTCTTGAATATAACCACACTGGGTTCTCCACTCATCTGTTGATGGACAGCATGTTGCTTAGCTATTGTGAATTGGCTGGCTTTTAAAAAGTTTTTATTATTTATTGTTATTTTTTTGAGAGAGAGTCTTACTCTGTCTCCCAGGCTGGAGCACAGTAGTGCAATCTCCGCTCACTGCAACCTCCACCTCCTGTGTTCAAGCGATTCTCCTGCCTCAACCTCCCGCGTTGCTGGGATTACAGATGTGCACCACCACACCCGGTTAATTTTTGCATTTTTAGTAGAAACAGGATTTCACCATGTTGGCCAGGCTAGTCTTGAACTCCTGGCCTCAAGTGATCTGCCCGTCTTGACCTCCCAAAGTGCTGGGATTACAGATGAGAGCCACCACACCCGACCTTGTTGTTTCTTAGAGACAGGGTACCGCTCTGTTGCCCGGGCTGGAGTGTAGTACTGTGATCAGAGCTCACTGCAGCCTTGAACTCCTAGGCTCAAGTGATCCTCTCATCCCAGCCTCCCGAGTAGCTGGGACTACAGGCATGCATCACCTTACCTAGCCCTTTATTTTTTTTGTAGAGATGGGGTTGTGCTGTATTGATTGGGCTGGTCTCAAACAGCCTCGAGTGATCCTCTTGCCTTAACCTCCCAAAATGCTGGGATTAGAGACACGAGCCACAGGGCCTGGCCTCACCTGGCTTTTGGCTGCTGTGACTAATGCTACTGTTAATGCTGGTGTACAGGACTCTGGACAGATGCTGGGCACCTGTCTTGAGGTCTGTGGGTGTGTGCCCAGGAGTGGAACGCTGGGTCCTATTCCATGCCGTCTTCTCATCTGTACATGCCGGCCCTCTAGACCTCCTGTGGGCAGGGTCTGGGCCACTTTGAAGTGGGGTACTGGGCAGCTAACCTGGCACCCTCTGTCTCAGATGGGCAGCAGGTGGCTGGGAGCAGGGGTAATGGCCACTGCCATCTCCTCAGTCAAGTGCCCAAAGGGTCTGTTTATCAGATCCCATAGAGAGTTTCTTCCTGAGCTTGATGCTTTCTTTTGGTCAAACAAAACATTCTTTGGGCCCGAAGAGACTGCTTTCTACCCTGGAAAATCAGGGGGAGTGCTCTTATCCAATGACCTCTCAGCCAGAAGAAAATCTCATAGTGAACCTATGATTCACAGATTCACACATAAAAGGAAGCTTCATAATACGGATCCTGTTGATTCAAAGTCAGTTTGAACTGAAAGCTAGGCTTAAGGCCGGGCGCAGTGGCTCATGCCTGTAATCCTAACACTTCGGGAGGCCGAGGCGGGTGGATCGCCTGAGGTCAGGAGTTCAAGACCAACCTGACCAACATGGCAAAACCCTGTCTCTACTAAAAATATAAAAATTAGCCGGGCGTGATGGCAGGTGCCTGTAATCCCAAGCCTCTCGGGAGGGTGAGACATGAGAACAGCTTGAACCCAGGAGGCAGAGGTTGCAGTGAGATCATGTCACTGCACTCTAGCTTGGGTGACAGAGTGAGACTCTGTCTAAAAAAAACAAAGAAAAGAAAAGAAAGCAGCTAGGTTTACACTGATGCCCAAGCTATTTACACAGTTAGCGTTGCCCAACCTGAATACAGCGAGACTCTGTCTCTGTAAAAACATCTTTCAAAATTAGCCAGGCATGGCAGTGTACACTTGTATTCCCAGCTACAGGGAGGTTGAGGCAGGAGGATTACTTGAGCCCAGGAGTTCAAGATCAGACTGGGCAAAATAGTGAGACTTTGTCTCTACTTAAAAAAATAAATGAAGAATTAGCCAAGCATGGTGGCATATGTCTGTAGTCCCAGCTACTCAGGAGGCTAAAGTGGGAGGATTTCTTGAGTCCAGGAATTCAGGGCTACAGTGAGCTACGATTGCACCACTGCACACTCCAGCCTGGGTGACAAATGAGATCCTGTTTCAAAATAGCAGCAGAAGCAACAACAGCAAAGACTAGTGTTTCCAACGATACTTACAGCACAGTGTAAAGAAAACTGCAGAGCAGCTGTGCTGTGGTCTGAATGCGTTCCTCAAAAGGCCCATATGGGGAGCTGACTCCTCAGTGCAGCAGTGTTGCAGGGTGGGGCCTCGTGAGAGGCGGCTGGGCCACAACAGCACAGTGAGTGGCTTAATGCCGTGATCAAGGGAGTGAGTTTGTGACACAGGGAGGAGTTTGGCCCCTTGTGTGCTCTCTCTTGCCCTCTAGCCTTCCACCATGGGATGACACAGCAGGAAGGCCCTTGCCAGATGCCAGCACTTTCATACCGAACTTCCTGGACCCCAGAACCATGAGAAATAAATTTCTACTGTTTATAGATTACCTAGTATCACATGACACTGGTAAAAAAAAAAAAAAAGAAAAAAAGAAAAACTATAGATTACCCAGGCTTAGGTATTCTGTTACTAAGGCTGTTTAATCAATCGATGTCAGAGAATGCAAATCTTTAACTATTTTAGCAGGACTGTATAAACAGGAGGAGTATTTCTTTATTCATACATTTATTTCTTAAGAAACATCACTCAGCCCACAGTGGGCTAAGCATAAATGCAGGACTGTTTACTCAGTACAATTTAAATTTAAAGGTAAAATGACATTTCCTTGTGAAATTCTCCTCACTGGACCTCCCTTTCACCAGCTCCCACTGGATCACGGTGCCAGCTTCCCTGTTACAGACTCGGAGAGCCCCAGACTTGTTCCACATCACACATCTCAGACTTCATAATCACCTGGGTGTTGCTGAAATGTGGGTTTGAATTCACCAGGTTTGGGTGGGGGCCCAAGAATCTGACTTTCCACGAAGCTCCCGGGGACATGGACGCTGCTGGTCCACAGACCACACTTGGAGCAGCAATGCTAGACATTACCTGAAATGCAACTTGTGCCAGGAAAATGAGTTTGTCCCTCTCGAAGAGCCCCCGGGCTGTGTACATGTAGACGGAGTAGGTGATCTCATCTGTCAGGTTGGTCACCCGCTGCTTCACGTCGCTGGCAGGGGTGGTCCTCTGGATGGCTTTCTCAAACACGATGTTGAAGGCCTGGGGAGCCGCCACCGAGAGCATGGAGGTGTGCAGAGATGGAGCCCACCACCGTTCCCTGCCACCACTCCCTGCTGCCTGTGGTGGCCGACAGTTTGTTTTGTTTGAGACAGAGTCTCGCTCTGTCGCCCAAGCTGGAGTGCAGTGGCATGATCTCAGCTGACTGCAACCTCCGCCTCCTGGGTTCAAGTGATTCTCCTGCCTCAGCCTTCCCAGTAGCTGGAATTACAGGCACACACCACCACACCTGGGTAATTTTTGTGTTTTTAGTAGAGACAGGGTTTTACTATGTTAGTCAGGCTGGTCTTGAACTCCTGACCTTGTGACCCATCTGCCTCGGCCTCCCAAAGTGCTGGGATTACAAGAGTGAGCCACCACGTCCAGCCATCCAATTTGAGTAGGTGGGGGGTGCCTGAACATACCAGAGGAAGAGCAGGGAGGAGGGAGCAGCCCATACCCTCTCCTGGGGAGAGTGGGCAGAGGACAGATGGGGACCCCTAGCTCCCCCTTCCAGCCCCATCTGCAGGCTGGACCAGGTCTGCCCTCTGAGGGTGGCCTGCTACTGCCCAACGGCTGCGCAGGCACCAGGTCTGGCTGTGGAGCCCAGATGCAGTCCCACCTTGAGGGCGGCACCAGCCCCAGCTGCAGAGCCCACCTTGAGGGAGAACTGGTAGATGGGGTTGATTTTGTTGAGGTCGTTCAGGATGAAGTAGAGCAGAGATGCCCTCTCCGCGGCTGGGCGGTAGTTCTCTCTTGCTTCGTTGATTTTAACTTCTGTAATTTTTGCCTCCACCACCTTGACACAAATAAAAGAGGCATGAACAATACAGCAGATGGGCAGTGCCATGAGCAGGCAGGCTCATTCCCAGCCACCACCCTGGCTCCCTGGGAAGACACCCAAGGGCTCTGAGTGGCAGCTGGGTGCAGGATGGGAGCCCGGGCCCCTTCTCCTGCCCTGGACCCACTCGTGCACCTATGACTGAAGCTGCTTTTCTCCTTGCTGATGGGGGAGGCACCAATGGCCACCACCCAGCCTCCCATGCCCCCGGCAACCAGGGCGCATCGCCGAGGCAGCTCTGACCTTCTCCTCGATCTCAATGGCCGTGTGCTTGGTGGTCTCCAGATTCTCCACCAGGGCCGTGTCTCCCAGGAAGTTCCCCGACGCAGCCGACAGACGGGCCAGGAGCGAATCTTCCAGCTCTTTCAGAATGATCTTAAATTCGTTTTGAGACTTGGTGAGGTTCGCCTGCAAGGTGGGGGGGGTGTGGTTGGCACCACACAGCCTGGCCCTCCCTTGGGTGGCCGTGTAGCCCAGGCTTTGAGCAGGAGGAACGAGGTCAGGGCCTGAAAGGGGTGGCAGAAGCGGAGCCCCTCTGGGGAGCAGAGCGTAGAGCCTGAGAGAAGCACCCCCACCACAGAGCATCAGCAGGCCCAGGGTTTCAGTCCTGGGAACTTCCAGAATGGACTGGAGTTGGAAACGGGTCTGGGTGGAGGCCGAGCAGAGGGTTTCTGTCAGGGTGCCTGGGGAGCACAGCGTGCATCCAGTGGGGCAGAAACACTGCTGCAAAGATGAGCCCAACCCCCTGACTCCCCCACCGAGGAAAGAGCACGGGCCCAGAAGGCCCGTGTCCCGGCATGTAAAATTTCACATAACATAAAATTAACCATATTAAAGTGTACAATTCAAGAGCATTTAGTGCACTCACAATGTTACGCAAACACCACATCTGTCCAGTTACACATTTTGTTTTTTGAAAGGGAGTCTTGCTATGTTGCCCAGCCTGGAGTGCAGTGGGTGATCTTGACTCACTGCAACCTCCAACCCCTTGGTTCAAGCAATTCTCTTGCCTCAGCCTCCTAAGTAGCTGAGATTACAGGCGCGAGCCACCACGCCCAGCTAACTTTTGTATTTTTAGTGGAGATGGGGTTTCACCATGTTGGTCAGGCTGGTCTTGAACTCCTGACCTTATGATCTGTCTGCCTCGGCCTCCCAAAGTGCTAGGATTACAGGAGGGAGCCACCACGCCCAGCCTCAGTTCCACATTTTCAACACCCCCTAAGGAAGCCCCATGGCCACTATTCTTCATTCCACCTCCCTCCTGAGCCCTAGACACCCACTAGTCTGCTTTCTGTGTGTATTTGCCTATTCTGGATGTTTCATCTAAACGGAATCATGCAACAAGTGCCCAGCTCCCAGCCTTGAGGCTTCCTGTCACGGAGACTATAGGGGGAAGAACAGAGACAGGCAGGCCAGAGACACGGCGGGCGCAAGGGCTGGCAGCCAGGCCATTTTCTCCGGGCAGTGCTTTGGCGCTTAGAGCCCTCTCAGGGCCACAGTGACTTGTGCTCTTTAAGCAAAGTGGTCATGTGATTTAGAAGTAATTTGCGACCTGGAAGAGGGGGTAACTGGGGAAGGAAATGACCCTTTCTGTTGTATGAGAAGCTGCAGGCCACAGGGACACACTGAGGCACCTTCAGAGAAAAGCAATGACACACACGGGGCTGGCAGCCCTGGTCGGGGACCCTGATGGTGACCAGGGACCCACATGGAGACCCAGCCCCCTCTGTGTGGGACAGCCCGGCCTCCCACGTGACCCGACCTCGAGGCAGTTACCTTCAGCTGTTCTAGATCTGGGCGCTCTGTGGCCACCACAGCAGCCAAGAGTTGGTCCTCCAGTCCGTCCCTGGTGACCAGGAAATTGATGAGGGTGCACTGGGCCTGCATTTCCGGCTTGTAGTGCGGGTTGAAGTACTTGGTGTGCAGGATCAGGCGGAACTTGGGGTGGTACTCTACCTCCTTGTCGCCGATCTTAATGTACCTGGTGGGTGGTGGAGGAAGGGTGAGGGGACCTTTGCAAGGACAGACCACCTTTCACCCCTGCCAGGCTACCACCTCTAACCCTCCTCCTGCTCCCTGAAGAGCAGTGTGCCTCTCCTCATCTGTTCCTCCTCCCTGGCCCGGGACATGGACCCTTCTGGGAGATGCACCTGCTCTTTCCTTGGTTGTGGGGGGAGGGGAGGGGGTGGGGTCAGGCTCATCTTTGCAGCGGGGTTTATGCCCCTCTGGCTGCACGCTGTGCTCTCCTGGGGGCCCCAGTAGAAATCCTCTGCTCAGCCTCCACCCGGACCCACTTCCAGCACCAGACCATTCTGGAAGCTCCCAGGACTGAAACCCTGGGCCTGCTCATCCACTGTGGGTGGGAGGGGCGTGTCCCTCTGGCTCTCTGTCCTGCTGTCCCCTCTTTGTAGCTGGGCTCACTTTGAGGGGCCCCTGGCTAGCTGCACCCCTCAGCACTCACACCAGGCTCTTCCCAGAGTCTAGGGCCTCAGCATGCTGATTTGCCACCCCTGTTCTGGGTTTCTGCAGGTATCTCTGCTTTAAAGGTGGCTCCTGTCAGCTCTGACATTTACATTTTTAAAGTAGATTTAATTTTTCAAAATTATAAAATGAGTAATACAAACTCTATGCATCAGCTGATGAGTCAACAAACAGAATGTGCACAGCCACGCAACAGTGGAATATTATTCTGCCATAAAAAGGAATGAAGTGCTAACACATGCAACCATATGCATGACTCCAAAAAACATGCTAAGTGAAGGCCCGATGCAGCGGCTCACACCTGGAATCCCAGCACTCTGGGAGGCTGAGGCAGGCGGATCACCGGAGGTCAGGTGTTCAAGACCAGCCTGGCCAACATGGTGAAACCCCATCTCTACTAAAAATAGAAAAATTAGCCAGTCACGGTGGCATGTGCCTGTAATCCCAGCTACTTGGGAGGCTGAGGCAGGAGAATCACTTGACCCCAGGAGGCGGAGGCTGCAGTGAGCAGAGATCACACCACCGCACTCCAGCCTGGGTGACAGAGCGAGAGTTCATCTCAAAGAACAAAGCAAAACAAAACACTGAGTAAAAAGAGCCAGACACAAAAAGACATGTGTTACATGATTCTATTCAGTTGAAATGTCCAGAAAAGGCCAATCCACAGACACAGAAAGCAGATTGGTGGGTGTCTGGGGCTCAGGAGGGAGGGAATAAAGGAGAGTGGGTATGGGGCTTCCTTCCGGGATGGAACTGGACAGATGTGGTGTTTGCACAACATTGTGAGCGTATGAAATGCTCTTGAATTGTGCAATTTAAGATAGTTAATATTTTGTTACGTGAATTTCACATGAATTTTTAAAGGTAATGCATCCCCAAAATTTGCAAAATACGTAAGAACAAAAAGAAGAAAGACATCACCTCTAAGCCTCACCCTCTGGAGGTGATTACTGATAAAACGCTGGTGTGGATATTCATAATTGGGACTGTGGCACCTCTTTGCAACCTTTCCTTGGGAGCTGGGGCTCCTTCCCTCCACTTGGCATTTTGTCAAAGCCCCTGCTGCTTACCAGGCAAGCAGCGGAACCTCTGGGCGTTTCCCCTATACGCACATGCCCAGGCCTCGGCCCTGATCACCTGGCTCAAGCCACAGAGGTGAAAACAACTCACTTTCCCTTTTTAATCGTGTTCCTGCCGAGCAGCGGGTCCAGCACAGGGTCCACGGTTTCACCGATGTTCTCAATGAGCAAGGTGTCCCCTTCTGAGATGGCCTGCTCGATGACGTCCAGGTAGCTGCAGGCACAGCACGGAAGTCAGCCCACAGCAGAGGGGGCGCGCCGACCAGCAGCGCCCCCCACTGTGAGCGAGACAGTGCCAAACGAGGGGCGACCCAGGAGCCCACAGCTTGTTCCCACCAGCTCGCCCTTCCCTGAAAGGAGCTGAGGGGCTCCTTTGTAAACCGCCCCCATGCTCTTATGGGAATGGAGATGAAAATGGAAGCAGTTTTGTTTATTTTGAGACAAGGTCTCATTCTGTTGCCCAGGCTGTAGTGCGGTGGCATGAGCAGGGTTCACTGCAACCGTGACCTCCCAGGCTCCAGGGATGCTCCCATCTCAGCCTCCTGAGTAGCTGAGACTAGAGGCACATGCCACCACACCACACCCAACTAGGTTTTTTTGTTCGTTTTTTTATAGAGACGAAGTCTGTGTTGCTCAGGCTGGTTTCAAACTCCTGAGCTCAAGCAATCTTCCTGCCTCGGCCTCCCAGAGTGCTGGAATTAGAGGTGTGAGCCACCGTGCCCGGCCTGGAAGCAACTCTGAGTAGCTTTACGGCCACAGTGGCAAACGTTGTCATATCCATACCTCACTGGATTTTCCAGCACCGACAGGAAGGCAGGCAGGGCAGCACTGCACCTGCACAGTTACAGCCTTTGTTTCTCATCAGTGATGGGAACACAGACCATGAGAGCTAAGAACATGACCAGCCTGAAGCCTCCCAGCCAGCTAATGGCCAAGCGGGAGGAAACCCCAGGCCTGAGCCTCCGACTCACCTTCCTTTCCCTGCAGGAGCAGTGGGTGGTGGGGAGAGGGGAAGGGAAGAGAGCTCCTAATTTCATTCCTTAATCCTAATGCTGCTCCCCATGCCAAATTTAAAACCTGTGGGCCAGTACTTGTATTTTAATGACCCACCCATCCACTGAACAGATGTGCAACTGGGGGTGGGGGGCTTGGGCCCAGGGCCTGCCTCCGTACACACCTCTTCTGTCCCAGGCGGATGGCTCTCAGTTCACTCCCATACTTGTTTTTGATCCACTTGATTCCTTGGAGCTGGGCGTCCACGATCAGCGGCCAGCGCTCGGTGTTGCACAGGATGGTGGCGTTCTCAGTGGACATGCGGTCACTGGGGAGGCCCTGGTTGTTCCAAGTGGCCACATCCGCATCATCTGTCAGCAGGCTCAAGGGATCCAGGCCATTGGTGATCGGGATGGGGACCTGTCCAGGGAGGCATGCTTTCTTAGACAGAGTGATTCGACCTCATTACTTACTAGAAAACAGCTCTCCAAATGATGCTCTGGCTCTGCGGTTAGGGGTGGATGAGCAGGGTGACCCTGGAGAGAGAAGCCAGCCATTTCCATTACTCCGGACAGAGCAGCTTTGTAACTCGCCAGAAATGATGTCAGCACAGCAACATCCGGCCACGTTCTTTTTTTTTTTTCCAGACAGAGTCTCACTCACAGTGTCACCCAGGCTGGAGTGCACCGGCACCATCTTAGCTCACTGCAGCCTTTGTCTTTTTTGGGTTTGAGCATTTCTCCTGCCTCAGCCTCCCGAGTAGCTGGGAATTACAGGAATGTGCCACCACGCCCTGCTAATTTTTGTATTTTTAGCACAGAATAGGTTTTACCATGTTGCCCAGGCTGGTTTCAAACTCCTGACCTCAGATCATCTGCCTGCCTCAGCCTCCCAAAGTGCTGGGATTACAAGCATAAGCCACCACGTCTGGCCACTGGGCCACATTCTAAACCCCAAAGGGGCTGGAGTCTTATCACAGAAGCCAAGGTGCCCTTTGGTTCTGCTGGGTGGGACCTCGCCAAATTTCCTGAGCAATGAACAGAACTCCGTTTTTTTTTTAAAGATGGGGTCAGGGTCTGGCGCGGTGGCTCATGCCTGTAATCCCAGCACTTTGGGAGGCCGAGGCAGGTGGATCACGAGGTGAAGAGATTGAGACCATCCTGGTCAACATGGTGAAACCCCGTCTCTACTAAAAATACAAAAACTTAGCTGGGCATGTTGTTGCGTGCCTGTAATCCCAGCTACTCGGGAGGCTGAGGGAGGAGAATTGCCTGATCCCAGGAGGTGGAGGTTGCAGTGAGCCAAGATTGCGCCATTGCACTCCAGCCTGGGTAACAAGAGCGAAACTCCGTCTCAAAAAAAAAAAAAGATGGGGTCTTGCTCTGTTGCCCAGGCTGGTACAGTGGTAAAATCTCTGCTCACTGCAACCTCCACCTCCCAGGTTCAAGTGATTCTCCTGCCTCAGCCTCCCTAGTAATTGGGATTAAGGCGCTTACTACCACGCCTGGCTAATTTTTAAAAATATATTTTTAATAGAGATGGAGTTTCACCATGTTGGCCAGGCTGGTCTCGAAATCCTGGCCTCAAGTAATTCACCTGTCTTGGCCTCATCAAGTGCTGGCATTACAGGTGTGAGCCACCACGCTCGGCCAGGACTCCACTCCTTACCTTTAAGTTATGTATGTAAGGGATCCAAAATTTCTCCATCAGCTCGTTTCGGTATTTCTTGGTGAAGTAGCCCACGTAGGACACGAAGGCTGAGATGAGCAGGACGTCCCCACACAGCGTGATCCCCTGTCTTTTGAAGCTCTCCACAGACTCAGCCCAGCGGACGTTTTCTGATGCTAATCCTCCCACCAGCCTGAAGCACAATGAGAGGAAATCAAACACATCTGCATAAGTGAGAGGACTGGACCAGACAAGCCTCCACCTCTGTACCTCCATGAACCTTCAGAGTTTCATGTCTGCAGCTGGCTCAGCGGCTCAGATGAAAATGCTTTTGGGAAGTTCTGGGGAAGAAATGCTTTAGAGAAATCCAAATCATGCTTTTAGGCTGGGCACAGTGGCTCACACCTGTGATCCCAGCACTTTGGGAGGCTGAGGCGGGCAGATCACTTGAGGTCAGCAGTTCCAGACCAGCTTGGCCAACGTGGTGAAACCCCATCTCTACTAAAAATATAAAAATTTTATTTATGCAGGTACATGCTGGTGGCAAGTACGTGTAATCCCAGCTATTCAGGAGGCTGAGGCAGGAGAATTGCTTGAACCTGGGAGGCGGAGATTGCAGTGAGCCAGTATTGAGCCACTGCACTCCAGCTTGGGTGACACAGCAAGATTTCATCTCAAAAAAAAAAAAAACCGTCGTGGCAGCCGCTGGGAATGCTGTTTCCCTCCCCAGGTCTCCTGCGTTGACACCCAGCTGTGGATGATGCCGTCTGGTCACCTCTCCCCTGTGCTGAAGATGCTGCCAGACACCACTGAGTACCATCTCAACCAGCTGGTGACAGAGCCCGAGTAGGGACCATTTTGGCCACAGGACGACGCGGCGTTCCAAGGGCACCTGGCCCTGCATGGAGTGGGCACTGGACTCCACAGTGTGCCTCATGCTCCTTAGGCCACCAGCTTGAGGGCTAGTCCCTGACCCTAAATGATGCACCATGGGTCTGAATGCATTGGCAGGTTTGTTCCAAATCCATGTCGCCCGTTAGGGCCACTGAGGTCTGTCTGTGGCACCATCTGAGTAGCCCTTACTACCCAGTGGCCTAGAGACCACTTCGATTTGGCAGGTGAGGTCAAATCCCTCAGACCCAGGGCACCACCCTGAAGGCCAGCCTCATGCAGCCTGAGGTACTCATGGCTCACCACTGGCCCATCAGTGCTGGCTACACTAGGGAGGAGAAAACACAGCCTGAGGGCCTGGAACAGACTCAGCCCCAGGCTCTGCTGAGGCTCCCAGTGCTCCCTTGTAAGAACAGGAAAGGGTTACTCCCAAGCTGCATCATTCAGCAGGCAGCTGCCAGCCCTGCGGCTCCCAGCACTGGGACCATGTCCTGAGATGTGCTCTGTGTATAAAAGGCATGAAGGGGCTGGGTGCGGCAGCTCACACCTGTAATCCCAGCACTTTGGGAGGGTGAGGCGGGCAGATCACTTGAGGGCAGGAGTTTGAGACCAGACTGGCCAACATGGTGAAACCCCATCTCTACTAAAAATACAAAAATTAGCCAGGCATGGTGGTGTGCACCTGTAGTCTCAGCTACTTGGGAAGTTGAGGCACAACTTCACTTGAACCCAAGAGGTGGAAATTGCAGTGAGCCAAGAACGTGCCACTGCACTCCAGCCTGGGTGACAGACTGAGACTCTGTCTAAAAAAAAAGAAAAAAAACACCACGCAGGATCTCAGGGCTCAGGATGAAAACAAGCACTGAAAATACCTCATTGATAATTTTTATTTTTTTGAAACAGAGTTTCACTCTTGTTGCCCAGGCTGGAGTGCAATAGCGTGATTTTGGTCACTGCCACCTCTGCCTCCTGGGTTCAAGCAATTCTCCTGCCTCAGCCTCCTCAGTAGCTGGCATTACAAGCATGCACCACCATGCCCAATTAATTTTGTATTTTTCTGTAGAGACAGAGTTTCTCCATGTTGGTCAGGCTGGTCTCAAACTCCCAAACTCAGGTGATTCATCCACCTCAGCCTCCCAAAGTGCTGGGATTATAGGCGTGAGCCACCATACCCGGCCAGCCTCTGTACTTCTTAAATGTGGCTGCTGGAAGAGTTTGAGATGGCACATCCACATCTGTCATCTTGCTTCATATTCCTAGGGGACAGCACTGCTCTGGAGCCCCAAACCGTGATGTGACCTGTGAGATGACGGTCCACTGGCTGTGAAATGACCCTGGAAGCCACGTCGTGGGTGCCAGTGGGTTATGACCGAGTCATGCTCTGGGCAAGCCCCGTGGGAAACAGCGTCCCCGGCCAGTGTGGGTTACTTGGAACCATGCAGTCATATTTCGTGGAGGCCAGTAACTAAGCAAGATGCCACGGTTCATCCCGATTACTTGGAGCTCAAAAAGTGAAAGTGGCAACCTGGCTGCTTCCACCTCGGCCCCCTCCCCTTCCTCCCAAGGCCCTTCTCTGGGCTTGTCCCTTTCGAGGGGGCCTGAGAGCAGGATCGTGGTCCTGGGAGGAGCCGATACCTGTTTGCCAGTGAGATCACCCTGTTCGTGGCATCGGCCTCTTGCTGACACTTGATTTTCTCAGCTGTTGCTTTTTCAAACGCTGAGGTCAGGTTGCTCAGGTTGGCATTAAGTTCCTGCAAAACCAGGTTGGAAAGGTGCTGGAAACCCCCGAGGCCTCCTAGCACCCTGCCTCGGCAGCAGGGCTGGGCACTGTGAGCGCCGAGTATGGAAGAAGCTCCCACAAAGGCTGAGAGTCCTCTGGAGCATGGAGGCCAAGGACGCCAAGCAGATCCCGGCACCACCTGGCCCTTCCTGCCGCCTGCATCCTCTCGCACTGCTTAATAATTCATGACGGCGGGCCGTGCTGGCCCATTTTAAACAGAGATATTGACTGGCAGCGCAAGCCAGGGGCTTTCGTGTTTTGCAGGACAGCAGAGCGCCAGCACTTACAGCAATCTTGTTTTTGATCCGGGACAGCTTTTCCTGAGCCTCTGCCAGCTCTGCATTGGCCTCCTCCAGGGCCTGCCTCTTGGGTGCCACGTCACAGTAGACCTCATAGAAGCGAACGATGTTGATACACCAGGAGCACAGGCCGGCAGCGGCCGTGGACTTGGAGCGGATGAACTCAGGGTCAAACGTCGGGTTGCCTTGATAGGGCCTGGCGAGGGAACAGCAGAAGGCTGGAGTGGTCACCCCGTCCTGCTCTGGCAAAGCGGGCCCAGAGAGGCTGAGTGTCTTGCCCAAGGTGGCACAGCTCTGGAGGGACAATGTTAGGATTCACACAGGCCCTAGAGGCCACCCCCCACCAGTTCCGCTCTCCCACTCCCGCTGCCCCATGGGGGCATTGCCCAGCTTTCCAAGCTGGGCACCGGGAGACTGAAACCATCTGATTACAGGGATGAGGCGCACAAGAGATGATGCTGCCAGTGTCGCACTCTGCGGGGACGGCACCGGGACCAAGAAAAACACCCATGGTGCGGCTTAGGCCCTCCAGAAACCAGTGTTTTAAAAGATGACACCAACACTGTTAGGTATGACCAACTGAACTGCCTGCAGAAAGAAATCTGAATGGGCAATTCAACATGATTTCTTTTTTTGTGAGATGGAGTCTCATTCTGTCACCCAGGCTGGAGTGCAGTGGAGTGATCTCGACTCACTGCAACCTCCACCTCCCGAGTTCAAGCAATTCTCCTGCCTCAGCCTCCTGAGTAGCCGGGACTATAGGTGTGCACCACCACACCCAGCTAATAATTTTGTTTTGTATCTTTAGTAGAGATGGGGTTTTACCATGTTGGCCAGGATGGTCTCGATCTTTTGACCTTGTGATCTGCCCACCTCAGCCTGGGTGCACTGGCTCATGCTGGGATTACAGGTGTGAGCCACCACCCGGCCCAAAATGTTAACTGAAACATCATTTGAACTGAGGTTGGGAACAGAGCCCGTCGTTTCTTGCTGTGGTCTACTGATGCTGCCTGTAGGCTGCTATTAAAATTAGGGTGCATTTCCCAACACATACCACACCATGTGGGCAGGGGGCAGTCCAGAAGGTTGTGGGGTGATGGAAGATGACATTCATGGAGGCCTCATTTATAATAGCAAAATGGAGACAGCCTAAATATTTACCAGTGCAGGAAAAACGGAGAACTTATGATTACTGTATGGTAAGATCATATATAATAAAGTTAAGAAAATCAAATTTACCTTTTTTTTTTTTTTTTTTTTGAGACAGGGTCTCACTGTGTCACCCAGGCTGGAGTACAGTGATGTGTGATCACAGCTCACAGCAGCTCTGTCCTCCCGAGCTCAAGTGATCCTCCCACCTTAGCCTCCTAAATAGCTGGGACTACAGGCACATACCACCATGACTGGCTAATTTTGAAAATTTTTTATAGAGACAAGGTCTTTCTTTGTTGCCCAGGCTGGTCTCGAACTCCTAGGCTCAGGCAGTTCTCCTGCTTTGGCCTCGCAAAGTGCTGGGATTAAAGACTAAAGGTGTGAGGCTGGGTACGGTGGCTCACCCCTGCACTCCCTGCACTTTGGGAGGCTGAGGCAGGTGGATCACGAGGTCAGCAGTTTGAGACCAGCCTGACCAATATGGTGAAACCCTGTCTCTACTAAAAATACAAAAATTACCCAGGCATGGTGGTATGTGCCTATGATCCCAGCTACTCAGGAGGCTGAGGTAGGAGAATCACTTGAACCTGGGAGGTGAAGGTTGCACTGAGCTGAGATCGCTCCACTGCACTCCAGCCTAGGTGACAGAATGAGACTCCATCTCAAAAAAAAAAGAAACAATACCGTATACATACATTTATTCCACTTTCAGTTTTTACTTAATATTATCACACACAAAAATCATTTTTCCCTGTGTTATTAAAACACTTCTCAGCCAGGCATGGTGGCTGGCCTGTAGTCCCAGCTACTCAGGAGGCTGAGGCACAAGAATCACTTCAACTAAAAAAAACACCTTAGAAAAAAGACTGAAAAGAAATATATCAAATGTTGATTGATAGTGGCAACACCCTAGGGTACCCCTACAGGTGTTCTTGTTTTATTCTCTTGTACTTTATTGTATGTTTCCGAGATGTTTTTCAGTGGTCCCACCCTCTTCCTCCCATATGGGAGGTACTGGAGTCCTAGCTGGGGTCACTGGGTCACTGGGGTCATGGGTTGTGGTCCTCAGTGGGAGACAGGCCGGGCACCCACAGAGTGGAACACCCTCAGAATGCCAGCATGTTAACATTTATGGGGTGAAATGCAGAGTCCACATGGCACCCTTCCCAAGTCCCACAGGCCATCCCAGAGGGAGCCACTGCCAGTCCTTCCCTCCAGAGGAAGGACCTTTATGGTCAGGCCAGTGAAAGGAGGAAAGATGCATGGCAGGGCCTCAGGCACGTGACCATTCACCGTGTATGCCTGTCTGCATGTGTGTGCTTATGTGTGTACATGTGCACACATATGTACATTTTGTATGTATGGCATTCACAGGTACACGTGTTCACATGTGCATATATATACATGTGCACATGTGTGCATTGCATTGCTACATGTATTCGTGTGCACATGCATGTGGATTGTGTGCACTGCCTTCATGTGTATGTTTATGTGTGCATGTATATGTGTGCTTACATACATGTATAAATGTGTGTGACGTGTATGCATTTTGTACATATGTGCATGTGTGCACTGCATTTGTGGCTACATGCATTCATGGGTGCATGCATGTGGATTGTATGCACAGCATTCATGTGTACATGTTTATGTGTGCATGTGTTTATGTACATGTATACAGCTGTATGTGTGTGACATGTGTGCATTTTGTACGTGTGCGTGTGCACACTGCATTCGTGGCTACATCTGTGCATGCATGTGCTTGTGTGGTCAGCTGCTCTCACAGGGGTGACCTCTGTGGGGCCTGGTTGGCCTCTCTCACAGACCTGTGGCCTGAGGGTTCCCGCTGCTGAGCTTGCTGCTGTGTTCTTGGGGCGCTGTATGGGGAAGGGGCTACCTAGATTCTGAGCCACAGGCCCCAGGAGGCTGGGGCAATGCTTCACCTCAGCACCCCACCTTGACCTGCTGGAGAGTCGGAGGGCAGCCCCAACTCACTGGAAGGCCTTCAAGCAGGCCTCGGGGATGTGCTCCTTGTCAAACTTCTTCAGGGAGTCTAGGAAGGTGTCCACCTTGCCCATCATGATCTTGGCTGCCTTCCAGCTCTTGTCCTTGGGGATCTTGCCCCCGGGTGCCGTCAGGATCATGACAGCAGCGGTGACGTTGACCACAGCGTCCGGGGGGGACCCGAAGGACTTCAGCTCTGTCAGGTTGTTCTGCAAACCACAGACAGGATGGGTCAGATGGGAGTTTGGGCCAGGTCCAAGGAAGCCGCTGTGAGCGCGTCACCACCCACGCCAGTAGGGAAGGCCGCTTCTTCTCCGCTGGGCCAGGGGTCCCCTTTCTTCCCCGCTCCTTTACCTTATTCAGAGTGTCCAGAGCCTCCTGCGCGGCCAGCAGGGCCGGTTCCGCTTTGGCCAGGTCCGTTTCACAAGCCTTTTGCTTCTCAGTGACATTCTGGAAGGAAGATGGACAGGAGAGGTCACTGAAGGTCTGTCTTTCTGCCTGTGGGGGTGTGTGTGCCTGTGTGTATGTATGTGTGTGTGTGCATCTATGCATATGTGGTGCACATGCATGTACATGTATGTGCATACACACATGTGCGTGTGTAGGCAGCGGTGGCGAGGGCTGACTCAGGCCCCAGCAGGTCTGAGCTCCACAGAGAGGTTGCCCCTCTGGCCCCTGCTCATTTGCTGCATTTGCTAACTGTGCTCCTTTGCCAATATCCCTCCATGCACCGTGGCTGCTGTCTGGAGCCCACCTTCCTCCCCTGCCTCCTCTGCTCTGTCCCACCCCCTCAGTGCTTCAGCAGTGGCTGGGATTCTGGAACGGGAACTGTTCCTTCTACTGGCCTGAGCTCACAAGACTGGAGGGGAAATCCAGGGGCCATCTAGACCACCTTGGCTTTTCGACCTTATTGTTTCTGGGGCTGTTTAATAATCCCTATAAAATGGAACATTTCAGAGTGTACAGCTCATCCCCCCTCTAAGAAAGCAGAAACTCCTTCATTCATGCACATGTTCATTCATTCACTCAGCAGACAGTGTGCAATGATTGGACCGCTCTTAATTTAAATAATTACACAGCTATGGGACTGATGACAAAAAAAACACCCAGGGAGGGGTGATCTGAAGTTGCGCCAATGATGCTGTGGGCCTCCAGGCTCCAAAGGTGAAGATGCTCCCCCTTCACCTTTGATTTCTGTTGAAGCGGCAGTTCTCAACCTCGGCCACCCCACAAACCAGCAAGGAGCCTGCTGGGAATACTCTGAACCCCTCTGTGGTGACTAAGCAACCCCACGCTTCTGGAAGAACTGGCAAAACCCAAGCTATCTGAAATAACAAGACGAAATTGTTGATTTTTAACCTGTAAATTCTCCTAGAATTTGGTTTTCCTGAAATGAGTTCTTTGCTTTGTGATGCTTGTTACTTACTGTATCGATTGTATTTGAGAAAATGAAGGGTAATGTGAAATGCTGAGATGTGACTTATAACTTTGGCTCTGCTAAGATGAAACTTTTAACTCTGGCTCTGCTGAACTGTTCTGGTAAAAACAGGAATTCTGTGAAAGGGCCTAACCACACAGCTTGACTGCCGGAGAGAGATGACAGCGCGTAACGGGCTTCTCGTTGCAGAGAGCCTATACGTGGACATGTGATGGAGAGGCTTGTTACCTGGATTTCTTTCCCAGGAAAGGCATATCGATTCGAGCCCTGGAAAGGGAATGCGACCCTTCTGGAGAGCCTATAAGCAGACGCATGAGGAGCGCCTGTCTCTGTGGTGGAGAGAAGGATGTAAAAGTCTTTTTTCTCCCACTGCTCCCCCAGGCCTGCGTGGAGGCCCCTCCTCTTGCGGTTTTTGTGGTCAGGCTGGTTGTCCTGTGTCAGATCCTGCTCCCTCTGTAGCTGTGAGCCCAATGTGTTCTTGCTGATCATCCTAAGTTTATGTTTAACCTCTGTTCTTGCTAAGGTGTATGGTTTCTATGCTGACACACAGAAAGTTGTCTTTGCATTGTTCTGCTTTAATAACACCGCGTTGTGGTTTCTGTGCACCAGTTTTTGCAAATGTATTCTTTTTGTATAATTATCACCGAAACGTTGTGTAACCTCGCTCCCCTCCCCCACTGAAAGAGCACAATAAAAAACAAGTTTTCAGGGGAATGTCAGACATCCACGAAGCCACATTATGTGGTGTCTCCCCTGGGCCCAGCTTTAAGGAAAACTTTTTCCTCGTCTCTCTCTCTTTTTCACTGACCACGTGATCACTTTGAGAGATCTTAAATCCACATTGATGTATTGGGAGCTGGTCTCGCCAATAGGAGCCCACCCCTGGCCAATGACATCCTACCCTCTGTGGGGGTCCAGAGCGGCACATCCGAGGACCAGGCTCCAGTGAGGTCTTCTCAACCCCTCCATGGTCACAGCTTGAGGCCATCTTGTTAACATGCAGGCCCCATTCAGCAGAGCTGAGCTGGTGCCTGAGAACCTGCATTTCTCGCAATCTCCTAGTAAGGCTGCCGCTGCGGGCTGGGGGCTGAACATCGAGGAGCTGGGTTGCAGGGTTGGGAGCTTTCTAAGGAAAGCCCACTTGTGAGCGGGGGCCCTCACCTGGGAGAGACGCTCTCCTTCTGGGGACCCGCTGGTTTAGGAACCTCATCCTTCTATGCAGGTCTTAGCCTTTTCCGTGTCTGTTGGTGGCACGTGACCACATGGGGAGGCCTGGGAGGCCTGGCCAGTGCAGCAACCCTGCTAAGGCCACACTGGGCTGCCTCTGCCTACCTTATTAATGACCTCGACTTTCACTTCTTCCTCGTCAGCAATAGCCTTCTCTTTGCTGACCTTCTCGGTCTCGATGCCGACCACCTGGATCAATTTATCTGCACTCTCATTCTTCTGCTTGAGCTCAGCCTCTTGAATCGCCAGCTTGGCTTTCAAGTCATCCACCTGGGGAGGGAGAAAGCAATTAACGGCAAGCGTGGGCCGCAGCCAACGCACGCTGCCCTGCACAGGAGGAGCAGATGGCAGCACAGCGTCTGACGATTCCCAGTGACTCGTTTTGGAGGGTCTTTTCAGTATCTTAAAAGTAAGTATTGATTGAACACTGACTATATACACGGGGTCACAAGTATGAGACATTCCTGGGGCTCAAAGGAATTGGCAAGTTGACTAAATAGAAAAACAACTGCAGCCTAGGCAACATAGTGAGACCCTGTCTGTATAAAAAATAATAATAAAAAATTAGCCAGGCATGGTGGCCTGCACCTGTGGTCCCAGCTACCTGGGAGGCTGAGGTGGGAGGATCGCTTGAGCCCAGGAAGATGAGGCTGCAGTGAGCCATGATCGCACCACTGCATTTCAGCGTGGATGACACAGCGAGGCTCTGTCTCAAATGCCAACTGAGTTGCAGTGCTGAGCAGCCAGGGATGGCCAGGGCCCCTCCAGGCTGATGGGAGAGTGACAGTGAGAGTTCGGGGGGGGCAGGGGTCCAAAAGCTCCCTCAGAAGCAAGTGGGAGGTCTTAGTTTGCTCATCACTCCAGCAGGGAGGTGGTGGCTATTTTCAGGCCCCCGCCCCCGACAGGTGTCAACGGTGGGCAATAAAGATGAAAGAGCCGGGACTGCATGATGGAGGGTGTCTGAAGCAGGCAGAACCCATACAAATCAAAACGACATAGAGGAGAGGATCCAGGAAGAGTTTTGAGCCGGGCACCACAGTACGAACAGCATTTACAAATGAACAAATGCATTTTCACTGACTGCATTGGGCTTTGCGATCAAATCTCACCAGACACAGGACAGGAGCCATCACCTGTGTCAAGCAGTCTCCGCACGAGCAGGACTGTAAAAGCATTCTGAGTCTTTGCTATGACAGGTACACTAACTGAAAGCTTCCCGAAGGCAGGAAGCATGCTCATCTTACTTCAGGCAGTGCTGAGCCCCGGTGTGACCAGCCCACAGAAGCCTGACAGTAACGGCTCCTGGGAACTGGTGGCCGGCGCCCCCCACCTACCTGGGAAGCCGTGCTCTGCAGCTTCATCAGGCCGTTCTCCAGCCTCTCGACTTTGGCAGCCAGCTCTGTTCTCTTCTTGGCCAGCAGGTTCTGGTACAGCTTGATCTGCTCCAGAAAGGTTTTGGGCGTGGTGTAGTTGTAGCGTCTCTCAGTAGCCAGGTACACCTTGGACATGTCATTGACGGTGGTGTGCACATAGGACATGAAAAAGCTGAGGGAGGCCTTGACTTCCCGCTACAAAGACGAGACAGCTGGTCATCCCTGGGACCCCGTCCTGCAGATCAGCAAAGTGGGGCTTCCCAGACTCACTGAGGGCCCTGGACAAGGTGCCCTGAGGCCTCTCAACCTCAGTGGCTTCCAATGCCCAAAGGGGCTCCTGAGAGCAACAGATCCTGGGGCTCTTGTGGGCATTTCACCATGAAAGGGTTTAGCTCAGTGCCTGGGACACAGAAGAGCTTGTTACCATTATCTCTGATGCACACACACGTACATGCACACATGCACATGCATATATACACACGCACTCACGTACCTGTATACACATGCACACGCACTCACGTACCCACATCTCCACATGTGCATGCTCATTCATGTCCTCCGCATCTATACATGTGCACACACATTCACATAACCACATCTATACATGTGCACACATACCTGCATCTGTGCACATGCATATGCACATACCTGCATCTATACACATTCACATATCCGCATCTATACACGTGCACACACATTCACATATCTGCATCTATACACGCGCACACACATTCACATACCCGCATCTATACACGTGCACACACATTCACATACCCGCATCTATACACGCGCACACACATTCACATACCGGCATCTATACACGCGCACACACATTCACATACCTGCATCTATACAGGCGCACACACATTCACATACCGGCATCTATACACGCGCACACATTCACATACCGGCATCTATACACGCGCACACACATTCACATACCTGCATCTATACACGCGCACACACATTCACATACCGGCATCTATACACGCGCACACACATTCACATACCTGCATCTATACACGCGCACACACATTCACATACCTGCATCTATACACATACAAACACATTCACATACCGGCATCTATACACGCGCACACACATTCACATACCTGCATCTATACACGCGCACACACATTCACATACCTGCATCTATACACGCGCACACACATTCACATACCGGCATCTATACACGCGCACACACATTCACATACCTGCATCTATACACGCGCACACACATTCACATACCTGCATCTATACACATACAAACACATTCACATACCGGCATCTATACACGCGCACACACATTCACATACCTGCATCTATACACGCGCACACACATTCACATACCTGCATCTATACACGTGCACACACATTCACATACCCGCATCTATACACGCGCACACACATTCACATACCTGCATCTATACACGAGCACATTCACATACCTGCATCTATACACGCGTACACACATTCACATACCGGCATCTATACACGCGCACACACATTCACATACCTGCATCTATACACGTGCACACACATTCACATACCGGCATCTATACACGCGCACACACATTCACATACCTGCATCTATACACATACAAACACATTCACATACCGGCATCTATACACGCGCACACACATTCACATACCTGCATCTATACACGCGCACACACATTCACATACCTGCATCTATACACGCGCACATTCACATACCTGCATCTATACACGCGCACACACATTCACATACCTGCATCTATACACGCGCACACACATTCACATACCTGCATCTATACACGTGCACATTCACATACCTGCATCTATACACGCGCACACACATTCACATACCTGCATCTATACACGCGCACACACATTCACATACCTGCATCTATACACGCGCACACACATTCACATACCTGCATCTATACACGCGCACACACATTCACATACCTGCATCTATACACGCGCACACACATTCACATACCGGCATCTATACACATACAAACACATTCACATACCGGCATCTATACACGCGCACACACATTCACATACCTGCATCTATACACATACAAACACATTCACATACCTGCATACCTAAAAAAGTACAAGGCTGAGACTATGTTTTCATATCCCAGATAATTCTCCAAATATTTATTGTTTACTCCCAAGGCTGGGTTCTGGGATTTAGAACCTCTTTCTCCCAGCCCTCTGGGCCTGCCCACCTACCTGAAGGCAGACACTGGGAGCTTTGCCCAGAAACTGTCTCAGCGATATTCATTTTAATTCAGGATGTTCTGAAAAGTAATGAATTCATCCAACACACATGGGTTAGCATGTGCGTAGTGCTGGAGGCGGGTGGGGCAATGCCTGTTTCTAGGAAGCCTCTGCCATGGGAACTAGAAACCCAAATCTATGCTCCAAAGGACACTTCTGAACTGAAGAGTTACTGGGAGTGACCAATCTCATAAATGAATGCTCTAACAGCAAGTGGGCTCTTCTTCCCATCTTTAAAAACCAGGAGAAAGAGAAGTTAGTTTCAGGTTTATTCTAGCCTACTCAATCACTTCATATGTGTTCAAAATAACTAAGAGATGGTAATAAAGGGGGCTGATCCTAAGGGCTCCTCATCCCTCCTACTGAGTTCGTTGAAAGTGAGCCAGAGTTTATAGGTGATTTCCAGGCAAGCATTTAGCTTAAACAGTGAACATGGGCACCATATTTCATCGTTTTTTTGTTTTTGAGACAGTCTTGCTCTGTCACCCAGGCTGGAGTGCAGTGGTACAGTCTCAGCTCACTGCAACCTCTGCCTCCCAGGTTCAAGCGATTCTCCTGCCTCAGCCTCCCAAGTAGCTGGGATTACAGGCATGAACCACCACATCCAGCTAATTTTTATATTTTTAATAGAGATGGGGTTTCACCATGTTGGCCAGGCTGGTCTTGAACTCCTGACCTCAAGCGATCTGCCCACCTCAGTCTCCCAAAGTACTGGGATTATAGGTGTGAGCCACCACCCCTGGCCTTGGGCACCATCTTTCAATAAAAAGAGACTTCGAGAGAATGTGGGACCTATCATTTCCCCTGAGGTGCACAAGGCAATGGTGTGCACCCTTGTGTATGCTTAACCCAGCAAACAGGCTCTCCAGCCAGCACTCGAGACAAGGTAGAAAGCCCGAGAGGCCCACGCTGTCCGCACGCTGTGTGTCCTCAGCCCTCCTGAACTGGCCCTGGGGCCTTGGCCACACAGGTCCTGATTGGAAACCCCGCCTCCATGGCTCAGGATTGCAGGACAATGAAACAAAAAACCCAACAGCCACCTCAGTTCACAATTCTGATGGTTTGTTCATCACGCATTTTTTTAGCATTCATTTCCATCTTCAAAATGAATACATTAAAACCTCACTTATCTGGATGCCTGAGGTTTCTGGCAGCCTCTTAAATGTTGAGCCCCAGGCGGGCGCCTCACTCAGCTCACCCTAGTCCCAGCTCCTTCTCTCCCAGGGAGCCAGCCCTTGCCTACCCCTGTCCTCCCGGCTCTGTGCTGCGGCAGAGGTGGCCCTGGTAACTTACTGGAATTCCCTCGGTCTCCTCCAGGAAGCGTGCGCTGACGGACACCAGGGCATCTTCTGGCCACTCGTGGAACCAGTCGATGGCCGTGCAGTTGACCACAGCTGGGAATTTTCTGGCTCGTACCCGCAGCACGGAGCCCACAGGGGAGAAACACAGGATCACCTGGGTGTGGGGGACACAGAGGCACTGTTCACTGGGACTGCAGTGCCGGGGCCTAATCCATCAGTCCAGAGAAAGCTCTTCCAGAAAGCCGGGCTTGGCTGCCCAGGGCCTGGGGAGCGCAGTCCCCGTTCTGGGTTTGCAAGGCGGCTGCTGCACTGCAGTGAATAGCTGCTCATCTGACTCCTGCTCTCACTAGCAATCCCAATCCCTCCCGAAGGGGCGCCTGCCTCTCTAAAAAAGAGAAAGGGCAAAGAAAGGAGTGGGGAGTGGGCATCCACATTGGACAGATGAGGCCTGAGAACAGCCGTGCTCCAAGCCCTCCGGTTCAGCAGGAGGGGTCCCTGCTAGGCCCTGGAGGACAGCGGCTAATTCCCAGAAAGGGCAGGGAGTCCCTGGGACCCCAGCTGGAGAAGCTGCTGTGGAAACAGACCTGGGGGGCTCTCTGGCTAGATAAGAACGTCCCTTGCCATGGGCTTCAGCCTCCCAGCTGCCTTTGCCCTCTGGTCCCCTCTTTCGTGGTGTAGATACTGCACGGACATTGCCATTTGTGGGGTGGCTCACGCTTGGCTGACTTTGCAGCCCTCACTACATGATGACGTGAGGGTGCTTGGACAGAGCAGGCAGTGACAGGGCCAGAGAGGATCCAGGAGCGGGCAGTGCCCATCAGGGGACGCCTTTGCCTCCACAGATAGCATTCACTCACTGGGCTAGGCAGCCTGGAGAGAGGCAAGAGGGCCCCTGCTCTATTTGAGTCACGTAGGGAAAACGGTGGCCGGCACGTACCCAGGAGAGCTATGGGGTTGGCTGCCCCCAAAATGCAGCACCACTGAACTCTGGAGAAGACAGGGCTGACAGTTCCAGGGGCTGTCTGTCCTGCTAGGGGAGTTTAGCCCACTTGCCCTAGAGGCGATAAAGAAAGTCATGGTGCGGCCAGGTGTGGCAGCTCACGCCTGTAATCCCAGCACTTTGGGAGGCTGAGGCGGGCAGATCACCTGAGGTCAGGAGTTCAAGACCAGCCTGGCCAACATGGTGAAACCCTGTCTCTATTAAAAATACAAAAATTAGCTGGGTGTAGTGGCACATGCCTGTAGTCCCAGCTACTTGGAAGGCTGAGGCAAGAGAATCATTTGAACCGAGGACTCAGAGGTTGTAGTGAGCCGTGACTGCACCACTATACAGCCTAGACGACAAGAGCAAAATTCTTTCCCACCCCCTCAAAAAAAAATCAAGGTGCATTTATCTACTTAAACCAGCTATGTGCGGGGAGGGGTCACAGGGTCGGCTCTGTCCACAGATGTGGATTTAACCAACCATGGACTGAAAATAATTTCAAAAAATAAAGATAAAATAATATAAATTAAAATATAACACGTATTTACATAGCATTTTATATTATATCAGGTATTATAAGTAATCTAGAGATGATTTAAAGTAGCGGGGAGCATGTTCAAAATACAACACTGTTTTATATCAAGGCCTCGAACACCCATCCCTCTGTGGATTCTGGTTTCCATGGGGGTCCTGGAATCCATCCCCCTCAGATACCAAAGGACAGCTGTAAACACTTCTTTTAGCCCCAAGGCACCTCTAACCACCAACCCACGTAAAAAAATCTCCAGGTTCCAGTTCTTCAGACAGCCCCACCCCTAACGCTCTCCTAACAGGATTTCACACCCCATGAAGGATTAGTCTCCCTACTCTATGCAGAGCAAAAACCCAAGCCCTGTTGGCAATAGGAGCCAAGCTGGGCTCCTGGGGCCCAGCCCAAGACAGGCGTCCCACCTTGAGCTGTCTGCGCACTTTCTCGATGAAGAATTTCCAACACTCTTCCCGGGTGTCGGTGATGCCGAGGGACTTGACTTGGGGTCGCATGGAGGAGATGATGTTCTCCACCTCATCCTCCGTGAACAGCCCGGGGATCTCTCCTGAGGCCAACAGGTCATTGATCAGCACCAGAAACTGCTCCTCAGCCACCTGGGAGTCTGTCATCAGGAACACCGAGGGGACGTTCTTCACGGCAGCCTTTATGTACTGAGCAGCGAGGTCGACCTGGACGGAATAAGGACATGCTTAGGGGCCTTGGTAAGAAGATGCTCAATTAGAGACATCATCCACAACCACCCAGAACCCAGGGCCATGGAGTCAACTTTCTTTTTCTTTTATTCTGTGATACAGAGTCTCGCTCTGTCATCCAGGCTGGTGTGCAACGGCACGATCTCGGCTCACTGTAACCTCCACCTCCCGGGTTCAAGCGATTCTCCTGCCTCAGCCTCCCAAGTAATTGGGATCACTGGCACACTCTGCCACAGGACCAACTTTCTAAGAAATGTAGGCCAGGCATGGTGGCTCACGCTTATAATCCTAGGGCTTGGGGAAGCTGAGGTGGGGGATCCATTGAGGCCAAGAGTTCAAGACCAGCCTGAGCAACACAGCAAGACCCTGTCTTTAAGGAAAAGAAAAAAGGAAGAATCCAAGGTCTGTAGCAGAAGACCCAAAACCTTAAACAGAGCACAGCCAGGTTCACAGCAGCCATCAGGACACCCAAGTGTCCATCCACGCATGAACAGGCACACAAAGCACAGTCCATCTGTGCAATGGAATCGGATTCGGTCATAAGAAGGGAGGAAATTCTGACACATGCTAAATCACAGATGGACCTTCAGGACATGGCACTGAGTAAAGAAGCTGGACACGAAAGGACAAATACCATGTGATTCCACCTACATGAGGTCCCGAGAGCAGCCAAAGTCAGAGCAGAAAGAAGAACGGAGGTTGCCAGGGACTGGGCTGGGGAAGGGGGAGTTTTTCCTTCATGAGACAGAGCTCCTGTTTGGGAGGATGAAAGGGTTCTGGAGAGGGACAGTAGTGACAGTCACACAAGAACGTGAATGTGCTTCATGCCACTGGACTAGATGTGAAAGGTGGTGAAAATGTCTTACTTTTTTTTTTTTGAGGCAAAGTCTCACTCTGTCACCCAGGCTGGAGTGCAGTGTCGCGATCTTGGCTCGCTGCAGCCTCCACCTCCCAGCTTCCAGCAGTTCTCCTGCCTCAGCCTCCCAAGTAGCTGGGACTACAGGTGTGCACCACCACACTCAGCTAATTTTTGTATTTTCGGTAGAGACCGGGTTTCACCATGTTGGCCAGGCTGGTCTCAAACTCCCGACCTCAGGTGATCCGCCCGCCTCAGCCTCCCAAAGTGCTGGGATTACAGGCGTGAGCCACCTCACCCAGCTGAAAAATCTTACTCTTCTATTTGTCTTGGAAAAAAATTTTTTAAAATAAAAGAACAGGCTGGGTGTGGTGGCTTACATCTATAATCCCAACACTTTGGGAGGCTGAAGCAGGCAGATCACCTAAGGGAAGAAGTTTGAGAGCAGCCTGGCCAAAATGGTGAAACCCAGACTCTACTAAAAATACAAAAATTAGCCAGTCATGGTGGTGGGTGCCTGTAATCCCAGCTACTTGGGAGGCTGAAGCATGAAAATTTCTTGAACCCTGAGGCAGAGGTTGCAGTGAACCGAGATGTTGCCATTGTACCCCAGCCTGGGTGACAGAGTGAGACTCCATCTCAAAATAAACAAATAATAGTGAAAACAGTCAATTTTATACTATGCACATTTTATCACACCTGCAAAAGGAAAGAAAAAAATCTTAAATGGAGACCCTAAAAGAGGCCCTGAATAAATATACGGCAGGCTTGGCCTGGGAAACTCAACGGGGAACCCCCTTCGGAGTCATCCATATACACGGCAGAGCTCCTCCCAGCCCCAGTGGGTTTAAAGACAGAGCCACAAAATGATTTCACAGGAATTTTGGAAGAATAAATGAAGAAGAGGGTTTTTGTTTGTTTGTTTGTTTGTTTTTTTAAAGCATGGCCGGCAGGCACGGTGGCGCACACCTGTATTCCTAGCACTTTGGGAGGCTGAGGCAAGCAGATCAAGAGGTCAAGAGATTGAGACCATCCTGGCCAAGATGGTGAAACCCCATCTCTATTAAAAATACAAAAAATTAGCTGAGCATGGTGGCGAGTGCCTGTAATCCCAGCGACTCAGGGGGCTGAGGCAGAAGAATCACTTGAACCCAGGAGGTGGAGGTTTCAGTGAGCCGAGATTGCATCACTGCACTCCAGAGTGAGACTCCATCTCAAAAAAAAAAAAAAAAAAAAGCATGGCCAGGCACGGTACTCACGCCTGTAATCCAAGCACTTTTTGGGAGGCCAAGGCTGGCAGATCACGAGGTCAATAGATGGAGACCATCCTGACCAACATGGTGAAACCCCGTCTCTACTAAAAATACAAAAATTAGCTGGGCATGGTGGCGAGTGCCTGTAGTCCCAGCTACTCGGGAGCCTAAGACAGGAGAATTTCTTGAACCCAGGAGGCAGAGGTTGCAGTGAGCTGAGATCATACCATTGCACTCCAGCCTGGGCACAGAGCGGGCCTCCATCTTAAAAATAAAAAAAAAACAAAAAAACATTACAGAGCAGTAAATGCCTGCCAGCCTCATCCAAGTAGTAGCGTGTATTTCCAGGGTTTTGGCTATTTGCTTACTTATAATATTGAATTTAAAAAACTAGACCTACAGGCTTCTGTACTTATTGAAACAGCTTTAAAGCATCCACTGTAGGCACCACATGCCTGCTCCATCCTTCTGAACCAGGTCCCATTCCTCCAAGTGTCTCTGTATAAAGAGAAACGTCACCAAGCCAGATCTTTTGGAGTTGACCAGGGTCAAAAAAGCCAGCCTCAAATCTCCTATCTTTCGAGAAGCTAAGAAAAAGCAAGGGGAATCCATGAGCCTGGAAAAGCAGGTGGGTCTCCAGCCATGGCTATGTCCTTGGACCCTGCCTCAAGGCAAGGGGCAGAGTGTGAGAGCAGGGATGACCTTGAGTCAAAAACGAGTCACCCTTCAGGTAGCAAGTGCATTGGGTAGAGACTGACCATACCAGACCCCCCCCCCTTTTTTTTTTTTCCTGATTTTACTTTTTTAGAGATAGGACCTCACTGTGTCACCCAGGCTGGAGAGCAGTGGCATGATCACAGCTTATTGCAGCCTCTACCTCCTGGGCTCAAGTGATCCTCCTGCCTTGGCCTCTCAAAGTTCGGGGATTACAGGCTTGAGCCACTGCACCTGCCCCATCTGGCTTTCTCACAGCCGCACTGTCCATCACCTGGCTGTGACCGCTGGGCTGCCCCTGGATTCCGGCCTGCCCCCACCTCACCCTCCCCACACACTCCCTGGCACAGTCTCCCCCACTCCCGCCCTCTTCACCACCGCTGAGGCCAGTCCCCGCATCTCCACCCCCACCCCATTTCTGCACTTCTCAGCCTCATGCATCCTGCTGGGCACTGGCTGCCTCATCCCGAGGTATATCATCTCCCCAGCTCTCCCTCCCATCTTGGTTGAGAGCCCCATGGTGCTACTGAAGCTGGAGATGCCTACATCCCTGTCATCACTGTCAGCCAAGGATGGCAATCCTCACCTGCATCTAGGCCTGCCTAGGGACCAGCCATGAGTAAGGGGCACAGGCTTCCCTTTCTCTGGCCAGAGTATCATCAGCGGCATCTTTCCTTGCCACAGCCAATGCCACCGGCAGTAGAGAGCAAGGACAGGGAGCCAAGGTTTGAGAGTGGGGTGTGCGAGCTGCGCAGCAAGGCCTCCTCCCTGAGAATCATGTGAGGCCAAGCCCCCCACCCCATCCGATGGCTGCTTCTCACCCCTCCCCTTTCCTCTGCAGGAAGTCGGGGGCACCTGAGTTGCTGGGACCATGGTCCCTTGTTTTGCTGAAAGGCTTTCATCATGGGGCAGCCCAGCTCCAGCTGCTGACTCAGGCTGGGGAGAAGGTTTCACCGAAAGAAAAGCTCCCCACCGCCTGGCCCCGGGGGCTGTGTGTGGGGTGTGAGAGGGGAGCTGGGGTAGCACCTGAAGGTTTTAGATCCTGGACCCCAGCTGAGCCCCTGAGGTCATACATGCCCTCCCTCTCGGCAGGCACAGGCCTCGCTGGTCCTGCTTCACCCTCCCCGCCATTATCCCTTCTTATCGCACCTGCCTGCTTTTGGGCTTTGTGGGGTCACAGGCCTTGTGCCCCAGCTCCACCCAGGTCATCCTTCGGCAGTTTCTGTGCTTTCAAACTATCCTTCCCGTGTCCTAAACACTGCTAGGTCCTGTCCCCTTTATCCCCCGGCTTGCACATCTGGATGGTGTCTCGTTTTCTTGGGACCGAGCCCAGGGCTTTTCACGCGGCACCCTGTCCTCCAGGGCCCGTTCCCCACCCCTTTCCTGTGCACCCCTAGCCTCTAGCAGGTGCCACAGCTTTCAGTACCTACTTTATAATTTTACATCATCACAAACATATACGTTACCCTCATGGGCTGAGCCTGTTACTAGGACAGCACTATTAGAATCAGAATCACTGTCATCCCAGCACTTTGGGAGGCCGAGGCAGGTGGATCATGAGGTCAAGAGATTGAGACCATCTTGGTCAACATGGTGAAACCCCGTCTCTACTAAAAAATAAATAAAAAAAACATTAGCTGGGCAGGGTGGCGTGTGCCTGTAATCCCAGCTACTCGGGAGGCTGAGGCAGGAGAACTGCCTGAACCCAGGAGGCGGAGGTTGTGGTGAGCCAAGATTGCGTCATTGCACTCCAGCCTGGGTAACAAGAGGGAAACTCTGTCTCAAAAAAAAAAAAAAAGAAAGAAAGAATCAGAATCACATGGAATGGCGCTCAGGAGGCTGGCTCCCCCAATATGATACAGGGAGTTTTCGCCCCGTGTATCTCTGCCCTTAGCTCTGAATCCACAGAAGCTGCTTAATAAATGATAGTGAAAGATGACTGCAAAGCTGATTCGTGAGGAGTGCAGGGGCAGTGAAATTCCACAGACCAGACTGCAGAGCGGCGGCTGATGTGGACGAATAAAATAGTACAGCACCCATGATCAGCCCCAGCAGGAGGGATCAGGAAGAAAATCCACGCAGGGAGGCAGAGCAAGGAAACTACGCCGACAGGAAAGTAAACCAACACGACTTAGGTAACAGACTAGAGACTGCGGCGGAGAAAGCTCAGTAAACCTATACAGCTCCAGGTTCAAACGACACTTGAGTGACGGCGGAGACCAACTCCATCAGGTGTGCTGAGAACCCATGGCTCACTACTGCTCATGGGTCCAGAAGGCCGGGCCGTGTTCGGGAGTGCCCATTTGAGGACTTCAAAAAAGAGCAGGCTTTCGTTTTTGTAATCCATTGGGAAGGCAGAGAACACACAGCCAGAAACTGGAGACTGTCCCAGAGGGTGGCTGTCCCTGGCACAGCCTGGCTTGCCCCCGTCCAGGGTCTCTGCCTGCAGATGCCTCTCACCACTCCCGGCAACACTGGCTCCAGGTCTGCCTGCTAAAGTCACCAGCCCAGCGACTGCCTCAGGGCCATGGGCTGTGGGAGGTTCCCCTTAGGGCTCCCCCTTGGGTCTGGCAGCATCCTGGCCCCACGACAACACCCCGGGCACAGACCCAGAGAAGGCATGGCCGTGTAGCACCATCTCATCAATTTCAGGTCTAATTTCAAGCACGGTGATTTGTTCTGAACTAATGGTACGCAGCTGCCTGAACCAATGGTACACAGAGAGCAGATTTTCAGGAACAAGAAATCAGTAAAAACCCTCAGCAGTGTGTCTTGGGTGTGGGAGATCTTATGTTTACTCTAATGTTTATTTAATTCATTTCAAAAGCACCATTCAGAAGCTCAGGCGTGCAGTCAGACACCTAGTCACGGCTCTGAATTCTGTCATCTGGAGAGAGAACAGGGAACCATTTGAAACACTCAGTGACCAGGGCAGGAATCCAATCTTTCTGCCTCTGTGATCTGTGTTGACTTTCTGGACTGTGTCCATCGAGGCATCGAGAGACACACTCTCCACCTCAGTCACACAGGCACGCGCACTGGCCGGAAGGTTTTCTGGCCTCGGATTTCTAAGGTAAAGATCCCTTAGATAAGGACTACTGGTGATGCTCGGATTCCCTGTGCTGGCTGGCTTCATTTTGGAAAAGAAAGTGGTGAAGTTTTTCTTTACTCCCTCATCCGACTGCAAAAGGCAGCTATTGAACAGTCACCTTGAGGTCGGAGATCCCATAGCCCTTCTTGAGGGTGATCTGGAACACATCGAGGCCGCTGATGTATGCCGCCAGGCGGGAGAGGCTCTGTTTGCCACTGCCGCCCACGCCTACCAGCAGGGCGTTCCCCCGGGGAGACTCCAGGATGCGATTAATCCTGCAGACGTGAGCCATGGCATCCTCAAACAGCACCTGCAGAAACCAGAGAGATGCCACAGCATCTTATAGCACCTGGCATCAGCTCTGTCACCAGCACGGACCCTGCGCACACTGAGGTGCACACCGTGTGCCCCACAGCCCCGCAGAATGCCACTGGATGTTGATAATGCAGCCGGAGAGGGTGACCTCGTCCAGGTCCCATGCCCTTGCCATCAGCCCCAGCCTGCTCACCAAATTCATGATCGCATTAACTTCATTGTAGCTGTCCAGGACGTCCACCAGCAGCTTGTTCAGATGAGCCACATCAGTTACAGGGACGTATTTGGGATCGCCAATCCCTTGAGCAAAGTGGCAGAAGATATTTGGCTTGGCAAATAAGAGCTCTTCACCAAGATCCTAGGAAAACAAGAGACGATACTTCTGGTTCTGGCCACCATGACCACACAGTTAATTAACAGCAGCTCAGTACTTTGCCACAGTGGCCCAGGAGGTCACCCTGGGGTACCAGAACCAGTCTTCAGGGGCCTGAACTTGGGGCTGTGGGCCCATCAAACCGCTGGGCAAATTTCCTGGGGTGGGAGGGTCTGATCCCACTGTATCAGGAAGGAATTCATAGTCCAAAGAAATGACTCCACCAAGAACACACAGGACACACCAGCAAGGCACACTGAGCCACACAGGGCCTCTCTCCACCCCGAGTGGATGGAGGGAGGTGACATACCCTCATCTACTAAGTGCTTGATTCTCACTTGGACCCACAGCCACGTGCTAGAATGATCGCGTGCAACCTAACATGGATCTTCCCACCACCACCAAAGGGCCCTACCGAGGGGTCTGTGGGGCTCAATGGCTGCAGATGCTCCCCCTCTTAGAGCCATGCTGGGTGCAGGAGAGAGACAGGGTAGCCTGACTTACATCAAAGAACTTCTTGGTGGAGGCCATGGTGACTCTGCGCAGTATTTCCTGGTCTTTTTCGTCAACCATTTTGTCACCATACACTCGTTCAGCCTCATGTAGCCAAAGGCGGACAAGGTCCAGTGGGGTTTTCAGAACTTCTGCCATGGAAAATAAGAGTCCCTGCCCCAAACACAGGATGGTCAGCACCATTAGCCATTATGAAGGCGAGTCCAGTGCTGGACACAGAGGACCTAAGGAGCAGCCTCCTCCCCCGGGCTGAGGGGACCTGCTCAGCTGTTGGCACAGCATTCACTTGGGGCCAGGGAAGCCACTCATCACAGACGTCCCGCAAATCCCAGATGCCAGAGCACGTGTTTGTGTCCTGAGAGATGTGGAGGAGTTTTCGGCCGGGCGCGGTGGCTCACATCTGTAATCCCAGCACTTTGGGAGGCCGAGGCGGGCAGATCATGAGGTCAGGACATCGAGACCATCCTGCCCGCGGTGGTAAAACCCCATCTCTACTAAAATACAAAAATTAGCTGGGTGTGGTGGTGCACAGCTGTAATCCCAGCTACTCGGGAGGCTGAGGCAGGAGAATCACTAGAACCCAGGAGGCAAAGGTGGCAGTGAGACCAGATTATACCACTGCACTCCAGCCTGGGCAACAGAGCGAGACTCTGTCTCAAAAAAAAAAGAAAGAAAGAAATGTGGAGGAGTTCTCCTCACAGGACAGGGTTGCGGCCTCATCCTCTAGTAGAGTGAATGGTGGAGGGCCAAGGGAAGCTAATCATAAAGGGAACTAGCAATTGATGCCACAGTGATTGATGTCACTGGCTTGGGCGCTGCAGCAAGTCTATTTGGTCCAGTCCTGGCTTGTTCATTTACTAAGCAAGCAACCCTGGGCAAGCTGGACAAGAGCTGATTGAGGGCCTGCAATTTCCCAGGCACAGCAAGGAAGCAACAGACCCTGACATTGGAGTTGACATGCTAGTGGGAGGAGGTGGCCAGGTACGAAAAGAAACGGTCATTTTACACTGTGATGTGTGCTCCGAATGACACACCCAGAGTACTGAGACTGAGTGTGAGGGATGAGGAGGGGCCTCTGTAAGAACATGATATTTGAGTTGATACTTTTTGTTTTTTTGAATAGAGTCTTGCTCTGTGGTTCAGGCTGGACAGCAGTGGCATGATCTCAGCTCACTGCAACCTCCGCTTCCCAGGTTCAAGTGATTCTCCTGCCTCAGCCTCCCAAGTAGCTGGGATTACAGGTGCACAGCACCATACCTGGCTAATTTTTATATTTTTAGTAGAGATGGGGATTCACCATATTGGCCAGGCTGGACTTGAACTTCTGACCTCGTGATCTGCCCGCCTCGGCCTCCCAAAGTGCTAGGATTACAGGTGTGAGCCACCATGCCTGTCTGGGCCAATACTTTATATGGGAGGAAGTAGGCATAACTTAACCTCCCTTAGCTACAAACTCCTGCTTAGTAAAGTGGGGATATGAGTACCAAACTTATGTGCTGTTGGAGGAGAAAATGAGGATGTAAATAAGGTGCCAAATCCAATCCCTGACTCAGAGTAAGCAGTCAGTAAATGAGAGAAAATATTATTACCATCACCACCACTATCATTATCATAACCACCACCACCAACACATAACTATCACCACCATCATCATCACCACCATCACCATTATCACCATCACATCCATCACCATCACGATTATCACATCATATCACCATCATCACCATTATCACCATCATTACCACATCATCACCACCACCACCATTATCATTACTAACACCATCACTACCACTATCACCACCATTACCACCACACTATCACTATTACCACCATCATTACCATCATCACAACCACTATTGCCATCATCACCACCACCATCATCACCACCATCACCACCATCACCACCACTATCATAACCACCACCATCACCACATCACCATCACATCACCATTATCACCGCCACCACCACCATCATCACCATCAACATTATCACCATCACATCACCACCATCATCACCATCACCACCATCATTATCACCATCACCACCACCATCACCATTATCACATCATATCACCATCATTACCATTATCACCATCACATCACCATCATTTCCACATCACCACCGCCACCATTATCACTAACACCATCACTACCACTATCACCACCATTACCACCACACTATCATTATTGCCACCATCATTACCATCATAACCACCACTACTGCCACCATCACCACCACCACTGCTATCATCATAACCACCACCATCACCACATCACTGTCACATCACCATTATCACCACCAGCATTACCACCATCACTACCACTGTCATCACCACAATCATTCATCATCACTGCCATCACCGCCACCACCACCATTATCACCATTACCATCATCACCACCACCATTATCACCATTATCGTCTCCATCACCACCACTATTATCACCATCCCTACATCACCACCATCAGCACCATTACCACGATCACTGCCATCACAACCACCATTACCACCATCATTACCATAATCACCACTATTGCCATCATCACCACCACCATCACCACCTTTATTACAATCATTACCATTATTACCACCATCACCACCACCATTACTACCACTATCACCATCACAACCTTCATTATTGCCACCATCATTACCATCATCACCACTATGGCCATCACCACCACCATCACTATCATCAAAACCATCATCACCATAATCATCCTAGCCATCACTACCACCACCATCACCACCACCATTATCATAACCATCACTACCATTGTCACCCCCGTCATCACCATCACCACCATTATTACCATTACCATCATCACCAGCATGATCACCATTAGCATCACCATCAGCACCATCACTACCACCACCATCATCACCATCAGTATCATTACCATCATCACCACCATCAGTATCATTACCATCATTACCACCAGCATGATCACCATGAGCATCACCATCACCACTATTGTCAGTTCACAGCTCCCTGAGAGCTGTGATGAGGAGAGCACCTGGATCGGGGACTGGGCCATAAGATGGGCATGACCTAAAGCTAAAAGAGCAGTACCTGGAAAATATTGGAGAGGTCCCTGAGGTTGAAGACATAATGAAACTTAATGGCCGTGGGAAGAAATGTTGCTGCAATTTTCTGATGCAAAGCTGTTAGAGGAAAAAGACATGTTGGTTCCTATGTACTCTTAATGGCCGCAGGAAGCTCAGAGCTTCAAATTTCTAAAGCTGACAGACCATGGAATGGTGAAAACTGGAGTAAGAAATCTGCACAGCTCTTTGAACAGGGAGGAAGTTTGCTGTTCTGCAGTAAATCATGTCTGTGTACTGAATTTCCCAGCCTCTACCTCCCCCATGAAGCAACTGTATTTCACAATATCTCCTGTTGAAACATAGCATCGTTTTTAAAATATTGATTTAAAAGTATAAATAAAGGCTGGGCGCAGTGGCTCATGCCTGGAATCCCAGCACTTTGGAAGGCCGAGGCGGGCAGATCACAAGGTCAAGAGATTGAGACCATCCTGGCCAACATGGTAAAACACCATTTCTACTAACACAAAAATTAGGTGGGTGTGATGGCCAGCGCCTGTAGCCCTAGCTACTCGGGAGGCTGAGGCAGGAGAGTTGCTTGAACCCAGGAGATGGAGGTTGCAGTGAGCCAAGATTGCGCCGCTGCACTCCAGCCTGGCAACAGAGTGAGACTCTGTCTCAAAAAACAAAAGTATACATAAAATATTCATCAAGGGAAAATATGAAGAGCCATCAGCCCACAGAGCTGTAGGTTTTACTGACGGGAGAGGGGATGAGGCCAGCTTACCGAGGGCTGCAGCCACCAGCTGGCTGCTTATTCTCTGAGTAGCCATGGAGACAGAGCGGAAGGCCAGGTGCTGCGTTAGGATGGTGCTATAGATGGTGGTGAGGGCCTCCTGGCCAGGGAAGCTCACAGCAAACACACAGAAGTGGCGCTGCTCCGGAAAAAACACAAACTCCCATCAGCCGGCTCTAGGGGACCAGCCCAGGGCTGGGACCACCATCGTGGGAGAGCGGCCCCTGTCCTCATGGTCTAAGGTCTTTTGGGCGTTGTCAGAACGGGCAGTTACCCACCCTGTGCCTTGCATGTGGCAAAACCACATTAAGTATCACTACATGCAAAACAGCCAAACTCACTTGGTGCTCTCGAGAATAACTGTGGCAAAGGCAAGGAAAGGGCTCAGAGCGCATGCCTGGCTCTAAATCCAGGTCTCCGTGTGTTTAGAGAACACACAGGCAAAGCCTGTCTGGGTAAGGGCTACAGATAAAATACAGAATGCCCTGCTAAATCCAAATTTCAGACAAATAACAAGTACTTTTTTTTTTTTAAGAATAGTATGTCCCAGGCTGGGCATGGTGGCTCATGCCTGTAATCCCAATATTTTGGGAGGCCAAAGCAGGTGGATCACTTGAGGTCAGAAGTTCGAGACAAGCCTGGCCAACATGGTGAAACCCCATCTCTACTAAAAATACAAAAATTAGCTGGGCGTGGTGGCACACACCTGTAGTCCCAGCTACTCGGGAGGCTGAGGAAGGAGAACTGCTTGAACCTGGGAATTAGAGGCTGCAGTGAGCTGAGATCACGCCACTGCACTCTAGCCTGGATGCTGTAGCGAGACTCTGTCTCAAAACAAAAACAAGCAAAAAAAGAAAAGAAAAAAAGAACAGTATGCCCAAATATTGTTTAGACTGAAAAAGTATTTGGACATACTTGGACTAAAAAAAGCATTTATCTGAAGTTCAGATTTAACAGCATTTTTACATTGGAAGGCCGGCTGGCCGCCTGTCCTCCCCATGCCCTGGAATTGTCTGACATGTTCTGCAAGGTTAGGGAGTTCTCCAGAGAACGTCAGCCTGCACCCCTGACATCCCAAACCCAAGCTGTTCTTCTCATTTGCCAGAAGCAAGCCTCAGATTCAAGGCAGGTGACACGGAGGAGTGTGGTTTCTGCTTACCTGAAGCCTGGGGTCGATGGTGAAGGAGCCGGCAGTGGGGTTCATGCAGGCCACGTACTGACAGTTATGGACATCTTTCAGCGTCAGCTTATGTCTGTCATACCTGAGCAGGGGAGACCAGCGTTCACGTTGCGGCCCCGGCCTGGAGGAGCCATCCCTGGCCCCAACTTCACTCCCAAGAATGTCCTCCCTGTGGTTTTAAAAACCTCCATAGGTGCTGATAGTAAGTGAAGCAGCTGCTGTAACTTCATGCTCTCAAGAGAAATTTTGAAACAAGAGGCAAAGAGTGGCTCAGAGAGCAGGCCAGGGTTTATGTTCCAGCTCTTCCACTGAGCGGTGCTGGGGCTCTGGGAAGTTGGTTAACATTTCTACGCCTCAGCACTCTCTCCTGTGCAATGGGTCTTCAGGAGGATTAAAGGAGCTAACATATGAAAAACACTTGGAAGGGTACCTGACATACAGTAAGTATGCAATAAATGTTCACCATCCCTGTCATCAGGATAATCATTAATGGCTGCTATCATTAAATAAACTGAATAAGCCAGGCACAGTGGCTCACGCCTGTAATCCCAGCATGTTGGGAGGCTGAGGTGGGCAGATCACTTGAGGTCAGAAGTTTGAGAGCAGCCTGACCAGCATGGTGAAACCCTGTCTCTACTAAAAATATACAAATTAGCCAGGTGGTGGTGAGTGCCTGTAATCCCAGCTACTTGGGAGGCTGAGGCAGGAGAATCACTTGAACCTGGGAGACAGAGGTTGTAGTGAGCCAAGATCGTGCCACTGCACTCCAGCCTGGGCAACAGGGTAAGACTCCATCTCAGTAATAATAATAATAATCTGAATAATTTCCTTGATGTCACAGTGCACTAATGACTTTTTTTTTTTTTTTTTTTTTGAGACAGGGTCTTGCTCTGTCACCCAGGCTGGAGTGCAGTGGTGATCACGGCTCACAGCAGCCTCGATCTCCTGGACTCAAGCCATCCTCGAAACCTCAGCCTCACACTGCCACACCCTGTTAATTTTCTTGTAGAGACAGGGTCTCACTATGTGACCTGGGCTGAAGTGATCCTCCTGCCTTCACTCCCTCAAGTGTTGAGGTTACAGGTGTGAGTCACTGCACGCAGCACCTTTGATTCGTTTTTCCCCATTATACACTTTGTGTGTTGGAGGTTGCTGTCTCTTGTTAATTTCTAGTAATTCCTTATATATTTCAGATATTCATCCAGTCAATTTTATACATTGCAAATGTTTTCTCCCATTCTTTTATTTCTCCATTATATTTGTCCATGGTGTCTTTCGTTGAGTGAAATCCCTTAATTTTGATTTAAATCACAGCCATCAATGTGTGTGCTCCTAAAACATTTGCCTGTGCCCCCCCCACTCCTCCCTCAGGTCACAGATGCTGTCCTCCATTTGCCTCTACCTTTGTCACAGTTCACCCTTTGCTTGTGGGCCCATCCTTCCGCTGAGCCCCACCCTTGTCTGCGTGACTTTTCTTCCACACGTGAGCCTTTTCTTGACACATCTACTAAAACGGTCCATCCTTCCCTGTTGTGGTGGGGCTATTTTAATCTGATATTCTAGGGGGATCCTTTGAAAATTCAAATCTGACTCTGCCACCCTCCTGAAGATCCTTAAGGGTAAACCCCAGGGCAGATGTGGACCTAGGGCCAAAGCTTAAGAACGTGGAAGCCAGCCTGGCGCGGTGACTCCCGCCTGTAATCTCAGCACTTTGGGAGGCCAAGACGGGTGGATCACGAGGTCAAGAGATCGAGACCATCTGGTCAACATGGTGAAACCGCATCTCTACTAAAATATAAAAAATTAGTTGGGCATGGTGGCGCGTGCCTGTAATCCCAGCTACTCAGGATGCTGAGGCAGGAGAATTGCCTGAACCCAGGAGGCGGAGGTTGCGGTGAGCCGAGATCGTGCCATTGCACTCCAGCCTGGGTAACAAGAGCGAAACTCCGTTTCAAAAAAAAAAAAAGAACGTGGAAGCCTCTCCTTAAGGAAAAGAAAGCAAAAATCTTAAGCAAAGTTTACAAGAGCACATGACCCTGTGAAGCCTGTGAAAGGGGTCTAGTGAGTAGGGGGAGGCCGAGGCCGAGGCTGAACTCCCACAGCCCTCACAGTCCACCTGCCTGCAGAGAGGGAAGGGTGGGCTCTCATGCATTCACCACCCTCTGCTCCTATCTGGGTATCCCTTAAATCCCACACCCCACATCACTTCTGGTTCTCCTGAAATGATGCCCATCTCTCTTCCAGGCTCCCTGCTCAGAGTGGCAGCTTTGTCACCTCCCCCAGGGAGCCGTCTCTAATGCCCCCGTCCCCACGTCACAGCCTGCAGCATAGCATAGGCTTCCTATAATCACGAGCCCTGTGAGTGCCGTTTAGTGAGGAAAAGGCAGGTGGCATCAGATGTATCTGAACTCAAAATCTAGCTCCGGCAGAGCATGGTGGCTCACACCTGTAATCCCAGCACTTTGGGAGGCTGAGGCAGGCAGATCACCTGAGGTCAGGAGTTTGAGACCAACCTGGCCAACATGGTGAAGCCCTGTTTCTACTAAAAATATAAAAATTAGCTGGGCAAGGTGGCAGGTGCCTATAATCTCAGCCACTTGGGAGGCTGAGGCAGGAGAATCACTTGAACCTGGGGGGCAGAAGTTGCAGTGAGCTGAGATCCTGCCATTGCACTCCAGCCAGGGCAACAAGAGCAAAACTGTCTAAAAAAAAAAAAAAAATCCAGCTCCTTCACTCATGAGGGCCTTGAGTAGACAACCTAACTCCCATGCCTCCCTTTCTTGGCATACCGGGAGGCCCCACAGATGTGGTTTCTAGACTTTGTTGGCCTAAAAATGCTCTGGTTTGGTCTGGACTACTTGCTTATTTTAAGAGACAACTCAACTGAATCTGATCTTTCCAAACTGCAAACCTAAACATGCCACCATTGGCTTCCCGGAACCACTGGGAGAATGTTCACACCCTGTCCCGTTGTCCAGAGGCCCAGGGGGTTCCAGTTGCAGCTGCCCTGGACACCTCTCCCCTCTGACCCTCACATCCCTGCCACACCGGCCTCCCTGGGCTCCTTCACAGGAGGCAGGGCCTTTGCACGTGCTGTTCTCTCCATCCGGAATGCTCTCCTTCTAAGGTCCCACAGCCAGCGTGTCAAGGCTGCCAGCTTCCAGCAGTGCACCATCTCCCCAGGGGCATCTCTCTGCTGGGGCTCCCAGCTGGGGAGCTCCTCTGTGATTGCACTGGGGGTTTTCCTCAGAGCTCTGCCTTTACCTGGTAATGTGCTGCTTCATCTCCGGGGCAGGGGGGGGGGGGGCAGACAGACATTTCTGTCCAAGGGGGACCCCCCCTCCACTGGCTCTAGGCCACAGCTGTGTGTTTGTGAAACGGACGATGCATGAAACTGATACAACCTCTCCTCTGCCTTGGCCCTGCCTCAAGGCCTTGCGGCCCCACAAACTTGGGGTCCCAGCTACCTCCCTGTCTCCCTACCCATGTTGCAGCCCCGCCCACATCCCCGCCCCACTGCCCCATGGCCCCGCCTCTTCCCATGCCCCGCCCATCCCACCCCGTGGCCATGCCCTTCCCCTGGCCCCGCCCCATCTAACCAGTGCCGGTGGTCAATGTGCTGCCGGATGAGGGTGTGCGGGGCCACCGTCCCGTACTTGTCCACCTCAGGCATGTTCATGTCGTCAATGAAGTAGATCAGCTTCTTGGTGCCTGGCGGCCCGTAGTTCCTCCCCGACTTCTTCTCCAGCGGCTTCTCCAGTACCCCTAGAGAGGGCAGAGGGTCAGCCGCCAGCCTGCGCCTCCTGAGCCTGAGCCTGTTAGGTAGGAAGGGGCGCTACCTGCTCCCCCAGAGGACAGGAGGTGGGAGCCGGCTGGGATCCAGGTTCACTAAACGCACCCACCCTGGGAGTGACCATTGAGGGGGCACCGGGCACAGTGTGAGGAATAAACAGCGATCGGAGGCGAGGGCGGCGGAACCTTGCCCTCCGTCACCTTTGGGTCGCCACAGACTGGCTGAGACACTCCCTGTGAGACCTGCTGCCTCGACTGGCCATCAAACCCCCATCACCACGCCAACCCAGGAGCACCAGAAACAGGGATCCCAGCTGCTCCTCCTCTGTCTCTGACTCAGGAAGGAAAGGCCAGTGGGTGGGGTGTGAGAAGTGAGGAGGCGAAAAGTGGCCGGTGAGCCCCTGGGCCCGCAGTGAGAGGGGACAGCAGGGAATGGGGGCCAGGGGCAGCCATGTAGGCAGGGCGTGGCAGGGCCAGACTCACCCTGCAGCATGGCAGAGGTCGTGTAGAAGTTGAAGGGCACCGCCTGCACCAGGTAGTAGTCCGTGTTCAGGCTGTCCAGCTTGTCCCCCATCAGCACCGACTTGCCCGTCCCGGCGTTTCCCACCAGCATCACCGGCCAGGACTTCTCCATGAGCAGGTCCATGAAGTAGCGGATGCGGATGGTTTCCGTAGTGTGGACCAAAGAGGCCTAGGGCAGGGGCAGGGATGGGAGGGGAAGGGAGGCAGCTGTGACTCTCCGACCATTCTGCCTCCCATTAGCGTGCAGGCCGTAACAGCTTGACAAATGCCACATTCTAATGAAAAGGCCCTACTGTTGAAAATTGGGCATATTTGGATGTTCTGTGCCAGTGTATAGGGGGTGCTGTGCCAGGTCCTGCCTCTAAATCGCCAGTCGGTGGCCCTGCTTTGGGGACAGTTACCTGCAGAGGGACATCGGGATCCAGCTCAAAGGAGGGCACTTTATCTGTCCAGGGCAGGAACTTTTTAGTGTCGGGATCGATGTAGTAGTCGAAAATGGTTCCTTGTGAGGGGAACTTGATGGTCTTAAACTCGTTGATCCACCATTTGCTGAATTCCACTCGATGATCTACAAGCTGTTGAAACACAGAAGTGAAAATCAGGGCCCAGCTGAGCGGGCGCCGAGAGCCTGTGTGGGTGGCCAGGCCACGTCACCTGGTCCTGGAACATGGCGCCACCGAAGGCCCAGAAGCAGGCGAACACGAAGTACAGCTCGTACAGCTCCTTGGGGGAGTCGGGAGGCACACTCTTCTCCGTGAGCAGGCACTCCAGCAGGTACAGGATCATCTGGATCACCGTGATCTCCGGCACCGGCGTGATCTTCTTGAACCCAAAGCGCAGCTTGTCCAGGCAGGTGGGCAGGTACTTGTCGAAAAGGATTATCAGGTTGGCCTTCTCCGACTGCACTTTGCGCCTCTCAATCCAGCTGCTCACCACCCTGGGGGAGACAGGAGGTGCCTGAGACACGGCCACTGCTCTGGGTCTGCCAGAGTCCCTGCCTTGGTAAACACCCCTCCCTGCCTCCATCCGATTCTGCGGGGGCTGCCCTCAGGTTTGCCATGCCTGCTTGGCAATGGGTCCAAACAAGGGGGCGAGGGGGCCAGTTGCAGGCCCTGCAGGGGTTTGAGGAGGATGCCAGGGTTGTGGGGGCTGTGCCCTCTGTGGGGTTGCTAGCTACGGGGGTGCTGTAGGCCTAGAACAGCTGGGAGCCGTTCTTTCTACCACAGGGGAAGTGTATACCAAGGGCTGGGGGATGGGGGGAGAGCAGAAGAGGAGAAAGATCTCATGACTCATCTGCGGGGGCAGGAGAAGGTGCGGACAGGAAGGGAGTAGGAAGGAGAGACACGGATAGGAGCAGGGACATTTCATTACATCATCTGGACTCCTGGATCCAGCCATGCCTGAAATACTCATTAGCGGTTTTTTTAAACTTCAGATAGAGTTTAATTTGCCCTGTTCAGTGTAAGAGTCCAAATCAATACAACCAGCAATCTTTGAAAAGTTATGCCAGACTGTCTGCCACAGATACCTCCGGGTGGCTTATGCGGGGGTGGCACAGCATGGCAGTGAGGGGTATGGACTCTGGGGCCAGATTGCCCAGGCTTGAATCGGCTCTCCCATGACCAGTTGCTGCCTCAGGCAAGTTACTGCACGTGCCTGTGTCCCTGGTTTCTCATCTGTCAACAGGGGTGATGTTTCCACGACCCTCATTTCCAAGGACTGCACGGGCTGATATTTTAAAGCTCAGAAAAGGGAGCCTGGTCTAGGATAAGTGTCGCCAAATCAGCATCTGCTAAAAGCATCACTAACGCCTGGCTCCCTCGAGAGCCGGTGAGCTCAGCACAGGCGTCATTTCCAGGACGCCCAGAGCCTGAGCAGGAAGCTCCTGTTAGCACACACAGCCAGCCTGCCCTGTGTCAACAGACAGACAGGCCTCTTTAGACAGACACTCACTCTTTTTTCTTTTTTTCTTCTGAGATAGAGTCTTCTGTTGCCCAGGCTGGAGTACGGCAGTGCCATCTCGGCCCACTGGGGTCAAGCGATTCTCCTGTCTCAGCCTCCCAAGTGACTTGGATTACATGCTGCCAACCACCACACCTGGCTAATTTTCTTATTTTTAGTAGAGATGGGGTTTTGCCATGTTGTCCAGGCTGGTCTCGAACTCCTGATCTCAGGTGATCCGCCTGCCTTGGCCTCCCAAACTGCTGGGATTACAGGTGTGAGCCACGGCAAGACACTCCTCTGTGAGTGTGGGCTTGTCCTGGGAGCTCCACTTCTTCCTGCACCTCTATCACAACAGAGTTAAGAGCTGAACACCTTTGCCACGTAGCACCCTGTATTATCCAGTGTAAGAGAGTAAACCTTTATGTGTCTCTGAGCGAAACAGGGTGTCTCTGTGCCTGGTGCAGCTAAGAACTGAAATCCAAGTCCCGTTGGTCTTCAGGAGGGGAGATTGATTTGGAAATCTCTGCGGCGGCTGCTGCTTTCCGCCTCCTAGTTTGAAGATGTTTGTGTCACATTTGTTATGTTGCCTTGGTAGGAGTCACTGCGTGAGTTCTGATGTGCCTGATGGCTTCTTTCTTTTCTTTTTCTGAGACAGAGTCTCTCACTCTTGTCACCCAGGCTGGAGTGCAATGGTACAATCTCAGCTCACTGCAACCTCTGCCTCCCGGTTTCAAATGACTCTCCTGCCTCAGCCTCCCAAGTAGCTGGGATTACAGGCGCACACCACCACACTCAGCTAATTTTTGATTTTCTAATAAAGACGGGGTTTTCTCACGTTGGCCAGGCTGGTCTTGAACTACTGACCTCAAAATCCGCCTGCCTTGGCCTCCCAAAGTGCTGGGAGGCCAAGCCACCGTGCCCAGCTACGTGCTAGCTTTGATATGAGCAGCACAGGCCCCAGGAGAGTCACAGGCCTGTGAGAGACACATGTGAGACAGTCCAACCTTGCCTCTGTTCCGTGTGGCTTCTTGCCCTGCCCCCAGGGCCATCCTGAGTGCATTGGGTCAGCTCCCAGCCTTGGTCGAGGCTGCCTGTAGGAGGCTCTTGGTCGAGGCTCTCTGGGGACGCTGCGCCTGCTTCTCATCCACTTTCCTTCTCTCCTCTGGCAAAACTCAGGTCTCCTCCTGCTTCTTCCAGGTCATCCTCTGGGGGCATCCAGTTCCTGCCTCCGCCCACACTGGCCTTGCTTCCGGCTCCCTCCTCTCTGCTCCCATAGGGCATCCCCCTGAGGACCCCACGATCCTGTCTTCTTCCTGTCCCTGTGTCTCAGCAGCTCCTAGCCAGACTTCTTTTCAGTTCCCCAGCCGTTGTCTTTGCCGACCCTGAAAACTCCCACACGTGGTACAGTGGGCCGAATGGTGGCCCTGCAAAACAATGTCCACCCGGAAGCCCTGAATGCGCTCTTATCTCAAGAAAGGACGTTTGCAGATGTCACCAAGGATCCTGGATTTAGGGTGGCTCCTGAATCTAATGACTGTCCTTCTAAGAAGCAGGAAATTTGGACACCGACACACACAGAAGGAGGCCATGTGGAGGCAGAAGTGGAGATAGGAAGGACATGTCCATACGCCGAGGGACGCCGAGGACTGCAGGGAGCCCCCAGGAGCTGGGAGAGAGGTCTGGGACAGCTTCTCCCTCAAAGCCTCAGAGGAAACCAGCACTGCCTACTCCTCGATCACAGACCACGGCCTCTAGCCCTGGGAGAGGATAAATGTCTGCTGCCCAAATAGTGGCCATTTGTTTCAGCAGCTGGAGGATGCTGTACAAGCAGGCAAGTGTTGCTGGAGAAGCCAGCACGAGAGGCACCCGGGCTCAGCAGCTCCTGTCCCTGTCCCCATAGGGAACGTTCCGCTCAGTATCCCTCTCAAAGCCTGGACGTGCCGTGCCATCTGCGTCCCAGCAGGGGGTCCCACTCCCCACGCAGACAGCAAAGAAGTGCATCAGCATGAACTCCAGAGACTTAATTTTCTCTACCTATAGACTTGCAAGCACCTGGAAACAGCCATGCCTGCATCCCATTCCCAGACATTCTCGTCTCGACAAACTACAAAGCTTCGTTGCTCTGGCTCCAGCCCTACCCTCCAGCCCTCAAAGGTGGCAGTCGCCTCCCTTCCCATGGCTTCTCCCGGCTCCTCCACACCTCATCACCGTCTGGCTTCTGCCCTCTACGTGCCCTGGCGCTGTTCTCCCTGAGCGACAGAGCTGCGCCTAGTCCCCGAGTGCAGTGGGAGCTCCTCTGTCCTTGGCCTGACTCTGGTGCCATCCTCCCGAGGCTTTTGTCGCTGGGTGTCTGGGGTGACGTGTCCTGGGTTCCCTTCTGCCTTTGGTTTGTTCCTCCTCTGAATCCCTCACAGATTCTTCTTCCCCCCAACAGGGCTGGCTTTTCTCAGAAAGCCAACTTCTCTCATCACTCTCCACATCTTTCCTGGAGAGCCCAGCTCCCCAGTGTGGAATATTCTGGGGTTGGACACGTATGCAGGTGTGCAAAGTGCTGGATGGGTGCGTGGGTGGATGGGTTAGTGGATGGGTGAGTGGGTGTGTGGATGGGTGAGTGGGTAGATGGGTGAGTGGGTGGGTGGGTGGATGGGTTAGTGGATGGGTGAGTGGGTGCATGGATGGGTGAGTGGGTGAGTGGGTGGGTGGGTGGGTGGGTAGGTAGATGGGTGAGTGGGTGCGTGGATGGGTGAGTGGCTGGGTGGGTGGATGGGTTAGTGGATGGGTGAGTGGGTGGGTGGGTAGGTGGATGGGTGAGTGGGTGCGTGGATGGGTGTGTGGCTGGGTGAGTGGCTGGGTGGGTGGGTGGATGGATGGGTGAGTGGGTGGGTGGGTGGGTAAGCGGGCAGGTGGGTGGGTGAGCGGGTGGGCGGGAGGGTGGATTGATGAGTCAGCAGGTGGGTGAGTGGGTGGATGGACAGACAGATGGACGGACAAACTGTGACCTCCAGCCAGGACACTACCCTGGAGCCTCTTGCCCCCAGAATGCCCCACTAGGATTTCTGCCTAAGTCCATGTAGGACATTTGGACAAAGCTGTCATTTCTATGTCCCCAGGAAATCCCTTATTCTGTCAGTTACCAGCCATGTGTTTAAGCTGGAAAATATGCCTCTGGAATCAATATCAAGTCTTCTATTTCTCCAGATTCCAGAGGTTTCTTAGACCCATCGCTTCCTCTCCCATCCCCAGTGGCCCCCGTCCTGCTGGACTAACTGGCTGCTTTTCCTTGTCTCGTTGGCAAGGGCCGCTTGCCCTGGTCCTGCTGGATGGCCCAGCATCAGCACCTTCCCACCAGAAGCAGCCTCCTCCCGCTTTATGCTCCAGCCAGGAGATCCTGACCGCTGCCCATTCAGGAACACCCCGCTTCCTGCCATGCCCTAGGAACGCTGGTTCTTGTCGGGTGTGTGTCTTGTTTTCATCCCCCAGAGGCGGCCTGACCCTTCAGATGGCAGCCCAAATCTCGGTCACCTGGGAAGGCTTCCCACCCCCTTCCCACCTGCATAGAGGCCAAGACCCTCCCTCCCGCACCAGCCCCTGTTCCTGGCACTCCGTGAAAAGGTCTGCTTCCTCAGCCGCCCAGCCTCGTGTCACCGTGTATTTACATAATTTATTTCCACATCTGTCTCTCATTCCTTCACTGCTGCAACCCTAGTGCCTGGTGAGGGCCCGGTACAGTTTGTTACATGAACGATGAATGAATGAATGAATGAATGAATGAATGAATGAATGAATGTTCAACCCTGAAATGGGCCAACAGCCTCGTCTTTCCGCCAAGGTTTGGAACAGGGAAGCAGAGAGCCCCACTCACGGGTTCCATCCCAGGTCGGCCGGGTTGATGTAGAGGATGCCTGCTCTGGAGACAGTGGCTGGGGTGGCCGTCCTCAGGTGGCTGATTTCAAACACCAGCCTCATGGTACGGTTCAGTGGGATCCGCTCATTGCTGGCCAGGGTGAGGACCTAGGAGGGGACAGCAGCCCATGGGGTCCTGTGGTGACATCTGGCATCCTGACGGTGTCCCAGGGCAGGGGGATCACTTGGAGCAAACCTCTGAGCAAGGAGGAGGGGCTCCGGCCAGCCCTGCTGCCCCTGACTCCCGGCCCTAGTCATAGCCATGACTGGCCTTCCCTGGGCTTCTCCACTGTCCTTGACTCCAGCAGTCTCTAGACACCCATGCCGTGGAGGGCTTCACCATGGAGTCAGGGCTGCTTCCTCAAACCACTGCCCCTCCCGTCCTGTAAAATCTCTTGCTCCTTCCTGCACCCAGCTGAGGATCACTGTTAGAAAATGGACTCTAGACAATTCCAAATACCATCTGCTTCCCAGGCCTTCACCCTGAACCCGTCCTGCTGCTAAGATATAAGGTGAGGGGCTGACAGAAGCACCGCCCAGGTAAAAATGACTGACCACAAGGCACCCCTCACTCACAACTGCTGCCTGGGGTTCCGGACACGACACCTGCCCCAGGCCCCACGTGCAGGGCCTGAGTGCTGTGTAGGTGCCTCCCTGCAAGCCCCCGTGGTCCCCGCCTTGGGTGGTCTTGGGGGTTAGAGGCCAGGGCCCACCAACCTTGTTGTCATCCATGACGGTGTTGAGAGACTCGATCCACATGGGGTCTATGTCCCCATCAAGGACAATCCACTTGGGGCCGTCATGGGTGATGTTAGCCAGGTCCCGCATGATGGTGGAGAAGAGGCCTGGGGGAGGTGTGGGAGGTGTAACCCCGGGCCCTTTTCCCCAGCCCCATTCCAGTCTCCACTAGTCCTGACCCTGGGAGGTGGCCTGTCCCCTCAGGCATGAGGTGCCTGGGCTCCCTGCCCTCTCCATGCCTGAGGCCATGCCCCTCCTCCTCCGACCCCACATCCTCCCCATCAGCCCCTCTGTGGCCCTGGCTGGCTCAGTTTTCCCAGGCTCAACACCCCAGAGGGCGCAGCACCTGTGCATGCAGCTCTGTCCCCCGTCCACTCACACGCTTGGCAGAGTCTGCGGAGCACGCTTCATGTGTCAGGCGTGGAGTGGAACAGGTTGGGGCTGGGGGCAAGAGCTTGCCTTCTAGTGGGGGAAGTGAGCTGTACATGCAGCCAGTGATGAGGGGCAGGAAAAGCAGTTCCGGGGTGGGTAGGGGGTGGGGCCACTTCTGAGGGGTAGATTGCAGGGGGCAGGCTAGGCAGAGCCCTCCCCTGGGCTCTGTGTCAGGATCCCCTGCTCCCGCTGACTCCTCTCCAGCTCTCACGGCTCCTTCCTACATCCCACTCTCAAACATGCCCTGAGTTCCTTTCATAAAGTGCAAACCCGGGCACGCACTTCCTGGGGTAGGCTCCTCCCCCGCACCCACCGACTGAGGTGGGGCTCCTTGGGCAGCCTCCAGCTTCCATATTCGGCCTCCCATGTGCTCCTCACAGGTCACACCTGTCCTTGCTCTGGCCTCTCCCCTTGGCTTGCTTGGGGCAGGCCTGAAGTTCTCACTGCAGCTCCTGTGGCCCCCATTCCTTACCCCTCAGCCAGGGTGCCATGCACCTACTGCTCTTTGTAAACTCTGCTACCATGGTGCCCCCATTGCTGGCCATGAGCCTGAGAACCCCACCCTAGCCTGGGGAGGCTGGCCTTGCATGTGGGAATGGCTCAGCCTACCCCCACTGCACTGGAACGGGTGCGCCCCTGCAGCCCATCCCGGGACCACCCCTGTTACCATCTTTCCATTCCCTGGTCGCTGGGTTGATGACCCCAAAGAGCTCATCGCAGGTGACAGCCTTGGGGTCCAGGTCCACGGCCACGGGCTTCTGCTTCAAGTTCTGATAGGTCTTGTTGAGGGATCTGAGGACCTGGAGAAGGTGGGGCCACTCACGTGTGACTCCATGCCCCTGGCACATCCCGCCCCCCCAGCCCCAGGACCATGGGTGGGCCTGCACTGGATGGGCCCTTATGTATACCTGGATGCCCCCCGCTCTTTTCTTTTTGTGAGATGGAGTTTTACTCATCACTGAGGCTGGAGTGCAGTGGCGCAATCTCGGTTCACTGCATCCTCCGCCTCAGGGTTCAAGTGATTCTCCTGCCTCAGCCTCCTGAGTAGCTGGGATTACAGGCACCCACCACCATGCCCAACTAATTTTTGTATTTTTAGTTACAAAATACAACTAATTTTGTATTTTTAGTTCACCATGTTGGCCAGGCTGGTCTCAAACTCCTGACCCCAGGTGATCCATCAAGCCTCCCAAAGTGCTGGGATTACAGGCGGGAGCCACCACACCTGGCCCTGGATGCCTTTTATGAACCACTAGGCCAAACCCTTCTCTGGATGTGGTTTTCTTTGGGGCACATAGGTGAGTTTACACCCCCCAACCATAGCTGAGGAGAAGGTGGGCTGGGCGATGGGGAGCCAACTGTTCACTCTGCATGTCTGCCGCCCGCAGAGAGCTGCTTGCCCTGAGACTGCGAGGCTTGGAAAACATTCACGTGACTTTCCTCCTCATGATACATGGAATACATATGCAGTGAAAAACCAAAGAAAACTCCCCGGCTGGGTGCGGTGGCTCACATCTGTAATCCCAGCACTTTGGGAGGCCGAGGCGGATGGACTGACAGAGCTCAGAAGTTCGAGACCAGCCTAAGCAACAAAGTGAAACACCATCTCTACTTAAATAAATAAATAAATAAATAAATAAATAAATAAATATTTAGCTGTGCGTGGTGGTGCACACCTGTAGTCCCAGTTACTCGGGAGGCCGAGGCAGGAGAATTGCTTGAACCCAGAAGGCAGAGGTTGCAGTGAGCCGAGATCGTGCCACTGCACTCCAATCTGGGCAACAGAGTGAGATTCCATCTCAAAAAAAAAAAACTCCCCATAATCCCTCCATTCAGGAAAATGACCTCAAAGACACAGTGGAGGATATTTCCTATATGTGCCTGTCCAAGTTCCTTTTTAGAAAACTGGGCTCAAGCAGCCTCTGCCTTTTCAAATGTAACTTGCCATGAGCTTCCCATGTGACTGCTGTTGGAAGTGGTCTTAAACACAGCAGGGACACGCGGCTGGCAGGAAATTTTCCACGTCACAGACATCAGTCACATCAGCTGCCTCCCTCCGAATGTCACCACGCCCCAGGCCAAGGCAGGGGACAGGAGGGCAATGGGTCAGGCTGGCCGCAGGGAGGGGGAGACAAGTGGCTGACGTCAGGGAGAGAAGAGCAGAGACAAGGAGGAACAGGGAGGGAGACCTCGCCCTGGGACCAGGGGCTGCAGCCACTCCTCCCCTCCTCCTCGGCCTCAAACTTCCTCCCTGGCCCAAGACTCAGGCCCGGGGGCTCCCGGGATGCACTGGGTTGGGGTCTCTGGGGTGGGGGGAAGTGATGGAGGGCTGACCCTTTGCCCCAGCCCTCCCGCACTGTGCCGGATCCCCACGGGGTCCCTGGGGGTGATGCACCTGGGATTTGCCGCTGCCTGCATTCCCGATGACGAACACCGAGTGCCGGACCTGCAGCAGCTCCTCCAGCTGCACCACCTTCAGCACGAAGCTGTCCTCCGCCTGCAGCTTGAGCTCCACGATGCTCTGCCTGATGATCTGGGGAGACACGGATGAGGCTGGGTATGGGACTGAGGCAGCCTTTCTTCTCCGGGAGGCTGGGGGGCTTCCTGCCCAGTGTGGGTGATGATGCAGGCACCCTTGCCCTCTGACGGACATGCGTTTGCAAGTTCTACTGTTGATGCTGAGAACTCATGTAGCTCCCCCGTGACCTTTTGCAGGGGATCGGTCTGCCAGAAGCCCCTCGCTGCCCCGACTCCAGTTGAGAGAGTGACCTCCCCCAGCACTGAGAGGGAGGGCTGTCGGGGCCGTGGAGGCAGCTGTAGCTCAGAGCTCTCTTTGTAGCACAGGGAAACGTGCATGTGTGACATGGGTCCCCACCCGTCCAGCATCGGCGAGAAGGAAGCCAGGCCAGGCCGGCTCCTCAGGACAGACCCCAGGCCCTGGAGTTCCGACCTTTTCAAAATTCAGGTCTCGCTTCCGAGGCACGTCCAGAGCTGGGAAGAGGTCCCCGATCAGCCCCATGAACACGGGCAGGTCGTCGGTCACGATCTTGGGGATGTTGAAGTCTCTCAGTGCCCGCATGAGCACCTGGTCCTCAGCCCGACTGGGGTCACTCCTCTTCAGGGAGCCTGCCACCACCAGCACAGACTTGATGGCCCGCAGGCCCCAGTCGTAATGATCCTGTGGGCGGCGGGCACAGGTGGGCAGATGTGAGCTCACCTTCCCACGGCCAGCACGGAATCATCAGCAGGCAGGTCCAAAGCCAACCCTGGCTGCTGCCTGCATCTGAACCTCCCACCCACACCCGCCATGAGCTCCAGGACACACACCTGCTTCGAGAGCAGCTCCTTGCACAAGGTGTAGAGGGTGATGAACTTCCTGGCCAGGAGGTGGGCTTCCAGAAAGCCCTCAGCCACCAGCATGATCTCGCAGATCAGCTCAAAGTCAGGGACGACCATGGCACAGGGCCTGGGGAGGCCAGCAGCACCCGTGGGCTTCTGCCCACTCCCTCCCCCACCCCGCCTGTCCCTCTTCACCTAGGAGAGGACACCTCACCTGCCAGGGGGAGTACAGCACAGTGGTGAACCTTCAGTTCCTGGACTGGGCTCCCAGCCTACCTGCTCCCCACTTCCCTGCTCCTACCACATCCTCCACTGAGCATACCTTCAGGCCCCTCCTCTGAGAGCCACCCTGACCCCCGACCCCAGACCCCTGCCTTCCATCACTGTGCCCCAGGTGGGTCTTCCCGCCCAGGGGAAGACAGAGCACTTTCTATGGAGGCCCTCACCTGTGTCACCTTAGGAGCTTTTTTTTTTTTTTTTTGAGCTAGAGTTTCATTCTTGTCACCTAGGCTGGAGTGCAGTGGTGCTATCCCAGCTATCCCAGCTCACTGCAACCTCTGCCTCCTGGGTTCAAGTGATTCTCCTGCCTCAGCCTCCAGTTTAGCTGGGATTACAAGCACTTGCCACCACACCCAGCTAATTTTTGTATTTTCAATAGAGACATGTTGACCAGAATGGTCTTGAACCCGACTTCAGGTGATCCACCTTCCTTGGCCACCTAAAGTGCTGGGATTACAGGCATGAGCCACCACACCCGGCCATCTTGGGAGCTTTTGATGACTTCTTCCCTCCCCAGCTCGCCCTCTGCCCCTCTTCTCTGCCCACTCCTTGCCACTGGGACGCTGCTGTGGCTGGCCTGGCTCACCACAGCCACTCCCTTCTGTCTGGGCCCCTGTACCTGAATAAGGCTTTTAGGTTCTCAGGCAGCTCTGCACGGCCGGCGTACCCAGGGTTCATGGTAATGAAGATGCCGACGGTGGGAATGAGGCCGATGGTCTCTCCCAGGAAATCGAATGTTTTTTTCTTGGCTCGAATTGCATCCTGGACACACTTTACCTGCACAGTTGGTGGCACAGACACGTTGGCATGGAAACAGCCAGCTTCCATGGGCCTGATGGGCCTCCGTGTACGTTAAAGCATCAGGCTGTGAATTTGCAGGGGCCTCCTAGCTTGTTTTTAAAATTAAGCCTTTTATTTTTGAGAAAGTTGTAGATTCCCATGCCATGTAGGAAATAAGACAGAGAGCTAGCAACAGTGGCTCACACCTGTTATCCCTGCACTCTGGGAGGCCAAGGCCAGAGGATGATTTGAGCCCAGGAGTTCAAAACCAGCCTGGGCAACATAGCAAGACCTAATTCTCAACAACAACAAAATACAGAAGACAGGGATTGGGGGGAAGGAAAAAAACACAAAGGGAATTCCGGGTACTCTCTGCCCAACGTCCCCTGAGGGGAGCATCTTGCATAATGACAGTGCCTGTCACAGCAGGGGTGGGAGGTGACACTGAGGCCAGCGCTGCTGTCCCATGGGACTCCTATGTCCCCTCTTACAGCCACACCCACTTCCCTCTTACCCCTTCCCCAACTTTGGCCCCTGGCAGCCGCATCCTTAGTTTCTGTGATTTGGTCATTTCACGGGTGTTAAACAAGCGGAACTGTATCGAACTCTTATCTTCCCAGATGGGCTTTTGTCACTCAGCAAAAGTCTCTGGAGATGCACCCAGACTGCTGTGGGAACCGCTCAGTACTTCACACCCCAGCCCTGCTGAGCGGGGCTCCAAGCCCAGCCTTTTCCTGTCCTGTTACTACTCTAGCAATGACTCATCCAAGGACTGGTGAGCAGCCACCTCCTTATCAGACAGTCTTGAAGGCCACCTGAGGGCTGTGAGGTTGAACCCGGAGCTTCCGGTGTCGCTGCCTGCCTGAGGTCTCCTCTGGAATCCTGCGGAAGGCAGCTGCGGCTCTCCAAGTCGCCACGGGAGGGGGCCCAATACTCGCGGTAAAGCTGCTCCCAGCGCCTGCCCTTCCGTCTTCCCCACAAGAGCCAAGTTCTGGTGCCCTGGTGAGCCCAGACGCCCCATGCCCAGTCTGCTGAGTGTGCAGGTCACCCCCAGCAGGGCTGTGGCCCTTCGGAATGGCACTGTCTCCCTCTAGGCCAGGCCTCTCCCGTGGTCTCCATCGGAGCCTGTGAATATTCAATGCCCAGAGTAGGTACTATGTAAATATTCTGGGGTTTGTTCACGGACACAGGAGGTGCTCAGCAACTCTGCTCCCACACTGGGGTCGAGGGAGAGGGTTCCCATGGCAGCGGCCAGCACTGCCTGTGGGTTGGGGTCACCATTCTCCTGGTCACATGGCCAGCCCTGGGGCTGGGGATGATGGGGCAGAGGGAACCTAAGGAGAGGAGGAAGCAGCCACACCGGCCACCTCTGATTCCGCAGGCAGACCTGGGTCACCAACGCCGTTCGACAGGTTAGAGGGTGGGGGCACAGGGAGTCACATCACTGCCAATCCGAGAGTCAGGGGTTACGTCAGTGTATAAAGCGGGCTCTCCACCCAGGCGGGGGCGCTGGAGCAGCCCAGGCAGCTCACATGTCCACACCCCACTCGCTCCTGATCTGCTCTGGGGTGGGAGGACCTAGACACCGTCGCTCCCTGCCTCGGTTTCCTTTTGGAAGAGCAGTTGTTCCAGGCCCCGAGGTTGGCCTCCTCTGACCCCACAGAGACCAGGGCTTCTCAACCCCGGCCCATGTCAGGATCACCTGAGACATTTGTTTACAATGCAGAAATGCTCATCCTAACAAGTGGGGCCCACGCTGGAGATTTTTTTTTTGTTTTGGAGACAGAGTCTCGCTCTGTCACCGAGGCTGAAGCGCGATGGCATGATCTCAGCACACTGCGACTTCAGTCTCTGCCTCCTGGGTTCAAGCAATTCTCCTGACTCAGCCTCCTGAGTAGCTGGGATTACATGTGCACACCACCATGCCTGGGTATCTTTTGTATCTTTAGTAGAGATGATGTTTCACCATGTTGGTCAGGCTGGTCTCGAACTCCTGACCTGATACACAGCCTCAGCATGCTGGAGATTTTAACAAACAATCGACGGGGGCGGGGCATTGGCCCAGGCCACTCCCCACACCGAGGTCTCTGCACCCACCTCGCCCCAGCCACCCCACTGCACCCTCTGTGCCCTGGCATGGTTGTCCCCAAAATACACAGATACATTTCCTCCCTCCTCCTCTTCCTCCCTCCCTCTCTCCTTTCTTTCCTGCCCTTCTCTTTCAGCACCTCCTATGCCCAGCTCTGCTGAGACCAGTAACAAAACACTTTGTCCTTCTTTCCTAAGCAAAATTCATGATCCTCCCACCTGCATTTGGTCACATGCACACCACCATACATGTAACCTGTAATCCGATTCTGTTTTCAACCTGTATGTTGAACCAGGCTACCGGCCCCTGGAGGGCAGGGCTCACCGGCCCCACACCACCCTTCCGGGCTTGGAACGTTGCAGAGAGGCAGGGAGGGTCTATCTGGTGTATGAGGTAACAGGAAAGCTGATGAGCCAGTTACCCACGTGGGCCCGAGCCTGCAGGCAGGGGACTTACCTGCACAGCAATCACAGACAAGACTTCCACTGAGATGCGATTAAACTCATCAAAGCAGCCCCAGGCTCCTGTCTGGGCCAGCCCCTTGTAGATATTTCCGCAGGACTGGGAAAGGCAAGATGGAGAAAGGAAGAGCTGGGAGGGTGGCAGGGAGGACAGGCACTGCAGGGGCCTCCACCTAACTCTTCAGCTGTGTTCTCTGCCCACAGCTCACTGAGGCTCCAGTGCACTGGGGCCTTCCGGAGGCCAGCAGGCAGGTCGGCTTACTGTCCAGGATAACACCGTGGAGGGCTGGGTACTAGGAAGAACCCATCCTTTCACCTGTGACCCCCAGGGCTCCCAGACCCCAGGACAGAAGCTTCATGGAGTCCCTGATGAGAGGGTTCCAAGAAGCACATGTAAGTCCTAAACTTTGCATGTGTTCCCAGCCCTTTTCTCTCTTGCACGTAGAAGAGAGGCAGTCCTCTAAGGCAGGATGGGAGGACGCCAAGCAGGCCAGGAGCTTTTCCTTAAGGACTCGTCCCACCTACACCTGGGATTCCAGGTGAATGTTAAGTCCCTTCTAGGGAGACTCAACTGCAGATTGCACTTTTCTGAAGTCCAGGAGGTGGATATGGGACTGTGTGGCCTAGACAGTCAACAGGGGCTGCTGGCCCCACCCGCAGCCTCAGCCTCAGGAGGGGGTACACTAGATTGTGGCGCTAGGCCTCTGCAGGCCTGAGGTCCAGAACCCAGGGATCCCCCTCTTGCCTCTCCCTCTTGCAGGAGGCTGCTGTAGCCTGGAGCTCCAAGGCTTCCCCTCCCCTGCCTGGCCCTCTGTGAACTGACAATGTCCTGTGCAGGTGCTGATGACCAATGGGACTGGGCCCTGCTCCCCTCCCAAGCCTGCCTGGACACTGCTTATACCCCATCCCATGCTGAACCATGACGGAAGTGCTCACCCCTGCCTGGGGTCCTCAGTTCTGAGGCAATCTCGGAACTGAAGTTGAGAGAGGGTCACCTCCAGGGCAGGGGCTGGGGCAGGACATTGGGGGCTGTGTCTGTCCACCCTGGGAGTCTCTGCAGAGGGACCCCCTGAGGGGGCTGCCAGCAGCAAGCGGGGGCCCTGGTGCACCCTCCTCAGTGTCATTCACAGGTATTCACAGATCTGGAGCTCACTGTGGGGCCTCGGGGGATAGGGTGCTGAGATCTGCCTCTACATGCAGACTCTGGATCCCACCTCCAGACCTCAGCTGTGTACCTTGTAGTCCATCTGCTCAGAGCAGTTGAAGACGTAGACCATGGTGCCCAGCGCTCTGCCCAGGTCCTTGGTCGTCTCAGTCTTGCCCGTCCCAGCGGGACCAGCGGGGGCTCCACCCATGATCAGATGCAAGGACTGGGTCAGGGTGATGTAGCATCTGCAAGGGACCACAGGTGAGTGAGCACGTGTGCCAGGGACCCCACAGATGGCCTCCCCACCTTTTTTTTTTTTTTTTTTTTGAAACAGAGTCTCCCTCTGTCACCCAGGCTGGAATGCAGTGGCACAATCTTGGCTCACTGCAACCTCTGCCTCCTGGGTTCAAACGATTCTTGTGCCTCAGCCTCCTGAGTAGCTGGGACTACAGGCTCCTACCAACATGCTTGGCGAATTTTTGTATTTTTAGTAGAGATGGGGTTTTGCCATGTTGACCAGGCTGGTCTGGAACTCTTGACCTCTGGAGTCCTGATCCACCTGCCCCAGCCTCCCAAAGTGCTGGGATTGCAGGTGTGAGCCACCGCGCCAGGCCACCAGTTTCTCTTTTGTTGCAGTTATTACACTTGCTCAGCCCCAGGAGACGCACATGGGAGAGGGCAGAAAACCTCCAGGTGTGACCAAGAAATCAACACTGTGAGGCAGAGGCTGCCCAGACACCTCTCCCACCTGTGGCATTCGGGGGGATGGGCCCTGTTATGACGACCGGGGTCTGCTCATGAGGGTCCATAAAACACCACCCCCACTCAGCAGGCTGGCAGAGCAGTGGAGGCACTCTCCCGAGGCCACACAGCCAGTGCTGGAACAAGGACGTGGTGGCAGACGTGCACCTGAACACAGGTCCACCTGACACAAACGCCCGCTCCATCCAGCCTCTGCAGCTGATGCACAGGTGGACAGTTCTGAGAATCATGGGCAAGGGACCAAAGCGGAGGTATGAATGGCTCGGGGACAGGCCTCACCGGTCAGTGAGCGGGGTGATGACCAGCCGCGGCGTGTTGCCCAGATACTCGTAGGAGTACTGGATTTGGGCATCACAGATGTTGGCAAAGCAGTGTCGCTTCTCTTCGTCCCAGCGGTGCCGGAGCTGGGACTGCCAGGTGAAGGCCTGAGAACTCTCCACCTGCAGGATGAGCCAGAGCTCTTGTTAGCCAAGCACAATGTAAGAGCCAGACCTGGTTGAAGAAGGCCAGCCTGCCTCCAAGGCTGGTCCCCAGGTGCCCAGGAAATGTTCCCTGGCCCTCTTTCCCCCAACAGCACCCACATCTAACTGTAAGGCCGCCCTCAGTGGAATCTCGCTATGGAAGGGCACTTCCGATGGGCAGGCATCGCCCATCTGACCACAGGGTGTTGCTCAGCAGGGGTGAGGCCGGGCAAGGGGTTTAGGAGGCAGCTGAAGCTAGCAACAGAGCCGGTGCCCCAGGAAGAAGTGGGAGGGTCTGGAGTCCCTGAAGGCACAGCCCTCAATCCCTTGCCCTTCCACAGCCCCCCAGGACAGGGTGCTCATGCCTTGGCCATGATCATTTTGGCCACCACGTCCCGTGCGTGCACGTCGATGGTGCAGATGGTCATGATCTTCATCCTGTCCCCAGCGTTGAGGTTCCCGATGAGCAGTGTGATGAGTACATTCAGCTGGCTAATCTGCAGGGGAGAGGCACCTTCGCTGATGTAGGGCCACAGCCCTACAGGGTGGTGGGGTGTCCCTTATCGCTGTGCTGAGGCACAGGATCCGACAAATAAAGAGACAGGACACAGAAGGACTGGAAAAGAGCAGCTAGGCTTGGGGGGTCACGCCCAAGCAGAGACAGGCGAGGCCCCAAAGTACTGGGTACCAGATAGGGGGAAGGGTAGTGAGTGAGGTCATTTTCAAGACAGTGATAGGGTCACTATAATCACGTGCACAATAAACAAGAGGTCCACCCCCATTAGGTCACTGAGGCCAGGAGGCGGACCATGTGCAGCAAGGGGTCCACCCCCATTAGGTCACTGAGGCCAGGAGGTGGGCCGTGTGCAGCAAGGGGTCCACCCCCATTAGGTCACCTAGGCCAGGAGGTGGGCCGTGTGCAGCAAGGGGTCCACCCCCATTAAGTCACTGAGGCCAGGAGGTGGGCCTTGTGCAGCGAAGAGTGCAGTGTGCAATATCTCTTGTCTGGGGCAGGCTACTTCCAAGGGATTCTATAGGAGGATGCTCTTGAGTCAGCACAGTAGCAGAGCTGACCAGGTCTATAGCCACCTGCTGGCAGCTTCCAGTGATTTCTATAGGAGGGTGCTTTTGAGCTAGCACAGTAACGATTGGATACAAGTTCACAGTCACCAAGGTGTGATTACACCAGGGGGGTTTTAAGCCCTCGAATGCTCTCAGAATTGCCGGTGTGAGGGCAGCCTTCCACAAGAACTGGACACAAGATACTACAACACCTTTTTAAGAGGAGCGGCTCTTGCTTCAAGCTTGCCATACAGTGGGTATCTTTATGATACTGAACGCTGCCACCTGGGCCAGATTCTTTTCCTGGTATAGCTGTTTTTCCCTTAATTCATGCTCTGCACCATGTCTGCTCTAGACATTCCTCCGACTATAAGTAAGATATGCTTATATATGTATAGCTGTTTATCCCTTAATTCACGCTCTGTACTGTGTCTGCTCTAGGCATTCCTCTAACTATGAACTAAGATATAATTGTGTGTGTGTGTGTGTGTGTGTGTGTGTGTGTGTGTAAGTAATGAGTAGTAGGATATTCTTCAGGCACTATTTCTATAAACTAATATATGATTATATATAAAGGATTATATAAAGGAAATAACTGAGTAATAACACTACAAACTAAACTATTCTTCAGGCACTAATTGTGCCAGGGCTCTGCCTAGCTCTCCTTCCTCGGTGCCCAGACTGGGGGTGAGACGCCACAGACACCCACATGCGCCAGAGGGGTCTCATGGCTGGGTGCTCACAGCTGCACGGGGAAGACCGACTTGCTCTCACATTTATAGTAATGAAAAACAGGAGCGCCTTCGGTGTCCCCCAGCCAGGCACAGGTTTCACTGTGGTGCAGCCCTGATGGGACACTTTGGAGCTGCCAGGACAGACGTAGGAGAAGGAAATGCAAGGCCATGGAAGAGGGTGGAAGAGAAGCAGAAACAGCCGACTTTAAAGCCATCCAGAGAGTCTGTATATTTTTACATATAAATCAATTCTACATACACACACAAAGACGAGCAGGTTGCACAGGAGAACGCTGACCGGTCAAGTTTGGGTTGTGGGATTACAGGTAAATTCTCCTTCTTTTAAAGATAATCTTTAGTTTCTGTATTTCTAACCAACGAAAACCCCCTCTTTAAAAAAAAAATTAGAGGCGCCTGGGGCTGCAGTGCATGGCTGCATTTGGCCTGCGGAAGGTGATTTTGGAGGGCTCAGTCTCTGAGGAGAAGGTACTTACCCGGCAGGGTTTCAGATAGACACGTGAGCTTTTTAAACAAGTTTTTAAAACATAGCTAATGACACACTAGTAACACACCTGCTTTTTGTTGTAATCTTTGATAGCGTTTTCATAGCCTTCCTCCAGCCTGGCAAACGCCAGGCCCACCTCGGTCGTCCACCAGATCTGGGTGCAAGTCAGGGCCACCTGAAAGTAGACGCCCCCATTGCCCATGCAGCAAGCGATCGCTAGTGCCCGCTAACGGAGACTTTCTGCTGAAGGCTGAGACAGTTTTCCGGGGACCACAGTTAACAGGGCAGCCCGTGGACACAGAGTAACTCCCCCCTTATCTCAGCCACCAGGCGCCACCTCAGACCTGGGCCGGGTAGTCCAGGATCCACTGCTCCCTCGGCTTCTCCTCATAGGTCACCACAGCTTCCGGGATTTCGTGCCGGAGGGTAGAGCACATTCGGTCCAGTACTCGATTCAGCCACACTTCCACCTGGGGATGGGAGCCACGGTGACCAAATACAGCCACGTGTGCCTCTAGTTCCAATGATTTGCTTTGTTGTAAAGAGAAACGTTGACTCTTTGTCATCATCCGCATCCCGGGATACACACGTCAAGGATTCCACAGAGCAGTCACACTGACACACCTTTTCTTTCTAAATTGAGACAGGATCTCGCTCTGTTGCTCAGGTTTAGTCTTGGCTCACTGCAGCTCGACCTGTGGGCTCAAGGGATCCTCCCACCTCAGCCTCACAAGTAGCTGGGACTACAGGCGTGCACCACCACACCCACTAGTCAATGGCTCATTTTAAAAATGTGGGGGGGGAGCCCAGCTTCCACACTTGTCACATGAAGCATCCGGGTCCAGATACACTTAGTTCTCAGTAAGAAAAGCGAGGGGATCCAGAGAAAGATTTCAGACAGACACAAGCTGCGCCTGCATTCCTGAGCCCCGTTCTGAGATGGGACATCTGGGGCCTCCTCTTTGCTCAAGGGCTCTGCCTGGCAGGAGTGACGGCCCAACAGTGAGGCGTGGTCACTGTTACAGGGGATACAGGATGCCAACAAGTTTTTATTTTTTGAGACAGAGTCTCACTCTATCACCCAGGCTGAAGTGCAGTGGCACTATCTCGGCTCACTGCAACCTCCACCGTCTGGGTTCAAGCGATTCTCCTGCCTCAGCCTCCTGAGTAGCTGGGACTACAGGCACCCACCACCACACTCAGCTAACTTTTGGGTTTTTTAAATTTTTTTTCTTTTTTTTCTTCCTACTTCAAGTGTATACAAGTTTCCAATTTTTGTTATTTTTTAGTAGAGATGGGGCTTCACCACACTGGTCAGGCTGGTCTTGAACTTCCAACCTCGTGATCCGCCCCAGCCTGCCAACAAGTCTTATTTGCATTTGATTATGTTTTGAGAGAGGGTGTTGCCTTGTCACCCAGGCTGGAGTGCAGCGGCATGGTCATAGCTCACTGTAGCCTCAACCTCCCGGGTGCAAGCAATCTTCCTGCCTCAACTTCCCAAGTAGCTGAGACCACAGGCACATGCCACCATGCCTGGCTAATTTTTAAATTTTTTGTAGCGATGGGGGTCTCACTATGTTGCACAGGCTTGTCTTGAACTCCTGGGCTCAAGCGATCCTCCTGCCTCAGCCTCCCAAAGTGCTGGGATTACAGACACTTTGGGAGTGCTTTTAATCGAAGCCTTTTCATGAGTCAACACACCTGGCCTTTATTTATATCTTAAACTACATACCCTTAGGCCAGTCACAGTGGCTCATGCCTGTAATCCCAGCACTCTGGTAGGCCAAGGCGGGCAGATCACCTGAAGTCAGGAGTTCAAAACCAGCCTGGCTTACGTGATGAAACTCCGTCTCTACTAAAAATACAAAAATTAGCCAGGCGTGGTGGCAGGCACCTGTAATCCTAGCTACTCTGGAGACTTAGACAGGAGAATCGCTTGAACCTGGGAACTGGAGGTTGCAAGTGGCCAAGATGGCACCACTGTACTCCAGCCTGGGTGACAAGAGTGAAACTCCATCTCAAAAAAACAAAACAAAACAACCCCCCCACTCCCCCCAAAAATAAAACCATACCCGCAAGTAACTGCTACTAGGTGGAAAAAAAACCCTCAAGTGGATATGAGGGTAGTTTTTTTGGAGGGGGTGGATGAAGTCTCCCTCTGTTGCCCAGACTGAAGTGCGGTGGTGCCATCTTGGCTCACTGCAACCTCTGTCTCCAGGGTTCAAGCGATTCTCCTGCCTCAGCCTCCTGAGTAGCTGGGACTACAGGCGTTCACCACCACACCTGGCTAATGTTTGTGTTTTTAGTAGAGATGGGTTTTGCCATGTTGGCCAGGCTGTACTGCTGACCTCAGGTGATCCACTCACCTTGACCTCCCAAAGCACTGAGACTACAGGCGTGAGTCACGGTGCCCGGCCGGATTTTTCCTTTTACCGGTAAGCACAGTGCAGACGGGCGTCGCTGTGGTCTGCAGTTCCGTTTGTAAGGGGTAGGCCCAGGAAGGGAATCTGGACAGATGCTGTCACTGCCCCGCCCACCCCGCCCATGCAGAGCAGGCCACGCGTGTGCTGTGTTCAGCTCTTTGAAGCCCAGGTTTTCTCAAGTGACATTTTTTTTTTCCTACAGCTGATTTACCTCTGAATTGTATTTTCCTCAGGCTGATGTCAAAATGGTTTCTACTGCTTGATCAAATGTTGGGTAATGAGACGGGGGAGGGGGCAGCCTGAGAGTTTTCTGATGGTGGGAGGAGCCGCCCCAAGCTGGAGGAAGGAAGAGGCTGCGGAGACCACTATGACTGGTGGGCAGTGCAGCTGATTATTTCGGACAGGGGTTGGGAAGTGGTGGTTCAGAGACGTGCAGACCTCTTCAAAACAGTCCCTTTGGCAAGCCACAAAAAGGATTCAGTGACATTCACAGGACCTTTTTTTTTTCTTTTTGAGAGGGAGTCTCACTCCCTTGCCCAGCCTGCAGTGCAGTGGCACAATCTTGGCTCACTGCAACCTCCGCCTCCCAGGTTCCAGCAACTCTCCTGCCTCAGCCTCCCCAACAGGGCTTTTCTCCTGTCCTGTCCCGTTCCCTTCCTCCCTAAGGATACACTTGTGCTATATGGATAAGGCTGTGCTAGAAATTCTATAAAGAGGTCAGTCCCTTAAGCGTTTTCCAGAGAGGCAGAGGAGAGGAGCAGGGGGCGCTGGCGGCTGCACTGGCCAGTGGCTGTCCGGATGCTGCTGTCTGAGGGCATGTGGCCCACACACATGCTGTGCCCACATCCTGGGTTCCCTGTTTGGGGTGTGCTCACACTCACCTGCCCCGAGAGGTCACATTCCTGATCAAAATCCACGTACTCATCCTCCTTGCTGTACATTCCCAGGCCCACCTTGAGAGGCTCGTGGTTGGCATCGAGCTGGAACTTGAGTTTACAAAGGCTATCGAAGAGTTTGGACAGGTGACGGCTCACCTGCGCGGAGGAGGGAAGCTGGAATTAGGCAACGGGGGATGTGAACATGGACACGCATGACTGGGGCTTTCCTTGGGTGGTTTTACGCATCGTCTTTTTTATTTTTTTGGAATATACTCCCCATCTTTGATCAACGTTAAGTAAACATGGCTAAATCAACAAAAGGAACCAGCAAAGACTGCTCTGAGTCAGGACAGGGAAACCAGGCAGGAGCCCCAGCCCTTCCAAGCCAAACATCCATTCTTGAAGATTTCTTTCTTTCTTTCATTTTTGAAAAGGTTCTGTCCCGGCTCCCAAGCCACACTCAGGCCGTTCTCACACACCCCTTCTTCCTGTGTGTCCTCTAACCTCTGGTCAAAATGAAATGCAGGCATTTTCCCTTTACCAGTTAACTTTTTTCTTTTTCTTTTTGAGACAGATCTCGCTCCATCGCCCAGGCTGCAGTGCAGTGGCGCAATCTCTGCTCACTGCAACCCCTGCCTCCTGGATTCAAGCAATTCTCCTGCACAGCCTCCTGAGCAGCTGGGACTACAGGCGTGCACCGCAATGCCCAGCTAATTTTTGTATTTTTAGTAGAGATGGGGTTTCACCATGTTGGTCAGGGTAGTCCTGACCTTGTGATCTGCCAACCTCAGCCTCCCAAAGTGCTGGGATTACAGGCGTGAGCCACTGCCCCCAGCTTTTTATGTTTTTGAGACAGAGTCTCGCCCTGTTGCCCAGGCTGGAGTGCAGTGGCGTGATCTTGGCTCACTGCAACCTCTGCCTCCCAGATTCAAGCAATTCTCATGCCACAGCCTCCCGAGTAGGTGGGATTACAGGTACGTGACACCCGGCTAATTTTTGTAATTTTAGTAAAGGCAGAGTTTTGCCATGTTGTCCAGTCTGGTCTCAAATTCCTGACCTCAAATGCCTGGGCCTCCCAGAGTGCTTGGATTACAGATGTGAGCCACTGTGCCTGGCCTCTTTTCTCTGAGCCTCAAGGATGTGTCTGTTCCTTGCTCTTGGGGCCCTGAGATTTACTAGCTGATGGGAGGGTGACCCACTGACGGGTGTGTCTTTCAGAAACAGTGTCTTACCAGGCCTCTGGCATACAATTCATTTTCTAGAAATGGAAAATGAGGTGCAGAGAGGCCAACTAACTTCCCCAAAGCCACGCCAAGTGCAGAGCAGGATATGAGAGGAGTCCTGCCATGTTTCTGTCATGGCTGGGGTCCCTGGGCAGCTTCTGGTGGAAAGGGCCTCCTGGAGATGACAGAGCACATCGAATGACATTGCTCCCCCATCCTAGGGCTGCTCAGATGGAGGCACCTGCCTGGAGTCTGGCCTGATATTGGCTTAAACTGCAGAATGCAAATGGCCCCGCCTACCTCCACGGGGTCATTGCCGTTGGAGAGAATGTCCAGGAGGTCAGCCGAGGAGACAAAATAAAACCTGGGGAAGGCCAGTCTTTTCGTCTCTAAATACTCTGCCAAAGCCTTTTCACAGATGGCCAAGCTGGGAGGAAGGAAGGAGAGGAGGCCGGTGACCCTACTCTGCAGGGGACGTCTGCAGCCCACCCTATCAGCACGTGGAACTGATCATCCTGCAGCTGCCTGGACCGCTGTTCACAGGCCTGGTTTATTTAATTCAGAAGCTCCTACTGGACGCTCTCATTGCTTTGCCACCCAATGACCTTGTGGGCACTCCTAGGTAGGAGGAGGCATCATTTATTCTCTGGGTCATTGCTTCCTTCAAGGCTAAGGCATTGTGTGGTGGGATGAGGCCGGGGAGTGCGTGCTTCCTGGGGAAATGGAATAGATTAACCCAGGACCCGTGGTTTTGCCCCATCCTGGCCAGTGGGCTGCACAAGACTCAGGTTCCCTAAGACTTAGAGGATCACCGCCCCTGACTCCCTGGGTCTGGACAGGCGTGGACCCCACCTCTTCTTCAGGGCCTCCAGTTTATCGTAGAGGCCGGGTTTGTTGGTGGCTTCCACCACGTTGGGTGTTTTCACCGCATCTTCCATCAAGGCCTGTGAAGAGAAGAGGATTGGCAAGGCATGAGCGACCCCATTTTGTCCAACATAGTCATTCCTGACAGGCATGAGGACCCCTGGGCTGCGCTCACCTTGAATTCCTGGTCGATGTCATCAAAGCGCTTGGAGTCCTCCGGGAGCTGGGCACGGATGTCTTCAGAGCCGATGAAGATGCTCTCCAGGTGGCTCCAGGTTCGCTGGACCTCAAACCAGATGGAGATGACGGAGTCCGCTGTGGACAGCTTCTGCTGCCAGCTCGTCACCTCCCTCAGGAAGTGGGCCAGGTATTTGGACATCATCAGGTTCTGCAGCTGCACCTGGTTGTCCTCCAGTGTCTCCACCAGCACCTCATTGGACTTGAGCATCATGGTGCCTGTCCGCGGGTGCGGCTCGTGCTCGAATTCCATGGTGCTCCAGGTACTGTCCAGGGCTTTCAGCACCTTTTGCGGGAAGAGAAAAGTAAGGTCACTGAGCATCTGGCATTCGAAGCTCAGGCAGGACCGTGAGTTCCCAAGACGTGGACTGAAGCTCCATGAACAGAAAGCCAAAACACTCAAGCCAACATATTCACAGGAACCAAAGGCAGATCTAACCCGAACCGTCATCCCCCAGTGAACGGATGCATGCCATGTCTGTCCATATAATGGAATATTAGTCACTAAAGGAATGAGGTACAGTCATATGCCACAATGCAGACAAACTTGAAAACCTCAGGCTGAGTGAAAGAAGCCACATGCAGGCCAGGTGCGGTGGCTCATGTCTGTAATCCTAGCACTTTGGAAGGCCTAGACGGGCAGATCATGAGGTCAGGAGTTCGAGACCAGCCTGGCCAATACGGTCAAGCCCTATTTCTGTTAAAAATACAAACAAAAAAAAAAACTAGCCGGGTATGGTGGCACGTGCCTGTAGTCCCACCTACTTAGAGGCTGAGGCAGGAGAATAGCTTAAATCTAGGAGGTGGACATTGCAAGGAGCGAAGATTGCAGCACTGCACTCGAGCCTAGGCAATAGAGGGAGGCCCGCCTCAAAAAATAGGAAAGAAAAAAAAGAAGCCACATGCACAGACTACATAGTGCGTGTGAAGGATCAGAACGTGCCGCCCCAAAATGTGCCGTCGTGCACATTGACGATTTTGACAGAGGTACTTGAAGGGCAGCAGATGCAGGAATCTCTCTCTGAGCCTCAAGCTGTTCCTGGGAATCAGGAGATGAAATTACCAGGTGAATGACGCCCTTCTGATACCAGAACAAAACGAGCATTCTCACCACTAGGACGGGAAGCCAAGGCAGAAAGAATGCTGTCCGCTCAGACCTTGTTAGAACAGCTCTCACCTTCCAGCCTCCCACGCAGATGCGTTACTTTCCTGCAGCTCTAACTGTGTTTTGGGGTCTTCATTTCCTCCCATACCACAGAAAACTTGGCTTAAATAATTTACATACTTTTTTCCTCTTGATCTGTCTTACGCCAATGGAATTCTCAGACCCAGCTGGGAAAAATCCTAAAAGCATAGAGGGAAGATGTTGCTTCCCTAACTATGATGCCATTGCTGTGGCAGTGTGGAAATGGGGGATCAATAGAGAGGGAAAGGGGTTAGTGTTTGCCTAGAGCTGGAGACCGGGGCGTGTAAGAGGACAGGGCGGGGGATGATGGGTAAAGGATGTGGGTTTCTTTTCGAAGTAATGAGAATGTTCTAAAATTTGTTAATTCTGTTTCTTAGTTTATTTTGAGATGGAGTCTCGCTCTTGTTGCCCAGGCTGGAGTGCAGTGGCACGACCTTGGCTCACTGCAACCTCCACCTTCTGGGTTCAAGCGATTCTCCTGCCTCAGCCTCCCACGTAGCTGGGATTACAGGTGTCCGCCACCATGCCTGGTTAATTTTTATATTGTTAGTAGAAATGGGGTTTTGCCATGTTAGCCAGGCTGGTGTGGAACTCCTGACCTCCAGTGATGATCTGTCCGCCTTGGCCTCCAAAGTGCTGGGATTGTAGGTGTGAATCACCAAGCCCAACCTATTTTTATTTTTAAAAATTTATAATTTTTTTTTGAGAGACAGGGTTCAGCCCAGGCTGGAGTGCAGCAGCGTGATCACAGCTCACTGCAGCCTCCATCTCCTGGGCTCAAGTCACCCCCCACATAACCTCCCAAGTAGCTGGGACTACAGGTACATGCCCTGATATGCCCAGCTCATTTTTATTTATTTATTTTTGTAGTGATGAGGTCTGCCTATGTTGCCCAGGCTGGCCTTGTTTTGAACTCCTGGGCTCAAGTGATCTTCCTGCCTCCCAGAGTGCCGAGATTATAGGCATGAGCCCCTGCCCTCTGCCGTCTCATATGTGCTGATTACACATTTCATTTGTAACTATGCTAAAAGCCACTGAATTGTACACTTTAAACAGTCAAATTGTATGGCATGTGAATTACATCTAATATTGCTTTTTTTAAAAAAAATCTTTATTAGATATAAATGTTTTTAAAAGCAAGCCAAAATGTGACAATTCAAACTCACAAAACAGGATGATGAGAGGCTTGAACTGCAAACGTTTTCCTGGATGCCAGAACTGCAGGTAGCCAGTGGCGCATTAACAAGTCCATGTACTGACTGGGGACTCATCTCTCAACCCATCCCCAGCCCTCCCCTCAGCTCTTCGAAGTCCAGGGAAAGAACTGACATCCACGGAGGAGTCAGACAGGACCACAGACGAGGATGCTTGAGACAGAGATGAGAGTAGTTCCGGTTATTTACAAAATGTCCCAAACTATTGTATGTACAGGGGGGCAAACCTATAGTCAGGAATTGGGTTTTCTAAGAAAAATCCTAGAAGTAGGCCAGGTGTGGTGACTCATACCTGTAATCCCAGCACTGTGGGAGGCTGAGGCAGGTGGGTCAGTTGAGGTCAGGAGTACAAGACTGGCCTGGCCAACATGGTGAAACCCCATCTCTACTAAAAATATGAAAATTAGGCATGGTGGTGCATGCCTGTAATACCACTACTTGTGAGGCAGAGGCAGGAGAATTGCTTGAACCTGGGAGGTGGAGGTTGCAGTGAGCCAAGATCATGCCCACTGTACTCCAGCCTGGGTGACAGAGAGAGACTCTGTCTCAAAAGCAATAAAAATAAATAAATAAATTCCAGAAGTATTTAAGATTTATTTCACAGATATTCATGATACTGTGGGGGGCCTTTCATACCCAACATCATGAAAATGGCCATACTGCCCAAAGTAATTTATAGATTCAATGCTATCCCTAACAAGCTACCATTGACCTTCATAGAACTGGATAAAAACACTTTAAACTTCATATGGAACCAAAAGAGAGCTCACATAGCCAAGACAATCCTAAACAAAAAGAACAAAGCTGGAGGCATCACACTACTTGACTTCAAACTATACTATAAGAATACAGTAATCAAAGCAGCATGGTACTGATACCAAAACAGAGATACAGACCAATGGAACAGAACTGAGGCCTCAGAAGCAACACCACACATCTACAACCATCCAATCTTTGACAAACCGAACAAAAACAAGCAATGGGGAAAGGATTCCCAGTTTAATAAATGGTGTTGGGAAAACTGGTTAGGCATGTACAGGAAGCTGAAACTGGACCCCTTCCTCACACTTTATCCAAAATTAACTCCAGATGGATTAAAGATTTAAACATAAGAACACCATAAAAACCCTAGAAGAAAACCTAGGCAACACCATTCAGGACATAGGCATAGGCAAGGACTTCATGACTAAAACACCAAAAGCAATGGCAACAAAAGCCAAAATAGACAAATGGGATCTAATTAAGAGTTTCTGCACAGCAAAAGAAACAATCATTAGAGTGAACCAGCAACCAACAGAATGGGAAAAATTTTTTGCAATCTACCCATCTGACAAAGGGTTAATATCCAGAATCTACAAAGAACTAAAACAGATTTACAAGACAACAACAAACTCATCCATTCAAAAGTAGGTGAAGGATATGAATGGACACTTTGCAAAAGAAGACATACATGAGGCCAACAAACATATGAAAAAATGCTCATCATCACGGGTCATTAGAGAAATGCAAATCAAAACCACATTGAGTTACCATCTCACGTCAGTTAGAATGGCGATCATTAAAATATCTGGAGACAACAGATGCTGGAGAGGATGTGGAGAAATAGGGACACTTTTACACTGTTGGTGGGAGTGTAAATTAGTTCAACCATTGTGGAAGACAGTGTGGCGATTCCTCAAAGATCTAGAAACAGAAATTCCATTCGACCCAGCAATCTCATTACTGGGTATATACTTAAAGGATTATAAATCATTGTATTATAAAGTCACATGCACACGTATGTTCGTTGTGGTGCTGTTTACAACAGCAAAGACCTGGAACCAACCCAAATGCCCATTGACGATAGACTGGACAAAGAAAATGTGGCACATATACACCATGGAATACTATGCAGCCATAAAAAATGACGAGTTCGTGTCCTTTGTAGGGACATGAATGAATCTGGAAACCATCATTCTCAGCAAACTGATACAAGAACAGAAAATCAAACACCACATGTTCTCAGTGATAGGCGGGTGTTGAACAATGAGAACACATGGGCACAGGGAGGGGAACATCTCACACTGGGGTAGATTAGGAGGTGGGGGTCCAGGGAAGGGGAGGGATGGGGGTGTGGTGGTGGGTTGCAGAGGGATAACACCGAGAGAAATGTCTGATGTAGACGACAGGGGGATGGAGACAGCAAATCACCATGGCATGTGTGTACCTGTGCAACAATCCTGCAGGATGAGCACATGAACCCCAGAGCTTAAAGAACAATTAAAAAAGAAGAAGAAGAAGAATGGGCCCCAGACCTCCCCTGAGTGCCATGGGGCCGTGGAACCCCTGTGAACCGATGCCTTCCTGGTGCTCTCAGTGTGGGGCGGGGCAGTTCCAGGTTTATTCCACGTGGTACGAACGGCGCTGCCAGCACAGCATACCTTTTCCATGCCGGACTCTTTCACGGCCTTGTCCACGATGTTGCGGACCTCATCCTCGTAATTGTGGAGGTTCAGCTGCAGTAAATCTGCCAGGGTCGTCTCTTCTGACATTTTAAATTTCACCTAGGGAAAAAACCAGGCATGTTTCATTTAAGGTTACCTGCACTGCAGTGGCCGGACCTCACTGACCTTCAAGGAAAGCCAGAACCGGGGTGTGACTGCAGGCTGCCGGAGGGAGGAAGGTGAGCTCTACTGCACCATTTTCAGCTCTGGGATGTGGGCAAGTGAGCTCTCCAAGCCTCGTCTTCCTTCCCTGTCAAACTTCATAACAGCAGAACCCACCCGCACTGGGCAGAACTGTGGCCCCCAAAATTCATGTCTACCCAGAACCCTCGAATATCATCTTATTTGGAAATAGGGTCTGGCAGATGCTGAGGATCTTGAGATGAGGTCATTCTAGATTTTCCGAGGAGACATAAATCCAGGGTCACGTGTTCTCATGACAGAAAGGAGAGGGAGCTCTGAGTCACACAGGAAGGAGGGCCTTGGGGAGACCGAGGCAGAGATGGGCGTGATGCAGCCACAGGGTAAGGTATGTCTGGAGCCCCCAGACACTGGAGGAGGCAGGAAGGACCCTCCCAGGAGCCTTTAGAGAGAGTGCGGGCCACCGACACCCTGATTTCAGAGTCCTGGCCTCCAGCACTGTGAGAGAACATAGGTCTGCTGGTTTTTTGTTTTGTTTTGTTTTGAGACGGAGTCTCACTCTGTCATCCCGGCTGGAGTGCAGTGGCACAATGTCAGCTCACTGCAACCTCCACCTCCCAGGTTCAAGTGAGTCTCCTGCCTCAGTATCCCAAGTAGCTGGAATTGCAGGCATGTACCAACATGCCCAGCTAATTTTTGTATTTTTAGTAGAGATGGGGTTTCACCAAGTTGGCCAGGCTGGTCTCAAACTCTTGACCTCAAGTGATACAACCACCTCAGTCTCCCAAAGTGCTGGGATTTTAGGCGTGAGCCACTGAGCCCAGCTAGGTCCACTGCTTGAAGCCTCCCATTTGTAGTCCTTTGCCATGTTAGCGAATCCACCACCTCTGGCAGCTGCCGTGTTCATAATAGGCAAAGCACTCTGTGGTGGTGGCCGAATCACAGGTACCAAAATATCAGTGCCACCTACTTCCCAAATCACTTTCATGTCCCTTGTCTAATATTCTTCTTGCTGTCAGGTAGTCAGATGGTTCTGAGCATCAATTCTGAGCCCACCATGGAAATGGTTTAAACCAACTGATGGCACCTTGCATCTCTAATCTCATTTGGGGAACTCAGCTGTGCCCAGCTCCTCTCACAGAGTCGTTTAGCTGCCTGTTTATCACCGCCCAAGCGTCTCTCCCAGGGTACATGGATGGGGCACATGAGCCATTGCTGGGCCTCTCGGAGATCTCTGGTCTCAGCACTCGAGGGGCACCATCAGGGGCTGGCTCCTCCACACCCAGACACACAAATCCCCAGGGAGCAAGCAGGTGCCCCTGTGCCCTCTGGGCGGCCTGCATAGCTGGGTTTGCTTTTCCTTCCTTGGGCCTAGGGAGCAGCAGAAGGGCCCCAGACAGTGCAGTGGGGGCACAGCAGGAACCTCCAATTCCCCTCCTAGGTGTGTGCCCTCCTGGGCTGGCCAGGACCTGGTGAGACATAGAGGGAACCACTTGGCTCCATTCTCCTACTTCCTGCATAGGGAGGGATCTCTTGGGAAGCCTTGGGCTAAGCCCTCCTGCTGCGCAGGCTCTGGGCCATGCTCCCTCGGTCCTTGGGGTACATTCTCACCATTGTTCCTGCTTTTGTTTCATGCCGAGCTCTGTCAGCCTTTCTGCTCGTCTTTGCAGTTCCCACTCCCAAGGCCCAGGCCAAATTCCACACCCGCTCAGAGCTTTCTCTTCCCTTCCCACCCCTTGAAGGTGGCGCCCTCCTCTAGGTCTTGGGATCATCACTGAGTATCTCCTGTACTTGGCATTCAAACCTGAACGTGAAGGCTAGCCAAATCTGCCACCCCAAAGTACACCACTTTGGCTTAAGGGTTATTTTGAACTGAAGGCAGTTGAGAAGAAGCAGATACAAGAGAAGCTCTCTGCCCTCCACTATTTGCCTACAAGCAGGAAATAAATTTGCCAAGGAGTCCCCCACACCCCCGTACCAGGAAGGATAGAAGTTAATCAATGGAGATTGGGCATGGTGGCTAAAGCCTGGAATCCCAGCACTTTGGGAGGCTGAGGTGGGTGTGTTGCCGGAGGTCAAGAGTTTGAGACCAGCTTGGCCAACATGGTGAAACTCCATCTCTATTACAAACACAAAAAATTAGTGGGTTGTGGTGGCATGTGCCTATAATCCCAGCTACTCCGGAGGCTGAAACAGGAGAATCACTTCACCCTGGAAGGCAGAGGTTGTGGTGAGCTGAGATTGTGCCACTGCACTCCAGCCGGGGACACAGTGAGACTCCATCTCAAAACAAAACAAAACAAAAAGACGGAGACAGCTTTACACCCTTATCAGCCCAGAGGAATGGGAAGAATCTAACAATACACCTTGCTGAAGCTCATCTTATCCTGCTGTAAAACAAAAATAAAATCCTAAGCCCTCCAGCAAATTGAATGAACCCCCCTGTCTGCGAGGGGCATTCCAAAGTAAACCTAAAAGCATGTTTTCAGGCCATAATGGGAAGCAGGTTGGGGGACAGGCATCATTATACCCCCTCCCTTTGGAATTCAGGCACCGCTGACCAGAAATCTGGCCAAAATTTCAACTCAGAAATCCTAAGACTACCAAATGGAATCTTTGTGGCCGCATGATTCATCACTTGACAGACAGCAGACCCTGAAGAAAATCACAGTATTTTACCCTGAAATACGTTTCTTTGATGTAGTTTGAAATGATCCTGCACAGCTGTTTCCTGGAGGGGAAATCCACATTCTGTGACAAATCCCCTTCCGTTTCCAGGTCTTTTCCAATTGTTTTTTTTTTTTTTTTGAGATGCAGTTTCACTCGTCACCTAGGCTGGAGTACGGTGGCATGATCTTGGCTCACTGTAACCTCCACCTCCAAGGTTCAAGCGATTCTCCTGCCTCAGCCACTCAAGTAGCTGGAACTACAAGTATGTGCTACCATACTCAGCTAATTTTTGTAGGGACGGGATTTTGCCATGTTGACCAGGCTGGTCTCAAACTCCTGGCCTCAAGTGATTCACCCTTGTCGACCTCCCAAAGTGTTGGGATTACAGGCGTAAGCCACCATGCCCAGCCTTCCTCTCATTAATCTGTCTTTCATCAGTCTAATGTACTGGGGCCCCAGCCAGGGAACCTAAGATGGACAGAGGGAAAAATAATTTGTTTCCTCCCCTACAGTTGCCAGTACTATTATTTCTTTCTTTGCTTCCTGTAGAGCAGGGGCCATGTCTCCTTTCTCTCTGTATCCTTTGCAGCTAGTTGGGGCCTCTGCAGAGCAGCTGCTTAAAGTCCTTTTGTTCAGTGTTTGCTGAGAGTGGGGAGTGCTCCTGTAGGCCCTGTGGAGGCGTCAAGGCCAATGCCTGCCTCTGGGGGCTATTCCTGGAAAGGTTCAGGTGCTAAGACTGATTTCCTGGGGTTCATGAGGACCCCAGTAAAGCTGTTCATTTGCCCCAAACTTCCTGAGCCTTATGAACATGCAACCCACAACCAGCACTGCATACCGCATGTGCAGGGCCCAGTGCAAAATGAGCGTGCATGAACTCCTGTTTGAAAATCACTAAGAATTTTGAGATAGTGAAAATGAGATGGCAAACTGAGCCTGCCCCACCGCCCCCAACCAACATGGAGCCCTGTATGACTGCACAGGTCACTTGTGCATGAGGCCAGCTCTGCCGACATTGGCTTTTCCAGCATCGGGCTCTGAACACCTTGGCTAAGCAGCTCGGGCTGGTCCATCCTGCAGCAGAGCTGACTGCCAGGGACAATTCCCTCCACCCACCATGCCACATGGTACCTGGGTGGCCTGTGTGAGCTGACTGCCAGGAATGGTCCCCTCCATCCACCATCCCGCATGGTACCTGGGTGGCCTGTGTGAGCTGCCGCCAGGGACGGTCCCCTCCACCCACCATGCCTTGTGGTACCTGGGTGGCCTGCATGAGCTGCTGCCAGTGGCGTTCCCGAATGGCAGGGTTCTGCAGCTCACTCACGGCGCGTAGGGATGTGATCATGTTTTTCACGGTGTTGTCAAGCCCCACGAAGGCATCCCAAGTTTTCATCTCCTTGTCCAAAGACCTCACATCTTTGGCAAACTTCTTACAATCTATGTCCATCTGCTCCACGTTGATATCCTTCCACTTGGTGGTCTTCCAGTCCTCGATGCTGGTGTTTACCTGAGACAAAAGCATCCATTTCTCTTTCTACCCTAGTCAAGGAGGATTCAGGAAGACAATGCTCTTATCTTTCTGCACTTACTCGCAGGGAGCAAAGCCTAACGAGGAATATTCAGAATTAATACCTGAGTTCAGTAAAATAATTACATACAAGAAAAAACAACCGTGGTACCTTTAAAGGTAAGATTGAAAAGTCAGCAGTTGGCCAGGCATGGTGGCTCAAGCCTATAATCCCAGCACTTTGGGAGGCCAAAGCAGGTGGATCACCTGAGGTCAAGAGGTCGAGACCAGCCTGACCAACATGGTGAAACTCCATGTCTACTAAAAACACAAAAATTAGCTGGTGTGGTCATATGTGCCTGTAATCCCAGCTACTTGGGAGGCTGAGACAGAAGAACTGCTTTATCCTGAGAGGCAAAGGTTGAAGTGAGCAGAGATCCTGCCATTGCACTCCAGCCTGGGCGAGAGAGCAAGACTGTCTCAAAGAAATAAATAAATAAAAACAAAAGTTAGAAGTTAAAAGGTATTTTGGCAAAAGCTTATGTTAGAGCCGTGCTGTTGCTAGCCAGGACCCAGTTTTCTCTCACTTCTCAGGATGTCCATGTACCTTGTCTTGGCCAAACAAAGCTGAGTGATGCCTGACAACACCCAGTCTGGTGTTCCCCTTGCTTGCCTTGGCAATCACAAGCCTGCACTGTGGAACCAGTCCTTGGCAGGGAACCACTGCTTGGAACTGTGCATGAATGAAATGAATGCAAATGAATGCATGCACTTTGCATGAATGAGAAATACACTTGCATTCAGCACACAGAGATTTGTGGGGCTGTTTGTTACTGCACAGTAACCTAGCTTACACTGACTGATAAAAAGATAACAGAAGAAACTTCATTCACAACAATATGAAACGGAATATATAAACAACCCAGGAATAGCCCGACCAACAATGTAAACAGGTTATGAAGCCTGCACACTTACATTGGTGGTGAGCTGAGAATGGCTGTGGAACTGGAAACTGACAGTCATTGAGGGAACCAGAGATTGTTGACACAGGCACTTACAGTGGGAAAGTCTGGGCTTGCCAAACGTCTGTGCTCGAGAAAGTCAGAACTAGGAGTGTTTACAAGATGTTTGCCTTGAAGATATGAAGACTTGAAACCTTAATCCACATAGGAGTTGTTGGCTCTTTCTGGCAGGTTCAAGATTACCCTGTATCTTATTATCATAAAACATCTTGGCTATTGTGTTTTGGAGTTTTTCTTGAACTCTACTGACTGCAAATGCTTACTGTCATCTCCTGGGAAATGTGACCTTTCATCTCCAGTCTACACAAATAATTTTTGATTGTGGGAAAGTGGATATTCCATTCTCTCAGATGGCACTATGTCCTGTAATGCCACTCATATAAAAGAAACTTGAGGCTGGGCATGGTGGCTCATGCCTGTAATCCCGATACTTTGGGAGGCCGAGGTGGGCAGATCACCTGAGGTCAGGAGTTCAAGACCAGCCTGACCAACATGGTAAAACCCTGTCTCTACTAAAAAAAAAATACAAAAATTAGCTGGGCATGATGGTAGGTGCCTGTAGTCCCAGCTACTTGGGAGGCTGAGGCAGGAAAATCGCTTGAACCCAGGAGGCAGAGTTTGTGGCAAGTGGAGATCGTGTCATTGCACTCCAGACTGGGCAACAGAGTGAGACTCTGTTTCAACAACAACAAAAAAAGAGACTCAAATTCAGTTAATTGTGGAAAAAGTATCAAGAAGCCTTCAATTTGTACCTTCTCTTAAGGCCTGGCTGTAATAAAGCCTGTGACTCCAAATACTTTTTCCCCTATGTAAGAAATACGTAGACTCAGTATGGTTGGCATCAAGATATTTACTATAGTGTATTTTAATAACTAAATAAATGAAGAGACAGAGCATGCTCTTGTACGGGAACACTGAATACTGCCACAAGATTAATTCTCTTCAAACGAGTTAATTCAATTCCATTTAAAGTCATAATAGCTTCCTTCTGGAGGGGAGGGAGAATTGACAAATGATTTCTTTTTTTTGAGACAGACGCTCACTCACTCTGTCACCCAGGCTGGAGTGTAGTGACATGATCTCAGCTCACAGTAACCTCAACCTCCTGGGTTCAAACGATTCTCCTACCTCAGCCTCCCAAGTATCTGGGATTATAGGTGCATGTCACCACACCCAGCTAACTTTTGTATTTTTAGTAGAGATGGGGTTTCACCATTTTGGCCAGGCTGGTCTTGAACTCCTGACCTTGAGTGATCTGCCTGCCTCGGCCTCTCAAAGTGCTGGGATGACAGGTGTGAGTTACCGTGCCAGGCTGGATTTGATAAAAGTTCATTCAAAAAGGCAAGAGAGGAAAGAGCTCAAATATTTCTGAAAACAGATGAGCAATGAGGAGACAGAATGGCAGAAACAAACATATGAACACACAAAGAAGAAATACTTGGGAACAAGAAGCCCCATGCTTGGAGTCCAGCCTCCCTCCACACACCGAGACTGGGCCTGTCCTTGTCTTTTTGCTGCTTAGGAGGCCACAAAGCAGCCTACAGAAACGTGATCCAGACTGCCCTTGTTTGGCAAATTCCCAGGCTCCCGAATTGCCTCCTCTTCTCCCTGCATATCACCCCTCCACAACCTACCCAAATTCCCATTTCCTCGGGGCTGTCTTAGCATCTGACCCAAACAAAAAGCCTGTTTGCTTTCTTTAAAACGTTGTTTGTTCTTTCGGTTCTCCCAATATGGAGCAGCCCTGTTACTTTCAGCTTCTCCCTCTTGCTGAAACTGATAAACCCTGCACACATCACAACAAACGAGACCGAGACTGTGGAAGGCTGCTCATGTACTGAAGAAATACTTAAGACACTTGTAGCTAAAAGGGGCAGAGGTGAGGGCAAGGAGATCTAAATGGAAGGAAGGTTTCTACGCTCAAATGTGACAAAATGTTGCTATCAGTGACTGTCAACCGCTAAGAAAACTGTAAAGTGCTATGTTCAGAACCACTCTAACTAAATCAATCAATGGGTCCTAAAAATGTTAAAATAAAAGAGAGTCAGAGGAACACAAAACAAGGGGGACAAACAGAAAACAAATCAGCAGACTTGGGCTCTAGCAGGACAGTAATTATCTTAAATGCAAAATGGTCTAAATATACCAGTTAAAAGCCAGAGATTGACAGAATAGATGAAAAAACTGGGATCCAGCAACACGCCGTCCACAGGAAACTTGCTTCAAATACAAAAATGTAAGTAGGTTGAATATCTAAAAAATGGAAAAAGATCTATCAGGACAAACACTAGTCAAAAACAATGAATAGAAAACACAGAAGTCGCTGTATCAACATCAGGTAAAGCCAACTGTAGAGCAAACAGCTGTATCCACATCATGGCTTGACGGAGGGTCGGATGAGAGCTGGAGGCCAAAGAGCAAATTCTTAGACAAAAGGAACATTATATAATGGGAAAAAGGGCCAACCTGGAGGAAGACAATAACCCCAAATCTGTACAATAGAGCAACAGAGCCCCAAAACACACAAAGTGAAAACTGATGGAGCTGCAAAGAGAAATAAACATATCCATAATTAGAGCTGGAGATGTCAACACCTCGCTCTCAGCAGTTTATGGAATTAGACAGAAAATTAGCAAGACCGTAAAAGGACTGAACAAGACAACGAACCAACAGGATTTAATCGACACGTATGAAACGCTCCGCAGCTCCGTGCGGAAGCCCGGAATCCACACGGATGAAAAGCTCCGCAGCTCCGTGCAGAACCCCGGGCCCCACCTGTGCGGCGTGCCTGGCGCTCACCATGACGATCATGTCCCAGAGCTCCTTCAGCAGGCGGACCTCCCGGTGGCAGGCCTTGAGTTGCTTGTAGTCTGGGATGGTGACCTCAAACAGGCTCCCGGACTTGGACAGCGCCTCCATGATGCCTTCCATGGCTGAGATGCTCTTTTGTTGCTAGGGGCAGCGAAGGGGCCGTCAACAGGGCTGGTCACCCTCAGTAGCGCCCCACCCCACTCCCCGACATTCTGCACGTCTCTCCAGTGTGCCCTCCCTGGTAAACCTTCTGGGAGGAGGTGTCAATACAATGGTGTTCCACTGGGAGGGAGGACAGAGTCCCACCACCCCCACAGCCTCCTGGGTCCTGTCTGCAGGGGAGGGTGGGTGAGTCCAGCATGGGGACTGTCTCCCAATGGGCATGGTACAAATGCCTCATTTCCTCCTGAGAGAGAGTTTCTGATTTCCCAGCATTTCTTCAACTTTCATATTATATTTTTATCTTCTTAAAAATTATTTAAGGCTGGTCGCGGTGGCTCACTCCTGTAATCCTAGCACTTTGGGAGGCTGAGGCGGGCAGATCACCTGAGGTCAGGAGATCAAGACAAGCCTGGCTAACAGAGTGAAACCCCATCTCTACTAAAAATACAGAAAATTAGTCGGGCGTGGTGGCATGTGACTGTAATCCCAGCTACTCTGGAAGCTGAGGCAGGAGAATCACTTGAACCCAGGAAGCAGAGGTTGCAGTGAGCCAATATCATGCCACTGTACTCCAGCCTGGGTGACAGAGCAAGACTCTGTCCAAAAAAAAAAAAAAAAAGATGTAAGTAATGCTTTGAAAATGAGATAATTCAGATAAACAAAGAGGAAAACACCCCAGTGTCCTCACAAGTCCCGCACTAAGAGTTGGCCACCTGGTGTTAGTGGGTGTGTTTGCTACACGTAATGGGCAGGCTGTGGCCAAGGCGGGCTCAGGGTGTGGGCACACACATGGACACACAGGGACCCCTGCTCCGCTCACCAGCTGGAGCTCCACAGCCCCTCTCGGATGGGCACAGGGCACTCCTCACCCTAAATCTTTCCAGAAAACTGAGCCCGGGGCCTTAGGGAGAGAACAGCTGCATCGACATTGTGGCTTGAAGGAGTGTCAGATGGGAGCTAGAGGCTAAAGAGCAGGCGCTCAGGCAGAGGAGGAGTGGGGCGACCTTAAGGACCTGGGGTTCACATCTGCTCGAGCCTGTCAGGCTGAGGTGCTGGCGGTCCAGCCCTGCAGTACCTGGGCACCATACTGGGAGCAAAGAGGCACTGGCAAGGGCCCCACTGGGCCCCGTGTGCCCCACACACTCCTGCCTGCAAGGGCCTTTTGGGCCTGAGCTTAAGTGGGCTGCCAGGTCCAGGGCTGTGTGAACTTGTGCACTGGACGTTGACCATGAACTTGGACAGTTGAACAGAGTGGGCACACAAGTGGAGCATGGCTGCTGTGGGATGTGGTGGGCCAGGAGAGGCAGGACTCAGGGAGGGATGGCAGGTGAGTGCTCCCAGGTGACAGGAAACTGCTGAACGTGCACAGAGTGGGGATGAGGGGGTGGAGTCCAGCTAAGAGACTGTGGGTCACACGGGGTGTTAAGGGGTCTGAGCTGTGGGCCTGGAGCCATGCTCCGAGCAGCAAGATGCAGAGGGGACACCCTAGGGTCTGGGGGCTGCTGGGTTTGCATGTTCAGGTACACACACACAGGCGTGCACACACACACGCACATGCTCACACACATATGCCCATGCAAACCCACAAGAGCATGCATGCACGCCCCCAAGGTCAGTGCCACGGAGGCTACATTTCTAGACATAAAGAATAACAGCTTGAGAAAAGAAAGCAGTGAGGTTCCTGATCTCACCCTCCAGCAATCATACCTTATTCAGGGACTTGTAGGGGTTGGGGTTGCTGAAGGAGAATGGGGCCTGGTGTCGGAACTTCTCCCTGAACTCATGCTGCTTGAGCTGCGAGAGGAGAGAGCAGGGTACAGGGGATCACCAGGCAGTCACCTGCCCCACGGGGACCCACACTGCCCCATGCTGCTCCCCAGGAAGCCAGCCGCCCTGCCCCGGGAACCATACCTCGAACTGCTGGCATTTCCGCCGCAGGATGCTGACCTCGTTGGCCTGGAGTGGGGCCACGTGCTGCTTCACCTGGATGGCCAGCTTCTTGGTGTTTGTCCAGTGCTCCGGCAGCTCCTGCAGGAGGCAAAGGTTGGGGAGGGCTCCTTGCTCTTCTCTTTTCTTAAACCTTCTGTTGTGAAATAATCAGAGACTCGTGGGAAGCTGCGAAAACAGTGCAGGGGCCAGTGTGGTGGCTCACACCTGCCATCTCAGCACTTTGGGAGGCTGAGGTGGAAGGATCACTTGAGCCCAGGAGTTTGAGACCAGCCTGGGCAACAAAGCGAGACCCCCGTCTCCACAAAAGATACAACACAATTTTAGCTGGGTGTGATGGCATGGGCCTGTAGTCCCAGCTACTCAGGAGGCTGAGCTGGGATGATCACTTGAACTTGGGAGGCAGAGGCTGCAGTGAGCCGAGATTGTACCACTGCACTCCAGCCTGGGTGACAGAGGGGGCCCTGTCTCAAAAAAGAAACAAAAACGAAAACCGGCCTCCTTGAGGGTGGCCCAGGACATCGACATTGGTGTCTCTGTTAACTAGACCAGAGAGCACACTCACCTTTCATCATGTTTTTAAACCTGAATCCGTGTGTGTGTGTGTGTGTGTGTGTGTGTGTGTGTGTTCCCATGCAATTTTATCCCACATACAGAGTTGTGCAAACACCGCCACAATCAAGATACAGACTGTCCATTGCAACAGAGGAATTCCCTTTCTGTCCCTCCAGAACATCCCTGCCCCTGGACACTGCTAAGGTCTTCTCCAGTTCTAGAGAATGGACGCAATGAGCAGGTGAATTTTTTTTATTTCCCAGGTTCTCCACACTTGGGTAAACATTTTAATTATAACATTTTAATTATTATTTATTCATTTTTGAGACAGAGTCTCACTCTATCGCCAAGGCTGGAGTGCAGTGGCACGATCTTGGCTCACTGCAACCTCTGCCTTCTGGGGTCAGCCTCCCAAGTGGTTGGGATTACAGGCACCCGCCACCATGCCCAGCTGATTTTTTAATTTTTAGTAGAGACAGGATTTCACCATGTTGCCCAGGCTGGTCTCAAACTCCTAGCTTCAAGTGATCCACCTGCCTCGACCCCCCAAAGTGATGAAATTACAGGCATGAGCCACCACACCAGGCTATAAAATATTTTAAAGAAAAAAAATCCCAGCCCATGAGCTTTTTGCCCACCGTGGAGGCTTTTCTACATGATCGCTGGCTCCAGCGGTTTCTGTCTGCATTTTCACAGCCCTGGTTGCCCCGTGTGCGGCGTGGACCACCTTGGGGTGGGATGCCCAGGAGCCTGCTCAGTCCTTTTTTTTTTCCCCTTATGACATTGGCTTTGTCACCCAGGCTGGAGTTCAGTGGTGCAATCAATCATGCTGCAGCCTTCACCTCCTGGGCTCAATCTATCCTCCCGCCTCCTGAGTAGCTGGGACTGCAGCTATGCGCCACCACGCCAGCTAACTTTTAAATTTTTTTGTAGAGACAGGGTTTCCCTGTGTGGCCCAGGCTGGTGCCCTTCCCCTCGTCGCCCCCAGGGTTGTGAGGTCTTGGGCACTGGCTGGAGTCAGTGCAGACAGACAGCCGAGTGGGCCCTGTCTGTGGCTGGACTCAGAGAAGGGGAGAGGGAGGGAGGAGGGGTGGACAGGCTGCGGGGAGATGAAAACTCCAGGCCAGACTCCAGAAAGGAGGGAGCCGCATCTCCTCGGTGGCTGCAGCTAGAGGTGGCTGGGCGGCAGCTGTGGGACACACCCACTCCATCCTTCCACCCTGCCCAGCCTGCACACCTGCCTCCATGCTGACGACTGAGGTCCTTTGAATTCACTGTCAAGCGCAGTGCTATTGCAGCTGCCAGTCCCTCCCCTTCAGCTGCCTAATCCCTCCCCAGGGTCCCTCTGACCTTGTTCTCTCTCCATCATCCTGGTACCCAGCTCCACCAGGCACTCAGGAAGAAATGTGGGATGTGAAGGCATTTTTAATCCAACAAAACCCTGATGGAATGGAGGGGGCACTGGAGGCAGTCTCCAGGTCTCCTGTCCCCTGGAAGCCTCCTCCCTGTGCCTCCCTGTTCCATGGGGATCAGGGGTCCTGTGGGGTTCTAGCCTGCAGCATCCCCGTGGTTGTGTGTGATGGCCTGGTTTCTATGGTCACAGCTGGCCTGGCTCTTCCTCTGACAGTGCCTCCCACAGCCTCCTCCCTGCTCACCTGGACGCAGCCACGCCCACCCGCCGCGTACCTGCAGCTTCAGGTGGAGCTCCTCCGGCATCTCCTCCCCGTAGGTCTTGAGCAGCTCGATGGTTTGCTTCAGGGGCTCGAACATGTTGTCTGTGGCCGCCTGCCTCTCCTTGACCTTCATCAGGTGCCCCATCACTTCCACCAGGCCATCATAGTCCCCCTCCTTGAGGGGCTTGGTCAGGCCCATTCTGGCGCCTTTCATGAAAGCTTCCAGGTCAGCCAGGCTAAGGGACAAGGGAACCATGTGTGATGGGACCAGTCCCCCTTGGGCCCACCCTTGATGGCACAGGGAGGCCCATCACAGGGGGACGACTGCTGTGAGGGCAACTGGCTATCACCGAAGGGCCCAGCTGGTGAGGGAGCACCCCTGCCCACCTCAGACCCCTCCAGCTCACTCAGCTCCTGCCTGGACATCACCCCGAGCCTCAGCAGCTTAGCTCAAGCCCATCCTTGAGTCCCAGGCTAAGGCGACATCCCAGGGAAGCCTTTGCTGGCCTCCCAGATGGAATTTAGCCAGGGAATGCTCTCCCCTGGCACTGTGCCCACCATGGCCCTGATGGCCGCCTGTGACTCCATCTGTTTCTTTAGCACCAGCCTTCCCTGCCAGACTCTGGGTTTCCTCAGCATCTGGTGCTGGGCAGAACAGGTGCTCGGTACACCAGGGTTGGAGGAAGGATAGAGCGTTTGCTTGCAGCCCGGTGACCCCTTTCTGCTTGAGCTCGGTGGGGCAGTTGGCCATGAAGCCAGGCCTCCACCCCCATGCTGACCCGGAGGAGGCACCTGACAAATGCCACCAACTCAAGTTGGGGTGGCCATTCCCCAATGCTGTGTGCATCCCCTGGGCTCCCTGAGGACACGGCTGGGCACCCACCTGTTGGTGACATGGTCGCTGAGGTGCTGCTTGAACATGAAGCTCCAGCGCCGGATGATGCTGAGCAGGGCCTGCTTGAAGGGGCGGCAGTCACACTGCAGCCAGCCGTGGAACACCTTGGTGTTCTCACACTTGGACACCTCCTCATACAGCTTCTCGTAGGAGTCAATCTGGAAAACATGGCCACCAGTGGCCTGTCATGACCTGCAAGCCAGTGGGGGCGTCAGCACAGGGCCTCCATCCAGGGCTGCCTGCACTGCACCTGTCAGCCCCTGTGGGGCCAGGGTCAGCAAAGGGCAGTGCTGGGCACACAGGAGCCTCATTCCAAGTTATTGTTCCTTCTCCAGCACCTTCAGGGTTCCTTCCAGAGTCTAGGCCCAGAAGGTGCTAGTCCACCAGAAAGGGGCGGAACGGGTCATGGCAACAGAACTTCTGAAGCTGAGTAGGACAGAAGCTTCCAGACGTGAACTCAGTCACAGGCTCCTAAAGGGCACCCTTAACTCATCCTTCTTGGTGCTGATTTGTGACCAGGGGCCTCCAACTCCTCCCACTACCCCAACCCTGTGCTGCAGAATGCACCCCGGGTGTGGGTTGCCCTTGCCCACAGAGCGTTGGGAACAGAGCTCCAGGTGCTACATCAGCGATGTCTTCTTGTTTCCTGCATTCTTTCTGCAGCGGCTGGGTCAAGTGCTCTGCAGCTGCCTGTTGGTCCCCGTGGTCTCACGTGCACTTTAACTGCAGTGTTTCTTTGTTGATTTTCTGTCTAGATGATCTGCCTGATGCTGAAATCCCTAATGATTCATGTATTGGGGCCTCTCTCTCCTTTAGATCTACTGCTGTTTGCTTGAGATATCTGGGTGCTCTGGTGCTGGGTGCATAGATATTCAGAACTGTTAAATCCTCTCACTGAGATGATCCTTTTATCACTATATAGTGACCTCCTTGCTCTCTTTTCACGGTTTTTGACATGAAGTCTGTCTTCTCTGACATAACTATAGCTATGCGTGCTTGCTCCGTTTGTGTAGAATATCTTTTTCTATCCCTTGGCATTCGATCTGTGTCTTCAGAGGTGGAGTGCATTTCTTGTAAGCAGCATATATTAGGGTCACCTAATTTTTTTTTTTTTTAGTCCCTTCAGACAATCTGTATCTTTTCACTGGGGAATTGAATCTATTTACATTCGAGGCTACTACGGGAAGGAGTTATTTTCTGTGTTCTGGACACTTTGATCTCTGGGACTTTGCCCCTGGACATCTGGCCCCTCCCAGGCCTAGCCCATTTCTAGACACAACCAAGGATCCACCTGGGAACATGGTTTCATATGCAAATGAGTAAACCCAGAGCCCACAGCACCAACCATCCCCTTGATAGGGCTCTCTCAGGGTTTTACCTTCTGGGGTGCTACCCACCCACTCTAATCACCCCAAGGTCAGGTACCAGACAGTCGCTATAGCCTGGAGCCGGCTGAAATTATTCGAACTTGCCAACCCTATGCCTGCAGACTCTGCCCATTCCTTCCCTGGAAGCCACAATAAAGGCTCTTTACTGCCCACATTTTGCCCGGCTCCCTCCGTCTCCTGGCCGACCCTGGTGCTGCTTGTGCAGGCCTGCCTGGCATGCCACGCCCCCTTCTTGGGAACTGTGAGTAACCAACTGTCTTTCCAACGGCAGCCATCTCCTGATCTGTTTGCCTTGCCCTACCTGGTAACAACAGAACCTGTGTCTTAAAACAATTCACTAAGTTTTAAAGCAAGCCTGGTGATCCTCTCCTGGAAGACTCTGAAAACAAGGAGGCTGGTGGGTGAGGTCTGCACGCACCTGCTCCTGGAACTGAGCCAGGGTGGGTGGTGTCTTGGGGATGGTATCATCTGTCCGGGTGTCCAAGTCCTCTGCAGTGGGCACACACCCGTAGATCAGGAAGTTCTTCATAAACTCCTGGAGGTCATCTGTCCAGAGGTAAGAGTACCTCTCAAAGGAATCCTGGTACTCCTCGGCCTGTTTCATGGCGTTGACGACCAGGCTGGACACATCCTCCCTCATCTCTATGAGATCTGTGATATCTTCCAGGTCTGTCTGAAAGGGGCAGGGGAGAAGCAAACAGGAGATATGTTGCATGGTTTGTAAGTTGCCTGGTGTTGTCATCCCAGCCTCGAGAAGTGGCTCTCTGTTGGCAAAAGTACTTTCAGTCTCTCATGATGACCTGCTCCGTTTCCAGCCTGGGCCGGTTCATCCCTCCTTAGGCAACCTGGTGGTCCCCTGCTCCTGGGAGGTCACTGTATTTATGCCAAACTTAGTGTAGACACCCAAATGGCATAGTGCACTGCAGCCCAGAACTCCTGGGCTCAAGCAATCCCCCTGCCTCAGCCACCCAAATAGCTGGGACTACAGGCATGCGCCACTGTTTTGGCCCAAGCTCTCATGATGGAAATAGAAACCTTTGCCTATTTGCAATGTTCTCCCATGGGAAGAGATGCCAAGTGTGGCGTTTGGGGAACCCCAAGATGACTCACACGTTGATTCGTACATTAAATAGCTCACCCTCACTGTGTACCTACCTGGTAACAATAGACCCTAACATGCATCTTAAAACAATTCATCCAAGTTTTTTTTTTTTTGAGACGTAGTCTCATACTGTCACCTAGGCTGGAGTGCAATGGTATGATCTCGACTCACTGCAACCTCTGCCTCCCAGGTTTATGCAATTCTCCTGCCTCGGCCCCACACCACCACACCCGGCTAATATTTTGTATTTTTTGTAGACAGGATTTCACTATGTTGGCCAGACTGGTATTGAACTTCTGACCTCATGATCCACCCGCCTTGGCCTCCCAAAGTGTTGGGATTATAGGCATGAGCCACGGTGCCCAGCTTCACCCAAGTTTTAAAGCAAGCCTGGCGATCCTCTCCTGGAGGACTCCAGAAACGAGGAGGCTGGTGGGTGAGGTCTGCTGCTGGAACTGAGCCAGGGTGGGTGGTAGATACTGGGGACAGAGACAGGAAGTGTATAGCCCAGGAATGGCTTGCAACATTCATCAAAGAATCACAGAAACAAAGCATCTCCGCTCTGCCCCGTCGCTTCAGGTGAAATGGGGAGCAAGTCAGGGACCAGCCCTGAGGAAATGGCCATTGCTCCGAGAGATGATGTTTGGGTAGGCAAAGAGCAGGAGAAGCGGCTTTCCTGGCAACAGTAAAGCCTGTGCAAAGGCCGTGTGGCAGGAGGAGGCAGCATGTGGGGGAAACTGAAAGAAGTCTACTGTAGGTAGCTAGGGCAGAGAGCACGAGAGGCCTGTGCTAGACAGAACCTTTTTAGTTGCAAGCAACGGGAAACCCAACCTAACCTGGTGTCAGCAAAAAGAGAACTCACTGACGTATATACAGGACTGGGGACTCCCAAGGGTGTGTGTGTGTGTGTGTGTGTGTGTGTGTGTGTGTGTGTTAATCACATCTTTAGTGCCTGTATCTTAGGGAATTTTGACTTTTTTTTTTTTTTGAGATGGAGTCTCGCTCTGTTGCCCAGGCTGGAGTGCAGTGGCATGATCTCAGCTCACTGCATTCTCTGCCTCCTGGGTTCAAGCGATTCTCCTGCCTAAGCCTCCCACCACCATGCCTGGCTATTTGTTTTGCATTTTTAGTAGAGGTGGGGTTTCACCATGTTGGCCAGGCTGGTCTCGACCTCCTGACCTCAGGTGATCCACCTGCCTCAGCCTCCCAAAGTGCTGGGATTACAGGCATGAGCCATTGCACCCAGCCCAATTTTGATATCTTAAACTAAAACCTTATTGGCCAGGGGGAGCTGCCTTTCCCAAGACTAGGCAATACTTTGAGATAGCAAAGGGCTCAGCTGGGACATGCCTTCCATATGCAAACCAGCCAACCTCCAACCACTTTCTTTACCCAACTCACACCAAGCCAGTATTCCCCCTGCCCTACACATCATCCAGAGTCAGGTACCAGAAAACTGGAGATGGCCCCTATAGCCTGGAGCCCACATCACAGCTGCAGAGAGGTCCTGTAGGGGCCTGGACATGCATAGGATGTCTGCACAGGGACCTTGTTGCAAGGGGCAGGACAAGGAAACAGCATAATTGAGGTGAAGTCAGTGGGGCTGGGATGGAATGGGAGGGAGGGTTGGCCCTAGGGCTGGGCCAGGCCATCCTGTACATAAGTTGTGGATGAAAAGAAGCCACAGAGGGGCCAAACACGGTGGCTCATGCCTGTAATCCCAGCACTTCGGGAGGCCAAGGCGGGTGGATCATGAGGTCAGGAGTTCGAGACCAGCCTTGCCAACATGGTGAAACCCCATCTCTACAAAAAAATACAAAAACTAGCCAGGCGTGGTGTCAGGAACCTGTAATCCCAGCTACTCAGGAGGCTGAAGCAGAAGAATCACTTGAACCCAGAAGGCAGAGGTTGCAGTGAGCTGAGATCATACCACTGCACCAGCCTGGGTGACAGAGCAAGATTCCGACTCAAAAAAAAGAAGCCACAGGTGAGAGAAGCTGGAAGCTCCACATGGCTGCAGGAAAGCTCTGGCGTGTGTGTCAGATTTCAGCTGTGGGCTTGCTGGTGCCTGACATGCAGCTCTCGTCCCTCCTCACAGCCTCTTTCTGCTCAGGGTGGAAAGTGCACTCAGCTCAGAGGGCAGGCAGGTGCTTCCAGATTTAAATGTGGCCACTTCCGGGTGTCCACCTGCTCCGGCCGAGACTGTCCGCTTCCCTCCCTTGCATTTCCCCAGGTGGGGTCCAAGTTCCGGCGGGGCTGGGCTGGGGGCAGTCTGGCATGCTCGGAGCAGGCAGTGCCCACTATCTGGGGCTTTGCCCCTTGCTGGTCTCCCCTGTGGGTATCCCAGCTGTCTAGATCCCTGTGGTTTCACACAGGCAGCCTGGGGCCCACATTCTTTCTCCTCCTTGTCCTGACCCCAGTTCCTCTGGGTTAGCCACCCCAGTGCCCATGAGAAGCATCCCTTGGGTACTGTCTGCTACCAAGCTAGGGCCCTTGGGTCTCTGGGAAGTGACCTGGGGCCAGTGGCCTAGATGAATGACCCTCTCATCTTCCACAGCTTGGCACCAGGTAAGACTCTGCTAGGCCAGCAGCCTTTTGAAGGACCCTTCTCCCAGGCAACAGGCCCTTCAGCTCTAGAATGTTCTGCCTGAGCGTCCCAGGGTGTCCGCAAGACTGCCCGAGTGTGTGTGCTGGCAGAACCCCGGGGTGGAGCAGCTGTGCCTGCAGCAACTCTGGGTGCCCGAGAGCAGCCTGCTTTAGGGACAGAGGGAGGGGCACACCCAGGACATGCCGATTCCGAGGACCATGTGCTACCCTAGCACCTGCATAACTGGGGCAAATTCTATTCTCAACTCCAGAACAGCTTGCTGCCTGTACTTGGGCCTGAAATCACAGCCATCCTCTCCACATGGAAACCTCCTCCCGCCCTCCAAGGATCCGCTCACATGCCCACCTTGTCCTTGACCTTCTCAGGTCATTAGCTGTTCCCTCCTGTCTTCACTTCACCTCAGTACACACATGCCTCTCCCCCACACATGCAGATATGCACATGGGCACACACACATGCACACACGCACATCCACACACACACGGGCATCCACACACATGCACACACACATCCACACACATGCACACACATCCACACACATGCACACACACATCCACACATGCACACACACATACAGACACGCATCCACACACACACACACACATCCACACATGCACACACGCACATCCCTCCCTCCTGGACAGGACAGCTCATCTTGCTGTAAATATTTGTTTTACAATTCAAACAACGCAGAAATGCATGAGGGAAAAGCCACATCCCTCCCCCTCCCTGCTCCCTCCCACCCTGGTAAGCACTCACCCAGATTTTTGCTTGTTTAAACAAATGAAACCATATTCTAAACATTGTTCTGTAAGTTGATAAATGTCAATAATCTGTCACAATACCTTTCCACCCCAGTTCATTGTGACAACTCACAGTCTGTGTTTGGACTGGCAGTGATCAAGCCAACTCCCCTCTTTGATAAACATTAAGGTCATCTAGCTCTTTTCTGATTTTTGTTTTACTGCTACACAAATAGATGCTCTGGCAAACACCCCCCTGCCAACCTCCCTTAAGCAGGGAGCTAAATTTCCCGTGAGTTTTGTCCTTCCCACCCCAGAGCCTGGCCAGGCTCTCCACATTTCTTGTTTGATGCATTTAGAATAGATGAACTTGGAAGGCAGTGGAGGGCCCGTTTGTCAAACTGCCTGAGTACTGGGAGAATCACAGTGTTTACGTTACAAGACTGAGGCTGGGCACAGTGGCTCACACCTGTAATCCCAGCACTTTGGGAGGCCAAGGCAGGTGGATCGCTTGAGCTCAGAAATTTAAGACCATCCTGTGCAACATGGCAAAATCCCAGCTCTACAAAAATTACAAAAATTAACTGGGCTTGGTGATACATGCTTGTAATCCTAGCTACTTGGGGGGCTGAGGCGAGAGGATCAGTTGAGCCCGGGAGGTGGAGGCTGCAGTGAGCAGAGATTGTTCCACTGCACGCCAGCCTGGGTGACAGAGACAGGACTCAGTGAACTGTTGGGAAGTTGGGTGAGGTTACCCTCTTGGGATCATGTCGGGGGTTGGAGAAATGATGAAGGAACGAAACCCAGGCAGGCTGCCAGAGGAGAAGCTGCTTTGGGAAGAACAGATGTGCACGTCGCGGGAGAAGCAGCCACATAGTCCTGGAGGTTGCACCATGTCATTTAAAAGGTAAACAGCCAGGCCTTGCAGAGTCAGGGAGGCAACACCAAATGCAGAGAGCAATGGATGGCCCCGAGCAGGGCCGGAAGCAGCAGGACTGACCTTGTAGCTCATCTTGCCCTTGGCCAGCCGGGGGATGAACCTGGCTACATTGTAGATGTCGTTGACCAGGCCTTCGATCAGCGCCAGGAGGCCGCGCTCCGAGCCCACCTCCAGTGACGGATTGAAGGCCAGCCCATCCTCGTCCAGCTCCATGCGGATCTCAAACAGGGGAGCAATGCTGTCCTGAAACAGGGCGGGGTTGCAGCGGTCCACACCTCTGTCCTCCATCGGAGGATTCTCAGTGCCCTGATCGTCCACTCCACACTGTCAAGGTACCACTGCTTTCCATTGGCCTGGGCAGCTTTTGAGAGCTCACGTCCCAGGGCCCCCCATTTAAGCAATCACTGCGGAGCCAAAGGTGCAGCCACAAGGCCAAAAGCAGGCAGGGGCAGGTCGGGGGAAGAGGGGGCAGGTTCAGGTAGAGCTAAGACCTTGGTTCAAAGCCTGCACCTGCTACTTGCCAGCTATGAGGCCTTGAGGAGTCATTTAACTCTCAATTTCCCCAAATATATATAATGAGGCTAAACGTTTTAGGTATTTGGGAACACTGTTTCCATCCTCTGGGTTACTGCCTGGACTGAATGAATAACTCACACACAAAGCCTGAACCACAGGGGCTAGACAAGCCTCCATGTCCCTCTCCTTGGGAGTTCCCACTTACAGAGCGCTCGACCACACTCCCCCACGCTCTGGAGGCCCCTGGTGAGACTGCGGGGCTTCGGGTACAGGTCTGGTTTAAAGTGATGGACTGAGGTCAACCCTAGTGCTCTTCCTGCCTAACCAATGATTCTCCAAATGTGGGCCAGGACCCACCAGGCTGCGAGATCACACTGTGGTCACTGATCTGACCTCACTGGAGTCCTCATGGGACCTGTGGGTGGGGGGCTTTCAAGCCCCCCGGTTTCTCTACGAGCAGAAGGGGGCTGTATCAGTATCTGAGTGAGGTACTCATTGGGCTGAATGGTCAGTTGTCACGGACTTGGGTGACCAGACTTTTCTAAAGACTCAGGCCGGCTCCTGCCCCAGGCTACTCGCAAGTAGCAGGACCCCCTGGAACTCCTTGAGAAGGACACTGTTACCAGGGCATCCTCACGGCTTCCACTGAGACACTCTCACTGGGACAGCTGTAGTGATGATGACTTTCATCATCTGAATTTTGGGTCTGTTACTGGTTACCAGCCGGAGACCCATGTGCCAGGCTCAAACACCACCCACCCTCTGTTGCCTGTACAAGGGCACACCACTGCCACGTGCCTTTGCTGTTGGTGGCCTGGGGGAGCCTTTGATAGTGGCCTCCTGGCAGTACTCAAAATCATTTGAAAACTGTCACAACACAAAAGAAGCGGGTATGAAAGGGGCCACCGCCATGGAGAACACTGGGATTAACCAGCACTACCCCTTCGCTGACTGGCTTACCTTCTACTCAGCCCTATAGGATTGAGTAGGTTAGTGGCTACTGTTGTTGATGGAAGACCCTTCCCCCAATTCACATGAGCAGGGGACAGTGGTGCCCACCTTCCCTCATGAAGCAGTGAGGTAGGACCACCCTCTTAGGTCTCCTGAGGCTTTCTGCAGCTAATGTATATTACGGTAGATTTAAGGTGACCCATGGTCCTGAGTGCCTGGGACTGAGGTTTAAAGCCAGGTCAAGAGGATCACCTAAGGTATATTTTAGTAAGTCTGTTTATTTATAAAAATGATAGTTCTTTCATCAGGACATGAGAAGCTGTAGATTCTAACATATGAGAATACACACACATATATTACCTTACGTTCATAACTTACGTCTATAACCATGTTGTCCATCAGGAAATTCAGCGACGTGCGAATGAACTGCTCAAATTCAGCCAGGACCATGTCGTCAATGTAATTGACATAATCCTTCCAGGGCAGGCTCGAGGTGTCCGCCCTGAACAGTTCCGCGTTTTCCTGCAAACATAAGCACACAGCTGGCCCTCGCTCCATCGAGTGTGTGTCTGCTCTTGGATCTCGCTGTTCAGTGACTCTCTGGACCACCCATCCATATTCACACCAGACACACAGAGCTGTTTGAGCTTCCTGTGGGTGCCCGGTCGTCCTGTGCTAACCTACCCTGTGTTAGCCTGACAGACTCCATCTTGCTGAGAGCCAGACAGACTCCATCTTAACCTCTGCCTCACCCCTTCTGCCATTTCCCCCTTGATTGTATACCTGGGTCACGCTGCTGTGCAGGGTCATGCTGCACTTAGAACTATAGAAACATATAACCTTTGTATCCACAGCCTGCTTGGCAAGCCCACTTGTTATTGTGAATGCCCCCTTGATTGATTGTATGACAAGTATCGAATACCCCCTTGGTAACTGGCAATCATGGGAACTGCTTGTGTATACCCGCCTTAAAAATCAACAATCATGAGAATCTCCTGCCTCCGAGTGACCAGCCTCCTTATCTAACTTGCTTGTTCTGTTTCTGTACATTCTGCTTCACCTAGGCTCCCCCTTCCCTTTCTTAAGTAAGGTACAAAAAAGAATCAAGCCCCTTCCTCAGGGCTGAGAGAATTTTGAGCATTAGCTGTCTCTCAGTCACTGGCAATAAAAAACTCACAATTGGAACTCAAAGTGTGATGCTTTCCTTACAGCTAGCTCAGATATACCAGTTCTAGGCCAGGCTTTGCTCAGATACGCCAGTCCTATGCCAGGCTTTGCTCGGATACACCAGTCCTACGCCAGGCTTCACTCGAATATGCCAGTCCTATGCCAGGCTTCGCTCGGATATGCCAGTCCTATGCCTGGCTTCGCTCAGATGTGCCAGTCCTATGCCAGGCTTCGCTCGGATACGCTAGTCCTATGCCTGGCTTTGCTCAAATATGCCAGTCCTATGCCAGGCTATACCAGTCCTATGCCAGGCTTCGCTCGAATGTACCAGTCCAATGCCAGGCTTCATTCAGATATGCCAGTCCTACACCAGGCGTCACTCGGATATGCCAGTCCTGCACCAGGCTTTGCTCGGATATGCCAGTCCTACGCCACACTTCGCTCGGATATGCCAGTCATATGCCAGGCTATACCGGTCCTACACCAGGCTTTGCTCGGATATGCCAGTTCTATGCCAGGCTTCACTCAGATATGCCAGTCCTATGCCAGGCTTTGCTTGGATATACCAGTGCTACGCCAGGCTTTGCATGGGTTGCTCCCTCACTTTCTTGCTGAGTCTGGCTTCTAATCTTTTTGATTTCAGCTCAAATGTCCCTTTCTCACAAAGGAATCCTCCATCTCTGATTGGGTTCCCTCTAGCAACCCATTGTTTATGTCCACCATGGTGCAGAGGGCCACTTGGAGTTATTTTATCTGTTTTTGATTTGTCTTTTGTCTGCATGCCCTTTTGATGCCCAAATTCATGATGGCAAAGATTGACCATCCTCTCCACCACTGTGCCCCCACTCAGCAGCATGCCTGGCACAGAGTCGGGGCTGGCAGGTGGGTGGGTGGTTGAATGGTTGGGTGAGTGGGTGGGGTGGGTGGTTGAATGGTTGGATGAGTGGGTGGGGTGGGTGGATTGGTGGGTGGATGAACATCAGTAGGATGTATGGCTAGATGGATGAATGGGGTTGGTAGATGTGTGAGTAGATGGGTGGGTGGGTGGATAGATGAGTGGATGAGTGGGTAGATGAATGGGTGGGTGGATGAATGGGTGGGTGGGTTGATGGATGGGTAGAGTGGGTGGGTGGATGGATGGAGGGGTAGGTGGATGCATGGGTGGAGTGGGTGGATGGATGGGTGGGTGGATGGGTGGAGGGGTTGGTGGATGCATGGGTGGATGGGTGGAGGGCTGGAGGGGTGGATGGATGGGTGGGTGGATGGGTGGGTTGGTAGGGTGGATGTATGGGTGCGTGAGTTGGATGTATGGGTGGGTAGTGTGCATGTTTGGGCCGGTGGGGTACATGTATGAGTGGGGTAGGTGGATGGATAGATGAATGGGGTGGGTAGATGTGTGAGTGGCTAGATGGCTGACTGACTGGCTAGGTGGATGGATGAATCTCTAGGATACTAAGTGCTACAGGGAAACTCAGAGATTAATTCACTTAGTCTATACCTTCAGGCAGGTCTATTCTAATAAGGGAGAGAAGACTTGGGCTCAAATAACTTCAGTGTAAGATAAAAGGAAATGGCTCTACTAACTGTCATGGGAGTAAACCTGTGTGGTGACAGAGTCATGCACAAGAGGCAACTCGATCTCATGACAGCTGGGGAACAGGAGAGGCTCCTCGCTGGCCTCTGCCCCTCTTAGGCTCCCGTCCTGCTGCTTGGCCGCAGCCTCAGCCCAGTCCTGCCTCCGTGCCTGCCCATGCACTGTGCACCCACCCTCTGAAACTTTCCTGACCCTAAGTCAAATCACTCTCCTGTGCTGTCTCCAACCCTTCTGAGAGTATCCGCAAGCTAATCAGTTCACTCTTCACTCTTCAATCAGTTCACTCTTCAATCAGTTCACTCTTCGATCAGTTCACTCTTCAATCAATCAGTTCACTCTTCGATCAGTTCACTCTTCAATCAGTTCACTCTTCGATCAGTTCACTCTTCAATCAATCAGTTCACTCTTCGATCAGTTCACTCTTCAATCAATCAGTTCACTCTTCGATCAGTTCACTCTTCAATCAATCAGTTCACTCTTCGATCAGTTCACTCTTCAATCAATCAGTTCACTCTTCGATCAGTTCACTCTTCAATCAATCAGTTCACTCTTCAATCAGTTCACTCTTCAATCAATCAGTTCACTCTTCAATCAGTTCACTCTTCAATCAGTTCACTCTTCAATCAATCAGTTCACTCTTCGATCAGTTCACTCTTCAATCAATCAGTTCACTCTTCGATCAGTTCACTCTTCAATCAATCAGTTCACTCTTCGATCAGTTCACTCTTCAATCAGTTCACTCTTCAATCAATCAGTTCACTCTTCAATCAGCTCACTCTTCGATCAGTTCACTCTTCAGTCAGTTCACTCTTCCAAGCAGCATTTTTGCAGTTTAGCATTTTTGTTTAGAGAGACCTTCTGACACCATGGCAGGGAGGGGAAGAATGGGAATTGGGAATGAGGCAAAACAGATTCTGGTTCAGTCAAGTCACTTCCTGAAGTGATGACCTTTAGCAATACGTGACAACAGAACCGCCAATAATAGCCCATCCCCAGGTGGGGCCTGCTGGTCAGTCTGGATGGGATGACTCATCATTAAAGGCCACACCACTGATTTGCATCATGCACTGAAAAAACCCAAAAACAACTGCCCTGATTTTTTTTTTTGGTACCATGCACTGAAAAAACCCAAAAACAACTGCCCTGATTTTTTTTTTTTTTTTGTACCATGCACTGAAAAAAACCCAAAAACAACTGCCCTGATTTTTTTTTTTTGCACCATGCACTGAAAAAAACCCAAAAACAACTGCCCTGAATTTTTTTTTTTTTTTTGAGATGGAGTTTTGCTCTTGTTGCCCAGGCTGGAGTGCAATGGTGCGATCTCAGCTCACCGCAACCTCTGTCTCCCAGTTTCAAGCGATTCTCCTGCCTCAGCCTCCCAAGCAGCTGGGATTACAGGTATGCACCACCACGCCCAGCTAAGTTTTTTTTTTTTAGTAGAGATGGGGTTTCTCCATGTTGGTCTGGCTTGTTTTGAACTCCCGACCTCAAGTGATCCACCCGCCTCAGCCTCCCAAAGTGCTGGGATTACAGGTGTGGGCCACCATGCCTGGCCAAATTCTTTTTTTTTTTTTTTTTTTTTTTAAGATGAAGTCTCTCTTGTCACCCAGGCTAGAGTACAATGGTGCAATCTTGGTTCACTGCAACCTCTGTCTCCCAGGTTCAAGTGATTCTCCTGCCTCAGCCTCCTGAGTAGCTGGGATTACAGGTGCCCACCACCATACATAATTTTTGTATTTTTAGTAGAGATGGGCTTTCACCACATTGCCAGGCTGGTCTCAAACTCTTGACCTCAAGTGATCCACCCACTTTGGCCTCCCAAAGTGCTGGGATTACTGTCAGGAGCCACCATACCTGGCCGTATTTTGAGCTCAAGGGAGAGTACTCTCTTTTACAGGTGAATGCAAATCTCCACCTTTCACAGTCTCCCCAGAGACAGACTAAAATGCAAGCTGGATGAAATGACCACCAAGCAAGGAGGGCGTGAAAACCCCCAATGTCAGGACACCAGATGGAGTACCCAGGAATGCCAGTCCACTGTTGTGCACTCCCCCACTCAATGTGCAAACAACAAGGGCTCCCAAGACGCTGGCAGGGACACAGAGTCATTGGCTGTTGGGACTGCTGACAAGAAGGACCAGCCAGCATCCTAGGTAGCAAAGCAGGCATGCCTTGTCACATTCTACCCATTCACATGTGCTGGTTATGATACACCCTGTGCACATTCGAATGGTCCTGGCTTTTCCCATGTTACTGTTCCCTGCCCACACCCACACATGGGAAATCCATGGGGGATGCTGCTAAACACACAGTGCCTGCCCTCAGCAGCCCATCCCAGGAAGACAAGATCTGCTGACCGAGTATGAAAACGTCACTTGCCGATTCCCACAGTGTGCAGGGTGAGGGCTCAGGTGCCCTTAGAATGGAGGAGGGAAGGCCCATCACAAAGGAACCAGGCTTGGAAGTTTACAGGGTGATGTGCTACTTAAAGATAAGGTTTGCTTGGATTAAAAACCACAGCCTTTTTATTTGAGACAGAGTCTCACTCTTTCACCCAGGCTGGGGTGCAGTGGTGTGATTGTGGTTCACTGCAACCTCCGCCTCCCATGGTCAAGCGATTCTCCAGCCTCAGATTCCCGAGTAACTGGGACTACGGGCACGTGCCAGCACACCTGGCTAGTTTTCATAATTTTAGTAGAGGCGGGGTTTTACCATGTTGGCCAGGCTGGTCTGGAACTCCTGGCCTCAGGTGATTGCCTGACTCAGCCTCCCAAAGTGCTGGGATTACAGGCGAGAGCCACTGTGCCTGGCCAGATCACAGACTTTGGTGACCACTAAAGATGTGTCACTCGTCATTTTTATGAAATCTCCAGCTCTGCCTTTACTCTCCCCGCCCTGCTAAAAGCGAGTGGGCTCTCAAAAAGCCTCCTGGGCGTTTCCTTACCGCAACCATGGCTTGGATCTTCACGCCGGCGTCCCTCACTGCTGTGTAGCGCTTGTTGAGGTTGGCGATTCTTCCATCCAAGTCTAACAGGGCCTCTTTCTTATTGTCCTTTCTTTCAAACAGCGGATTGGCCGAACAGTCCTGGGAGGAAAGCACAGGGGAAGAGTTCTTCTAGAGAAGCCGCTTCCGGCCGCACTCTTCCGCTGTGTGCTCTGTGGTGTGAGCTTCCTCATCCTGGCCTGATCTTGGACTGGAGCCTAGTTCCCCATGACCTGTGCCCACTAGGGGCCACTGAGGACCTGTGCCTGACTGTTGACCAGAGAGCCTTAAATAATTTAGCTCAAAACCAAAACTGGGGCCTAGGGGAACCACAGGGAGACCACTGAGATGTTTCACTCAACTGGGCCAGAACGGGGTCACTCTCGGGAAAAGAACATCTAATTCTCTCGTTGGGGCACGGAAGGACCTGAGGGTCGAGGGGTGTGTGGTCAGTGCTGGGTGGATCGGCCATAGCTGCAAATGGAGAGCCAGATGGGAGCAAGTCCCTTTTGTGGGGGCCGCTGACCTACCGACAGGGATGGGAAAGGGTGGAGAGTAGGGTCAGGACCCTGGCTCCCCTGTGAGTGGGAGTTCTGCCACAAGGGTGCTGGCCACCTGTGACGATGATCTGGATTTTCCTCTCTTATCCAGCGTTAGATTTTTCTTTCCTACACATTTCCATCAAAGTGATGCATCTATGGTAACAAAACGCTTAACGAGAAAAGTTTTTGATAAAAAAGCCACAACTTCTTTGGCCCATTTCTTCCTATCCTCCATCCCATCCCCCACTGGAAACACGGCTGCCTCTGTCACTCTGATAATTCATGGACTCTCTATTGATTCAGCCATTTCTAGACAGTCTCTGTGATTCTGGTGTGAATCCCACCCACCTCCCTCCTGTAGACAGTATTTGGTATTTATGTGACTGCTCTCAGTTTTCCTACTGATGCTTTTGTGTGAACATAGATGATATGATTAAACCTCTGTGTTTACCTTGTTAGACGGATTTCTTCTTAAGTTCTATTTTTCTTTTTTAATTAGCAGTTTTATTGCTTCATGGTCAGAAAAACGTGTTCTGTGTATGCCTTAGTCAGCTTGGGTAACTAACCAAAACACCATATACTAGGGGGCTTAAGCAACAGACATTTATTTCTCCCAGGCCTGGAGGCTGTTGACATTGGCAAATCTGCCATCCAAGCCTAACAGGATGGAATTTGTCTGAGATCAAGGTGCCAGAAGGTTTGGTTCCAGGTGAGGGCTCCCTTCCTGGCATGCAGATGGCGACGGCCGCCTTCTTGCTGTGCCCTCACACGTCAGAGGGGCAGAGTAAGCTCTCTCACATCTCTTCCTATAAGGACACAAATCTCCTTCATGAGGGCTCTACCCTCATGTTCTAATCACCTCCCAAGGCCACATCTCTGAATCCCATCACCCTGGGGTTTAGGGCTTCCACAGAGGAATGTTTGGGAGCCACAAACTCGCAGTCCATGGTAGGATAATCATGGCATGTTAGGTTTCCCATTACACTTGTGTTCTGCCCATTTCTCTGTTTTCCTAATAGCTTTTGTCTTTGCTTTTGTTTATATAGATACATTAACAATAGTATTACTGGGAACATAACATTTTAGGACAATTGTAATTTTTATATAGATTTTACTTGATCGTGTATGTTTAGCTAAACATGTATTCTTGCCCTAAGTGGTTCTTGGCTGATTAGTATTTTGTCATATATGTGTATGCACGCAAACATGTATATACATGTGCGGATAAGATTGCCATCTGAAATTGCCTTTTTTTCCTTTGAAACAGGGTCTTGCTGTGTCACCCAGGCTGAAGTGCAGTGGCACAATCTCGGCTCACTGCAGCCTCAATCTCCCAGGCTCAAGTGATCCTCCCACCTCAGCCTCCAAAAACACCTGGGACCATAGGGGTGTGCCCAGCCCAAGTAACACAGGAAGGCCCTGGGCTCAAGCCATGCTCCTGCTTTGGCCTCACAAAGTGCTTGGATTACAGACACAAGCTGTTGTGCTCATCTGTGAAAATTACCGTCTTTCAAAGGTCAAAAATGGTCAATTATTGGAAGTTTCGTATGGTTTCACCTACTTGTCAATCATTTTGTCTTCAACCGTTCTATTTTATTTTAGCTATCTCTTGGAATTAGCATACAATTACATTTGTAAACAATGTAATCTGAAATATTTTGCTTTTAAATAATTTATATATACTGTAACTAATGTTTGCCTTTTGTCATCACATTTTATCCTTTCTGCTTTCTGTTTCCCTTTGTTGGGGTATTGTGCTTTAAAAACTACAGCTTATTTGCTTTTATATTCCTTAGTGATTTGGATAGGAGAAATCCTGTTTATAATTCCACTAGTTCTTGCCATTAAGTTTATTAAAGCTATCTTTTAAGTATTTCTCTAAGTTTGGATATAAAAAAAATTACGGCCTGGCATGGTGGCTCATGCCTGTAATTTCAGCACTTTGGCAGGCCAAGGCAGGTGGATCACCTTAGGCCAGGAATTCGAGACCAGCCTGACCAACATGCGAACCCTGTCTCTACTAAAAATACAAAAATTAGTCAGGCGTGGTGGCACATGCCTATAATCCCAGCTACGTGGTAGGTTAACGTAGGAGAATTGCTTGAACCCAAAAGGTGGAGGTTGCAGTGAGCCAAGATCGTGCCACTGCACTCCAGCCTTGGTGACAGAGGGAGACTCCATCTCAAAAAAGAAAAATAGCTTTTGATTTCCGTTATCTGTGTTTAGGAATTTAGGATATTGTTAACTCCCCTGCCCCACCTTTGTTCCTCCTCCTAACTTCCAATAATTGGTCATATTTATCACCATAGATATCGTTTCGACCACTTATATTACTCTATTCTACAGCTATTGCTTTTGACTTTGGAATGTAACCTTTTACAACCATATTTATCTCTTTATGTACTTATCTCTTTATATTTAATTGGTTCCAAGCTCACTGCTAGTCTATTTACATGTTAATTCCCTCCTTGGTACTCTAGAATGTGGTTGATCTCTTGGTGGTCTGGAATACAATAGGTTTCTCAGGAAGGGTATCCAAATGGTATTTTTCTGTGCATGTGTGAGGATGACTTCACTGCTGCCTTCATGGATAATTGTTAGGAGGCTTTCTTAAGACTGATCATTGTTTCATCATGTTCCAGGAAATCTGTAAAGTCAAAAGGCGACCTGCTTGGTAGAAACATGCAGAATATTGTTCTGTAGCCTTGGGATTTAAAATTTTGATCAGAATATGTCTACATGTGTTATCTGGCCTGGAAATCAGTTACCCACTTTGACCTCTACACTCAGGCCTTCTTTTAATTTTTGTCCCTCCAGTTTGAGAAAATTTTCTTCTATTACATCTTTGTTCATTATTTTTTCTTTCTTTTTTTTTTTAAATTGAGACAGTCTTGCTCTGTTACTGAGGCTGAAGTGCAGTGGTGTGATCTTGGCTCACTGCAACCTCCGCCTCCCAGGTTCACACAATTCTCCTGCCTCAACCTCCCTAGTATCTGGGATTATAGGTGCACATCACCACATGTGGCTAATGTTTGTATGTTTAGTAGAGATGGGTTTTTAAATAGATTTTTTTATAGGCTGGTCTCAAACTCCTGACCTCAAGTGATCTACCTGCCTCGACCCCCTAAAGTGCTGGGATTACAGCTGTGAGCCACTGTGCCCAGCCTGTTATTTCTCTAGTTTAGTAACAACTATAATTTTTATATTGCTCCTCTCCCCCATCTTACACATATATATTATTTCCCTTTGCATATTAGCAATTTCCTAAAACTGTCCATTTACTATATCTACTGTTATGTAGCACTAATTCTAGTCTAACTGGTGCTTTCATTTTAATTCTGCTTTTGCAATTTTGACTTTCTTAGCCATGTCCTTTCACTTCTCTGCTTTCCTCACATTCTGTTATTTCATAAATGTCAATACCTTTTTAATTTAAGAAAAAAGGTCTCAGGTTTACTAAATAAATACCTTCAATACGTCTGTGTTTTTCTGAGATAGCAAATGACCCGTTCCTCTCAAACGCTGCACAGTCTTTGAACAGCCTCCTTTTGGTCCTCACCCCTTTGCTGCTCACCTGAGTGCTAAGGGCACAGCCTGACAATGCAGGAACTCCTAACAGGAATAATTTATTGCAGGTCTGACGAACGTGAGTTTGAACCACTTTCTTTTCCAATTGCTTGGTTTTCTCATTAAGCTGGGGAGCCAGATGCTGCTGGCTGTCACATCTGTTTTTGCTAGTTTTGAGACAGCGTGATGCATCTGAGGGTGTGTGCATGAGAGCCACTGTTCCCCCAGCTCTGCTTCTGCATCTAAGTATAGGGCATAGGCATGCTGGCCCCTCCACCCAGCCCCTTGGCTTTCAGCCTGCTCACTGTGCAGCTGCTGCAGCTTCAGAACGGACGTGATGAGGAAAGGGATAGGGATGGAGACACAGGAGGCCAGCTGATTCTGCCTGTGACCAGTTTAGTGATGATTCTCCCCGTAACGGGGTTAGCGGAGCCCGTATTGGGTGGGTGTTATGAACTGCATGTCTGTGTTCTCTCACCTCCCAAAATTCACGTATTCAAGCCCCAGGAGGAGGCAGGGCTCTTGGGAGGTGCTTGGGTTTAGACAAGATCATGAGAGCAAGGCCCCCACAAAGAGATTAGTATCCTTTAAGCAGAGAAAGAGGGAGGACCAGAGTGTCCTCCCTCTCAACTACATGAGGCACATGGAGAAGGCGGCCATCTGCACACCAGCAACAAACCCCTCACCAGGAACTGAGTCTGCAGTATTTTCTTGTAGCCACCTGAAATGACCAGGACAGTGGGCCCAGGTGTGTGCCTTCCCTCCTCAGAGGTCACCTTTGCTTTTCTGTTGCAGAGGTGAACTTCATCAAAATGTACCCCTGAACCCAACAACCTCAGAACCAGCCAACAGATCATTCCTTCCTTGGTGCCCAGAGACCCAGCTACTGACCTCCAGCATTTCAGCATAGCACCAGGAGAAAGCAAATACTTTGTGGTTCAGTCAAGAACTTCTGGTGCAAACAAGCTAGCCCAGGTAAAGGGAGGTTTACTTAAGGCCTCAGGTCTCATATGGAGAGAAAGTGCCACCCTGGGCCTCTGTGGTGGGCAGCGGGCAAACTGGGGCCTCAGCAGTGGCAGGAATCTCCACAGGATCTGCCTCCAGAGTGGTCCTGCTCCCATCTCCTGCTCGCTGCCCACTGACAAGAGCCTGCAGCCAACCCTCTGAGACCCTGCACCTGCTGCGGCCCCTACCAAAGATTCAGAAGCCCGTGGGGTTTGAAGGATCTGGTTTCTGGATTTAACAGCTCCGTAGAGGAGAGAGAGAACAGTCACAGAGGAGGCTGAGTGAGCACTGCCAGCGATGGAAAGGACAGAAACCCCTCGGCATGAAACAAAGTGGAGAGACGGAGAAGCCACACATGCAGAGACAGATGAGACACCTGGCTCCCAGACCAGAGATGCTGGGGAGACGGTCTGTGCTCCACAGCAGACGGGGAGGTGGAGGGGGAGGAGGGGGAGGAGGAGTGACACCATGCCCACGAACTGGCGAGCCAACGCTGTCACCAGGCTGGAAGAACATCATGATGCCCAGGGAACATTAACACAAGGAGGCACACGTCTGGACACCTTGGTGACATTTTCCGGACCCTAAAGATAACGAAAAACTCCACACACCACAGACAGAACAGGCTCACAAAGGAAGGACCCAGAGCGTCACCAGCCTCTCCAGCACTGGTGGACAGGAGGCAGGGCTGGCAGGGGCTGAACTGTGCCCCCCAAATCTATGTGTAGGGGCCCTGACCCCCACACCTCAGAATGCAATGGAATTTGGAGATGAGAGCTTTACAGAAGTGCTGAAATTACCATGAGTTTGCCAGGCGCAGAAGCTCACACCTGTAATCCTACCACTTTGGGAAGCCAAAGCAGGCAAATTGCCTGAGCTCAGGAGTTTGAGATCGCCCTGGGCAACATGATGGAACTCCATCTCTACTAAAAATAGAAAAAATTAGCTGAGCATAGTAGTGCACACCTCTAGTCCCAGCTACTGGGGAAGCTGAGACACAAGGATCACTTGAACCCAGGAGGCAGAGGTTGCAGTGAGCCAAGATGGCGCCACTGCATTCCAGCTGCAACAGAATGAGACTCTGTCTCCAACAAAAAGAAGGAAAGAAAGAGAGTTCCATAGTAGACGTTGCAAATTAACAAGAGGAGAAATTTCTTAAAACTTCCTTTGGGCGATATTGCTGCAAGTGTTTTTGCAAATTAGAGCATGACAGACAGACCAGATCACCGAGAAGGCCAGCAAAGGATTTCCCCCGGGGCTCTGGAAGGGGCTCGAATTACAACTGTCCCACTTCTGTACTCAGCAATGGACTTGTTCCCAGTAGGGGTGAGTCTTGGTGGATCTCTTTGCACCCCTTACTCCTGGCACTGGCCTGGCACAGAGAGGGCCTTGCAGAGCTCAGCAGAGTGGAGCAGAACTGAATCCCACAGAGCAACTGGGCTCTTTGTACCCTGGGACCACTCCAATATCCTACCAGTGGAGAGCAGGGCACAGCGGCTCCCAGTGCCCCCACCCCCACTCCACCACACATCACAGCACTTTCCATGGCCTCTCTTCACAGCCTGGCTTGCCCCAGGGCAGCCCCAGGCCCCTCAGAGCCCTGCTCTTTGCTCCGCCCCTTGCTTACCTGCATAGCCTGGGAAATTCCTTCTATATTTTGTTTCGCTTTTTGCATCCTGCTCTGCAGGTTGTGCAGAATTTCTCGCATCTCCTGAATGTATTGAAACACACCTACAATGGAAGCATAAAGGAATCTCACAAATGAACAATTCAGCAGGATAAACACTTTTCCTGGGTTGGCTTAACACGCATCGTTACAAAGCCCTGGGAAAATACTCCTATTCTGGAACATGATTCCCAGAAGAAATCGTTGAGCATTCTCTGAAATGAAATGGCAAGGAATCACAAATGTAGTAGTGTCCCTTTGGACATAGGGTTTGGACAATACATGGCCCCTTCACCCCACGTAGGAGCCCCAAACTCCTCATGTTAAAAGCTTCCACCTCTGGGAGCATGAGAGGTGGAGCCAGGGGTCTTCTGCCTTCTCCAGTGGTGGAATGAAGGGAAGAAGGAAACTCGTGGCTACACTTCCTTCTACTTTCCTGACACCTGCCCCGAGTTAGCTGAGATGTGCACTAGCTCTGCTCACCAGCTGTGCACACTCTGTGCGTGCTCCGTAAACCTGCAGCGGAAACCGGGCCTCCAGCAAGCCCAGTCTGGGAATCTTGGAACCCCTGGGCGTTGGAACCCCTTGGAACCCAGGGAGTCTTTGCCTGATTCCATTTGTAAATGACACAAATGGGCTTTTGTTGGCCTGGGCGAGCAGGTGGAAGTAACTCTCCTTTAGCCCCCTCATAAAGCAGATCCATGCAGCCAGGAGGCAGAAGTGGTCACTCCAGCAGTGTTTGGGGACAGATGCTGGGCAGGTCGGGCCCCCAAGTTTAACATGAGGCGGGAGGAATGTACCCCCCCGCCCACGTGCCGCACCTTCGCCATTCCAGAATAATGTCGTTTCAGCGCGCGATAATTTGACATCGATTGCTTCCAATTCTGACTTGATTAGTAGATACTCTACTGCCTTCCCTGTAGTCTTTATCTGCAAAACAGAGGTTACAGGTTTTGTTCTGAACCCAACCAGATGTTAAATTGTTCTCTGATAAGGACTTTTACTCCTCAGTACCAACTGGAGACCCCACTCAGGTCTCACGTTGAATTATGATCCTCAGGTTTGGAGGTGGGGCCTCATGGGAGGTGACTGGATGGCGGGGACGATGACCTCGCGAATCGTTCAGCACCACCCCGATGCCGTCCTTGGGATTGCAAATGAGTTCTCGTGCAATCTGGTTTTTCAACGTGGGTAGCGCCTCCCCCACCTCTCTCGATCCTGGCTCCTGCTTCCCCTTCCCCTTCTGCCACCCTCCAAGTTTCCTGAGGTCCCCTCAGAAACAGAAGCTACTATGCTCCTGCGCAGCCTGCAGAGCCATGAGCCAGTTAAAACTCTTTTCTTTATAAATTACCCAGTCTTATTTTTTTTTTCTTCAGATAAAGTCTTGCTCTGTTACCCAGGCTCAAGTGCAATGATGTGATCTCGGCTCACTGCACCCTCTGCCTCCCAGGTTCAAGCAATTCTCCTACCTCAGCCTCCCCAGTAACTGGGACTATAGGCACTCGCCACCACACCTGGCTAATTTTTGTACTTTTAGTAGACACGGGGTTTCACCATGTTGGCTAGGCTGGTCTTGAACTCCTGACCTCAAGTGATCCGCCCACCTCACCCTCCCAAAGTGCTGGGATTATAGGAGTCAGTTATTTCTTTACAGCAATATAATAACAGCCTAATACACCAACCAAACCAATGATGATTAATGTTTTTTGTTTGGAAATCATATTTCAGGACACTCCAACTTTTAGAATGACTTCTATCACTGAGGATTTATGTACACGGTTACTGTTTTTATGTTACAGTATTCCTATCTCTTTCTAGCCTATACCATGGCTAATTAGGAATTAACTATGTACAGGTTGGTGCGAAAGTAATTGCCATCTTTACCATTACTTTTAATATATAAGTCCTTGGTATATAATCCCAAACTTTTTGTATTTGGTTTCTTTTTATGATTCTAAGCCACAGAAATACACACGGATCACTGAGCATTTCTGGGCTCGGACCCTTTCCCCTGGCCATGAATCTAAAGCTCAAAATCTTTTTTTCTATTTTATAAAATGTACAGATGGAGTCTTGCTATGTTGCCCAGGCAGGTCTCAAACTCCTGAGCTCAAGCCATCTTCCCACCTCAGTTTCCCAAAGTCCTCAGATTACAGGTGTGCATCAGCGGTGCCCAGCCTAAAGCCCGAAGTCTAGTTATGCAACAGAAAACCCAGGAGCTGCAGAGAAGCTATTCAAGTCATTAACGGATCAGTGTAACAGTAGTGTGGGTTCTCACTTTGGGTGGCCAAGGCTGGCGGATCACAGGAGTTCAACACCAACCTGGCCAACATGGTGAAATCTTGTCTCTTCTAAAAATACAAAAATTAGCCCTGTGTGGTGGCGTGCGCCTGTAATCCCACCTACTCGGGAGGCTGAGGCACAAGAATCGCTTGAACCCAGGAGGTAGAGGTTGCAGTGAACCAAGATCGCACCACTGCACTCCAGCCTGGCAACAGAGACTCTGTCCCCAAAATAAAATAAAATAAGATAAAAACAGTATAGGCTCTATAGAGTTTTAATGCAGTTTGCACAACTCTAAGAAATTAACGCTTGAAAACCTGAATTTACAGAACAGAACAAACAAGGGAGTTTTTATAAATGATTCCCTTAAATACAAAGCACCACTTGAGCCCAGGAATCTACTGTAGCAAGCAACGCCTGTTTTACAACTTCAGGACGCGGCTACGTGTAGTATGGAATCAGAAGCACGAACTACACGCTGACGATCTGTCTTTCACAATCATTCTTTACATACATTTTGGTACTTTTTTTTTTGAGACGGAGTCTCAATCTGCCACCCATGCTGGAGTGCAGTGGCATGACCTTAGCTCACTGCAATCTCTGCCTCCCAGGTTAAAACAATTTTTCTGTCTCAGCTTCCTGGGTAGCTGGGACTACAGGGGCCCACCACCGTGCCCAGCTAAGTTTGTATTTTTAGTAGAGGTGGGGTTTCACCGTGTTGGTCAGGCTGGTCTCAAACTCCTGACCTCAAGCGATCCACCTGCCTCAGCCTCCCAAAGTACTGGGATGACAGTGACGAACCACTGCGCCCGGCCCACTTTGATACGTTAAACAGCGCACCCACACCCATGCGTTCTAATGTTTTCTGACCGTTAACTTTTAGAATAGGTAGGGCAGAGAAATGGAGTGTAAGGGCAGTCACTGGCTGAAAACCAGACGGAAGACAAGGATGCATCGACAAGATTACAAAGCAAGGGGACGGGTAGCAGGATTCTGCCCACAGGGTTGGGTTGTTAATGACAAGGACAGTGGTCTCTTCCCAATCACGGAGCTTTGCTCTGAGACTACACCCTACGTGAGAGAATCTCAGAACACACCTCTTTAGCGTGTGACTGACTAAATCACGGTGTTCCTACCTCACCTGAAGTCCATGAAGGGAGCTCTTTAGATGGAATTTAAAACTGTACTTTAGGTTCTGGGGTACATGTGCAGATCATGCAGGATTGTTGCATAGGTACACACATGGCAAGGTGGTTTGATGCCTCCATCACCCCGTCACCTATATCTGGCATTTCTCCCCACATTATCCCTTCCCAACCTCCCCACCCACAGCTGTCCCTCCCCTAGCTCCCCCGACCAACAGACCCCAGTGAGTGATGCTCCCCTTCCTGTGTTCATGCTCTTATTGTTCAACACCCGCCTATGAGTGCAAACATGCAGTATTTGCTTCTGTTGTGTCAGTTTGCTGAGAATGATGGTTTTCAGATTCATCCATGTCCCTACAGAGAATGTGAACTCATTAGCCAGCTGGAAAAAGGCATAGTGTTTCTAATGAATGGACCGTGGATAAAGATAGTAGGGCTGCCTGGTGATCAGAATCCAGGGAGCCCTGCTGGGGCTGCTGGGGAGCAGAGTGCCCCTGCCTGTGTGAATCCTGGGCTTCGGGTTTGCCCACAACTTACACAGATACTCAGGAGCGCAACGTACTGTCTCACTGTAACTAGCCCAGAAAAGCAGCTAAATATCATGACTCTAATTGCCAGAGTGAACACAGCTGATGCGGGTGAGATCCATTTAAACTAGCCTGCTGATTACTGCTCAACAGCCCATGTTAGAAAGCTCACGTGAGGGCTCCTCCTCCATCCCTTGGGGTCTGTCCCTTACCTGCACCTCTCAGACCACCTACCCCATTCCTCTTGCAGCCTGCATTCCTGCTCACTTGTGTTTCTCTGCTCCTCCATGGCTCTGGTGTGGATGAGGCTGAGGCTGACTGTACAATTCACTCCTGTGCTCACCAGCATCTGACTGATGCATCCTCTCTGGGCCCCAATTCCAAATTCCCATGATTTGAAAAAGAGGGAATCTTGTTGGCCCCTGTTGGATTAGGTCTACAGGAGGAGAAATTATGGCTCCCAAAGATGTCCACACTCTGATCCCTGGAAGCTGTGACCATAACCTTACATGGCAAAGAGACTTTGCAGGGGTGATTGTCTCAGGATCTTGATGGGGGCTGAATATGTGGGTGCACAGGATTGGCCAGGGAGGCCAAAGGAAATCTCAAGAATTCTTGTAAGAGGGAGGCAAGACCAGGCACCGTGGCTCACACCTGTAATGCCAGCACTTTGGGAGGCCAAGGCGGGCGGATTGCCTGAGGTCAGGAGTTCGAGACCAGCCTGGCCAACATGGTAAAACCCCATCTGTACTAAAAATACAAAAATTAGCAGGGCATGGTCATGGACACTGGTAATCCCAGCTACTCAGGAGGCTGAGGCAGAAGAATGACTTGAACCCAGGAGGTGGAGGTGGCAGTGAGCCAAGATCACACCACTGCACTCCAGCCTGGGTGACAGAGCAAGACTGTCTAAAAAAAAAAGGTAGGCAAGAAGGTCAAAAGAGAAGGCATCAGTGTGATGACGGAAGCAGAAGCTGGAGTGGTGCGCTTCGAACACGAAATAATATGGCCACGAGGATTGATTCTGTCAACAGTACTGCGCCACAGGGTGCCCAGATTGAACATGGTTGCTGGGGTGCACGTGAGGGTGTTTCTGGATGAGATAAGCCTTGGAATTGGTGGCCTCAGGAAAGCAGATGGTCCTCCCCAACATGGGTGGGTCTCGTCCAATCACTGAGGGTCTGAACAGAACAAAAGGTGGAGGAGACAGGAATTCATGGCTTTGTTTCCGCCTCGTGGCCTGAGCTGGGCCATCTCATCTTCTTCGGCCTTTGGGCTGCGATTTACACCATCAGTTCCCCTGGTTCTCAGGCTTTGGACTCAGGGTGAGTGATACCACCTACTCTCCCAAGTTTCCAACTTGCAGACGCCAGGCTGTAAGACTTCTTAACCTCCACAACTGCATGAGGCAATTCCTCACGATAAATCTCCAAATAGACATGTCTATATCTGTATCTGTCTATCCATCCATCTATAGCTATCTATCCATTCATCCGTCCATATACATCTACCTGCTTGCCTATCTACCTATCTATCTACCTATCTATCTATCTATCTATCTATCTATCTATCTATCTATCTATCTCTCCCTCCTACCTTCCCTTCCTCCCTCCATCTATCTATCTCATTGGTTCTGTTTCTCTGGAGAACTGACTAATACAATAGTCATGAGCCCAGGAAGGTGCACCCTCTTGACGCTGGAAAAGACCAGAAAACAGATATCCCCTTGACCCTCCAGGAGGAGGCACCCAGCTGACGCCTTGTCTCCAGCAGAATGAAACAGATTCAGGACTTCTGACCTCCAGAACTAGAGGGCAGGAAGTATGTGCTATTTGAAGCCACTCAGTTTGTGGTGATTCGTTACAGCAGCAACAGGAAATGAACAGTGTCCACGTTGGCCCCGCTCTGCTGCGGCTTGGAGTGGGGTCAAGGTTGTGTGGTACAAATGGTCACCTTTCCCAGGATCTATGAGAGGAGTCCATAAGAAAGGGTGTGTAGAAGGAAAACAGGCCCAGTGGCTGCTCACTGAGCCCCACGGCCACACTCTCCGGGCCCCGGGCCCCTTCTGATTGCACAGGGATGTCTTCAGCAGCGTTACTTGTAAAAGCCAAAACTGAAAACAACCCACGTGTCCATCAACAGAGGAACGGATAAATAGTGCTACACCCATACAACACATTGCTTCTCCACCGTAAAACTGACTCAGAGATTTAAAAAGAAGAACACCGCTGCATGCAGCAATGTGGATTAACTCGAAATAATTGGCCGAGTGGAAGCAAACAGACAAAAAAGAACACGGATGAGGTTATTCCCTCTGGTTCCTCACTCGGTTTCCAGGCTCTCGTGCCAGCAAGGAGACGCTCTGAACAAGCTCTGTGTTGCTAGATGGGGCCACCCCCCACCTCCAAGAATTACAGGGAAGTTCTTCCACAATCAGCCTCTTGTGATTACTGTGTCAAGTCCCTAGATCAGATGGATGTCAGGAGTCAAGACAAAAAGAAGTTCTTGAACCGGGGAGCGCCACCTTCCAGCCCCTCGCACACAGCTTCCTTGTGATAATGCTATTCTGGATTCCAGGAAATGCCCATCCTATCCTCCTCACTTTAATGGAAATCATGGAAGCAATGTTGAATGACTTTAATATTATCCAAAATATATTCAGGAGGATAAAGGGATCTATAAAGAATCATGTAATTGGCCAGGCACGGCGGCTCACATCTGTAATCCCAGCACTTTGGGAGGCCAAGGCAGGCAGATCACCTGGGGTCAGGAGTTCAAGAGTAGCCTGGCCAATGTGGTAAAACCCTGTCTCTACCAAAAATAAAAAATTATTTATATATATATATATTTTTTTTTTAGGGAGGGAAGGAGGAAGGGAGGAAGGCAGGAAGGGAGGGAAGAAGGAAGGGAGGGAGGAAGGAAGGGATGAAGGAAGGAAGGGAGGAAGGGGTGGGGAGGGGGGGAGGGAGGGAGGGAGGGAAGGGAAGGAAGGAATTCAAGCAATGAGAAAGATATTGCCGACCTGGATCTAGAGGTTTACAAGTTGATTTCTTTTTTTGAGAGAAGGAAAGAAAAAAAAAATGAGTAAAGGAGAGAAAGAAAGAAGAAGAGAGAGAGGGAGGTGAATGGAAATATTGCTTTATTCTGAAAAAAAAATGGGTATTAATAATGGCCAATCAATGTTTCATTTAAACCTATGAGTAGGTGTGTTGTGGTATTGACAAGAATGTATATTTTGTGTATTTGAAGTGGGGAGCTCTATAAATATTTATTAAGTTTACTTGTTCTGGATCTGAGTTTGAGTCCTTGATATCCTTATTAATTTTCTGTCTCATTGAATCTAAGTCTCGTATCTGGGTGTTAGGATCGTTAGCTCTTGTTGTTGCATTGATCCTTTTACCACTATATCTTTGTTGCTTTAAAATCTATTTTACCTGCTACGAGAATTGCAACTCCTGCTTATTTATTTATTTATTTATTTTTGCTCTCCATTTGGTTGGTAAATCTTTCTCCATCCCTTTGTTTTGAGTCTTTGTGTTTTGAGTCCTTGCCTGTGAAACAGGTCTGGATGTAACATGCCATTGGGTTTTGGCTGTGTCTTTTGATTGGGGGATTTAGTCAATTTAAATTTAGGGTTACTGCCATTTGATGTTGACTGGCTGTTTTATCCATTCGTTGATGAAAATTCTTCTTTATGTTGGTGCTCTTTACTTTTTGGTATATTTTTAGTAAGGCTAATACTGGTTGTTTCTTTCTGTGTGTAATGCCTCTTTCAGAAGCTCTTGTAAAGCAGGCCTGGTGGTAATAAAATCTCTGAGTACTTGCTTGTTCATAAAAGATTTTATTTTTTCTTCAGTTGTGAAGCTTAGTTTGGCTGGATATGAAATTCTGGGCTGAAGGTTCTGTTCTCTGAGGATGTTGAATATTGGCCCCCACTCTCTTCTGGCTTATAGAGTTTCTGCTGAGAGATCTGCTGTAAGTCTGATAGGCTTCCCTTTGTGGGCAACCTGACCTCTCTCTCTGGCTGCCCTTAGTATTTTCTCCTTCATTTCAACCCTGATGAATCTAACGATTATGTGCCTTGGGGTTGCTCTTCTTGAGAAATATCTTTGTGGTATTCTCTGTATTACCTGGGGTTGAATATTGACCTGCTTTGCTAGTTCAGGAAAATTTTCCTGAATAATATCCTGAAGGGTATTTTCCAGCTTGGATTCATTCTCTCCGTCGCATTCAGGTACACCTATCAAACGTAAATTAGGTCTTTTCACATAGTCCCATATTTCTTGGAGATTTTGCTCATTCCTTTTTATGCTTTTTTCTCTAATCTTGTCTTCTCATTTTATTTCATTAAGTTGGACTTTGACCTCTGATATCCTTTCTTCTGCTTGATCAATTTGAGTGTTTAAAACTGTGCATACTTCTTGGAGTTCCCATATTGTATTCTTCAGTTCCATTAATTCACTTATATTCCTCTCTAAGTTGTCTATTCTCAATAGGATTTCATCAAACCTTTTTTCAAAGTTCCTAGTTTCTTTACGTTGGGCTACAACATGTTCTTTCAACTCACAGAAGTTTCTTATTATCCATTCCTTGAAGAGTGATTCTGTCATTGGGATGCACTCATTCTCCGTCAAGCCTTGTTCCATTGTTGCTGTGGAACTGTGATCATCTTTAGAGGGAGAGGCGTTCTGATTTTGAGTATTCTCAGCCTTTCTACACTGGTTTCTTCCCATCATTGTAAATTTATCTTCCTGTCGTCTTTGAAATTACCAACTTTCAGATTAGGTCTCTTGATTGGACGTCCAAATTGTTAGTTCCCAGGGCCAGAAGAGCGGCGTTAAGACTGATGGTGCTCTTCTGCCCAGTATTCTCCTGTCTGGCTTCCTTCCTGTGTCCATAATGGGTGACTCTGCCTTCCCCGGGCTCCAAACCTCAGTCAGAAGGGGAACCAGTCTCATTTACTCTGCTCCGAGAGCTGCCGCGCTGAGGTGCAGTCACAGCCGCTGCGCTGGTCTCAGGAGTCGTGCTGGGGACCCGTGTGGGTCCTCCAAACCTCGGTCAGAAGGGGAGCCGGCCCTGTTTACTCTGCTCTGAGAGCTGCTGCGCCAGCCACAAGAGTCACGCTGGCGGACCGTGTGGTTCCTCCAAGCCTCAGTCAGAAGGGGGGTCAGTCCTGTTTACTCTGCTCCGAGAGCTGCCGCGCTGAGGTGCCGGCAAAACCGCTGCACAGGCCACAAGAGTTGCGCTGGCGACCCGTGTGGTTCCTCCACTGGGGATCTTCTGCTCCGTGAGCGACCAGAATTTGTCTGAAAGTGTGGCGTCCTCTAGTTCTCTGCGCTTTGACTGAGAGCTGCAATCCTGAGCTGTTATTAATCGGCCATCTTGGATCATTCCCAAAAAATTATTTGTATTTTTACCATCACCGGCTGGGTGTGGTGGTGCTCGCCTGTAATCCCAGCTACTCAGGAGGCTGAGTCAGGAGAATTGCTTGAATTCAGGAGGCAGCGGTTACAGTGAGCCGAGATTGTGCCACTGTACTCCAGCCTGGGCGACAGAGCGAGACTGGCTTAAAAAAAAAAATATCATGTAACATAAGCCAAAGTCCAGGAGGAATAACATACCCATCACCAGCTGCTGTGGGTCATCACTATCTTTGCTGCTGTTTGCATGGATAATGAAGAGAGGCTTGAACCACGTGTGAATATTAAAAGACACTCATTTTGCTCTGCTCCACTTGGAGATCTTACACTAGCATAAGTTATAAACAAAAACTAAAACTTGGCCAAAAAAAAAACAAAACAAAGCACCAACTCACCTCATTATACCAGCCAACGACGAGTTCCAAGTTGCCCACAAACTTCCGGAAGGTTTCGTTCTCTGAGAACAGACTCTCCGCACTATCTGGAATCTCTTTTTGTTGCTGGAAATTCAAATACTTGACTTCTCTCAGAACTGCTACCAACTGAATGACGAATGAAGATCAAAGAACATGTGAGCAGGTCACATCAACGGTGCAGTGTTCAACAGAAATGAGCGTCTGCTCCTGGGATGTTCTGACAGCCTGAGGGACCTCAAAGTGGGTGGGAGGCAGGGATGCGGGCAGGACCAGGACATTTTCACCCTGATGGCTGATACAGAGCTAAAAAGCACTAACAGCACCCTCATGGGTGGATGACATCATCCTAATTTTCTTATCTCTGTCCTCTCCTCCCCACTACCCGCAGATGGTTTGGAGTAAGACTTCAGGGCTTTTCTTGTGTTCTCCCTAGGATCTGACCTTCTCTCCTCTCTCTCCTCCCAGCCAGTTATGACTCAAGAGATCAACAACAGAGACATCCCTTCCAGCAGTACTACTGCCTGCAAAGCTATTCTCAAAGTTGAGACAACCTCCCAGCTGCGGAATCCACGGGTCAAGTCTTGGGCCTCATCTCATGGGATCCCCCAGCAGCGGACACCCTTTCCTCCTGGGTACACAGTGTCCTCCTGGCTTCCAGGACACTAGACATGCCTGGTCACCATTATTAGTCTCTTTCGATCATCTCAAGATGTCCATGATGGGGAGCCACAGAGCTTGGTCCTTCTCAATTGACTCTCAGTTGAATGAGGTGTGATGTCATCCAATGTCATGGCTGCCTTGACCAGCCAGCCCATCTGTCATCGCCACAGAATGAAATGGGATGTCACCCAGTGTCACGCCTACAAGTACCATCTATGTGTGGATGGCTCCTACGTTTATGTCTCCAAGCCCAACCTCGTGACTTCCAGACTTCCACCTGTCTACTCAGCTCCTCTGTCTGGATGTCCAGGTGACATCTCACACCCAACAAGGCCAAAGCAGAGTAGCTCATCCTCCCCCGTGGCCTGCCCCACCTGCCACCTCCAGCTGCCCTCTTGGCTGATGGCAGTTCTCCCCTTCTAGTCACCTGATCCCAAAACCCTGGGGCTGACTCCCTTCTTCCAATCATGTTCCATTTCCAACCCACCAGGAGTCTCCATGGCACTATGATCAAGTCCAGTCATTCATCACCATCTTCACTGCTGCCACTCTGGTTCCAGTCCCCACCTCCTAGCTGTCATCTCTTGCCTGGATTGTGGCAAGAGGCTCTTAACTGATTTTCCTGCTCTTTCCCACAGCCCCAGCTCCCTTCGATCTACGTACCGCACAGCATGGAGAGGGATCCCTTACAAACAGAAACCTAATAGAAGCACGACTCTGCCTGAAACCCTGTGGTGGGTGCCATCTTGCTCAAACCAAACCCCAAGTCCCTCTGTGGTCCATGGGGCCCTTCCTTGTCACCTGTCACCTCCTCTCCTGTGACCTCCCCTCTGCCCACTCCCCTGCCCTACTGGCCTCCTTGCTGCTCCTGGCCTTGGCTTCAGCTGTGGACTCTGCTCCAAGGCTGTCTCCTCCCTCTCTGCTTGGTGGCATTCTGACCTCCCACAAGTCTCTGCTCACATCTAGGATTGTACCTGCCCCTTCCACCAGCTCTACTGATCTTCTTACCCCGCTCCACCCCTACCCCGCCCTTCCTTCAGCAGAACTCATTCCACCTTCTACTGTATTATACACTCAGCTCCCCATGAATGCTAACTGATCATCCTTCCCACCCCCTGCTAGGAGGTCAGTGCCAGGAGGGCAAGACAGACAGAGATCTCTGGCTCTCTGGCTCATGAATTTATCCCAAGCACAGACACACAGTAGGTACTCAGTATTCAGAGAATTAAAGAATGAATTTTAGTGAATGGGAAGATTTCCAAAGAACCACATCTCTGGTTTCCCTGCCCTCCCGGCTGCAGACTGGGCAGCTCTAGGGGCAGTGCTTGTAGGAATTCTGTTCCATCCTCTGTCTGAACTTTCTGGGTTTTATCCATGGAACCCACAGCCCACGGCCCACGAGCGTGGATTCTCCCCAGCGTGCCTGCCTTGACCAGCCAGTGCATTTGTCTAGATTCGGCAAACTTTTTTTTTTTCAATTTCAAAACGATGTTTCCTCAGGAACACTTTCATTGAAGACACTCATTGAAGCTCTTGTCAAAGATGCTCCTGCTTTGCCTCGTGTCTTAAAAACACCCTGGACATACTTAGAAAGTAAAGCTTTAGGGCTGGGCATGGCGGCTCACACCTGTCATGCCAGCACTTTGAGAGGCCAAGGCGGGTGGATCACCTGAGATCAGGAGTTTGTGACCAGTCTGTCCAACATGGAGAAACCCGGTCTCTACTAAAAATACAAAAATTAGCTGGGCATAGTGGCAGGTGCCTGTAATTCTAGCAACTCAAGAGGCAGAGACAGGAGAATCGCTTGAACCCAGGAGGCAGAGGTTGCGGTGAGCCAGATAGCACCACGGCACTCCAACTTGGGCAACAGAGCAAGACTCCATCTCAAAAAAATAAAGAACGAAAGAAAAGGAAGTAAAGCTTTTGGCTAACCATGATATAAACATCGACCTCCATAACTCTGTGCTGAGGGGGCCTTAGCAGCCCCTCCCCCAGCTCCCAGGGGGAGCCTGTGACACGGTCCCCACTCCTGGCACCCACCGCTTTGCTGAAGTTGACATGGATGAGGTTGCTGGCAGCGTCCCGCAGAATCAGCGGCTGCCCCAGGTTGAAGTGGCAGTCCTGGTCCACGCCCACCACCCACTGCTGGTAGACCTTCTCACGGTGGCGCCTCAGCAGCTCCATCATCTCATCATACTTCTCATATATCAGCTTGGCCTCCACACCGGACATGACCCTGGAATTGAGCGGGAAGGTGGGGCCCCACTGGACATCGGGGGGCCTCTCCTACGCGTCTCATGGCTGCTGCCTGATCTGTGGTGCCGAAGCGGCCGGCCATTCATTGACTCAAAGCTCACAGACTGAAAAACCAAACAAGCAGTGGCCAGAGCAAATGTTCAAACAGAACTCTGACCTGCAGTCTGCAGCCACCGGCCCAGGAGGCCAAAACAGAGCCCACGCAGCACCCAGCTCCCCACAGGCAGCCCTGGACGAGTGAGGGCTGTGCCCGCTACAACTTTGCTCTCCCTTTCAACCTGGGGCCAACCAGATGAAAGCAAATATTCCCCCCAAACGACTGGAAGACAAGCCCCACTCCTGGTCGGCTGCACCGGCCTCCCCAGGCCGAGACCTCCAGCCGGGGCTCCCCAGCAGCCATCCCTGCGTCCCCCACGAAGCCTCCTCAGTCCCTGGCTGTCCAGGAGCCTCGGCCAAGTACACGCCATAGTACCTCAGCCGACTGCATACACAGCCTCGGCCTGTTCCTGCCTGGGTGGTCTTCACATCTACCAGGCTGATGGGCAAGTGCTCGGGGGAATCAGCCAGGTTGCCCCTGGGCGCTCCCATCAAGAAGGCATTCAGGGGAGGAGGGCAGATTGGATGGGGTCTCTTCTGGGCTTTTGCTCAACTGAATGAGGTGGGATATCACCCAGTGTCACGCCTACAAGTACCATCTATGCATGGATGCTCCCACATTTACATCCCCAACCCCAGCCTGTCTCATGACTTCCGGACTTCCATATCCACCTGCCCACCCATCACCTCTGTCTGGATGTCCAGGTGACATCTCATACCCAAGAAGGCCAAAGCAGAGTAGCCTATCCTCCCCATGGCCTTTTCTCCAAAGGGGAAAAGGGAGGTAACGGTTTGGTGGACAGGAGGGGTGGCGCAGCCCAGGGCTGGAACATCTTCTCTCCCTCTCCCACACCATGGAGGCAGGGTGTCTGGCCCCACCTGCCCCTGGCCAGGGCTGGGACTCACGGGTGCTCGATGTACTTCAGGTGTTTCATGGACACCTCCAGCCTCTCCTGCAGCTCCAGGCTCCACTTGAGCTGGCCGGCCACAGGAGGCATGTTTTTATGGATGAGGGGGATGTTCCCCTCCTCGGAGGCCGCCATCTGGGCATCATACAAGATCTTGGCGTTGTCCAGCTCAGCGTCAAACAGCTCCAGCATGACTGAATACCTGAGCACCATCTCAGTGAGAATCAGGGGCCGCTCCAGGAGGCCCCCACACATGTACAGGAGCTGGGGAGAAAGGAGAAGGAGACTTCTTCACCAGAGTCCCCTTCCCTTCCCCAGCCTGTGGCCGTGGACAGAACGGGCTCCTTTTGGAGCAAGAGAACCTGTGCTTTGCCAAAACAAAACCCATCGGAACCTTGCTGTGTGTGTCAGCAGGCTCAGTGGATGCCTCTGTGCTTTTCCCACTGACTTAGTCCGAGTCCCCAAATACTTGGCTTATAATCCCACAGTTCAAACAGGTCCAAGGGCTACAAGAGTTTTTTCTAAGCCCAGGAGAAATCAGAATTCTGGTAAGTAAGATTTACACAATGAAAAAATAGGCTTGGCACCATGGCTCACACCTATAATCCTAACACTTTGGGAGGCCGAGGTAGAAGGATCACTTGAGCCCAGGAGTTCAAGACCAGCCTGGCAACATAGCAAAATCCTGTTTGTACAAAAAAAACCACAAAGAATATACAAAATTAATTGGGTCCATTTTTTTGTATTCTTTTGGGTATGTGCTTATAATTCCAGCTACTCAGGAGGGCTGAGGTGGGTGGATTACTTGAGCCCCAGAGGTCAAGGCTGCAGTGAGCCAAGATTGCACCATTGCACTCCAGCCTGGACAACAGAGACTCTGTCTCCAGAAGAAAAAAAAAAAAGACTCTGTCTCCAGAAGAAAAAAAAAAAAAAAAGAACCCCAAAACAACTACAATTAAACAATATTTTTTTTTTGAGACGGAGTCTCACTGTTGCCCAGGCTGGAGTGCAGTGGCACAATCTCGGTTCACTGCAACCTCCGCCTTCTGGGTTCAAGTGATTCTCCTGCTTCAGCCTCCCAAGTAGCTGGGATTATAGGCATCCACCACCAAGCCCAGCTAATTTTTTGTATTTTTAGTAGAGATGGGGTTTCGCCATGTTGGAAAGGCTGGTCTCGATCACTTGACCTCATGATCCACACGCCTCAGCCTCCCAAAGTGCTGGGATGACAGGTGTGAGCTACCATGCCCAGCATAAACAATTTCAAAGTAGCCATAATATTGCATTTATATACCTGGGCTTCCAAAGATACATGAAGAGGCCGGGCGCGGTGGCTCACACCTGTCATCCCAGCCCTTTGGGAGGCCGAGGCAGGTGGATCACGAGGTCAGGATTCTGAGACCAGCTTGACCAACATGGTGAAACCCCGTCTTTACTAAAAATACAAAAAATTAGCTGGGTGTGGTGGTGCATGCCTGTAATCCCATCTACTCGGGAGGCTGAGGCAGGAGAAACACTTGAACCCCAGAGGCAGAGGTTGCAGTGAGCGGAGATTGCACCATTGCACTCTAGCCTGGGCAACACAGCAAAACTCCGTCTCAAAAAAAAAAAAAAAAAAAAAAAAAATCAATGGAGAAATAGTTGACAAGAACTGTTCCTCTTAGGAGGAGCACTGACCCTCTTGGGGGCAGCTCAGGCAGGAAAACCACCATCAGGAAATGTGCTTTGCTCTGAAAAAGCTCTGGGGGTCAAAGTGGGTGGGGGAACGAAGAGAGGGAAGACAATCTCACAGGACACAGGGTCCCCAAGTGCTGGGTCTGAGTGGGAAATCCTCGTGAGTTTCCCGGGGCTGCCATAAACTGTGGCCAGCGGGGCCCAGACCTGCCGCAGTGAGCCCAAGTCTCAGACTCGCCCCAGACTTTGGTCTGAGAAATGTGACCACTGTCCCTAGAAATGGCCACTGGAGCAAAGACCAAAACATGACTGCGAAGAAAGGGAAGTTTTTCAGGCACCAAAAAGCACTGATTTCCCAAATGCAAGATTGCAGCGTTCTTTTTGTTATTGTTGTTGTTTTGAGATGATGTCTCTCTCTGTCGCCCAGGCTGGAGTGCAGTGGCGTGATCTCGGCTCACTGCAACCTCCGCCTTCCGGGTTCAAGCGATTCTCCTGCCTCAGCCTCCCGAGCAGCTGGGATTACAGGTGTTCGCACCACCATGGCTAGCTAATTTTGTATTTTTAGTAGAGATGGGGTTTTACCATATTGGCCAGGATGATCTCGATCTCTCGACCTCGTGATCCAACTGCCTCAGCCTCCTAAAGTGCTGGGATTACAGGCGTGAGCCACCATGCCCAGCCAATTGTGGCTATTTTTACATTAATTGCATTTTTCAAAATTGTTCAAATCTTCCTTACCCAAATTCTGATTTCTCCTGGGCTTAGGAAAGAATTGTCACCCTTGGACCTACTTGTACTGTGGGTTGTGCAAATGGAACAGATGTGGACTCTCAGGCAGACATAGAAACGCTGGACCCCCTTCCTCAACGGTCGCCTGATGACCTATGCGGTCAACAGCTTCATTTCTCCAAAGAACTGACATGGGACAATTGGAAGAAAAAAAAAGTTCCTCTAAATGGTTTATGACCATCCTGTCCCGGCATTTTGTTTTTTTTCTCTCTCTCTCTCTTCCCATTTCTCTCTCCTGCCTTTCATGTTTATGTAGTTTTTGGCTTAATGACTTCTAGAAAGGAAGCAAATTCTATTTACTGGCAAGAGGAGCTCATGTGGAAAATCGCTCTAGAACGTCCTGGCTGCATGTGCGTTGCCAACAATGGGAACTAACTTGGGAATGGGCAGGGGATGGAAGGGACAGGAGGGAGAATTAGAGCACAGGGCTAATTAGACCTAATTGGAGCACAGGGCTGGCAAATCAGGGGGCATGTTCTCAGGTCAAAGAGAAACACAGAAGGGCGGAGATGGAAATGGGTCACCAGAGTTCTTTCTCCCTTGCCTCTTCTTTGTTATGAATTGAGCATAAACACACAGTTAACATTTTTTAAGAGATTCATTCTTTTAGAGCACAAAAGCCTCTCTTGACCCTAACAGGTGTGGGGGGAAATAAAGCCTGGGGCAGGATGACTGCATTTGTTCCTCCCTGGCTGGTTCTGCAGAGGTGGGAATTGGGTTTCTTCCAGGACCCCCTGCTCCTCACAGGGTAGGGGCCTAGGGGCCTAGGGCCCCCAAGGGCTGGCGAAGTGGAACTCCTCAACCCAGCTCCCTCCCCACCGCTGGATCCCCCAGTGAAGTCCAGTGGAGGCTCAGCCCAGACCCATGCGCTGGTCCTTATCTGCTCTTCCAGTCATTCTAAACTAGATGTAGGGTTTGAAATCTCCATGTGGCTTTGGGGCCAGTGAGACTCAGGAGACTTATCCTGCCCTGGCCGGGGGACCACTTACTTCATTTTTCTGATTTTCCTCATCGCACAGCAGCAGGGAGTTCACAGCACCTCCCGTGGAGCTGGTGTTAGGGGAGCAGGAGCCGCAGAAGCCAGCTGCCTACCTGCCCGGCCCATGCGCCAGTGCCCCATCTTTAATTCTGGAGTCCCATATGTGAGGTTTCCAAATGAAAGGATTGGCTCCACCGGGACCCTTCTGCACTGGGGCAGCCTAACGCTTTTGTGTTATCCTTCAGAGGCTCCACGTGGAAGGCTCACCCTGGACCTAAACCACCCCGATAACATCCACAACCACCAGCCTCCCTTGGCGAGAGCCAGTTCTGCACTGCAGGAAACACTCAGAAGTGCTGCCCTGTGCTAGGCTTAGTTCTCAGGGAACTCAAATCCGGTGCCTGCCCTCAGGGAGTTTACATTCTAGTTGGGAAGACAACACACAGCATCAGTACACAACTGAATGCGAGGGAGGTGCTGAGAAGGGAAGGCAGGCAGCTGCTGAAGAGACCAGCCCGGGGCATTGGCGTGGAAGGAAGAAAGTGAGGACCCTGCAACCAGGGATGCAGCTTCCAGGGAAGAGCCCTCTGAGGAAGGGAACACTGGCAACAATTCTTTGTTTGACCAGAGATTCTCATCAGGTTCTCCATCCTCCACCATCCCACAGGGCATGTCTGATTACCCTAACCTTACTCCAGCAAGAATCCTGAAGTGGGTTTAGCCAGAAATCCCCAACCCCTGACATCACCTCTAAGTAATTTTCCATCTACTGACCCCCGCTCAGCTCTTCCGCTAGAAATTCCTACTTGCCTGTGCTGTGTTTTTCTCTCCCTATGCCTGCCTCTATTGCGATGGTATAAATCATGAGTAAGGTATGAATCAAGTCAGCCTCACCTGGCTTTAACGGGTATAATTGAATAATTGTTTCAACAACAGCAAGGAGGTGCTGTATTAATTTGCATTCATTGATATTCTGCCTGGAACACTAACTCCATCCAAGATGTAGGTGATCCTTACATCTGCAGAGCTTCAAATTCCCTTGTATTTGCATTTTTGCAAGAACGTTCAAAAGGCGAAGAGAACCTCCCTCCTGACATTTGTGGGGGAGAATCTTTGTCCTCAGGGGTCTCAGCCCTGACATCCTCCTGAAAGATGACACACCCCCAGGCTGCCCTGGCCAACCCGATCGCCTTCACAGTCATGGGAGCTGGTCTAGCCATGGGTTCAGGTCAGGGCCCTGGAAACAGTCAAGCCCAGAACTCTAGGCTGTCCGCACAGGCTCAGTCTAATCACAACAACCCTTCAAAGTGGAAGAGGGAGGCAGAAGAGTCAGTCAGAGTAGCAATGAGAGTAGAGGCAGGAGAGGTTCCAGGACCGGAGGGGCTCAACTGGCCCCTATAAAGATGGATGAAGGGGCTCATGAGTTAAGGATTTGGAGCAGCCTCTAGAAGCTGATAATGGTCCTTAGGTTCGAGCCACTGAGGACACAGGGAACACATACCCCAGTCCTACAACGGCAAGGAACTTAATTCTGCCAGTCCCCTAAAAGGACAAGAAAATGGAATCTAGGCCAGGCGTGGTGGCTCAGGCCTGTAATCCCAGCACTTTGGGAGGCCAAGGTAGGGGGATCCCTTGAGGCCATGAGTTCAAGACCAGCCTGGGCATTCGTGGTGGCACCTGCATGTGGTCCCAGCAACTAGGGTGGCCAAGGTGGGATGATCACTTGAGCCTGGGAGGTCGAGGCTGCAGTGAGCTGTAATCGCTTCACTGCTCTCCAGCCTGGGCAACAGAGCAAGACTCTTGTCTCAAAAAGAGAAAGAGAAGAGAGAAGAGATGGATTCTATCCTAGAGTATCCAGAAAGGAGCCCAGGCTGCTGACACCTGGTGTCATCTGGGCAAGATCTGCAGTTTAGCTTCTGATCTATGGGGTGGGGGGGAGGGGGGAGAGTCTACAGCCATACCACCCTGAATGTGCCTGATCTCATCTGATCTTGGAAGCTAAGCAGGGTCAGGCCTGGTTAGTAATTGGATGGGAGACCACCTTGGAATACTAGGTGCTGTAGGCTTAAAAAAAAAACAAAAACTGTAAGGTAACACAATTTTATGGTTTAAGCCACAAAGTCTGTGATTTTTTTGTTTGTTATTTTGAAACAGTCTTGCTCTGTTGCCCAGACTGGAGAGCAGTGACATGATCTCAGCTCACTGCAAACTTTGCCTCCCAGGTTCAAGCAATTCTCCTACCTCAGCCTCCCAAGTAGCTGAAATTACAGGTGAATACCACCATGCCCAGCTAACTGTTATATTTTTAGAAGAGACAAGGTTTCATCATGTTGGCCAGGCTGGTCTTGAACTCCTGTCCTCAAGAGATTCGCCCACTGCATCTTCCCAAAGTGCTGGGATTACAGGCGTGAGCCACCTTGCTGGCCTCAGTCTGTGGTTTGTTATGGCAACAATATAAAACAAATGCAGAGGCTGATGCCAGTTAGGCATTTCATTCCAGACCGACTTTCTGCTCTCGTTCACCTCTGACGTCAGGGTGAAGGTCCGCATTTGCCGGGGCCCAAGAGCAATCCCAAGACGTGGGAATTCCAGCTTCAAAACTGGACAATCCTGGGGAAAGCAGGCTGAGAGGTCTGCCCGCAGGGAGGGGTACGCTCTGTGTGTGAGCATCCCAAGCTGCTCCATGAAATGTTCTCTCTGCCAATTAGTGTGCTGGCATTTGGCACTGCACAGCGGCCACCCCAGGAGCTTGGTGATGCGGTGATGACAATGTCTAGCTTCCCGCCACCCTCACCAACTTGACTGCAGACAATGGCCACTGCTGTTTCACAGCTTGCATTTTTCTAAGTACTTGTGAAGTCACACCTAGAACATATGTATGTATTCCCCATTTGTATTTCTCCTAAATTGATGTTTTCTGGGGGATTGTTGGATTTTTGTATTTTGAGACAGCTCTGCTGCCCAGGCTGGAGTGCAATGGCGCAATTCTGGTTCACCATAACCTCCGCCTCCAGAGTTCAAGCGATTCTTTTGCCTCAGCCTCCTGAGTAGCTGGGACTACAGGAGCACACCACCATGTCTGGCTAATTTTTTATGTTTTTAGTAGAGACAGGGTTTCACCATGTTGGCCAGGCTGGTTTCAAACTCCTGAGCTCAGGTGATCTGCCCTCCTCAGCCTCCCAAAGTGCTGGGATTACAGGCGTGAGCCATCGCACCTGGCCTGTTTTCTAGAGGTTTTAGCTCTTTTCTATGATCTATTTGTTAAAATGCTTTTTTCATAGGATCATTTCTTTTTTTCTAATAACGTGCTGTCTGCTTAAGGCACACAACTTGGAGGTCTCAGAAGAGTACAAATAGTAGCCTTAGCCCGTGACCCAGAGACAACTCCTGAGAACAGTGTGGCATTTCTCCCTTCCCCTTAGAGTTTGGACTCGGTGTTTTTGTCCCCCCGCCCCCCAGTTCATGTGTTGAAATCCTCACCCCCAAGGTGATGACATTAGAAAGTGGGGTCTGGCCAGACGCAGTGGCTCACGCCTGTAATCCCAACACTTTGAGAGGCCGAGGTGGGCAGATCACAAGGTCAGGAGTTTGAGACCAGCCTGGCCAACATGGTGAAACCTTGTCTCTATTAAAAATACAAAAGTGAGCTGGCGTGGTGGTGCACGCCTGTAATCCCAGCTACTCGGGAGGCTGAGGCAGGAGAATCACTTGAACCTGAGAGGTGGAGATGGCATTGAGCTGAGATCACACCATTGCACTGCAGCCTGGGTGACAGAGCAAGACTTTGTCTCAAAATAAAAAAGAATTGCTTTTGGGAGGTGATTTGGTCATGAGGGTAGGGCCTTATGAAGAGGATGAGGGCCCTGTAATTCCACGCTGAGGTGGGTGGATTACTCAAGTCCAAGAGTCTGAGATGAGCCCTGGCAACAAGGCGAAACGCTGTTCCTACCAAAATAAAAAATACAAGGCCAGGCACAGTGGCCCACATCTGTAATCCAAGCACTTTGGGAGGCCAAGGCAGGGAGCCTTGTTCGATAATCCCAGCACTTCGAGAGGCCAAGACAAAACCTTGTCTCCACAAAAACTTAAACTAGGTCAGGCATGGTGGCTGATGCCTATAATCCCAGCACCTTGGAAGGCCAAGTCAGGCAGATCATGTAAGGTCAGGAGTTTGAGACCAGCCCTACATGGCAAAACCCTGTCTCTAGTAAACATGCAAAAAGTAGCTGGGTATGGTGGCAGGTGCCTGTAATTCTAGCTATTAGGGAGGCTGAGGCAGGAGAATTGTTTGAATCTAGGAGGCAGAGGTTGCAGGGAGCTGAGATTGCACCACCGCACTCCAGCCTGGGCTGCAGAGCAAGGCTCTGTCAAAAGAAAAAGCAAACAATCATAAAACGAAAACTAAATAGAGACCCCAGAGACCTCCCTTGCCCCTTCGGCCATGTAAGGACCAAATGAAATGATGATGGTCCAGCGACAGAGGTAGACCCTCCCCAGACCCCAGAGTCTGCTGGACTTCCTACCCTCCAGAACTGAGAGAAATGAAATGTCTGTTGTTTAAGCCACAGGTCTACAGCAGTTTGCCACTGTGGCCTGAACACATGAAGCCACTGTGTAAATTCACCTCAGTGGACCAAAACTTCACAGCAACTTTGCCTCTGTGACTCCTACTCCTTTCAAATAGAGGGAAAACTGAATCGAGAATAAACGGCCCCCTTTTTCTTAGTGAGCACAAGAAGCATCCGTGAAAGAATGCCGCCTCATGCTCACTTGCTCCTCTTCCTCTAAGACGTGGCAGTAAGAAGCATCAGGACCCACACCAGGTGTGCACTGCTGACTGGCTCCAAGGCACAGGAGCAGGGACCCTCCCTCCCTGGGCATCAGTTCTCCGTGGAGAGGAGGAGATGGTCTCCATCGTTCTCAGCATGAATCCGGCGCCGCAGTGCTGGCCTCCGTGTCACCCGAGTCCCCACCTCACGCTTACCTTTGCAGAGGACTCGATAGAGCAGCAGTCATCAAACGCTTGGCAAAAGATCGTGGCCAGCCTCCTATCCAGGTCTTGGATTTTGATCTCAAAATTGGCATAATCATGGTCAAAACTCTAAAAGCAAATGGAAACATCAGCCTTGTAATCAGCATTCAGAGCAAGCCATGAGCACCCTCTGCAGCCCCTGTCCCTGCCAAGATGACTTGGGACTGAGCTGCAGCTGAATATACGTGCTCACTTTCACAGGGACCGCTCCTCATGGTGTTCCAAGCATTGGGATCACCTGGTACCCTCCCTACTCCTTAGGCACATCCACCACTCCCCTAAGCTGGCACTGAGGTGGGTGCTGTTCTCCGGGAGCCCAGTTCATCCATCCCTGCCTGAGACCTACCGAGTCTCCAGGGTCCAAGGGATCGTATTTGCAGTTGGCAAAAACCTTCACCAGCTCAAAGACCTCGTCGTAGATCTGGGTCACCAGGTTCCCGAGGAGGTTCCCACGCACGCCCCCAAGCTCGATTTTCTCCAGCTTCAGAAACTCAATTGCTGTTTTATAGAGTTCCTAGTGGAGGAGAGAAACACAGTCAATTCGTCCTCACAAGCAAACTCACGGGTCCAGTTACACAACTAGCTCGGACCCTAGCCAGGAGGAACTGGGGAACAAAATGTCCCCAGAAGACACCATCGTGGGGGTGGGAAGACAGGTTCTGTGTCTGTGTTGTTCTTTAAGGGTTCTGTAAATTATCTATGAGGTGTGGAGGAGGAGGAGCTGGAGAGGATGAAGTTTGGGATCCCGTCCTGACCCTAGACTGGCCGAAACACATCTCTAAGTCAATCACACTTTGCTGGGACTTCCGTTTTCTCCGCTGTGGGAAACAGGTAGAACGGTGCCGCAAGATTTCGGACGCTCTTGCGAAGCGTTAAATTTCCCGCTCCCTGGAAGATCATCCCACACAGAGAGCCACGTCCTGAAGGTGATCAAGAGGAAAGCGGGATGCCGGGATGGACATGCATGCAGAAATTCCGCTTTGTCACAGGTGTGGGTCATGCCCCCTCTCCCTGAAGCACTCCCTGACTATTTTGGCCCATAGCAATGAGTTCCTTCCCAGAGGCCCCGTCTCCCATCTGCACTGCTTGTGCTTGCTTTAGTCACGTTCAAGCCCATCCGGTTCACTGGTTGTGTGTGTGTGCAGTTCTCGTTTCCCAAACGACATCTCCAAGGCTCCCCGGATGCTCTTCCGCGCCCCTGCACATACCAGGCACCATGCAGGGACAGTTTAGACTGGAGCTCCTTCGGACTTACCCTCATGCCCCTGAACTGGTGCTGAGGTTGATGCCATTCTTCCACATCCAGGAAGCATCTGGCCACATGCCAATGGCACCCGAGGAGAGGCATGGCCATCAAGGGCTGGGAGCTCTTGGCTCCTCCACCCAATGCAGAGGACAGACGGGGCTGGCATGGCCTGTTGTCGGGGGTGCATGGTAAAGCCATTTCCTCCACCTCCAAAGTCTCCTCCTGCCCAGAATCTTCCTTCTGATTCAGAATGCGTCATGTGGGAACCACAGCTCCTTGGCCAGAAATGTGACTATGACCCTCCACATTCTCGGTCTGGGAGATTTCAGGCACGAGCCGGCACTCTGTGTCTGCAGTTTTGGAGTCCTGAGCAGGCTTCCCCTCCTCTGCCTCCCAGGAGGTGTAGATGAGAATGGGACAGGCCCCCCTGTAGCCGCTGATAGTGGCGTCCACCCTAAAGTCAGTGCTCAGTGGTCCCAGGATGATTTTCCCCCTTTTTAATGATGTGAGCTATGGTTATATGTACACAAAGTTTTTAAAAAGTTACCCATGCAGAAGACACAGAAGGCAAATGTGCTTGCCCTCCCACATCTCCAGAGCCCCAGAGAAAACCACCTTAAAGCTTTTTTTTTTTTTTGAAACAGGGTCTCACTTTGTTGCCCAGCCTGGAGTGCAGTGATACAGGAATGGCTCACTGCAGCCTCAAACTTCTGAGCTCAAGTGATCCTCCTCCCTCAGCCTTCCAGAGTTCTGGGATTTCAGGTGTAAGCCACCATGCTGGGCCATGCACCATTTTTAGGTTTTTATCTGCTGTGTGTCACTCCATGTATCCACATGGTGCTCGCACTGGGGCCTCCATAAGTCTCCATCTGTAATAATCTAGTCCCATGGCTGGGTGCGGTGGCTCACACCTGTAATCCCAGCACTTTGAGAGGCCGAGGTGGGCAGATCACAAGGTCAGGAGTTCAAGACCAGTCAGGCCAACATGGTGAAACCCCGTCTCTACTGAAAAATACATACATTAGCTGGGTGTGGTGGCAGGTGCCTGTAATCCCAGCTACTCTGGAGGCTGAGGCAGGAGAATCACGTGAACCCGGGAGGTGGAGGTTGCAGTGAGCCAAGATAGTGCCATTGCACTCCAGCCTGGGCGACAGAGCGAGACACTGTCTCAAAAAAATTAAAAAAATCTAGACCCACTAAGTGACTGCTGTTGGCCCCCAGGCATCCTGGATGTGGTGGTTTAACTTATGAATAAGCTGCTCATGACAGAAGGCACGACCTAAAGGAAGAAGCATCCAAAATGGGTCATTTATTCTTGGCTAACAGCTCCGGGCATGGAGGAGGCTGCCGCAGAGCCTTGGTTTCCCCGTAACAGATGTTTGGGCCTGACTCTTATTTCCTGCCTGGGCGAGTACTGTCGGGGTAGGGATGGGCGCTGCAGCGGCCCAGGGGGAGGAGCAGTCTGGGAAGTGAAGGTCAGATGCACCAAACTCTGTCTTTACCTCAATGGTCTGGACACGGTGGAAGAAGGAATTCATCCTGGAAAATGCAAGAGAAGAAGGGAATTCCCAAGGCTCGGGCTTTTTGTCCTTAGAGGAGAGAGAGACAAGGCCAACTTTGTTTCAGGCGTCCCACCTTCTCAAATGTCAGGGCAGAGAGGGACTCGCTCTGGTCTCCGCCTTGGCCCTTGCCCCGCGAGGAAGGGGTACCTTAAAGAAAAGCTTCATGTTCATGCAGCAGAAGTCGTACATCTGGTAGAACTCCTTCAGCACGTTCACGGACAGGGAGATGCCGCTCAGGACCTCCACGATTTCGCCTTGCAGGCCTTTCAGCACCTCCTCCGGGCTCAGGAAGGTTCGCGTCTGGGCAAAAGAGCAGATAGACATCCAAAGCTCTGACAAGCCATTTGGGGTGATGTTCAGGCATGCCGCCCGCAGGACCTGTGATCTGTTCCGACACATGATGTCCCTTGGGTACAACCCCTCTTTATCTGCCCACTGCTGGGCCATTTTTGGGGGGACCAAGCTGCTTCCCCTCATCGGCCCTTCATCCTGTGCTATGGCTGCAGCATAAATGGATGGGGTCACAGACATCTGTGACCCTGCAGATAAGGCCACACACACGGTTTTAATAGAGGTGGCCCAGGGTTGCAGCCTTTAGCTCAAACGCTGTGCTGGCTGGCGGGTGCTTACAAACAGGAAGGAGGAAAGGAAGTCCCTGCTGAGGGACACGGAGGTGGTTTGATGCAGGATTAGAGAAGCCCACAAGGCACTGGCTGGCTCTCAGTGCTGGGGCTCTCCGGGGAGATCTGCTCCATCCCCATCTTCCCTTCTTCTCCCTCCATTCCTTCCTAGAAGAACCCTAGGTAGCCCCGAGGAGGGCTCCATCTCAGCCTGGGGCCTGAAAAGGCTGGTGCTGACATCTTGGCCTGTTTTCAAGATGGGAAACTGCTGGAGAACACTGGCAGGGGGAAAATAGAGTGACCCAGGGAGAGGCCCCAGCCGGGAGGTGAAGAAGGGGACCCAGGGCCAGCGGCGGGCTACCATCTCAATGATTTGGTTGCAGAACTCCTGCAGGATGACGATGATCCTGACGGGCGTGTTGTAGTACTCCGAGGTGGCCCAGATGAGGCAGATGGTGTCCAGCACCTTGGCGATGAAGGTGGGGAGCTGGGGAGAGAGGGGCCCAGGTGTGCTGGAGGGGACTGGCCTCTGCACCTTATCCCAGCACCCCAGCCCTCCCCTTCGCATGGCTCTCACCAGGCATCCAGGGGAGGGTTCCCAAGGAGGAGAGGAGAGGTGACTCTTTAGGCCCACACGGCTGATGGCAGCCAAGAAGCCCACAGCCCCACGTGCCTCTGAGAAACAAGACCCTCCCCCACCCAACAAAGTGGGCTCTCCCTTGCCAGCGTACCACCGTGAAATCGGCTTGTTCCATCTCCTCCAGCAGGATCCGTAGGGGCTTCAAATAGAGCACAATGTCACTGGCTTCCTTCAGCCCTGCATGGAACAAGAACGAGCACCCCCTGGTAAGAGCGGAAGTTGCTCACAAACAATGCTGGGTGGCCCTGTGTGCCAAGACCTGCTCCTCTAGGAAACAGGGCCTTTGTCAAATGGAGAGGCTGAGAAAGCTGCTTGCAGAGGGAGGCCAGCATCCTAGGGTTGGGAAGAACAACAGCTCTGTGGGGGACTGGAGGCAGGGCCATGGGCTCACCTTCAGTGACACTGGTGTACACGTTTTGCAGGGCTGGCCAGTAGCAGCTCTTGGCTTTCTCTAGGATCTCAACAATCTTGTTCACTTTGGGTCTGTTTAGCTGAGGACGAGAGACAATCCACCTTTCATTGACCTGGAAGACCCTAAGGTGAGGCCCACCTGACCTTGTGGCTCATTGGGGCTGCAGAATTCCCGCAGGTTGACAGAGCCCTCAGGGCCCCTGGGGGGTTGGTGCTGGGAGGCCGAGAGCTGGGCCAGGTTGCCCAGCTGGGACGAGGCTGCCGCCCCACAGGAGCGAGGAGGCCGTACCTGCTCATGGATGCATTTGAGGTTCATCAGCTGAGTGTCCCAGAACTCAAACTCCACCCGGGGCAGGGGGTGCAGCCCGTCCAGCAGCGCCTGGGCCGAGTCTTTGCTCAGCACGTCCCGGATCTGGTGGGACCAGTCAATGATGATGGTTTCGATGGCGTGCAGGAGCGAGTTGTCCAGCGAAGAGGGGATCCTGCCCAGCAGAAGGTTGGGGCAGTGCTCTCATGGTTACACACCTGGGTCCCACTGAGCTCTCCCCTAAAGCCTTCTCCCCACCAATCCCAAACCAGCAGCGGTGGCAGCAGCAGCACTGTCTGCTCTCATGACCCCGGTGCCTCCAGCCACCTCAGGGCGTGAAAGAAGTTCCCAAGACCCCAGCTAGGAAGAGACCCCAGGGAAATAATGGTTGTTGGTCAGAGATGCCAGTACCTGGAGGTGCTCACCTCCAAGGAAGAGGGAGAGAATCAAGCAAACCCTATTTAAACCCTATTCAACATGGCTCCTCCGGCGGCACCACTGGGCATGGTGCTTGGGGCCTCGTGAATGATCAATGGAGGACTTGCCCATGTGAGGCAAGTACGGAACGAATTGTCATGAGGGTCTCATGCATCAGGGCAGTTGCAAAATGTGGCAAGGCAGGTGTCAGGGGCCACCTGAGAGTCCCTTGGGCTTCCCAGGGCCTCTGGGTCACCACAGCCTCTACAGGGATTTGCTTGCATGTAGCTGCCGAGAGCCCTGCCCACTCCCATTCCCTGCCCCATCCCGAGTCTTAAAGCTGAGCCTCCTGTTTTCTGGCCATGCTGAAAGGTGGGACCCCTTCTGCATGCCAGGTGGTGACTGGACCGGCACATGTGTGTGATCCAGGTGGGGTGGGGAGGCAGGTGCCAGAGCCAGAGTCCCCAGGGTCTACCAAGCCTGCTCCCTCCCTGCGCTGGTTTCCTCTCCCTCAGAGTCAGCACCCCATAACGTACCACCTTGCCCTGTGTCTCCCTGGCTTTAACATATGAAGCCACTCTGCCCATAAAAAAATGCATCACGGCGGGGGGATCAAGCAGACGCCACTTCCCCACCCAGCGGCGGCTGGAAGCAGCTAGGCCTGCACACCTCTCCACGGACTCCAGCGTGCCGTCCAGGATGCCCAGGTGCTCCGGGATGGGCAGCAGCGTCTTCCCTTTGATCTTGCCGCTCATTACATACATTTCATTCTTCAGCCTGTGGACCTGCTTCACGATGTCCTCCGAGACCACCTGGGGCCATCCGTCCATGTTCTCGCTTTGGTTTAACAGAGAATAGAGGACCTAAAAGGAAGCATTTCTGTGGTTCTGTCTCCTGTACCTTCACTAGCTCAGCAATTGCACAGAGCTGGGTCCTCCAGAGGGTGATTCCAGAGAGCTTGGGTCCCCAGCCCTGGGAAAACCATGTCCTTCTTCCAGAAGGAAGTGGGACCGGTCGGGGAGTTTATACCAGCTGCCCTGTCCTGGGGGTGCCAAAGCCGTCCCCAAACTCTTGTGCCTTACATACCTTACTAAAAGCCCAGGAGGGCTGTGATGGGTTAAATTGTGTCCTGTAAATCCATCTGCTGAAGCCCTAACCCCCAGCCCTTTGGAACGTGACTATTTGGAGATAAGGTCTTTAAAGAGGTAAGGGCCAGGTGCGGTGGCTAATGCCTGTCATCTCAGCACTTGGGAGGCTGAGGCAGGAGGATCTTCTGAGATCAAGAGTCTGAGACCAGCATGGCCAACATAGTGAAACCTTGTCTTTACTACAAATACAAAAATTAGCTGGGCATGGTGGCATGCGCCTGCAATCCCAGCTACTTGGGAGGCTGAGGCAGGAGAATCATTTGAACCCAGGAGGCAGAGATGGCAGTGAGTCGCAATCACACCTTTGCACTCCAGACTAGGCAACAGAATGAAAACCCCATCTCAAAAAACAAAAAAGAGGTGAGTAGTTAAAAATGAGGTTACTAGGCTGATCCCTAATCTGACAGGTGTCCTTACGAGGAGGGGAGATTAGACGTGTGCAGAAGGTGGACCACGTGAGGATACAGGGAGAAAACAGCCATCTGCAAGGCAAAGAGAGGCCTTGGGGAAAACCAACCCAGCTGGCACCTTCAGCTTCAACCTCCAGCCTCCAGGACCATTAGAAAACACCTGGTGCACAAGCCAACCACACAGATTTCCGTACTGCAGATGAGGAGGTGATGACCAGGAAGGCTAAGGTGCTCCCATTCTGGAGGTCTGACTCCCAACTAAGGCGCTCCCATTCTGGAGGTCTGACTCCCAGCTAAGGCGTTCCCATTCTGGAGGTCTGACTCCCCAGTGTGAGGGCCCCCCCAACACAGCACCTGCCGAGGGTGACAGCAGAAGAACACATAAAATGACACTCCTTTTTTTTTTTTTTTTTTTTAAACTCAAAGTCTCAAAATTGGGCTTGGCATGGTGGCTCACACCTGTAATCCCAGCACTCTAGGAGGCCAAGGCAGGCGGATCATGAAGTCAGGAGTTCAAAACCAGTCTGGCCAACATGGTGAAACCCCACCTCTACTAAAAATACAAAAGTTAGCTGGGCATGGTGGTGTGTGCCTGTAGTCCCAGCTACTTGGGCGACTGAGGCAGGAGAATCACTTTAACCAGGACCTGAGAGGTGGAAATTGCAGTGAGCTGAGATCACACCACTGCACTATAGCCTAGGCGACAGAGTGAGACTCCATCTCAAAAAAAAAAAAAAGTCTCAAAATTGGGGAAACCTATTTGCTGGTACTCAATCCACACCGTCCCAGGACATGGGCAGCAACTATTCCCAGCACAGCACAGCAGTCCCAATGTTGTCCAGAGAGAACAAGGGGATGCACGGGGCTTCTCACACTTTAAGGCACGGGCACCACCTGGAGGTCTTGTTAGAAAGCAGGTCTGTGGCCAGGTGTGGTGGCTCACACCTTTAATCCAATAGTTTGGGAGTCTGAGACCAGCCTGGGCAACAGGCTATTTTTTGGTGATGTCTCATTTCTACCAAAAACACAAAAATTAGCCAGGCATGGTGGTGCATGTCTGAGGTCCCAGCTACTCATGAGGCTGAGACTGGAGGATTGGTTGAGCTTAGGAAGTTGAGGCTGCAGTGAGCTGTGCTGCCATCACTGCACTCCACCTGGGCAGCAGAGCAAGACCCTATCTCAAAATTAAAAAACCAAAAGCAAGCAAGTCTGTGTCAGCAGGTCAGGGTGGGCGGGGCCCGAGCACCTGCATTTCCACCCCATCCCTGGCGCTGTGGCAGCTGCTGGCCCAGGGACCACAGGCTGAGCAGGACTTGAGGCCACTCCTGGGAAGTTGGCCGTGTTCCAGACCCCCCGACGCCAGCCTGAACATACTCACCTCCTCCACCACCACGATCAGCTGGTCCACAGGTGTGGGGCTGATGTCGCCATAAAGGAGCTGGGCCTTGTAGTTGTCCTTGGTGATGTTCTCAGGCTTTTTCTTGATAAAGTAAACCCCTTTGGACTTGAGGGACTCGGGGAAGCCCAGGCAGGGGATGACCATGCCAGCCACGTTGAGCGTCAGCACCAGCACCAGCACGTCAGGCTTTTCAAAGAACTCAGTGAACAGGGCCATGTTCTCCTCGGCGCCGATCAGCTTGCTCCACTTGTCTGGCTTGAACTTTAGGACGATGGAGGCAACTTCCTCCAGATACTCTAGTCTGACATCTGGGGCCATCGTCATCTTGGCCTTTTCTGACACTGTGGTATCTGTTAAATGTGTAAGACACAGGTGCACACTGTCTCCCGGGTTCCCCAATTTCCCGCCCATCCCTGGGACCGCAGGAAGTCCTTGTGCTGCCAGAGCAGGAACTAAAGAGCTGTCATGAGTGTGCAGGTTTTAGCTGTGGCGGGGTTGGGGTGGGGAGGGATGAGGGGGTGGTGCTTTAGCTGGCACCTGCACCTGACCCAGCCTTGCCTTGGGGGCTCCTGGGGGAGTAAGGCTGCACCACAGTGGTGTGTGCTTGTGCTCCTGTGACCATCAGGTTCACAGTATGGGAAAGACAGAGATGAACACTAGAGAAAAGAGAGGAAAGGAAATGACCACTGCCAGAGGGGGTGACGGGGATGGTGTAGGAAACGGCAAAATGAGGCCAGGAGCCGTGGCTCATGCCTGTAATCCCAGCACTTTGGGAGGCCGAGGCAGGCGGATCACAAGGTCGGGAGTTCGAGATCAGCCTGGTCAATATGATGAAACCCCGTCTCTACTAAAAATACAAAAGTTAGCCAGGTGTCATGGCTGGCACCTGTAGTCCCAGCTACTTGGGAGGCTGAGGCAGAAGAATCACCTGAACCCAAAATGAGGAAGTTGCAGTGAGCTGAGATCACACCACTGCACTCCAGCCTGAGCGACAGAGCGAGACTCCATCTCAAAAAAAAAAAAAAAAAAAAGAGGCTGGAGGGACAGGTTGAAAGGTCCCAGGAAAGCAACAAAAGACATCACAGCCCCTGAGTATGTGTGAAACGCAAGGAGACGAAGTAGACCCCAGGTGCAGGCAGTGAGGCTCAGCGCTCCATCTCAGCCCCAGCCATGGTGTACCCTCTGTCTCTCTCCAGCCCGCAGCATGCACCCCTAAAGGAATCAAGCTATAGATTCCTGCCAGACCCCTCACAAGCTGCTCAGAGGGTCAGGGACAGGGTTAACTGGAGAGTTGGGGGGAAAGGGATGCCTTAAAGAACACCCTGACATCCCCAAGGTTAGGCAGGTGAGGTATTCACTGTAGGCACAGAATTTAAAGGCACGCCCAAATGCTCAGTCATCAAGAGAAAAGGCATGTCGATATTTTAAAAAAATCACAATGAGTACAAACAAATTCATGATGAACAAAATATCGAAGTTTCAAATAAAGACAGGCTCTGGCAGAGGCCTGGGTGGGAGACTTGGAGGTGAGTTCTGCAAAGGCAGCATTGAATGTAATTGGCTGCCTGATGCTGTGTTTTCATCACAATCTGGGGGGTATGCAGCTCCTGAACTTCTGGGGGAACCCTGGGGTACTCAGCTGCTCTGGGGTCCTTGGGCTGGAGCTGGTCTGCTCCAGACCTGGCAGCTGCAGCAAAGCATCAACGTGGACAGGTGACGTTGGAAGCACTCACAGATTCCGCCTTTTGGTTTGACCCAAGCTATTGCTTTGAAGTGTGTAACAGTCTACAGTTCCCCAAAAGACACTTATACCATGGAAGAGGTTATATTCCACCCTGGCCACTATATACCCTCAAAACATGTATGTTGGGAAGCAGTGATGGACAGTATGCTACTCAAATGGTCTGGGACTTTTCCAGGACACCAAACATTTCTGCGAGACGACTTGGGGAATATTTGGCCAGCAAGTGGCAGAAACAGGGCTGTCCACGAGCAGAGCCGCCTGACTCAGGCCCATCTGTGAATGGAAACAGGACACTACCAGGCACGCAGGAGGAGCACCCGTAGCATTTATGGAGACAACTCGCCCACCTGGTTCCCACAGGGCCTTGAACACCCTGCTGAATTAATCTCCACCCAGGATCTCTGAGACCCGGGGAGGCGTCACATCCTCACTTTCTAGGGGAATCTTGAACTCGGGAGCCTGAGTCCTTGAAGGTTCCTGACTGGAAGTCTTGCTAAGCTGGTCAGGTGACTGGACTGGAGGAAAACATCCTCTGGTTCACTGATTTTGGGGATTTGGGCTTTTCCCAAAGTCATCTTTTCTTCCAAGAACGGCATGGGTAGGCTCCCTCCCAAGCCACAGCGTGGGTGAGCCGAGGGGCCCCTACACCCTGCAAGTCTCTCATGAGATCAGCCAGTATCATCTCAAGCTCCCACCCAGCCGAGCCTGGGGTGAAGGCCAGGAGGTCTCAGTTAACAATAGGGTTGTCCCAAGCCATGCTTCTGGAGAAGGGACGGCATCTCTGGGAGGTCGCCCCTGTCCCAGGCTTTCATGACTCTACAGGAGGAAGCTGGGGCTGGGGGCTTCCAGGAGAAGCCAGGGGGATGAGCAGGGCTTTCCTGAGATCAGGGAAGAGTCTGGATCCCTGAAAAGTGACAGGCTGGTGGGGGGGCAGCCAGCTCAGAGTAACCCAAAGCCGTAACAGGCCACTGGGAGCAGAGCTACTTATGGGGTGAGTGGTGGGTCTGCTGTCTGCCAGGGCCTGTGTCCCATGTCTGCCCTCTGAAGGCCACCCCCTCGCACTCAGCTTGGCCTCCAACCCCACTCCAGCACAGTTGAAAGCCACTCACCAACTTAAGCCAAACAGCTTCTCCCACAAACTGATGAGCAACTCTTTCCCAAACCAGGAAATAAAATGGCTCCCTTCCCTCGAGGGGCTCCAACTGCCGCAGAACTTCCGGAAGCCTAGTTACACTGAACCCAAATAACCAATGATAGCGCAGCAAATGAGGAGCCAACCCATCACCCCACAGTGGAGAGGCTCTTAGGTGATCCTTTTTTGGGGGAGGCAGTGGGGACGGGGCCGTGCTGTGTCACCCAGGCTGGGGACTGGTGTGGCTACGGGGCTCAGTGCAGCCTCAACCTCCCGGGCTTAAGTGATCCCCCCACCTCAGCCTCCTGAGAAGCTGGGACTACAGACACATGCTACTACACCTGCCTCATTTTTGTACTTTTTGTAGAGACAAGGTCTCACTCTCTTACTTAGGCTGGTCTCAAACTCCTGGCCTCAAGCGATCCTCCCAAAGTGGAAAGGAAAGCATTATCTCTATTCTCAACGAGGTAATCTCATAGAAAACCCCAAGTCATCCACAAAACAGGAGCACTAACAAAGGAGTCCAGCAAGCTTGCAGTAGACAAGACCGATAAGTGAGAATTAATTCTAATTCCCCAGAATTATATTATGAACCATCTGATGATGAAAGCTAGACAATTCCCATTTACAATAGCATCAAAAAGAACCAAATACTTAGAAAGAAAATTTTTTTAAGTGTTAAGACTTGTACACTGAAAACTGCAAAACATCATGGAAATACAGATGACCTACATTAATGGAAAGACACGCTGTGTTCATGGGTTAGAAGATTGCAAAGACAACGATTCTCAAATTGCTCTACAGATTCAACACAATCCCTATGGAAATCGCAGCTGCCTTTTTTGTAGAAATGATCCTCGATTTTATAGGAAGAGTGAGGGAACAAAAACACTGAAAACCACCTTGAAAAAGAACAAAGTTTGAGGACTCACACTTCCTGGTTTCAAACTCGCTCTAAAGCTACAGTGAGCAAGGCAGTGCCACCAGCATAAAAATAGCATAGAATAGAGGTCCCAGAAACAAATGCATGCATTTCTGGGCAACTGACTTCAAAAGGGTGCAAGACAACCCAATGGGGAAAGAACCACCTTTTCAACAAATGGTTTTGGGGCACCTGAATACCCACATGCGGAAGAATTAAGCTGGGCCTGACCTCACGCCCTCTACACAAATCAACTCAGCATGGACTAACAGAATGCAAGAACCAAATGCAAGAGCTAAAACTACAAATGCTTAGAAGAAAACACAGGTGTCGACCTGACCTCGGATGAGGCAGATACGACACCAAAAGCATAAGTGACCAAAGGGAAAAACAGGTAAGTTTAACTTCATCAAACTAAAAACTTTTGTGCTTCAAAAGACACTTGATAAAAGTGAAAAGACCACCCACAGAACGCGAGAAAGAATTTGCAAATCATACATCTGACAAGTGACTTGTAATACAATAATAAAGCAACCTCGTTTTAAGAATAAAGGATATTGACACTTCTTCAAGAAAGATACACAAGGCCGGGCATGGTGGCTCATGCCTATAATCCCAGCACTTAGGGAGGCCAAGATGGGCGGATCACAAAGTCAGGAGATGGAGACCATCTTGGCCAACATGGTGAAACCCCGTCTCTACTAAAAATACAAAAATTAGCTGGGCGTGGTGGTGGGCAACTATAGTCCCAGCTACTCGGGAGGCTGAGGCAGAAGAATCACTTGAACCCCAGAGGTGGAGGTTGCAGTGAGCCGAACTGAACTCCAGCCTGGGCGACAAGAGCGAAACTCCATCTAAAAAAAGAAAAAGAAAAAAGAAAGATACACAAATGACCAATATGCACACAGAAAGAAGCTTGATATCATTAGCCATTAGGAAAATGCAAATCAAAGTAACAGGGACTTCAGTGAGGTCCATAGAGCAGTCCAATTCATCAAGTAGAATGGAGGTCGCCAAGGGCTAGGGAGGGAGAATGGGAATTTATTTTTTAATGGGGCTGTCAGAGGCGTTTGAACCAGAGCCACTCCATCTTGAATAGGAGCTGGGTAGAATAAGGCTGAGACCTGCTGGGCTGCATCCTCAGGAGGTGAAGGCATTCTTAGTCACGGGATGAGACAGGAGGTCGGCACGACATACAGATCATAAACACGGAGCTGCTGAAACAGGCTGCAGTAAGAAAGCCGACCCAAACCCTCCAAAACCAAGATGGTGATGAGAGGGACTTCTGGGCCGTCCTCACTGCTACACTCCCTCGGGTGCCATGGCAGTTTACAAACGCTATGGCAACGTCAGGAAGTGACCCTATGTGGTCTAGAAAGGGGAGGCAGGAACAATCCACCCCTTGTTTAGCATATCCTCAAGAATAACCACAGGAAGGGACCCCCTCAGCCCTCAGGCTGCTCTGCCTCTGGAGCAGCCATTCTTCCGTTCCTTTGCTTTCCTGATAAACTTGTTTCACTTGACTTTATGGCCTGCCCTGAATCCTTTCTTGCACGAGATCCAAGATCCCTCTCTTGTGGTCTGGATCTGGGCCCTTTCTGGTAACAGGGCCAGAGTTTCAGTCTAAGATGGTACAGAAGTTCTGGAACCGGATGGCGGTTTTTATAACGATGTCAATGTACTCAATGCCACTGGACTGTGCACTTAGAGTGACTGAAATGGAAAATGTGCCTTTTACCAAAGAACCCCAAATCATTCCCACTCAAAAAATCAAAACACACCAATGTTCACAGCAGCATTATTCAAAATAACCAACAAGTGAAGGTGAAGGAAGACCTCTGTCCCGGCTCAGAGGGACAATGGGAGGGGCGGCAGAGTCCTGCCCCGGTGTGCTGAGGGCAGCCACATCTGCAGCGGGGTGCCCGGCAGCGTCCCTGCCACCTGAGGACGGGAAGGCCATCCTCAGGCTCTCTAGAAGCTACCAGGGACGGGAATGAACAGCACAGGCTTTGTACAATCTTAGGGTGTGTCCCAGAAGTGAGCACTGTCCAGCACCACTATACCGTCACTTCAGTTCCGCATAGCATATCACCCCAGAGCTCCCAGACACGGGGGGCTCAGGAACCCCCAGATTCCAGCTGTCTGCCACCTGAGCCAGTAACGCAGGCCCCTCTGGAGATGTCAGCTTCCTTGGCCACAGGTCTGAGGATGAGCATCCCCTAGCCACAGGGCGTTACCGTCAAGAAGGGCATTTCTGGTTCCAGAAACACATGGCATTTATTGTAAAGGAGAGCTGGCCAGCTCACGCTCACACTGGCCTAAGAGTCCTGGCTACCGTTTTCTGAACAATCACCGGGTGGCAGTTTCTGTACTTTATGAGCCTCCTGGATGGCACAGGAGCTCCAGGCTGCTTCAGCTTCTGCCCATGGCCCAGCCCTAGCCCCTGGGGTACCACCTCCTTCTCCCTGGAGAGGTAACAGCTTCCTGCTCCTGAGCTCTGTCGAGTACAACACAGTCAGCCCCTCTGGCTTGAGTACCCAAATGGTTCTCTGTGGGATGCTCAGTTGCTGTTGCAGTTTGTTTTTTGGGGGTTTTTTTTGGAGTTTAGCTCTAGTGGCCAGGCTGCAGTGCCATGGCGTGATCTCGGCTCACCACTCCACCTCTTGGGTTCAAGCCATTCTCCTGCCTCAGCCTCCCAAGTAGCTGGGATTATGGGCATGTGCCAAAGTGCATGGCTAATTTTTTTGTATTTTTTGTAGAAATGGGGTTTCTCCATGTTGGTCAGGCTGATCTCGAACTCCCAGCCTCAGATGATCCACCCGCCTCAGCCTCCCAAAGTGCTGGGATCATAGGCGTGCCCATCACTGTTGCAGTTTTTTGTGGCTGCTATAACCAAGTGCCACAACCTTGGGTGGCAAAGATGACAGAAAGGTCTCTCTCCCAGGGGTTAAGGTCTGATTCAAGGTGTTGGAAGGGCATTTAGGTTCTCCGCAAGTCATCCAGGATTACCTCCTCAGCTCAAGATTCTCGATCACATCTGCAAACACCTTTTTCCAAACAGGGTAACTTTCACATGCTGAAGCTTTAACCCCCATATCTGAGATGAGGTCTTCAGGAGGTCAAGTCAAATGAGGTCATAAAGATAGGGTTACAATCCAATAGGACTTTAAGAAGAGAAAGAAAGCACCAGGATGATGTGGCTCAAGCCTGTAATCCCAACAGTTTGGGAGGCCAAGGTAGGTGGATTACCTGAGGTCAAGAGTTCGCGACCAGCCTGACCAACTTGGTAAAATCCCATCTCTACTAAAAATACTAAAAAATTAGCTGGACATGGTGGTGCATGCCTGTAATCCCAGCTACTCAGGAGGCTAAAGCAGGAAAATCACGTGAACGCAGGTGGTAGAGGTTGCAGTGAGCTAAGATCACACCATTGCACTGCAGCTTGGACCACAGAGCAAGACTGTCTCAAAAAAAGAAAAGAATGAACTCTTTCTCTCTCCACCCTGTGAAGACAGCAAGAAGATGGAGTCTACATAACCCAGGTGAGGGTCCTCACCAGAACCCCAACCATGCTGGTCCCTGAGCTTGGACTTCCAGCCTCAAGGACTGTGAGAACAGAAATATCTATTCTTGAAGCCCCCCCATCTGTGGCAACACACAATCATTAATTTTCTACATCAGCTGGAGTGGGCCATGGTGCCCAGATTAAGCATTAATTCTGGTGTGTCTGTGAGGGGCTTCTGGTTGAGCACCGCATGTGACGGTGAACTTGGTAGATCGCCCTCCCCAGTGGGCAGGCATCCCCCAATCCTTCAAGGTCCTGAATAGAACGAAAAGCAGAAAGAGAAATTCACCCCTCGGCCCCTGCCTCCCTGCTTGAGCTGGGACTTCTCATCTCCTTGTCCTTCGGCTGCTGTTGACACCATCAGTGCCCTTGCTTCTCAGGCCTTCAGACTTGGACTAAACCACACCGTGGGCTTCCCTGGGTCTCCAGTTTGCAGAAAGCAGAGTGAGACTTCTCAGCCTTCAGAATCACATGAGCCAATCCTTAGGAAACGCTGTTCTGTCTTCCCTGTTCCGTTTCCCTGGAGAGCATGGATGCGCGTACATGATACACAGCGCCAGCAGCCCCATCCTTCTTTCCTCGTCTCTGTCTTCAACCTCTTCTATTATCTTTCA